TCCCTCCCTGCCGCTGATACAGGACAGCCCCTAGACCTTCCTCTGATGCATCTGTGTGTAGTACAAATGGCTTTTCAAGGTCTGGGTATGCCATTACTGGGGGGTCGGACAATGCATTGACAAGTTTTTCCAATGCCTGTTGGTGTATAGCTGACCACTCTACAGGCTGAGATGGTGACAACTGTGGGGAACGACTAACCTTCTTTATGACTGGCTTGTTCTTTGTTTTTGGTTGGGCTAACAGTTCATAAAGAGGTTTAGCGATTCTTGAAAAATCTGCAATGAATGATCTGTAGTACCCTAAAAAGCTTACTAATGACCTCACTTCTTTGACAGTTTTTGGTTTTGAGCTTTTCAATGCTTGTACAGCTTCTACTTCCTTCGGATTCATGCGATAGCCATCTTCAGAAATGACACGGCCGACATAGCATACTTCCCTTTTAAAGAAGTCGCATTTCTTTGGTCTGAGTTTTATTCCGCATTCTTTTTGTCGTTTTAACACTTTTTGTACATTCTCAACATGTTGGTCAAAGTCTTTGCTAAAAACTAGCACATCGTCAAGATACGGTACACATACCTCGTCTCTCAAATCTCCAAGACAACCCTCCATATATCGCTGAAAGGCTGCCGGGGCATTTGTCAAGCCGAAGGGGATCCTCAGCCATTCATAAAGACCCCATGGCGTGATGAAGGCAGTGCAGGCTCGGCTTTCTGGACTGATAAAGCCCTGATGATATGCTTTACCTTGGTCTAACACAGTAAACCATGAATTTCCACCGAGGTTCTCGAGGATCTCCTGTATTCGCGGAATAGGATGTCGGTCAGGGTGTGTCTTTTCATTTAATTGTCTGTAATCTACACAGAGTCTGATTGTGGAGTCCTTTTTTCTCACAATTACTATTGGTGATGAGTAAGATGATGTGGACTTCTGTATCCATCCTTTGCTGAGTAGACCTTGGATGTGCTTTTTCACCTCCTGGTACAAGTGACGAGGGATAGCATTGTATGTTTTTGTTACTGGAACATTGTCTTTAAGATGTATTTTCATTTGTAAATCTGGAATGCATCCTGTGTCCCACTCGTCCTTTGCAAAAACATTGCTTTCCTCTCTCAACATTTGTCTCACCTTTTCTTGTTGTTCCATTGTCAGGTGTGAAAGATCGACTGGTGGATCCCACAGTTCACTTGTTTCCTCTTTTTTTAACGTTGATCTCTGTATTATTTAGGCCTGTCTTCCCTAATTGTCCATTGTCACTTTGTGGCACATTTGTGATTTCACTAATGTCTTGAATCGTGTCCACATTGAATAATGATCCAAGTAGAGTTCTGTTTTGTAGTCTGATATCATTGTCTGTGTTGTTTTCAACTACAACTGTAATGACAGCTCTTTCTTCACTTGGTAGGTGTACAAGTTGTTGCTTTATTTGTAATCCCTCTGGCCATGGTGCATTTTCATTTGGTTCAGTATTGCATACTGTCCTTGTAACACATTTTTATTGATTTTGCCACAGATTACTTTGAACATTTGACGCTTTGGAATGACAACATCATTTCTTCCTAGTCTGGCTGTCTGGCTTTCTGCTGTACTTTTATCTTTGCTGAGCACAGAGAATACTGCTTTTGCCTTTTTTGTAACCTACATCTAGCGCTGACTCAAGACTGTGTAGGAACTTGTTTGAGTGAGATCTATCTGTTGACATATTAGTCTTTGCTATTTCCTCAATAACGTTGAACCCAATGATTGGCTTAGTGAGTGGCTGAGTGCTAACCAGAAATGGCACTAACAGTTCGCTGTCTTTGTTTTCTGGGAGCCTGAACTGCACTCCTATCCAGCCCTCATAAGGTATTTGAGTCCCATTCGCAGCAGACAGATCTAATATACCTTCATCAAGAAGTTCTTTTACTGGACGGATTTCAGCATTGGTTAAGTGACTCTGTTTCCAATCAAGATCAACAATAGACACTTGAGAACCTGTGTCCCACAGAGCAGTGGCTGGGACACCACCAATGTAGCACTGTACCAGACTTTTGCTACCAATCAGCTTTGCTGTCTTTTCCTGTTTCTTTGACAAGGGCACATCTTTTTGTACATACATAATGTCCTTAAGATTTGTATTGTTCACTTCTATTTTGCAAACACTACCAGATGTGTCTTTCTTTTTCCTACAGCCAATAGCCCAATGGTCACTACTCCCACACTTATAGCAATGTGTGCACTTGCCTTCAGGATTTGACTGTTCACATTGGCGACACTTTCTGGGGCCCTTTTTGACATTGCATTTGAAGTTTTGCTTTGGTTTGACACTTTTATCATAAGTCTTTGCTTTTGTCTGAGTCAAGCTCGCTACTTGTGTTGTCAGGTTTTGTATTGCGTCACAAATAACTTTGTTATTCTCATCAAGTTTTTCTACAATGGGGTTTGGTTTGACTATTTGTGTTTTAGTCTTGTTTGAACCAACCGTTCCACTTTTGTGTTCATCTTCTTGCACTGAAGCCACTTTGATGTTTTTTTGTCTGGTGAAGGATGACAGCTTGCTCCTTCTTTCCTGTTCAACACTGTAGGTGGCGCTCATCTTCTCCAAAAGCACCTCGTCCTCTACAGAAGCATCCTGCAAATAAGGCTTTACATCTGCTCTGACAGCATCATCTTGTAAACCAGTCAGTATTGTCTGCAAGAACTGGGTTTGCACAAGCTCAGGATTATTTCAGTCCTACCTTGGCTCTTTCTGATGCAAACAACACTTTTTGTCTGAGGTCCATGGCACGTATGAGAAACTGTACTGGGGTTTCTTTGGGCTCTTGTACTGCTCTGGTTAATGCATGATAGAGTTCAGTTGCATCTTTTTCTATGAAATGTGTCCTAAGCACTTTGCCTTAAGGAACGTAATGTTAGCTCTGTTCTACTTTCCAAATAGCTCTTTAATTTGACATCGGGTGCAATAGCTTGGATTACTGCCTCAACAATCTCACCTTCATCATAACCTTTTTTCAATCCACGTTCGATTTGTCTTTCGAGGCATGTGAAGTTCAGCTTATCCTTTTGTCCAGCTTCTCCAATTTGTCCTACAATTCTGAAATCTTTTCTGTAGACTGGATGCACGCTTGGTTGATCTCTTATTTGTGATGCATCTCGGTCAGAAGTTGCAATGCTGTTGGCTCTTTGTGGTGATAAAGGCGGAATACCACTTTGTGTCAGTAGAGGGCGCTGCAAGACCACTTGTTGCGGCTGAACTGCATCCCCTTGCGCTGGCGCAGCACTTGTATCACTGTCAGTTGTCTGTTTATTTTGCAAGATATCAATGAAGTCACTGGTCGCCAGAAGCACGGACAATCCACCATCCTCTAAAGATGTAACATCATGGCCTTCTAAATAGTTGAGCATTTGTCTCCTTATTAACCGACATGACGACTATGCCTCTTCACTCAGCTGCAGCTTAAGCTCTTCACTTAACTTTCTCAGCTCGTCTAGTGACAGAGTAACAAGCTTCTTCTCAATGTCCGCCAATGACGATTCCCACACACTGTCCATGTTGCTTGGCCTCTTGACTTGTCCACAACTTCAATGGGTAAGTCCGTAGTTTTTATTCTTTAACTTGTTGTGTTTTTCCGATGCACTTTGGCTTAGTTTCTGCTAGCTGCAATGACGAACTTTTTCTTTGCGGGACCATGCCGTTTTTTTTTTTTTCATAAAAAAAAAACACGCTTTTCTTGGCAGAAAACTTACTTGAACCGGGCGGAAACACCAAGATTTATGTTGCACCCCCGAAATGAACGACAAGACTCGCGTTCATTTTAGCTTTTGGGCAAATTTAATTTTAGATTTCGGTTCATGTGTTAACAAGTATGTTTCGTTTTTCTGCCTCTTTTTCTAACAACGAAGAAGAAAATGCTTTTCCCATAAATCCTTTAGTCTCACATTCTTAAAGTAACAGTACAGTAAATACCCTGTTATTATATAGGTACAATGAAATCATAGAACAAAGAGTATTATCAATGAAGTATGTATTTATATCAAATGAAAATTATTTTAGCTATTCAAATGAAACATGAATTTAGTCTTATGAATTTTATAACAGAAATATTGCATTTTAATTTTCAGGGCACTACAACAACAACCCTAGGTGTTACAGATCTTTGATTCATAAAGTGTTCATTTACCTCCTTCGATGTAAGAGGACATTTTACTGAGAACTGGGAGAGCACAGCAGCATGTTTCTACAGCTCCGCAAACCGGAAAACGTGGTGTGCCTTCAAAATAAAAGTGTATCCTATGACGGCAGGCCAAATGCTTTCCAAAATAAAAACGTAAACAAAACTAAAGCAACGAGATCACATTGGTTAACATTAAATTGCATTTGCAGACAAATTAAACAAACGAATAATTAAGTATATTTTGTCTGCCATTTACAGAGTCCGTGGCAAAATCATTCAGACACCGGAGATGAGAGTGGTCCGGAAGAGGCTGAGTGAGGCTCCAGTAGAGCCCTCTGCAGCTCAAGGTTTAATCTCAATTTTACAAATCTGAATACACCTTCAAATTGTAGAATGTGTCCAAAACCATTATAGATATTGGTAAATAATACATTTATATTTTATACATTTATTTAAGAATGAGCCAGAAGCGGCCTAGGGAGGACAGTGACGACAGCGGCGATGAAGATCCATCCAAGAGGTCGTGTCACACCCCTCCAGCTGCTCCAGCACAAGGTTTGATTTATTCTCAATTCTGCAAATTTGATTACACCTTTTAAAATTGTAGAAAGTGTCCACAACCTTTGGTAAATAACACATTTATATTTTATACATTTATTTAGGAATGAGCCGGAAGAGGCCAATAGAAGAAGACAGCGATGATGAAGAACCTGCTTCTAAGTGGTCGTGTCCCTCCCCGCCAAGAGGACACTGACTGATCCCCCGGGCCTCCCCTGGTGGGAGACAAGGGGAGCAAGAAGGAGACACGAGGAGTGGAAGAATAAATAAATAATGACACATTTCAGTGCGTTGAGGTGGTGATTTTTTTGTATTATTTTTCCACAGTATATGTACAAACCATTACGACGGCCACAGTAAACTAAACAAATCAGAACATTATAGTTTAACACGTTTCACTGCTGTTACATGGACTGGCCACAAGAGGGAGATAACAGCTCTGCTCTACAATTCTTTACAATCCAAAAATATTCACATGATCCGCTGAGTTTATTTACAATTCAAGAAATTCATATGTTCAGATGGAAAAAAATGTAAGAATGCAGAGATGGGTAGTAGTTAAGTTTACTCGAGTACTTTTGCTTGAGCAAAAGTTTTTACTCTTCCCACTGTAAGCCCTCAAGTGACAAAAGCTTTATGTTGACAATTTTAAATGATTTGAACATTTGTGTCTCTTGCAGCGCTATGTCAGATAGGATTTCACTTTTCCTCATTTTTGTGTCTATCATTTTAATCTTCAGTTATAAATCAGGTGTTATGTTCAGACAAATAATTACTCTGATGGTTTCCAGAAAAACCTCTTTACTCTTACTTGAGTCATTTCTTGGACCTCTACTTGTACTTCTACTTGAGTAATACTGTTTTGAAGAAACAGTACTCTTACTCAAATATAGTTTTAGGCTACTCTACCCGCCTTTGATAAAACGGGTTGCATAAGTACAATTGCGAGCATTGCTTTGCGGATTCTAATTTACACCAAAATTGTAGAATTGCAAAATGATTCCAACAAAAATACATAAATATACTACAGCTAAACTACTTTGATGCAACAAATTGTTTTAACCTGATTTAAAGCCGCACTATGTAACATTTGTGTTGAAGAATCCACCACCTGTCTTCATAGAGATGTTACTGCTTGACATTACACATTTCCACAAGTTTAATGCCATACTGTGTAACATTCCAGGCAAAACAATAATCTCTCCAAGGAGACAAGTGTGCGATGCTGAAAAGTTACATAGTGCGCCTTTAACAATAGCTCGTGATCAGTACAGTGTGAAACTTGGTCATTCAAAACACACAATTCCTTACATTAAATAAGTCCCTTTGTAAAATAAGTGCAATATGTTTTTAAATTCTTCGATCAGTGCTCATCCTCAGCTTGGTAATGCCCTACAGGAAGCTTCAAGGGACAATTTTCAAATATATGCTCATGTCACATACAAATGCTTCTATATCAGAGACACAGAAATTAGATATTTTGAAGTTGCAGTTCACTTTTTTGTAAGTGCCAAATGGAAAGTCGAAAATTTGCTTCTAGTATCAAAATGTTTTAATGATTTATTTATACCATACATTTTGTTAGCAGCATTAAGACTCATCTGTTACTTTAAAGGTGCACTGTATAACTTTTCTGGTAGAGGAAGCACAACCTGCAAGCCACCAGACCAAGTTACTGGTCAGATCTGTGGAGAGGCGAGTCTACTCACAGTAAGAATGCATGTTTTTCAATTAAAGCAATAAAACATCTGTAATTCGATTAGTTTAAATTGGTTTGGAATGATTAAGTTTAAGTTTAATGCCATATTATCGAACAATACAGGCAAAGCAATAAGTTAGAAGTTACACGATGCACCTTTAATGTTATTTGGAAGTCCCTTGTTTACAAAAAATGTTTTAAGAATGCCTTAAGAAAATTAAAAATCATTTGTGGAAAGGAAACTGCAGCTCTGATTGAGAATAGCAGCTTCTGTAGTGCTCCAGCAAAGACAAGTCAACCAAATGAATAAAAATTACTGAACTAAAGATTGTGTATTTAGGCCTGTCCCGATAACGACAGTATCGACTTATTGTTCTATATGTGACAGATGGAACAAGTATTTTTGGGGCCATTATTTATTAGCTGTAAAGGGTTGAATAAATAACTTCTATGATTCATTACAGATACAAACTACTAAGTGCATTTGACAGGTTAGACTGCTCATTTCTCCAAAACAAACATAATAATAAACACCATTATATGTAGGATTTTACTACAAATCTTGCCTTGTTTTTTTCTAGTTTTGTCATTTTTATGAAGTTTACAATTTACTTCCCGCAATATGTAGAGATTTGTTTCCTAGCAGCAATGATAATTTAAACAAACCTGCATGAATTACACAATAGTTATGACTTAATTAATAAAAATAGATGACAACACCTTTATTTTGTTAAATCAGTGTTTAAACTGTGCCTTATTTGTACAGATTTTAGATAGAATGACATTTTTTTTCTACATTTCTTCCCAAACTGCCATTTATCCCATCAATCCAAAAAGTAATAATTAGAAAAATATATTAATCTGTCAAATGTACTTTAAGTACTTGAACCTGTCATTTATTTATTATAGCTTATGTTTTTTATGATGATACATTTAGAAAAGTTTTTTAGGCGTAATTCTGCTTTAGGGTTTTTGTATCTCTGGCATAATTTTGTTTCAGTATTATCCATTATCGTCTATATTTTCTTAAGTAATAAATCAGAGTTGTTATTGTGACAGGCCTAAATGTGTTAGTTCCTTTTCAGTGCTGTAGACTTGTTTTTGTGCGCTCTGTGGTGACGGCCCAGTCTACGTGATGTTGGAAATGGGGTCACTGATTTTGAGGCACCTCCAGTAAAGAGTGCGACCCAGAGTGAGCAGAGCCAGACACAGAAGCAGAGCCCACGACACGTAGATACCACGAGAAGATTTAGCAGGATTCCACGTTCCCGCCTGGAACACAGAGAAAACAAAAGGAGTGCAACCATTCATCTGGAAGAAGATACTTTTGGATATTTTTAGTATTAAACATGCATAGATCAACATTTAACTATAATATTGGAGTAAAATGTCTTAGTAACAGAACTAGATCCACTGACTTCCTGTCCAAAATGCAGAACTAATAGGCCCTGTAGTGAAATTTCCGTGTAGTGAGCAACAGTGAATTGCATGCATGAATCACTTTTACAACATGGTTAAAACCTCGTAATGTGCCTCTTTAAAATCACTGTTTATGTTATTTACTATATATGTGACTGTAAAACGCATAACAAAAATAAAGACAAAGTAATTTATAAATATCCTTCATATAATTGTCATATTTTTTATCTTCATCAAGACAAAAATGTATCAACTAGTCGACTATTAAAGTGTTAGTTGCAGCCCTAGAAGACACACTGAGTGATGTTTAAATACAGAACTACTACGGATGTAACAATAACGAAGATATCTTGATATTGTATCGTCAGAAGTCTCACAATAATATCGTGGGCTGTCACAATATATCGGAATCACACTTTACAATAGCAACAGCTTATGAACATCAGGAACTACATATCCCATAATTCATTTCAGCACAGAAAACATGAAGAGATATGTCTTTTATTTGAATTCTTGGGAGTATGACAGAAATAATTCACAACTACATTTTGTCAAGGTATTTTAAAAGCAGAAATGAGTCCTAATTACAATTATATTAGCCTCTCCAAAATATCGTAATAAATATCACACCGTGAGAAGCATATCGTGATAATATCGTACTGAGAAATTTGGATATTGTTACATCCCTAAGAACTACACTGTTTTAACTTGGTTTAAAACTTGAATAATGATAGTGCAGTGTTTTGGATTTATATAGTACTTTTTTGGACAGTCTCAGGATGCTTTATGTTGCATTATTCATTCCCTCGACACCTGTTTTTACATAGGTAAAGTGGTGGAAGTGTTTGCTTAAGGGCACAGTGACAGTATTCAGTCGACTGTTTCCCAACTTGGGCGGCAGAACCCAAAGCTTTGTCTGATCAGAGGGGCAGGTCATCAGAGTAATTAATCGTGCAAAATAGCAAATTATATTGTAAGTCCCAAATATGTGATTGTAAAATGGAATCTGTACTAGCGAGATTTAGACAAGACATAGATAATTATTAAAACTGATCTAGATTCAGTTGTGTATTCACGCCATTTTTTTACCATGAGTCCAGCAGTGGAAATAGCGATGACGATAAACAACAAGAAGCACAACAAACTCCTCCTCCGAGGGTACCGCCGACCAATGGAGGAGCTGCAAATCCACAAACAGCACAAGTGTCACTCATATTAATTCTCCCGTGTCAGATGCCCTTCCGTTCTCTGTTGGATATTTGTTAATAGAAGAATAGTTTGAACTTACACTTTTCTGCAGTGGGGACACCGGGCCAAAGTTCGGTCTGAAAACTCCGTCCACTGAAAGAGAGGAGGTGTGTTAAAATATGAAGGGGAAAATATTAATCACAATCCATTTGAAAGTGATTGCACCACCTGTTTCCTTTGATAAGTTTAATGTCACAGTTTGGAACATTTCAGGCACAGCAATTTGTTTATCAGAAATTAAACTTTATATTTGTATGTATGTATGTCTAAATAAATTATAAATAAGTAAAAGGAGTTCAATGTTTGTACCAGGAAGGTGTTGGCGCAGTGCCCACAGATGACTCTGATCCCGACGGGCTGATGGTGCTGCGGCTCGGGGCTGTCTCTGCCGATGTGCACTGGGCCCAGGTTAATGATACGTTTACTGACCAGGAGAGAAGAGGACAAATCAGTGACGGGGAAAACAGACAAATCTATACCATCTATGGAAACTGCTTTTTCATAAATAAAATGATGAAATGACAAAGGAGAGTATGAATTTTCTTCAGTGATATCTGATATGTGTCTTGCTGTCAATATCAAGATTTTTGGAATCTATAAGTCAAATAAGTTATCTGGAATATATTAAAATGTGTTTTTTAATGAAGACTGTGTAAACATACAGCCTCCATTGTAGCTTCAGTGTCTCTATTTCCATTGTAACTCAATAGTTTATCTGTACTCACTAGCTGGGGTGCCTGATTTTATTTTTGTTAAGACTATATAGTAATAGCAGCAGTTGGCAACAAAATGAGACTGCTGCTCCTGTTCGCAGCTAATGATAAAGTATTTTAAAGATCGCAAACACAGAAGTAAGAGCCGGAAGTGCTCTGATTGACTGCACTTTGGAGTCCATCCTGCTGCACTTCTCTGTCTGAAAAAGCTGCTCTAAAGCTGAGCACTCGTCCATAAATCCTGTGATGCATGTGACTACAAATGACACGCCAAGAACTGGTTAGACAGATTTAAACACATACTTTCACACTTTGAGAGTCAGGTACGGCAGCTTTAGAAGGACAAATCTAATGCACTGAGATTCTGAGTATCTGAGTGAATCAAGGACTTGCAAAGACTGGATCAGTGAAGGACTAAATATCAGATTACAAGAAAGAATCCTGCATATTAGCTGATTAAAGTTTTGCCATAAAAACTAGACATTTTTTAGATTCAGCAAGATATGTAATGTAATACTCTTTAAAATATTTGATATGTTATAGAGCTTGAGTTGTATTCACCAGTACGGTCTTGGGCAGGCGATTCTCTGCGATGTGACTTTACAGATGAGCAGACAGTTACATGGACAGCGCACATATTTCTTCCCCACAGGAGGGTTTTTTATGGGCTACAAAGATTAAAAAAAGTCAATATTATCCATGCAATTATTAAAGCTGCAACTTATGCAAAATCTACTTTTAAGAGCAGCAGTTACAATGAGTTATAACAGTTTTCCCTCATCCTTGGCTTGTTTGCTAATGGAGATGTTATTGCTTTCCCTGGAATGTTCTACACTATGTTATAAAATATCCCTTTCTTGCACTGATTAAATTACAGGTGTATTAACTGCTAAGAAATACTTAGAAAAAACATGAGCGTGGTTACCTTTCCACAGCTCTGACATGTAACTAGTGGAGTCACCTGCTCCTCTCCATAAATAAGTTTAAGGCACTGTACCTGATTTTCACTGTATTAAAATGTGAAAAACAGAACTATCATTTGTTTTAAACAATTTGCACTAGTCCACAGCTATTCCTGTCAATAAAACACTTTAAAATTAGATACTAACAGTAAACAGACGTCAGACAAGTTGCTCATACAATATATTTGAATTAGGGCAGGACAGAGTTTGCTCAAATACATGGGGAAAGAAATTGGGTACAAGGCCATTAATGCCATACAGTCATAGACTGCAGGCAAAGCAATAACAACTCCATGGACCCTCCACTAGAAAAGTTACACACATCTTAATAATTTTTCTCTGCATACAGAGTGGTTTGTTACTGACCGTTGCCTCATTGCAGAAGTTGCACTTGACCACGTGCAGGTGGCCTTTGCCCTCCACAGAGATGGCGCTCTGGCACACACGGCAGCTGATGACAGGGGCACTGCCGCTGTCGGGGCTGCCCTGGGGCGAGTACGGAGGAGGGGGCTCACCTGGGGCCACAGGGTACGGAGGCACAGCTGGAGACAGAGAAGTCAGGCTCAGCGAGAAAATATAGATCTGTGTTTTTCAATTTTTAGCATCCTGGGCAAAGTTCACATTTTAAACGTGTTAAAAAAAATACGCCAGTCACAATACAATTACACAATTACTATATCAACAAAGCATTTTGAGGGTTTATATTTATTGTGGGTACTTTTTCTTTGCAATCTTGCAGCCCTACAGAGGAGGACTCACACTTTTCACCTCAAAGAAAGACAAACCGAGGGTCGAGTTCCAAACTGTGAGAAGCTTGCACTTTTTAAAGTTTATATGGTCAGTAGTTGCATTCACATGACACCACAACATACTAGAAAGGCTATAGTTTAAAAGTGAGATAAAGGACCAGTCAGAATTCTAAGGTGGGATATGCCAACTAAGTGTCAGATTGCAGATTTTTTTACCTGCTTTATGGCTAATATTCTATTCTAATTACTGGGCCTATCCACACAAAAAAAAAAAAATCTGGCACAAAGTTCAAGATCTTCTCTGTCAGTAAAAATAAAAAGTTAAATGTGTGTTTTTACAATAACTTCAGAACGTGGTGCCATTATTTAACCCCAAAAATGTGATTGTTAGAACTTTGGGGCCAATACATTCAAAAATAGCAAATCTCCCTAATAACTACATTCCCGTATAGTTAGAGTCATTTTTCATTATATGCTTCTTATGATAATGTTGATTTTTACCATGGAAATTAGACGGCAGACCGCGGCCAGGACCCTCGTCTTGATCGGACAGCAGTGGCGAGCGCTCCCCGTCCGCCATGGTGCTGAGTCCGGGTCAGAACCGTACAGAACCTGGAACCAGACCAGAGTAAGCCAGAGTGAGCCAAACCAGGACTAACTTCTGGGTTTCAGCTGACATCAAAACATTCTAAATGCCAAAGGAGGAGCAGCAAAAGTGTATATTGTTATATTGTTTATACTATTAGCTGCTTATCTGTCAAATTTATTTTTCAAATCATAACTAGTGTGTAATTAAGACAAGTTCTGGCCCGTTTTGACAGTATGATAGGTGACAGAACTGGAATTACCTCTACATATGTCATCATATCAGCTGTCTATATCTAACCAGGAAATTATAAATTTCACAAAGATTACAAAATTAGACAAGACTAGACAAGATTTTTAGTGGCATCTCAGTTTCAATTATGTTAACTATGGTTTAAAGAAATTATTACCTGGCATATGCACTTTAATGTCTAATTATGGGCCTCTGCATATGCATGGAAATATTAAGACAGGCCTAAATAAAAATTTAAATACAAATTCGCCTATTAAAAAAAAATAACTAAAAATGCTGATAGAATAAAGGACTACAAATAATGCTATTAATAATGCAGAACACATTATAAAGTAGCCTACAGAACGTAATTATAGCTAAAGATGACTGACTTATGTACCAAGCCAGAAGTGTTCATTTGCTGACAATAAACTACAATTTCATGGAATAAAAATAACTAATATAAGTCACAAGTCTTCAAATGGCTTTAACTTAAAATGCAAAGTGTAAAATCTGTTTACCAAAGATGAACCGAACAGCCGAGGCTATCCGTCCGCCCAAAACAACCAAGGAGGATCAGAGGGAGAAAGTGCCGGGGTTTTAGGAGGTGTTTAAGCCGCGCAGGGGTGAGGGGAAAGCGGTCAAAGCAGGGGCCAAACCCGCGGCCTCGGCTCAGTACCGGAGCAGAAGCACATGACTCTGCAAAGATTTGAGGAATCGCGGAAGTGAAAACAAACACAGGTCACATGACACGTGTGAGTCACGGGGGAGATGGACGGGTGAGCGGTCCAATCAGAGGACGAGATGGAGGGAGGAGGCGGGACTTGTTTGTTTATCGTTTTTTTTTTATTCAAACAAAATGTAAAAAAATAAAAAAAATACCCAGCCCTGAATAATAACAATAATAACAATAACAACAACAATAATAATAGAAAGCTAGGTGAAATGTGAACTACTGACCTTCGTGTTGATGAATGAGCGCTCTAACCACAGCGCTATCTGAACAGCGACCCCTGCTGGAGGTTTTGGTTATTTCATGACATGTAGTGGATTGTATGAGCATATGCGCTGAAACACTATAAATACATTTTACTGAAATGAAAAACATTACTCAAATAAGATAAAAATCAAGAAAGATATGTAGATGATGACATAAATACGATAAGATAATTAAGCATACGTACTGGGCTTCCGTGCATTTTGGGGCTTTCCACTTCTGTTTCCTGGAGACTGAACACAATCTTAACCAAAGTAATTTTACTTTCTCAAACTTAACTCAAACCTTTTTCACATATATTTCAATTTAAATCCTTTATTATACCAAAAATGTGATTTAGTGTCATATCGACCTGATTGTTCGAAAGCCTCATCACTGCACCCTGCTGTAGGACCATTCCATATGGCCATGGACACAAGCAGGTCACCAGGAAAGTTATAGTGCAACTTTAACCATTAAAAGACACACTTACAGCCAAGTACAATGTCATTAAATTTTATTACAAAAACAAAACAGGATTTTCAACAACAAAACTACTCAGAATGACAAAGGAGAAAGAAGAGAAGTGCTGTGGTGTGAGCCTGTGTGCAGCTTACAAACCCCATTTTAAAAAATAAACTCAAAATGTTGATCTTTACAGAGGAAAAGAACGCGCAATGATACGATTAGACATAATAGGAGGAGCTGTGTACATATAAAACTGTCAAGATATGTCCTTTTGTTTTATTACAATTAATTTTAAGAAATATATTTAACAGAAAATTGACAATGTCTGCAATAAAAACCCACTTGCACACAGACGCACGCCATGGTGAGGAGGGGGAACAAAATGGTAGAGATGACAGGAAGAGGAGAGTTTTGGCAGTTTGTGAAGAGTAAAAGGAAAAATAATTTTTTTTTTTTTTTTTAAGATCGCCGTTTCTTTTTGCTGGGAGGAGCAACGACAGGGCGACCTTTTCTCTTTCTGTTGGATGTGTCTTCATCCTCGTAGTGGCTCTCTTTGTCGGCTGTAGACAAAACAAAACAGAACAAGTATTAGAATAATACATGATTGTTTTGTTTTTTTCCCCCATTTTTTAGTACTATAGTACCTGTGGTAAATATTTTTCATAATTTTACACTGTTCAAGCGGAAAGAGGAAAAGTACAGCAACACAGGAAGTATAGGTTATTTATAAAACACATAATTTAAAGCTTTGTTTAACAAAATGAAAGGTCCAATTGTGTAATTTGGACAGGTTTTGGACCTTGTTAGCATTACGGCTGCAGTGAAATAGTTATGGCATTACTTCTATGTATTTCACAACAGCCATGTCCAACCAGGAATTAAAAATAAATAAATAAAAGTTTGGGTGGGAACGGACATGTACACCCCACACACATAAACACCACAAAATATTAATGGTTTCTTTAAGATTTCCATTTATTCTTGAACTACTTTGTTGTTTAGTGGTAAAAGTTCTGGAGACCATTATAAAACTGTAGGAAAGGTGTGTTGTCATTTGAGCTTTTCTTTTGAAAGAGTTGTGCCGTTACCTTTTCTGGCCTCCTCTTCGAGTTCATCCCAGTCTTTGCCACTCTCCTCTTCACTGCCCAACGACGCGCTATAATCTGAAACACAGTAAATTTACATTAGTTCAGCAGATCATAGAACAGACTGTATTCACCTTCTAGCCAAAAGAAAATCCACAAATGTTGAACATGGTCATGTTTAAGCCCAGGAGCTCACAAAACTAACAGGTGCTCAATATAACATATTCTGAGATGCCTGACAGAAATATTCCATCTTTTTATTTGATCACGGGCGTGTGTTCTGTGAGCAGAATTGCCTTTACACAGATATGTCCTTCATCTTGGCCTGTTGGTCTCCATGAATATGGAAAAGTTTGAAGCCACACTGGAACGTCCAGAGAAAGCAACACAATCTCCGAGACAAAGCAGGCGGCCTCTCATCCAAAAAAGTTTTAGTGCTTAGTGCACCTTTGACAAAGTTAATTTTGCATTAAGCTCCACCAGGCGTTTTAAGATGAAAAACAGCAAAAAATGGGAGAGTTGAGAAGCAACAAAACCAGCATAATTTAAAATACAATTTAGAAAACCAAAGGACAGATAGCAGTGATGTGTTTACCTGAGTCCTCAGTCTCATCACTGTAGTCTTCATCGCTGTCCTCCTCTTCCTCTTCCTCTTCATCGGCTGAAGGGTTAAATGTCTCATCCTCCATCTCAGACTCTGACTCCTCTTCAGCTCCACTGCCCTGGGAGGAAAATGTATGTAGGTTTGTTGAGTTAACCCAGAATGCAGCAGCAGTACACTTTTTTTTTTTTTTTAATGAACTGTATGTTCCTGGTGTTTTTTTTTTTTTTTAAAAGTACTACAATCATATCTGTACCCGTGCTGCCAGTGCCTTAACCTGCACACAGAGCACAGGACATACGTTTTTTTTTCATTCCAAATATATGGAAAGGCTACTGAGCTGCAGAGGCTGCACTAGCATGGATTAGTGACTGACTGCAGGTGTCAGGGTTTAGACAGAGACCATTCAGATCATTTTAGGTTTAAACCAACTGGATTTCAGTATTTAAGTGGCAACCCAAATGCGACACTCATGTTGGGCTCATTCTGCTTTCTGATTGGAGAAAATCTGAGGGGAAAAAAAATAAAAATAAAACACCCACCAGCATTATCTTGTATATAGTTCCTTTAAATGAACAGAAAGGTGAGCCCATAATCATGACTTTAAGTTCATGTAAAGTTAATGAGATGAAAACATCATAGCATTGTTAAAACCTTAAATTCAAAGTATTTTTTTATTTAATAGGCCGTTTAATAATATGAAAATGATAATGGGGGAGAGGTTGTGAGACATATGATCTAATTCAGTCTGTGAAAAGAACAAATAAACAAACAAATGTAATCCCGCAAAATAGAGAAATATAGACATAGGTAAATTGTTAGCATAGCTCTGTACCTCGCTCTCTGGGTCAAGGAAGGACCACCCGCCCTGATCAAAGAATCCCTCTGGATCGTCAACGATGGTTTTCATGATCTTGGTCCAGTTCAAAGACTGTACTCCCTCCGTGTACTTTATGTCACAGGAGCTAAACGAAAGCAATATGTGGTTAAAAGAGCCTGGACGAGATGTTTTTTTCTTTTTGAGCAAACTCTTTCTTGCCCCAGTACAGATATATTGTATAAGCTCTTGAGATCAACGATATGAGGAAAAATATATTACAATTTTCTGACAAAGATTAGGATAAAAGTGTGAAACTCTTCCAGAATAATTGACTAAGAATTGACTGAAACAAAGCGACAAATGTTTTGGGGTGTTTTGAGGTTAGCCATGTTTAGGCAAAATGAAACAAGAATATTTTGTTGATTCAAAATTTTAATTTGAGTGTGACTGATCTTGCAGCCTTATTGTTAACCAAGTCTTAATTTAAAAAAAACATAAGGGACAAATATTTAGAGAAAAACTGGTGTCCATACTTGAGCCACTCCTTTATGGGGTCGAGTGAGTTGACTGGCACGGCGTTGATCATCGTAACTTTCTTGCTGTAATCTTTGTAAACGATCACAACATCAAAATTTTTCAAATGAAACTGCACTCGCTCGAAATGTACCAACTCCACCTCGTCCAGAGTCACTACGAATGGAGGCTGCCAACAAACACAGGACAAAACGGACAATTTACCACAAATATTATTCACTTGATTACATTTTCCATACATTCATAGCACTCACCCACTCAGTGACATTGACCAGGGAACTCGACGTGGGCTGTAGCATGCATGTACTCCTGTAGGGGGCGCCCTGGAATCTGGAAATTGATAATACAGTTCATTTCAGATCAGGGCCCAAAAAAGGTGAGTGCGATCCAAACTGAATACGGGTTACATCTGGTGGTAGGGTCATTTCGAGAGGCTATTTTTAAAGAACAATTTAGTTGATACTTTTATGTGAAGTTAGAGAACCACTGATCTATCAGTAAATACCACAGACTAGGACTGGAACTAATGATTATTTTAGTAATCAACTAGTCCAGCTCCTCCACTTCTCCTCCACTTCTCCTCCACTTCTCCCCCACCTTTCAAGTTAGATGCACATTTATTTCACTTCACTTTTTCCAAACTTTAACACAGATCACTTCCATCAACATTAGTCCCATCAAAAGGAAATAACTGGGGCAGGGTTTAGTGTTTTCGGTTCAAATATCTCTACAAGTCTATATGGCTACGTTTAGACTGCAACCTGAAGTGACCCAAATCTGATTTTTTGTCCCTATGCATTTTGTATCTGAGCTTTTAATGACAGTCTGAACGACACAGATATGATTTTTTTCAAATGCGCCCCAGGCCACTTGGATATGTGCTCCTAAAACTGATACATATCTGATCTTTTTGACATGAGACTTCAGTCTGAACGGCCAGGTCACGTTCATTCCACCTACATGTCAGGCACGGAGTCTCGTCAATGGAGGGAAAGCGAGGTTAGCGAGTTTATTAATATTTGGGGGGGATTTGCTGAATTTAGGACAGATAGGAGGGGTCTTATCGGAACTGGGCAGTTTCTAAAATGATGGCCAAAGAAATGTCAGAGTGCGGCTACAGACGGTCCTGGCTTCAATGTCAACAAAAAATAAAAGCGCCTGCGAGCCAAATACAACAAATGAAGTGGCTGTGGATGTGTAACCTGTCCTTTTTACAAAGAACTGGACCGTATTTTGGGGGACAAGCCCAGCGTTTAGTTAACTTCCGTAAACATTGAGCATGATCGCCGTGTGTGATGTCGTCGTGTCCTCCAATGCGCATGTGGGACACTTTTGGGGTGTGTAGAGTTCACACTGGAGATCACATACACGTTGCATTTAATTGGAAATGTGAAGGACCTCGCAAAAAAATCTGCATTGAGCATTAAGCCCTGCAGTCTGAACATACCCTAAGTGGAGGAGTCTTTTAGCTAGAACTGTTTTGTCGAGCCCCTGTAATGCTGTGATGCCTTTCCCCACAGCCTTGCATCTGCTCTTACCCCAGGTCTCTGAATGGCACCTCAAACTCCAACTCCTCCTTGGTGAGCGTCTCCACTTTCTCAATAAAGTTTTTGAAGGCGGACTTTAGTTTGTGCCTCATTTCTCGCTCCATCTGCTCCGCGTACAGGTCGTCGCGGTCGTGCATGTGCTGATGCTTCCCCAGGTCTGTGGTGATCTCTCCCACCTCTGTGTAAAACTGAACGTCCGTGTGTCTGCGCTTCCCAAACATGATGGCGTTCTGCAGAGAGGGGCAATGCAGAAATACTGGTGTTAAATATGTTAGAAAATTAGAATATATCAATCAAATATGGCTGAAAGATTTGAAAAATATTGAATAGCAATTTCCAGAGAAGATGTGGGATTTTGTGTATGTCTGCTCTGCCAAAAATATTTTAAATGTAATGTTTATTGTGCCTTTTTTTTTTTTTTTTTTTTTAAGTAAGTAACAGAAAACACTTTAGTAAGTTAGTATTTACAAATGAGTTAGAAAAGTTACTTATTTTTTGTAGTACAGAATAAAAAAAAGTTCCCCATTGGTAAAAAAAACTACAAAAAAAAAAAAAAACAAACAAACAATTTAATAATTTTTGAATAAATCAATATAGTAATTATTGTGAAAGGCCTGGCTGGAAGATTAAGAAAAATAGTTGCCTTTTTTTTCCTGGACAAGATTTTCCAATTAAGTTCTCAAAGCAAGATTCAGTTCATTTAAAGAGTTGAACCTGAACTTATAAACGCAAGAGTCCCACACACTTCAGAACATGTGTAGAGGTGTAAACTTAGGGTTGGCGGCTTTTTCCAATTTCACTGGTTTATCTTGACTCTCTAACAGAGGAGCACTCACTTTGAGGTGGAAGTGCAGAACGATGATCATTTCTCCGTCACATGGCTGAAAAATGGCGTGTTTGATGTTATTGTACAAAATGTCCACTTTGTCTCCACGAACCGATGTGAACCTGAAACCTGCACAGACAAAACACAATGAGCTTAAATAGACTATCTCCTTTTTGCAATACATTCATATTTTATCTTCAACAGTGCAGCTTGAAAATGCATAAAAACACTGCACCCAATATAAACATTTTATTGACTGCCAGAAAGTGCACATCCATCTGACTATCACGTGTGGCATCAAAAACAACTATAGGGAAATTATTGAAGATTTGTGCCTTCAAAGGAATAAAGTATGATACACCAGCATTAAAAGAGGGGCATATTATGGAAAATAAACTTTTACTTTGACTAATCCTGTATTTTTAAGACCGGGGTGTGTTGCTTACCATTGGTGTGTGCCTCCAGCGAGCCCTGCATCCTCTTCTGAGCAATGTTTGGTCGAATATACAAGTCTTTGAGTTTGGGGTTACTTCGGTTCAGGTTTATAACAAGAGAGTCCTGCTTCACGATTCCCTCTTTCTCCTTCTCCTCCGCCTCTCGGGTTTTGTAGCGTTTCTGAACCTCTTTTATGATGCGGAAAGCATTTTGGAGATTTGTGGAGGGCACAGAGAGTTCACCAGGAGCTTTGAGGTTGGATGCTCGGTAAGTGCTGGAGAATAAAAATAGTGGAATGAAAAATTCTCAAACAGGACTTTGTATTACATAAATAATTTTTCAGATTTTCTGGTGAGTCTCACATTTCTTTGACAAAAGTGGCTTCTGGGTTTGGAAAGATGTTTCCTTCTTGTCGTCCCAGAGAGCTGCCCGGGACGTAGAAGTTAATCCTCAAATAGGTGTAGTCACCCTCTACTGACATACTGATGTTCTGCAGCAAAAACAAACCCGTACAATTATACAGAGGAAATTAAATGATAGAACACTAACATTATGTTATAATAATATCACTAATTAAAATAATTCAATTAATGTATGTTTTATTTGTTGTTTGACTTAATTTTACAAGTTTTACTTGTTCAAAAAAGGTGCACAATGAAATTTTTCAGGAAGGGGGAGGACCACCACCTAATCTCCATGAAGATGTTAAATAGTGAACCTTTAATTCCACTGAAAGCACACCAGTATTTATATTTAATATAAGTAACCCTACCATATGTCTAAATACAGGTATCAAAGTATCAATATTCAGTCTCCAAACAAAACACTATACTATCCCAGACCTATTAAGAATAAAAAACTATTATAGGGCCTTAATAAATGAGATTTTGAGAGAGATTTTAAAGATAAATAAGCATTTCATCCATTTTAAAAGAATCAGATGTGTAAGAACCTTGATGGTAGCGATGTGGAAAGGCGTGGCAATACCAAACACCGGCATCACAACTGTTTCGTATTTTTTGTCAATAAAAATCTTCATGTCCCTGATGTCCTTTTCTCTGGGCATCTGTGACACATTTTTGTATGAAACGTTCGACTTTCGGGCTCTGGAGAAGAAAACAGAAAAGAATGAATGATTGTAAATATGAAACAAGTCAGCAGCTACAGCACTGCTATTAATGGTACCAAGAGTAATTTTCAAATGTTTGAAGATGTTTTGATGAGCTTCTTTAGAAATATTAAAAAATTATTGTTTATGTCATTGCACACACAAATTTGGTAATAAAGTACAATGTCTACAAGACACTATCAAATAAGGTTGAAAGATTTGCTACATTTGAAGGTAGAGTTGACTAGCACAATTTTAGAATAAAAAATCTCAATGTTGTTCCAGTTCTTGGTGAAAATTTTAAATGAGGAGCATATAAACTAAGACTAAAATCTAAACCACTAAATATATACAAGAATCCCATGCATATAGCAGCATTTTATCATAAAATGTCAATATTTTGTTTAAATAATGGCTACATTAGCTATTTGATAATTTTGCCAATTCAAATTAGTTTCAATTGCAATATTTCCTATCCTTAAGTATGACATTCTTAGTAATAAAATGTTGATTTACAAATAAAAAAAGGACCTAAACTTGCAATGTAAACGTCCAAACAAGAATATAAACATTTCTGCACTGTTGTCCATTCAATCTCAAGACTTCTATAGCGGCACGTTTCAACACATTTCTAAAGTTATACAAAAAGTGTCATCTGATCATTGAGAGAATAAAAAAAATGCACTGTTATTATTAGAGTCCGACCGATATATCGGTTGGCCGATATTATCGGCTGATATGGGCGACTTTAGGCATATCGGCTATCGGCCGATATGCTTGCTGATAGGGGCCGATATTTCACGTGGGCATGTTATACCTCGTTATAAAGCTTAGACTCTCTACATTCTGTTCATTTAATCCAATTTACAGACAGATAAATGTCCTAATATGTGGCTCCACATCAGTATTTATCTACGGAGTCATTCGTCTGTGTGTGTCCGTACTGTCCCTGAACACACCACAGAGTCGCGTCACTCACGTGTGTTTGTTTACACCTGCAGACACAGATCCAAACACTGAGATGATATTCTTTTTTACGGACAATCGGTTAACATAAACAGACTGTTTTCTATTGGTCTGTTCTAAAGTGACTATATTGGCCGTATATTTGCTCCTGGACCTGCACTGATATGTAAATGAGCTGTGAACAGACGTGTGAATTATGACATTTGCGCATATAATTAATTACTGCGGCGCGCACGTATTTACGGCTAAAGGCTAATAGCGCTACTTTCTTTACTAGTTATGGGTCCGTCGCGAACGAAATGACTCTTAGAACCGGCTCTTTGAAGGGAACGACGGGAGCCTGATCCTTATTGGGAGCCGTGTTTTCTCTTTTTCTCACTTTTTTTTTTCTTCACGCCGCGTGCAGATTCGTGGTTTGACAGCGGCAGCGGCTCAAAACGAAACTCTGAGAAATTTGCGTGTACGTAGGATTAAAAAAAAAATAAAAATAAAAAAACGAGCATATTTGACTGTAGTTTAGCATAAAATAAATAAGTCCCGGTTTAGTCCTTTTTCAGTCCTGGTTTAGACCTGGTTCAGTCCTGATTCAGTCCTGCTTTAGACGTGCTTTAGTCCTGCTTGCAACAAAACAATCTGAAGAGCCACTTGGGAACCAAAAGAACCAGCAGCTTTTAGTGAGCCGAGCCAAAAGAGCCGGTTCTCTAAAAAGAACTGGAATACCCATCACTAGTGTCTAGAATGTGATGCAAAAATGCCATTAAGCCAACCTACTGTCTGTAAATATGATGTAAAGAGGCAGAATAACAATAAATGTTGCCTAAATAAACCCAAATTAAAATCCACCAGAGCCAAACCTTTTTAAACAATTCAACATTTACAGTGAATTTTTACATCACTAAATATATCGGCGATTATATCGGCAGCGCCAACTCCCATTATATCGGTTTCATATCGGCCACAGCAAAATCCATATCGGTCGGGCTCTAGTTATTATCCCCTTCTCCACATCGCCCCGCTCAGGCCGCTTTGTGCACTCACTTCTGGATCTGCTGCCCTCCCTTCTGCTCCGTCAGTCTCCGCTTGGCCTCTTCATTTAAACTGTTGGCTAGTTCTTTTTGATGAGCCCTCCTCTTTTCCTCCGCCGTCATCTCATTCTGTGTTTGAACCCAAACAAAAAACATCGTAAGTCATTTGATTTGTTAGATTTAAATGAAATGTCAAGTTAATAAGGTGCATTTCCATAAACTGCTAAAATAAATGACAGGGCCAGAGGTTTTGGTCCCCTCGTAGACTGAAGGTACTGTGGGGAGCTGCCAGAAATGCATACTGAAATTATTAGAATTAAATTAAATTAAGACAAAACATTCCAACCATATTTTAGAAATCTTTGTGGCGAAATAATTTTTAATACACTTCCCATTGTGTCGCAACACTTAAAAAGGTTGACCTAGATATGCATGAAGGCAATTGCAAAAAAATTTTTCCTCAAAACCACAAGGTTGTTATGGCCCTTTTCTTGCACAAAAACCTTCTTTTCAACATAGTAATACAGCAGTGTTAATTTTGTCTAATACAGTGGTTCAAACACTCTTTTGTAGCCCCTACTTCTACTTTAAGAAAATGTCTGTGGAAGCTGGATACATCTTACAATATCTAATACTTAAATGAAAATAAATAAAAAAAATATTACATGTGCCTCAATTAAAACCGTGAAGATCCAAATCATATATTAAATTCAAATAAAGACAAGATGCCATTTAATTTGTTCCAAAACTCTCCATACGTATCCCCTGTGTAATTACTGGGGGTACCTGTACCAGTTTGGGAACCACTTTTTTTTTTTTTTTTTTTTTTTATAGTTTTGTCAGTTTAATATTTTAGTTGATGAAAAACAAAATTGTCTTTTGGCTTTTAGCCTTCAGTGGCTTATATTTACAAAGACTTAAGAATTCTGATCAAAATGAACACTGGTGACCTGCTGAAGAAGCCTTTTTCATTAGGAACAGTTTTTGTGGCGTCTCGTTGATGGAAAAGCATTTATTGACTTTATTTACAAATAAACGATACAGCGATGGATCAGCCACACTCATGCGTTTAGATGGGGGTCAGACACAACGGTGTTAAACCCAAACTCCACTGGATCTGTGTAAATACAAGTCTGCTCCACAAACACCACAGCAATTACACGCACATTTTAGTGAATGAGAGCAGACTTGTAAAGAGTGTGAATGCAACTCATGATCAGTCAACTAGTCATCATTATTATTATGAATATTATTGTGTATTGATTATTTAAGCTTATATTATCAACTACCTGTAAATAAAATATGGTAATATGGTAAGTTTCAAGATACCATTTGTGTATTATTGATAAAAATGAGAAATTGATTATTCTTTGGCATTCTCTTTGTTCTAAAGGTTTTAGCGTCTGTACAGCCCAGATAATGAAAAGGATTATGACAATAAGATTACAATGATCAAATTTCAGTATCAAACTTTATATTATCAACAATTAGTTGACTACAAAGATGATTAATGGTTTGTAGCAGTAGGCTTCATCTCTGCTCCGCCTGTAATGAGTTTCTCTCCAGTTTTTTCGCTAATCATCTCCCTGCGCCTCAAAATGATTATTCCCTCCTACGCTCTCACAATGTTTTCCGTGATAATGTTCCTTCTTATTTTGGCATACTCCACATTTTAGCATTTTACAGTGTTCACTAAAGACTGGACTGTGACCGATCCAGTGGAGTTAGTGGCTTTCAGGCGAAGTTTTCTTCAGAGGTGACGAGACTGAAGCTGATGTGAGAGTAGCGGAGAGCGGTCATACTCACCTTTCCCACGAGCTGAGACAAAACACACACAGCACTCTGTTAATGACGTGTTTAAATACAGGCTCAAACAACAGGACAGACCCCGGAGAAAATGTCAGGAGACTCATGTTAATTTGGAAAAGGTGCCGTAAAAAGTACATTTAACTCCAAACTTTCTCCAAACCAACAATATTTATGTTGAAATGCATTTAAATTATTTTAATTATAGCACTGCGTCTGATTTAATTTAAAGGCACACTGTGCAACTTTTGGTAGTGGATTGAAACTGATTTTTTGATGCGTTGCGTTGCCTGAAATGATCCAAAAAAAAAGGCATTTAATATTCATGCATTATGTATTTATTCAATTGCCTGCTTTTTCATGGCTAAAAACATTCTGTTAGTGGGCTTGCCTCTACATAGATCTGACCAGTAAGGAGGAAACAGATTTAATGCCATACTGTGAAACATTCCAGGCATAACAATGGCATCCCCAGAGAAGCATGCAGGTTACAAAGTGCTCCTTAAATACTTCATACATTGAATCAATTGTGAATTTGAATACCCATCATTACATTGTAGAAGCCACAGCACAAAAAAACCAAACAACTTCATAACTTTAATAAAAATGTGTGTAACCTTGGGAGAACCAAATATTTGTAACTTTCACAATGTATCTTCACTCTACCGAATCAGATTAAGTGTATTTTGTTTTGTTGGACTGACCCTGGTGCGGTCTGCGAGCAGGGCTGCACTCCGAGCTCCTTTCCCCAAAAGCTCCTCTGCATCGTCCCCTTCCTCCTCCTCGTCCTCCTCATCATCGTTCTGGAAAAATACCATACCATAAAAATTAAGAATTGAAAAGTCCTACAGCAGATATTAAAAGTGTTTTAACAAATTTAGCTGAGCAGATAAACGTACCTTTAAAAAGATTCCCACATTTTTTATCTTTTTCTTCACAGGTGTAAGAACTGTGGCTGCTTCTTCCTGTGGTGAAAATAAAGTTCAATATTTAATGAAATCATTGCAAGAGAAAGCTCAAGGGCTCCATCTTCTGGGGAAATGAGGGAGAAGTAACTTGAACAGCAAGATCCCGGTTTGTTCGACTGAGGTTTAAGGATACCACAAAATACTGTAAAAGCAAAACTATCCTCCAAAAAGTTAACCTAAATGTAAGGGGTCTGTAAATTTGGATTTCATAATAACCATACACAAAATTTAGATATTGTAAATTTCTTTAGCTGCACTTTTTAAATAACAGATGAAACTGTTAAAATATTGGAGGTATTCAAGTGTAAATTTTCACCTCGTTGATCTGAACTGTGTCTCCGATGAACAGAGCGTACTTTTTGTCCTCGTCTTTCTTTCCCTCTTTGTTCACCAAATCAGTGAAGCCCAAACTGATGTTCAGCACCATGCCTGAAACAGAGGAAATGCACATTACCACCACAAAGGGCTGTGTAATTGATCAATTCATTTGATCAATAATCAGTTTAGGTCTTTTTAATGGACAGTCTAAAGCCAATCTTCTGAACAGAGCTCCAAACCACATATACTGACAGACTTCTTACCAAATTTTGATGGCAGCTTTTCATTGTTATTTCTGTTATTTTACTCCACTTAGTAGTAAACAATTACGGTTTAGGTATATCATTACTGCATATCACAAATATTTAATACTTTTTGTGCCATTATTGTAATTTGGTGTTGCAACACTAAAAATTCTCTATTATGGGACAAATAAAGCTAGTCTTTTTTGCATTTCATTCAGGTTCAAGATCGATGAAAATCCTGGTCATTAGCTTTACTCACCTCTCTTTAGTTTGTACTGGTTTTTACTGTTCAGCACCAGAGAGCCTTCTCTGAACTCAATGCCCATGGCAAATCTACAAAATCAGGCAAAACCAAAAAGCGTTTGAATAGAAAATCAAATTTAAAAAATATATATTACAGCAAAATGACTGGAGACTTACCCCAGATTTTTGGTCAGTTTGGAGGAGAGATCTGGCTTCTCCTTCTTCACATATTCAAACACCGCGTTAGAGGCGTCACCGATCTTCACCCCTGTGACAAGGCAACACATTTAATAGTTTAATATTGCACATTTTAATCTTCCACTTGTTTAAACAACCATGTTAGGGATGGGTGATATATCTGTTCCAATATAATATATGAGGGTTTCCAAGGTAAAAATTGGTTCAACATTCAACATTTTTAAAATATGTGTTGTAAGCTGCTCCAGTCTGTGTCAGTTTGTTTTCTGTTCAAAAAGACAAGTCTGATGCTCTGACTCATGAGTAAAAATGGAAAAAGAGCAGCACTTAGCCAAAAAACATGACTGCATATTTACACAATCATGCAACTTTTATTTTAAATCCCAGATAAATATATTATGTTTTTTTTTTTTCAAATATGTATCTGCTCAAAATATAAAATTCATTTGGACCATCACTAAACCATGCAATTTTTATTTTCAAGTGAGTTGGTGCACAAACCTGTATTTCCACTGAATCAGTAAGCCATTTTTGAAAACTCTAATCAGTCAGTCCTTGAACGCACCATGCTTGAGTTCCTTGAGCAGCTCCTCCTCCACCTGAAGCAGGAAGTTGTAGTTGTCCTGCATTTCCTGTGTGGGGTCCACCATCAGAGTCCGGACCAGGTTTGAACAGTACGACTTGTACCTGATACCCATTGCGCACGTGATGGCTCCAAAGTGCATGTGGTTCTTATCACTGCAAAAGAAAAACACTATTACTCACACAAAAAGGCCAATGCCAGGGTTAAAGACCATAACAATGCCCCTGATTAAAAAAAGGACAGTTTGTGATAAGTTATCCATTTCCCTGAGGGGTGAAGCCAGCTGGAGGCTCTGCTGAAGCTCTGTTACTGAAGTTAGACCTTAACGTGAGTTTTGGTTTAAGCAATCTGACGAGCTGACTACAACAGAAGTTCTGATTTCTGAGGATTAAACAACGAGGGTCAAAGCATTACAGTTTTAAACACACAGACATAAAATCTAAAGTACTGCCTTTTTAGGAGGTAAATGCTTCTTCTGAAAGCTTACCCTTCACTCACTCAGAGCCTTACAGACGCTCACCTATAGTAGTGGGTGGGGAAAAAGCGTGTGTTCCATTTTACCAAAATGGTAAACTGTCACAGGAATGACATTTAGATTTTTATCACCATATCCATGACACAGAGAACTTAGCCCAAATCTATACTTCAGACATAACTACTTGCTCTCTTCTGCATCAAATTTAGATTAACAATGTTACGTGAAAAGCAGCAGTTAAACAAAGGTCCCTGGTACCTGACAACGCTGAACTTGAGGCTGTAGTTTCCTCCGCTTTGAATGATCGGAGGGTAACACATCTCCACTGTGGATGGATCTGCTCCTCCTAGGTATTTCTTCTCCTCAATCGCCTTCTCCACAGACTCCGCCAGCTTACTGTGACGCACTTTCTGATGGACAAAATAAAACAGCAATTATGCCGGTGTCTCAATTACTCATTATTGTTAAACAACCGATTCATATATTATAGGATTCACAATTTGATTCACAGGGGAAATGACATGGGACACAACTGACAATATAATAGAAAAACAACAGGCAAAAGATTTATAGTGCACCTTTTATCACTTTTCTAGAGGACGGTTTGCCACCTGCCACTGTCTGTTACAGGTAAGATCAGTAGAGTGGCAACACTGCTCAGAGTAAGAAGTTTTTTGAAGAAGCTGACCAATAAAACGCATCTGTAAGTACTAAGCAATAATGTTTCCGTGCAGACAAGCAGGAAGTAGACCTCTGACCAGAAAAGTTATGCAGTGTTCCCCTTACAGCCCTTTGTTTCAGATGTACACTGTAAATTCATCTACCATTTAAATAAAGAAATCAATTCATCACAATCAAATCTAATTACAACCCAGACCAAATAAATAAACTAAAAATATTTTTTACCTCATCCGCGTCGACAATCTCCATGACACGTTCCTTGAAGAACTTGGAGTAGACTTCACTGGTGATGGCCGCTGCCTTCTTCATGAGGTTCAGCTCCTGGTCCTCCTTCACCGCCATCGTGTAGGCCACCACTGCACTGATGTCCACCTGAAAAAATATGACATGATCACACAAACAAACCTCTATATGGTCTACAAAACATGGATAATATTTTGCAAACACCATCAAATCGAATATAGAGTATGCCGTTCAAAGGTATTTCAATTTCTAAAGAAGGGTACATATGGGTGAGTTTTTGCACTTCTTTTGGTTAATGTTACATTTTTGTGCAATGAAACCCAACAAAAGTTTTGATGACCCACCTCTAAATTCCTAAGTAATTCCTGTATGAAATAGTAACATAACTTTGTGATTGTGCACATTTTTATTCCCTGAATCAGACCCTTGGAAAAGTTTATATTTTTAATCCGAATGAGCAGCAATCACAATGAGTTAACTTGAATGCTTAAAGAGAAAATAATATACAATCATTATGCCAACTGTTAGAAAACTATTTGGCCATAACATTAAAAATGAGATGCAGTACCTTGTCCAGCCCCTCGGCGGTGAGTGTGTCATTCCAGCTCTTCATGTATTCTCCTGGAAATTTGTCCTTGATAAAAACGCCAACTGTTTTTCCTTCTTTGCTGCCTTTGATTGCCTCAATCATTTTATCAAAGTTGGCCTTGTTACTTTCATTCTAAAAGAAAACAGAACACAAAGAGATGTAATTAAAACAACTACCACTAGCAATAGAGATATGAACTACTACTACTACTACTACTAATGAAAAATATTTTTAAAAAGTAAATAAGTAACTATACATTTGAAAGTACAATTCCTATTAACAACCAGTTTAATGCAAACCAAAATCATTATAATGCATTTGAACCAACTCAGTGGCGTACTTTTTCTCTGGTGAGGAGGGTGATTGGTGGGACTCCGTTGGCGTTCTCGTTGCCTTTTGTGATGGCCACCTGTTTGAGGAAGTCCACCTTCTTTTTACTGGCAAGAAAAATTATCTTTGACTCACAAAATACCATGATCGTGTCTGTCAGCTCGTAGCCAAACAGCCAAGTCTGAAAATAAAAAAATATACATCATTAGGAATAGAGGCAATTTTATAATTTATCATAAGGCAGCAGTAAAGGTAAGTTACAGGACAAACTGCTATGATTGTAATACTAATTTTGTTACACTGTTAAACACAAATGAATTAAAGTTCTGACTCTGGCATTATCAGAAATAAAAAAGAATCTAGAAAACACAACTTCATTTAATTCTAAAAACATGTCAAAAGGAGCTTGTGAAAAAACTTTCGATTTCGTTAAATAGTTTGGTATTCTGTGGCAAGAAATGGGGGGGGGGGGCTTACAAAAATAACATTATGATGGCTTGGAATCTAATAACATGAATTGAGCTGCATTGTAAAAATGTGTTCTACTCCTAAATTAAATTAAAAAAAACCTAAAAAAAAAAACATTTGTTTCATCTTTCTGATCTTACCTGGATGGCAGTGGATTTGGCGTACACAATTTCCTCATCCACTCCAACAGATACCACAATGGCATCCACTTTACCAAATTCATCCTCTCCTTTCTGTAAAAAACAAAGAAACAAGCAAAAGGTTATTACAATGATTATGATCTAAAAAGATGAATAGTCACCAACAAGCAACTTTATGATACTTTAAGTATTAGGCTACATAATAATTCGTGCCAAAAATTTAGTTATGAACATGCAAATTAAGCTTATGACATGTCAATTTTAACTTGACAGAGGCCCAATAAATTATAGTCCAATGATTAACACTATTTTACCTCTTGTTTACTTTTGTGATTCAAACTGATTCACATTGAATAGTTAGGATTGGTAACTTTTACAACTTTGTGTGGGCCCATTTATTTGTAAAGAACCTTCTATTCTTTCTAAATACTGAATAAAGTAATTTCCAGGCAACACGGGAAGCTGCACATGCTATGGGGATGCTGCTGGTATTATTCACATGCTAATTTGCCAGCTATCATTAGCATACTCCGATTGTAAAAAATAAATATTGTCATAGGTGAACTAGGTGAATGGACCCGCCTTTAAAATAATGTTGTTTAGCAGTGGGGATGTTATAGTGGTCAATTAATCATATTATTTATATCTAAAGAGTAAGCAGAGCAAACTTGGCTGGCTAAAACAAGCTAACGGTGAATGGGGAATGCTAACATGAGGTAGCGCCAATAGTTTTCAAGTGAACAAGGTAGAAAACAAAAGCTGTGGGCAACTTGTGAGATAAAATAACGGGAGAAGTAAACACAAAGAAATGCAGATTAAGTATTTTCCATCGCGGGGCCATGCTTGATGCGAGAACAGGGAGTAAACATGCACCACAAGCCGCGTCAAGTGTCTCCCCGCTCGGAGTGAAAAGCTAAGTTAGCGTCTCAAACATGGGTTTCCCACGGCTGGATGGAGCCACGTTTTAGCCTGAATCTCACGCAGCGCCCCGGGGTTTACCTTCCAGTTGCTGTACAGCCGCTTTATCCGGCGGTAGTAGGCTTCCTTGTCCAGGTTTACCGCCATGGTGCTGCGTTCTCAGTGCCCCGCGGTGCCCCGAAACTCCAACTCCCGGCTTCGGCTCTCTCCTCCCCGCTGCAGGCCGCCGTCAACTCCTCCACTACTCACAAGAAGAAGCGATGCACTTTCTTTCCACGCCTGCTGCTGCTGCTGCTAGGATGCGATCTCTCACACGGCTACAACAAGCAAGCGACAAGATGCTACAGCTTCAATATATAATCTCTCCACAGATGCTTCTTCCCGCGTTGCGCATGTAAAATCTAACCAACAACCTTACACAACCCTTCTAAAATCTTTAAATTACATCAATAAAATATCAAATGCAGGGATGCAGACACATAAAATGAGCGAGCAGCCACGCTAAGTGTTATAATTAAGCGCTGGCTCTCCCCCCCTTCATCTCACTCACTCTGTACGTCTCTTCTCCCTCCCCTTTCGTTTTTTTAACATATAATTTTTACATAAACATAATTTTAACAATGCAAAAACGCACAAATTACAATAAATAATAACATTGCATTTTTTTATATTTTGATTTTATATCTAAAACTTAGGTAAATCGTATTTATTAAATAATATTTGGCTGGATTTATTTGTTTACTGCGTATTTTATTTTAGCGCCACCTGTCGGCAGTGAAAAACGCTGCGCTTTCCCGCCACGATGGGATTTCCCGCCATCGTCACCGAGCAGTTCTCGCATACGTCTGTCCTCTCGCGATAGCACGACTGAACAGGAACGAGATGTGGTGGTTCTAATTTTGTATATTTCTCTTAATTAGTTGATGTATATATATATATATATATATATTATTTTTTTTTTTTTAAATAATAATAGTTACTATGGTGTTCGCATACGGTTATCGTATTTTTTAATGCACACTTTTAAATTTGTGAAAAATCTAACAAAAACTAAGCAAAACAAAACAGGATGTGACTGCGTCCTCGTTGCTAGGATACGTGCATCGCCGCTTGATAGTTGCTACGTTAGCTTTGTTAGCTTCAGACTAAAATAACAGCAGCTTTATTCATTCCAGACAACAAAAAGAAGCACCAGATGACCCAGAGGTTATTGTAAATGAGTTGTGACTATTTTGGAGCACGTATGAACCCAGGAAAACTGAACTTTATTGGGTAACTCTGAAAAGTTTACATTTGTTAGCCGAAGCTGCTAGCAAGTTAACGTTAATGTCGGGCTCGTTTGTAACGTTGATGCTGTAGTTTAGACTAAACTCGGATAAATGAGTGCTCGAGCCAGGCGCGCTTTAGTCAAAAACCAGCATTATGACGAGAGTGTAGAGCTGCACGATGAGGACCAGGAGGTGGCCAGTGTCTACAGCCCTCCTCCCCGGACCACACAGCCGCTCTCCGCAACACAAAGAGGCCGAGCCCGGGGCCTGATGACCGCGGACAGCAGCAGCGACGAGGAGCAGCCGCAGAAGACCAAAGACCCCTCCGGCAACAAGTATGAATGAAAGAGATTATTCAAATTCACACAAATAAATCGTACATAGCAAATATGGGATAATATATGCAATTATTCTAACAGTCACCTAATACAAATTTGGTGTTGTCTTTTAGAATGGAAAAATACATTTAAAATAAAGTTATTATCAGTTCTATAACTGTTCTTCTCACACTAATCTTAACTTGTATCGTTGTGACCTCCCCCAGCCCTAAAACCAGACTGAGTCCTGAGACCGGACTGAGCCCAGATGATGAAGAGGAGGAGGAGTCCGAAGAGGAAGAGGAGACAGAGGATGATGATGATGAAGATCAGCCCAAAACCCCAGAGGGAGCGTATGACCCCAACGACTACGCCAACCTGCCTGTCAGCTCAGAGGTACCAACAGCCAATAGATTTCTTTGAAATCACAGTACTGAACCAAGAAAAGAATCAGGTGTGAACCAGGTCTTAACACACTGACTCAGCAATATAATAATAGTACTGGACTAAGTTAGAACTGAACCAAGACTTTACCAGGACTAAAACCAAACTGACCTCAGGATTAAATCAGGATATACTAGTTCTGAGCTGTCTAAACCAGGACTAAACCATTTATTTATGTATTTTTTGGAGACATGCAGGTGATGTCTCAGATCCAGAAAGTCAGTTATCATAGTTTTGAAACATCTGAATTTACCCATTATTTTTTGTTTTGTAGAAAGAGTTAAAATCATGGTCACTGTAACTGTTGTTCCCAGGGTAAGGAGCTGTTCCAGTACATCACTCGTTACACTCCTCAAACCATGGAGTTGGAGCATGTGTTAAAACCGTTCATCCCAGACTTCATCCCGGCTGTGGGTGACATTGATGCTTTCCTCAAAGTGCCTCGACCGGACGGGCGAGCTGATGGTCTGGGTCTGCTGGTCCTGGACGAGCCCAGTGTCAAACAGACTGACCCTACAGTGCTAACGCTGTGGCTAAGCGAGGAGAGCAAACAGCATGGAGAAATACAGGTACTGAGCCAGGATTGAACCAGGACTGCGCCAGACCCCACAGTTCTGACACTGTGACTAAGGAAGGAACAATTATTATTTGTTGATTAGTTGACTAGTCAAAAATAAACCAAATAGACCAAAAAAAAAGACACAAAGGGTCTATATTACTCAAAACATAACTTCATGTATTTTTGAGGAGGTACCATTATAACATGGCCTAAAGCTCACAAGAGTCAATTCTGCGTGATAATTATGCCACTGTCTTTCTTTTAAAATAATGGTAAAACATGTAAACACATGTCAAAAGACATTTTATTAGTCAACTAAACAGGATTAATCAAATTAATTTTTGCACCCCTGTTCAGAATGATGAAAAATTGGGATTGTTGGCATAGCAAGTAGCTATTTATAGGCCCTGTGTCTGATTAGTTTCCAAGTATTTAAGATAAATTTGTCTTGCCCCAGTACAGCTATATTGTATAAGCTCTTGAGGTCACAAAGAACCCACTGTCTACATATAAGTATAAAGCATTTTATTGTCCGTCAGGAATCAGAAAGTGCGCTTTAGCATGCTTGTTGTTGTTATCTTGACTCTGATGGCAAGACTGTGCTGGTCTCTTTGTGAAATTCATCACGATGAATAATTCAGATGCTTGGAATGCACCAGGTAAGTGAAGAATAACTTTGGACCACTGCACACTGTTTAAAACAAACTAATTCTTTTTCACATTTTTAAGACTCAGTTACACCATCTTGAAACGGATACTGTGGTTTATTGTAATGATTTGACTGGATCTCCTCTCTGCAGACACAGAAGGTGACGAGCGTGGCGAGCCCGGAGTCGAACCCTCGGCCTGTGGAGCGTTGGGTGGACAGCATCACGGCTCTGCACCGCTCCAAGCCTCCTCCCACCGTACACTTCTCCAAGGCCATGCCCGACGTGGACGCTCTGCTGCAGGAGTGGCCCCCCGAGCTGGAGGACCTGCTGACCCGAGTCCAACTTCCCTCCGCAGACCTGGACCTGGGACTGGACCAGTACGTGGACATCATCTGTCCCCTGCTGGACATCCCGGTGCACAGCAAGCAAACACGAGTCCAAGCGCTGCATCAGCTCTTCACCGTCTTCCTGGAGTTCAGGGACTCGCAGCACTTTACTCACAGGCACTAGACCAGGACTGGACCAAGACTGGACCTGTACTATGACTGGTACTAGGTCTAGGCCTACAATAGGACTGGGCTGGGACTAGACTAGAACACGACCGGGTCTGAACTAAATTGAAACTAAATTGGTCAGTTTAAGATCAGTAGTAAACCAGGACTAAACCAGGACATAATTCAGACCAAACCGAGACTGAACCAAAGCTCTATCAGGAACAGGAATAAAGAATGGCAGATAATTATAATGGAGTCTCATCATTTATGAACTAAGACTGAACCAGAGCTGCATCTTTAAATGTTTCCTTTAAAGGACCTGCACCTGATTTTTCCCATGTATTTGGGCAAAATTTGTCTTGCTCCAGACAAGATATTATATAAGCAGCTCTTGAAGTCACAATAAGTCCATTGTGTTCTGTCTGCATTAAATTACAAAGCGTTTTATTGTCCAAGCACCGGGAACTGAGTGAAAAGCTAGTTTTGTTTTACACATTTTTAAGACCATAAAAATCAGGTACTGTGCCTTTTAAGTAACATTTCACCTTTTTGTACAAAAGCTGTTTTAAATCGCAGCAAATGGACATACCAGTACACTTGGGGTTCAGTTTCCTCTTAGTCCACTTATTTATACAGTCAGTTGTCTCCTAAATGAGTGTGACATCATCTATAGAGTTCGGCTCCAGTCAAATGAAGCTCATGAGGCTAGCAGTTAAAGGAGTGAATTTGGAGTTCCATATTAGGAATAGGAATTGATTCCAGCAAAATAAAAACACCAGCATCATATAGAGTGGATAATTCAAACATTTTAAGACCAAAATGACACGGCTCACTGCATTAGTTAGACAGAGAGGGGTGACAAAAAGTCAATGGAGACAGAAGCTCACTTCTATTTCGAAGCTAGGTTCGCTATGTCCATTTATATAGAGAGACATTGTGGACTTTTCAAACGTCCATCCATCCATTTTCTTCCGCTTTATCTCGGGCCAGCAGCCTGAGCAGGGAGGACTAGACTCTCTGCTCCTCCACACACACTTCCTCCAGCTCTTCCAGGGGGATCCCTAGACGTTCTCCTCTCCAGTACTCTGGAATAGACCTTACTGGAGAGGCTGAGGAGTGTGATTCCCCTGTAGTTGGAACACACCCTCCAGTCCCCCTTCTAAAACAGCGGGACCACCATCCCGGTTTGCCAGTCCAGAGGGACTGTCCCCGACCGCCACGATGTTGCAGAGTCGTGTCAGCCAAAACAGCTCAGAGACTTAAGATATTCCTAATTCCTAAATCATCATTCAGAAAGTTGATACCATTTCAGGCAAATATAATCTTAAGTAATATAATGCAAGATGTATTGTCTACTATTGAAGTACTGGATGTGTTTAAACTACACATGGCAGATAATCATTTAGTTTGTTTCCCGTTTATTTATTTTATCTGTTTAAGTTTTATTATGTTCTTTTGTGTGTTGCCTTTTAGGTCTGCATTTTTATTAGCATTTTTTCTTTCTATTGGCAATTTTGTTCTAACCTGAAAATAAAAGCTATAGATACTTTGAATGTATTTCCTAACAAAAATATAAGTTATATTTTTACAGTTTCATGGTTAAAATTTTCAGTCCAGTCACTGTTTGTGGGATAATTGAACCTCAACTAAGACATTTAAAGACACGTTTTAATCACATTTCTTAAATTGTTGTCACAATATCGACTGTTTTATAAAAAACAATGTTTTTAAAATAAAATTTAAACAATGTGTTAAATAAAAGATTTTATTTTCCCTTTCTCCAACAGCAGCTTTGTCTGAGCTGGTGTGGTGCTTTGTCCTTGAAAAAGGACAGTTTTATACACACAAAAAAATCAATCTTATCGATTTGTAATGGCTTTTTTCATTGCCATGTTATAGGAACAACTAATTTAGCACCTGTATTGTTTATTTAGCTTAATGAGGCCTTAATAATGTTGAATTCCAGGGAGTAGCACTATACAGTAAGAGTTATGGATTTTAACTACACCAGTATTGAATGGTGTTACAAATAATTTCAAAAACCAAAAATGATTTTAACCAAATAAATGTAACATTTCATAATTCTGAGTGGCAAAGTTCAACAGACGTGCTCCTCTCATTGGCTATTGGTTTACATGGCTCATCAACAGTCATTTACCATTGGAAAATAAAACTGGGAAAATATTTTACAAATGACCTAAATTAAATTAAGGAGCAGGGACAATTCATTTAAGTTTAACTGTAAGCTAAACTTTTGACAAAATATTTTAAAGATTTGTAACAATCAAAATTCATAGGTTGCACACACTTTCTATGATTTGATGTCATAATGTCAGATGGAGGGCAATTTCTGAAGGAAATCTCCACTGAAAATACTGAAATGTATAATTTAATAAATAAAATAAAATAATTTGGGGTCAGTGACTGGCTTCCCAAATTTCCCATACGAATCACTACTGTCAGTACTTCTTGATGCCTAAATGTGAAAATAATCTTAACTTTTCCTTATCTATACTGACAGAGGACACGTTGAACTTTGTGCCACATTTTGTTTCATATGGATAGGTCCAGTAATTACAGAGATTTTAACCATAAAGCAGGTCAACAAATCTGCATCTGTCATTTGAACAGCAAAAACAACCACAGGATTCTGTTCCCCAGCTCCATGTTTCACTGTAGTCTCCTTCACATGATACAACCTATCTTCATCTTCATTAAAATCTTGTTAAATGTAACCTATTCATTTTCAATAGGGCTGAAAACGGCTTGTGCTTAGTCCAGTTGTTAATTTTACATATTTTTTCATTCATAACAAAAAGTAACTGTTTCTCAATATGGAAGCACCTCATGAGAAATTAAGTACAAAATACACATGGGAAAAAAGTGATCACAAAATAAGAGCGCCAATTGGAATTATTTAACAGAACAGATCTGCAGAATTTTCACTAAAATTCAGCTTTTTTCTCCCTCAAATTTAAAACTCATTATCATTTAATATAAAATATTAATTCAATCCGTATTTTCAATACAAAGTTCATAGCTTTTGCCAAGTCTTTTTAAGCACCAAAATCCACTGCTCCTTGTCAAAAAATCTCAAATTTTTTTTTAGTTTTCCTGTATGGATGGCAGATTTTCCAAATCCAATGATATTGGGGTAAAATTGACGATGGCTTCGTTAGTCCATTCACGCTAATTGATTTGTTCCTTTGTAGTTATTATAGTCTTGTTAAAGTCCAGTGTTAAGGTCCTTTGCATTGTGGGTATTTCTATGTAACAGTAGTGGAGTTCTGTCCGCGGATCGCACACCAGGCCATGAACACGTCCCTGGAGAGGAGAAAACAACTATTACCATTTAGGAAGCAGACAATTAAAGACAATATTTATTTTTTTCTGGTATTTAATTGACAATGAACAATTGACAATGAAATGTGAGCTCGGTTGTGCACCTACCTGCAGTGCGTAGCCACACACTCGTTGCTGCAGTATTCTCGGTCCCAGTCTTTACTCTCCACGGCTTTGTTTGTGCAGCCGGCACGCACGCAGATGCTCGGGCTGACAGCAGGGGGCGCTGTGGGGCCGGGAGCCACGTTCACCTCCACCTCCATCTAAAAGATGTGATTCAAACATCCATTATTATTGTTCAATTTCACAAGTAATTTTCTCTTGATTACAGGTCTGCGAGACTGACAATAGGAAATGGACATCTGAGAATTGACAGTTTAGAAAATAGCTGCATTTTTTAGGCAATTTTCATTATATAACCCAAGTAATTACAACAAACTAAAAAGAAATAAAAGCAGAGTTCCCACTCTTTTTCACCGACAAAATTTCAAAACTTTTCCATGACTTTTTCATGACCTAAAGTGAATTTTCCATGACTTTACGGCACCTACATGTCTACACGTCTCTTAAATAAAAGGCGCAGACATTCGGAAATAATCATAATACCCTAATGAGAACTTAAAGAACGCTGTAGTTGCGTGAAAGAGATACTAAAATTCCATGACTTTTCTAGGCCTGGAAAAGGATATTTTCAATTCCCATGACTTTTCCAGGATTTCCATGACTGTGGGAACCCTGTAAAAGTCTCTGTGTCTCCACAGAGTCTTAAATATAATATAATCCAAACAACAAAATATCCAGTGAGACAAACAGGGGGCAGACCACCCACCAGAAAGCCGATGGGGAGCTCCATGATCAGTGGACGTCCAGTTTTGTTTAATACTCAATTATCAACCTCAAACCGCATCTCCTAACCATAATCAACTTAACCGTATCGCTATTGTTAATAATTCACTTTTCGTTTTTTTGACACAGGATGCGATCCATTGGCGCCAAACCTCCACACACAGCGGCACAGTCTTGCAAATTGTTCTTACCCCTTCTTCTGCCTCAGCTCCGTCTTCGGTCTTCGTTACCACGGCGGCGCTCCCTCCCACCTCTACCATCACAGGCTCCTCCCTCTTCACCACGGAGACCGCATCTTGTCTCCCAGACGACTGCGGCGGCACCACTTTGATCTGAAGTGGGGGCGGGGCTTTGGCGGCCGCACCTGTCGACCCTGTGCCGCGCGGTTTGGCCTGCAGAGGGGGCGGAGTCTGTGCATGGACCATCTGCTGTAGCCGCGGAGGGGGCGGGGCGCTGAGGGGAGGGGGCTGGCGCGTCGAGGGGGCAGGTGTCGCTGTGACCGACACGCCACCAGAGGGCAGCGGCGTGGATTTGATGATGATTTTGGTGACTGTGGATGGAGAAAAGTAGTGCTCAGTAACATTTACGTACATTTACCTGCCCTTTTGAATAAAATTATACTTCGTTTAGTTCACAGACTCCATACTTTTACTCCTCCTTGAGTAATATCACAATCTGAATTACTTTATTTATTCTAAAAGGGAGATTATTTTTGTTACAGACCCGCAGTGACCAGCAGAAAAAAGTGAGTTATCACAGTAAATATTCTGTACAGCGTGATGGTTTTGGATACTCACTGCGGCTTCAAATTATAAATCACATGAGCAGTAACTTGTTCAGCTACTTTTTACTTGAGTAATTATTTTGGTCACTACACTAGCTTGTCTCCATGGAGATGTTATTGCTTTGACTCGAATGTTTCACAGTATGGCATTAAACATTTATACTTCAATGAAAGCAAGTGACCAGGCCAAGTTACAGGTCGAACCCATTCACAGTAAAAATCAGGGGTGGACTGCAACAAAAAACAGCCCTGGACTTTTCCCACATCATTTGTCCCACATTTAAACTGAGGACCGGGAAAAGAAGGAGGGGCTTTTCTGGACTTTTTCTGGGCATGAACGTACAGATTGCCAGTCCGCCCCTGGTAAGAATGCAATTCAATTATTTTTGAGAAATAAAACCCCTATGATTGAATAAATGCAAGATAAATAAGTTAAATGCCATACTGTGGAACACTCCAGGCAAAGTAATAACATGTTCATGAAGAAAAGCAGGTGTTGGACATCACAATAGTATTACTCTTTTTAGATCAGGGCTGCAAGATCAAGCGCAATCAAATCAAAATCACAATTTGTATGAACAAATTGTAAACAAACTGCAAAGGCTACAAATAGTTAAATATCTATAATTTCCTCAAACAAAAATATATATGATATATAATAGACCTGTACAAATGTGATTCTTGAATTAATATGTTTAAAAATGTGAACTTGAACAGAATATTATTAAAATTATTATTAAAAAGTAAAACAACAAATCAAGTTGCAATGTTTGTCAGAAAATTCACAGTTAGATCTCTAAGACCTACTTTAAAATGCCATTACTCGTGCACAGATTTCGGGGTCTGTACCTGTGGGCGGGTCTTGCGGCGGGGGGGATGGCGGCGAATCGGGGGGCAGCGGTGTGGGTTTGATTGCGCCGGTTCGTGAGCGTGTGGTCACTTGGGGCAGGTCCACGATGATGTTGGAGGTGCAGATGTTGGTGATGGTGTTTTCTTCGGGGTTGTAGTGTTGAGAGCGGGTGGTCCGGGTTGTTGTAGTGGCAGGTGCTGTGGTGACAGGTGCTGCTGCGACAGGGGCGGGAGGGGGCGGAGACGGAGACGTGTCCATGACCTCGATGGGCGTTGTGTTCAGCTGATTGGCTCTGTACTCAGCTAAAGCTTTCAAATACTCCTTCTTGGCAATTTCATTCTTCCTTTTGTAAACCTGGAATCAGACAAGAGCACAGAGGGAATGGGCAACGTGTCAACATAAAAATATTTTGAAATTGCTGATTTGAAGAATATCATTAGATTTAATATTTTACTAAAATCTTGCCAAGTTATTTATAGTTTAATAATTTTACTTCCTGATTGGCATGGACAGTAGAAGTGGTAATTACATAATATTACATTATGGATACGATTAAAACTAGGGATGTAACAATAACCTAAATATCGTGATATCGTATTGTCAAAAGTCTCATAATAATATCGTGGGCTGTCACAATATATCGAATTCAAATTCCTTTGCTTAAATGCAAAGTTTTACAGTAGCAACAGCTTATAAACATAGGGAACTACATATCCCATGATTCATTTCAGAGCAAACAACATGAAGAATTCTTGGGATTATGATGAAAATAATTCACACCAAAATCTTGTCAAGGTATTTTAAAAGCAAAAACATGTCCTATCTACAATTACATCAGCCTCTTCAAAATATCACAATAAATATCATACCGTGAGATGCATATTGTGATAATATCGTACCGAAAGATTTGGATATCGTTACATCCCTAGATTAGACTAATAAAAATTACATTGTAACGTTTCAACTAATTTTAATTGTAATTTTGTGTACTGATATAGGAGTCCATTATAGAATATAGATTTTTTTTCCCCTATAAACTGCCTCTCAATTCTACTCAAGACTGAAAAACTATGATAAATAAATATTTAGCACAGGTACTATCCCACCAAACCAAATAGAAAAACATGAAAACCATATGCACTTTATCTCCTATGACAACAATAAAACAAAATAAATAATCTGTGTCCTGTGCTCACCTGTTTCTGCTCCTCTCCCAGACTGTCCCACATCGAGGCCACGATCTTGGACACTTCTCCGAACGTCGCGTTGGGGTTCTGTCCTTTAATAGCTGCCTGAGTGTCTCTGAAAAAGAGGGCATACGCAGACACGGGCTTCTGTGGCTCATTGGGGTCCTTCTTTTTGCCTTTGCCCTTTTTGCCCCCTCCTGCTTTCCGTGCAGGGGCAGGAGAAACCGTAGAGGTGTAGCCGGAGTCTGGAGCTTCAGACAGGGATGAGTCCAAGGAGATGACCCCAGGAGAGACGGAGAGGGAAACCGGAGACTCCACCAAAACACTCTGTATAAAATAAAAGCACTTGTAAATCAATAAATATAAGATAGATGCATTTAAAGTTTTTGTATCTGATTTGTACAAGACCTTTAAACACAAACTTGTACCTATTATTATAATTTTTTTTAGCACATGATAAAAATAACTAGCTCATTTTAAACTGCTTGCAAGTAATTCCATCCTAATTATTCATTCACTGCAATTTTATAAGCAATTTTCACAACTTACAGTGATGTGATGACAAAACTCACCTTTGGTCTCTGAAACAACAACAACTAGCATGCTAACAGAGCACCAGTTTTACTTCCTGGTTTACAGATGATAATAATACTTTATAGTTAAATGCAGACAATATATCTGTACTAATACACAGACAAATTTTACTTTATTAAACTGAAAAATGTACGTTGACTTTTTGCCTTCACTTCAAGCAAGATACATAACAGATTTTTTTTAAAACTCGACACTCCTCACCCTGAAGTCGTCCATGTCGTCATCGTGCAGGGAGCTGGTGGGTGACGCCGTGGCAGAGAGCGGGTTTTCCTCTGTCGCTCTGGGCAACATGGGCCCGCCCCCCAACCCCAGCCCCAGGTGCGTACTCAGCTCTGATTGGTCGATGGTGGTCAACTGACTGGACCCGAGCAGCCCCACGTCGATGGTGACCGGAGAGGAGCTGTCGAACTGTGAGCCCATGGAGTGACCCAGGTCCTGGAAGAACAAGCAAAAGGAATGTTAAGAAGACTGGAATAATATTTAATAAAGGTATATTTACTGTTGCTAACATAAAAAACTATAAGAGCAGCAAGATTTATCATATTTAAATAAATCAATGTCCAGTTTGTTAGTAAATAAATTCTTTGGCATATTAACAAATTTTTTGTTTTCCAAAATCACCTTTTTGTTAGTGTTTTGCTATTAAACCCACTTCGCAGTACAGGACTTGTGTCAGAGTCTGAATACTCCTGATAATCAAATCACTTATGAATTAATTCAGATGCCTTCACAACATTCAATAAGTCAATAATATTTAATACAGATGGAGTTAAAATGAAGATTTTTGTTGCAATACAGTGAGTTCTAAGGTTTAGTCAAAATTTTTTTTATATTGGTTGGTATAGAAAAATGTATTAAAGTAAGAAAAAACATTTATATGGAGTAAGAAAGCTTTCAAAAATATTTGTGTGCATAGGATAGAAATCCGTGCAAATTTAGCTGTTGTTGAACATAAACTAAACATTTGTAAACTCTCAAATGAGCCCAGTCGTAAAATGTACTGTGTGTATTTTATCCGTCAGAATATGAATTGAAAAGATATGACATCAAGAATTACAATCACTAAATGAAAATTTATGATTACGCTATCTTCAGTTCGATCGATGTTTCTTCTGCTCAATAAATAATATCTGTGAAGCGATGACATATTTTTGACAGCCGAGTATTCGTACTGAAGAAAGCGTAATTGTAAATTTTCATTTTCTGATTGTAATTCTTGATGACATAACTTTTCAATTCGTATTCTGATGGATAAAATACACACAACACATTTTATGTACAACTGGACTCATTTGAGAGTTTATGAATATTTATTTTATGCTTGACTACAGCCAGACATGCACAGATTTCCCAAATATGCACACGAATATTTCTGAAAGCTTTCTCACTCCATACATTTCAATCTAACTATCAATAATTATTGAAAAATAAATAAATAAAACTCATTAAATACTCTCATTACATGTGGCTCTAAATATAAATGCAAAAAAACCTTGCTAACCCTGCAGTTTACCTCTGTACACACATGTTCTAAAATGTGATTCTTGTATTAGTTCGTCAGTTCATATTTTAGTCTTTTTGTCAATTCTTTTAGTTGAGTTTAACATGTGAACTTTGGACAGAAACCTGTTATTAAAGCATACCGTACATAGCAAATCTAATCTCAGTGCTTGTTTGAAAAAGTCAGTCCTTACCATGCCGAGAGAGGGCCCCAGCAGAGCGCTCCCAGCAGCCTGGTTCATCACAGCTAAGTTCAAGTGTTCGAGGCCCTGGGAGGAGCCGTAGGTGGAGGCAAATGACGGATCTTCTCCCTCCACCACTGCGTTCTCTGGTACCACCACGCCATCAGGGGCCCCCGGGTCGCTCAAGCCCCCAAAATGAGACACCACATCGGACACGGACAGTGCCGAGTCAGGGTCCAGGGAGATGGGCGGAATTTCGAACTCCTCATCGCCTAAACTCGGTGTGTGGAATGTCTATGGAGGGAGAACACATGCATAAGAACAAAATGTTTTTATTTAGCTGTTTTTACAACACAATGCATTATATAAAGTGCATCTATCCTATCTTATTAAGAATACATTTAAATCAGGTACAGGCCCTTTAAAGGTGCACTACGGAACTTTTCTGGTGGAGAATCTGCCACTTGCTTGGGGATGTTTTGTCTAGAATGTTCCACAGTATGGCATTCTGTGTAATCCCTCAGTCTATCGCAAAGGCATTAAACTTGGAGAACCAGGGAAACCAGCAGATGAACAAATTTATAAAGCAGATCTGTGGAGAGGTGACCCTTTTGAGCAAAATGTGTAATGAAGTAAACAAGATAAATCTAAAGCCATTGTGTGGAACATTTCAGGCAAAGCAAGAACATCTAGCACCTCCTCTACAAAAGTTATATATTGCACCTTTCAATATTTAAAATGAAAACCCAAAACAGTTTTTCAAGACATTTTTTTCTGGTATTTAGGAATAACTTGTGACACAGGTATTTTACAGTTCATCATACAAAATACTGAGTAAGATAAGATGCAATGTGCAATGTGTATGTGTAAGTTATTGTGCATTATAGTGAAGATTTCTGTTTGCAATTGATTAATAACTGTAACTGAACTGAAATGTACTGATTTGAAATGTTTTAAAGTAACTATCAGTGTTGATGTATTGCCTTTAAAAGGGGACAGAGAACATAAGATTACTCTTCTTTCTGCTCCTTTCTCCTATGTTTGATGTTGTGACACTGTAAATGTCTTTTTATACTTTATGAATAACATAAACAAAAAATAATAATGATAAGGGATGATGAGGGTAAACAATTATAGCAAAGTTAAAATCTCATAAAGAACAGTCTAGCATATGTCTCTTAAAGGAATGATCTAAACTTGAATCGAGAGGTTTATTATTGTAGAGACCTGCAGGCCTCAGATTAGTTGTATTAGTTTGACAGTTGAAAGAGTAAAAGATGTAGAAATGTTTCATACTCCACCAGAGGATCCAGCGAGGCCGAAGAGGTCTATGGTTTTAGTGGCGCACTAAAACCAAGATGTGAGTTCAGTCAGTATAAGCACAATTCAAGTTAATGTCACACAATAAGAAACTGGTTTAAATTATGCAGATGCTGGGGATTTGATTCATGCTCTCTGGGCCTATCCTTTGAATTTTCTAATATGAAGGAAAGTAGGGCCCGACCTACTGATCTGGGCATATTCCACATGGACATGTTATACCTCATTATAAAGACTCTCTAGATTCCAGCTGTTTAATCCAATTTACAGACAAATGCCCTACCTAATATGTGGCGCTGCATCAATATTTATCTGCAGAGTAGTGTGTCTGTGTTTCTGTGACGCCCTTCTGCACCTGGATAACACTTATTTCCGAAGACTTGGCATCTGAGACGAAGCCTGTCTCAGCGGTGAGTGTTGCAAATGTGTTTTTTGATGCTTTTTTTACGCTCACATTGGTTAGTGACATGTTACATAATTTACGTTAACATACCTGTTTGGTCTCACATACGCCTAATGTGAAGTGACGAGTGGCTGCAGAACGTTACTGGACCAGATGTGAAAGGCTGGTCAGTTGAAAAAAGTGTTGTGCAAAAATACCATGAGGCCTACCTAAGGTCTTTAAAAAAAACTATAAAGAGTAAGAATAACAGTAAATGTAACCCAGCAAACCTGACTTAAAATCTAACAGATCATCCATGTTGTATTCAGTTGAAGAGCTACAGTGAATTATTCCCTCATTAATATATATTGTCTGTTTTATCGTTATCGTCACCACCACGGCCCCTTGTATCGATTGGGCCCTAGAGCAAAGTGTTCACGTGGGGCTTGTAACCGTGTGACCTAGCCATGTAACCAACTTTTTATGTTTTTTCACAGATATTGTGATTAACGCTAATGAAAGCCTCAAAATTTAAGGATGGATTTTTTTTTCCGATGAAGAAAGATGGACAAAATGCACTACGACAAGCAGCAAGGGTCAAAACACTGCAGCAGCTTAGATTACACAACAAGAGAACATAGAATACAGGAAAAGGTGAAATAGAGGGAGGCAGTACATTTAAAGGTTAGACAAATAAGCCACTATAACCCACTAGTGTTACTGACAACTAACTTAACAGAACTTCGATCAAGCATTTTATTTTAAATTTAATTTGATCATATTATGAACTTTCTACAGAATCAAAAATTGGATCTCGTCTAGTCCTTGTGGTATTTTTTTCTGTTTCTTATTTATTGGAAAAAAAGAAAGAAAACTGTATTTTTAGTCCTCATTAAAAGGTTTGCTATGTAACTTTTCCACCACATGTGTCGTCTTGGAGACATTATTGCTTGGCCTGAAAAGATCCAAATTATGGCACAAAACTGTTGTTGTCTATGTTGCATTTATTCAATAACAGATGTTTCCCTGCTTAAAAATACTTGGTCTAGATGCTTATCACTATGGAGATACTTTAATGCCATATTGTGGGGCATCACAGGCAAAGTAATAACATCTCCATGGAGACAAGCTGGTGCCCTCCACACTCTACAATGACACATTGCGCCTTTAACATCTTACATCTAAAGAGTGCCATAGTTTGACTGCACCTTTCATTCACTAGTTTTCATCAGCTAACCCCAGATTCAGACTGTGCGTGGGTTCAGACTGCACGTGATGCAGCTCCGGGGGCCGTAAGTGTTCTGTATCATTAGCAAGTGGAGCTCAGACCACGGGCCATGCAGTCCAGAGGTGCAGGCAGAGGTGTTGCAGCGCTCCGAATTAATTCAGTCGGGTTCTATTTTTGCCTGAGTCAATCACAAGTCTTTTCCCTTAATAAATTATTTTATATTAATAGTTATCACAATGTCACAGAGCAGTAAGACTGGTTCCACACTGGAGCTACACCTGGACCAGGTGCAGTCTGAGTAAGGCGTAAGATATCAAATTGACTAAAATTACGCTGAAAGATACTGGCCAACAAAATGAACACTTTTACAAATCTAAAGAGCATAAATGTTTAAAAAGCAAGAGCCTAATTTTTTTGTAAATGGCTGAAGCATTTGTTCAGTTTTTCAGAGGAGGAAATAAGTGTTTTAGCTGTACCTCTGAAGTGGACAAGAAGGGGTGTCCTGGTCCTGAAATGGTCAAGTAGTTGTCACTGCCCCCGGGAAACTGAAAAACAAACAGAAATCAGGTCAAGACTTGAACTGTGTCCTTAAGACACTTTACCAGTTTTACCAGTTTTCCCTATGTATGAATGTAAGTGAGTGTTGGTGGTGGTCAGAAGGGGCAGCTGTGGCTTCAGAAGTATCTTACCACAACAGTGTGGAGTGAATGAATGTACAGAATGTACAGTCTGGATTGACTAATGTGGTCACAACACTGTCATTTTTCAGAGGTGGCATGGAAATTGAAGTTAAAACCACACTTTGGAGTGGAGATGCAAGCCCCCCTCACTGTAAGAACCATGTTTGAGAAAAAACATGATATAATTTTATTATTTTTTGGCTGTCCCTGGCAAAAGCAGGTGATTTGTCACGTCAGGAAAGCCAATCTTCAGTTAACATTAGACTATGAATCTTTGATCTTTTCTTTATTTTAGCTCTAATCAGGACACCACAATGTTCATAAAAAGCATTAAAACCATATTCAAGCAAGACAATCCATCACACATTCAAATGAGAAAGATACAATTAAACCCAGCATTTTGTTTACTCCTAACTAATATGCAATTAATGTTTGTTTCCAAGTCAGAACGATGACTTAAGGCCTTAATAATATAATATCAAGCAAAATCATTATGTATTTTGTATTTCTGAAGAAACAGTTACGAGTTGCAGTGGATGAATTGAAGGTTGCTGACACACAAATGTGGATCACATGGTAAATATTTCTGGGATTGACAGTTTAGCCAGAGGCGGTGGTACATTCAGGTAGGCGTTTGAGACGCGGCCATACGACAATACACTCCAAAAATAACACAAAATAAAATAAAGCCAAGTCGGCCCATTCATTCACACACTCGTAAGTCACCTTGTTGTCCGTGTCAAATCCATTAAACGAATGAGGATCCAAGAACTCAGCATCGTTTTGACCCGTTCCGTCAGTGAGATCCGAGTAAAAATTTAAATCCATGCTTACGATTCATAAAATATCACAAAATGTGACCGAGGATTGCACTCTAGAGCGTAAAATAACACTGGATAACGAGGCGATTTGGCAGATGCAATCCGAAGACAGAAACGACATGTGAAAGCGAGCGAGCTATCCAAAAATATCTACAATGCGCTTGGATCCGAGGGTGACAAGACGCGAGCTAAATGGGCAACGTTGCTGTCATGTCGTGCGCTAAATGTTTCGTAGACATTTTCAGAATTTAGTGGCTCTAGGTTTGAAAAAATCGTGCTATTCTCGCCCTAGTCGCTGCAGTTTAGCTTGAGGTCCGCTTTGACGCAAGGCTGCAGCCCCGAAGCGAAGCCTGTCTGTCTGTCGCAGCAAAACGGCGTCATCCGACCAAATGGAGAGCGACACGAATGCATTTAAAAACGTGCAAAAAGACGGCGAATTAAAGAAGTGACATTCACGAGGACGTAACAGAAAAGCAAATCCGGGTCCTGGTTTGTCTCGGATCGATTCAGGCAGCTCAATTGAACCGGGGACACGGGTAAAATGCCGTGCGTAAAGCGTGCGTAAAAGCCTAAAGGAACTGTAAACAAACACGTCTTCAAAATAAAAGACGAGTTTATAAACGCGAGATTAACAGAATATCCAGTAGTTTTAGCCATAAAATCAGTAGCCAACTTGCCTCTTTTAAAAGAAGAGAAGATTCAAGTTAAAATCCTGTAACAATTGCACCAAACTCACCAATGAACATCAGTATGTAGTAATCATGTGCAATATTGTTACATGTGAATCTTCATCTGTATAATGCATTATTACTGAATTATTTTATCCTGTTTATATGCACCGTACATACTCACAGTCATAGACTCTTGTTGTACATAACAGTATAATAAACCGTAGTCACTTTAACTTCTATTTCTTCTTGTCCATATGCTGCATTGAATATAACCACAGTCATAACCACTTATTGTACAAAATATTTAAGTCTTTAAGTAGTCTTGTGTTAGATTTCTGTCAAGTCATTATAGTTATTTATCTTGATTTTGATCGCATGTTCATATTCTCCTGCTGTTATTGTAAGTTCCCCATTGAGGGACAAATAAAAGTCTATTTTATTTTACATAAAATCTTTCAAATACAGATTGCCCCCATACCACCAGTCTTAGTAGAAACTTAAGGGAACGTTGCATTACTGTATGAACAATGACAGAAAATTAGAACGGTGAAGTTGTTATGGACTATACATTACACTACAGATTATACATTTTGTCTTTATATTGATTAAATAAATAAGAGGAATAAATGTAATACATACTGGTTAAATCATACAAAAAATTCCTTCTGTTACAGAAAAGGTAGTCCTATTTTTATTTTTTCTTTACCTACATGTACTTTTTTACCCGCTTAGTAAACATACGACTTATTAAATTGGGAAAATATTTCACCTATTTGTTCAGTTGTATCTATGGAAGATACATATTTCTTGTCAAAATTGTGTATAAAGGCTTGATTATACATTTTACTTTGAAAACAGCTGCCTGTTCCTCTTCCCTTCTTTCTACCTCCACAAAAGAAAAAAAAAAAAAAGGTGATTTATGACTTGCGAGCCTCCACTAAAGACACCTGTACAAGACAAATACAAAAGCATTTTTAAGTAATAATTAATTCCGATACTAAACGCCTCTGTTGGTCACTCGCACTTTTGGCTTCGATTCCGTATTTATTCAATTCTTTTACATTTCTCTAAGTTAAATAAGTTAATCAAGTAATGGATTAAAATAAGCACACTGACAGAATAATTTTAGCTTTAAATTCACGCGAATTTATCAAATAGCGAAGTATGCTTACTTTGGTTTTGAATAACCTCTAGACTTTGCGCGTTTATGTTGCAATGAATTAAATAAATAACGAATTATGTGACGAATCAACTGATTAAACTTGCACATTAATTATCAAAGTAACGAGTTACTGAAAAGAAAAGTAGTAAAAATAGGTCATGTCGTTAATCCGCTCGTCATAGGCCATTGTTGATGTGAGATCGTGTGTTTTAATCACTATTTTGACAAGTAAAAACCTTCGTGATTATTCTGATTTGTGGCGTGGCTGTTACTAACTATTCTTACCTCCATGTTCACCGCCAAATCTGATTAAATTTGTGTTTTTATTCCACTTTTTGAACTGAACTTCGTCCAGAAATGATTTCCTCAAAACATCAGAACATGGCACCGGCTTCCTGAACGTACGAGGGGGAAGTCACGTCATCACGTACGGTAACGGGACGCTGTCAAAATAAATAAAATAAAAAGTAAAAAAAAATAAAAAAATAAAATAAAAAAGGAAAATAGAAAGCAAATCTAAATTAATAATCAAATATTAATAAAAACAACTTAAAAGTCCTGTTGGTTTATGTATGGATTCTTCACGTTCGTCTTTTAAATTGCTATGGCAACTGTCAATCAAACCAACCATTCGATGTCTGAAACCTATGGATAGGCTTGCTTACATGTAAAGAGACAGAATATAAATAAGACAATCAAATGCACTGTCTTTCAAAATCACTTTATTTCTCTCACATTTTTTCAAGCAAATTTTTGTGATCTTTTCTTTTTATAATAACGTAATTTAAAAAAAACATTAAACTTGGGATTGTTCCAAGCTCTATGTACAAGCAAGACAAAAATATGGACATCTCTCTGCACAGTAAAACCTGATGTAAAAACAATAATAAAAGAAACTATCCAAGTGGAAACACATTAGAAAAGCGCCGTACTTTAACGACATTTAGTTTGTAAGCGTGGACAAGGAGCGCACTCTCTCTCACAATAGGACAAAATCGAACAAAAGCTTGCAGCCACTAATAGCACAGAAAGAGGATGAACCGTCATGTTGTTCTGAAATGGGAAAAAGAAAAAAAAAACTTTGAACATGGAAATCACATCCCCACAGATACTTTAAGTTTGTGATTTGGCCATGGAGAAATCAGGAATCTTCCCCATTCAAGGCCCCAAATACACCACCAGGATCTAAAGGTGTACTGTGCAACTTTTCAGGTGGAGGGTACGCTGCTTCTTCTGCGTCATTATTTTACTTGGAATATTCGGCAATAAAACATAAAAAATATTTATCTTGCATGTCATTTGGGAGTTTTTAATGACTGAAAATACCTCAAAAAACAGACATTGTTACTGTGAGCGGAGTAACTTGGCCTAGTTGCACCACCCTCCACCAAAACTTGCATAGTGCACAGTTCACTCTTTTTTTTTATGCAATACTTGTACCTTAACCAAGACATTTACAGGCACGTTTCATATGCAAATTTCTGAAAGATTGCAAATATATCTTATTATAATCGCCAAGCCAGGTTACAGGTCACATCTTTGGAAAGTCTGTTCACAGTAAGAATGCATGTATTGGATATTGTGTATAATTTCATATGTAATTAAAGAAATGCAAGATAGATGAGTTCAATGCTGTACTGTGCAATATTCAAGACAAAGCAATAACATGTCCATGGATACAAGCAGGTAGGTGACCCTTTACCAAAAAAGTTCCATAATGCACCCTTAAATGCAGGTGTTTTTGTTGCTTGGGCAGTGTATAAAACTAATACTGTTTCATCTGCATTCAAACTGTTCCCATACAGTCCATAAGGGCCCAGTTTATGGCACAATACGTAATATTTCATTCTGACAAATGTTCAATTATGCATAGAACTCACATTGTTTGGTGGGACAATGATAGTTTAGGCTGGTGTTTAAGTATTTTAATTAACTCTCAAAAGTGGGGTTGTTAAAAAGTAGAGATTAAGATGGAAAAATAAGTTTAAGCATAATCTCCCTTACTTAATTTAATATGCAAATGACTTCAAACTAACTATGAGGACTGAAAGGCAAATAAAAATCTACCAATTAATCAGCATTAGGCTTAATACTGGACAAATGCTTTTAAGTAGATTGTTTGGTATGATGGCCCACTGGATAGTATTCAACAGCAAGAAGGTACATGGTTCAACTTCTGAGCCTTTCTGTGTGGAGTTCTCCGTGTGTTTGAGCAGATTTCCTCTGCACAATCCGCTTTCCCCCATCAACCCAGAACATGCACGGGTCCCACTCTCTCCTGACAGGTTTAACCCACAGAGAAAGTAAAGAATAGGTCAAATGCAGAGGACAAATTTACCTTCTGGGACAATAAAGTGTTCTTTAACTTTGTCATTTGCAATATACATTTTGATCCAATATGAATGCATCATGCTTGTGTAAATAGTATAACTTTTCTATTGGCAATTAATTAAAAATGCTTTGAGCTATAATTTGTAAAACTACAGCGATACATACAGCAATGATTGTTTTAAATTAATATTTAAATAGTGTGCTTTTTTAAAAAATAGAATAAAGTTAAAAAATTACCTAAACAAAAAACATTTGTGCAATTAACTAGGATATTAATAATAATAAATTCAATTTGCAGTGACTAGAGGTCCATTTCTATTGTGTCCTTCAATTTAAATAGTAAATTACAGACTAGGTACAGTCTTTGATCACAACAAAAACAAGAAAAAAAAACAAAAAAAAACATTAAAACGATCCTTGTGACTTTTCCGGTTTTAGTCTTAAAGTGCATATGACGGATTTGACTACTCGTAATGAAGATGTTACTAAAAAATCTTTGACATTTTTGTGAAGTACAGAATTTTACTTCATGGTTGGACATGGGCACCAGATTTAACATATGTACAAGTAAATTCATTACCAAATATTACCAAGAAACATAATATTAACAAAGGCCAAAAACTACATTAAAAATCTAAATTACAAAACAGTTATGATTTGACTAATCAGCTATTAATAACTCAAATTACAGGACCTTTATTTTACATATTTAGGTTTAACCTCTCAGAAAAATGTGTTTTTCAATTTTTTACCACAGGTACAATTCCACCAAACCAAGGAATAATAAGAAAATGGTGAAAACCTGTCATATGCACTTTAACAATAAATATAGTTCGCTTCGATGTCCTTCAAAATACATTCTATACAAGCCCTGAGTCTGGACTGGCCCTTGTTTCTTTCAGATGGCCCAAAAATGACACCAAAAATATGGTTCCTTCTCAAGTCTTTCACTTCAAAAATACTCAAAAGCGCACATATTAAAAATGGTGCCTAATGATGAAACAGTATGGAGTTTGCAGCGTCTTTTGTTTTCCTTTTGAATGATATTTATGTGCATGTTATTACATTAGACATTGTTTCATATTCCAGTCTTATCTCAATGCTACTGTATCTGTATCTGTCTTGCAGCTCAATTAATAATTTGACTTTGACATATTGTCACTTTTTTTGCAGTTTTCCCTTTAAAACAAGAATTTACAATGCATTTTTCACCCATCAGCAGTTTAAATATCATTAAAAGGACACTAAAATGACTGCACAACAGTGTTAAAAACTATGGACACAGAGCAGAGAGGGCAAAAAGGTTTCAGCCAATCACAGACAGTCTTTAGGTCCACGCCTGCCCGTTTTATGAGTAAATAGTGATGACTTCACTTCCTCCACCTCGAACCAACAAAACTCGCTCCAGGCCTTCTGTAAGAACTTCCAAAAACTCCATATCTGAGTTTCAAATTAAGGATTTTTTAAAGTTAAAATTACACAATAGGTAATGTAATAAAAATAGGTGAAATTAACAAAATAAATATCATCTAAAAATATAGGAAGATTCATTCATTTCTAATCCTCTGCTCTCACAACAACTAATGTCATCGCTTTTCTAACCCTTAGTCTGAACATTTGCACAGCCTCTTAGCCATTTGTCTGTATTAACTACGGCCTGACAAAGGATACAGTTCTCGTCCCCGTCCGTGTTCCTGGGGGGTCCGGGCATGTTCAGCAGCACCAGCCGAGCATCATGGGATTTATTCACGATGACCTCATTCAGTTTGACCGCAGTGTGCATCCGACGGACATTTGAGTGGTCGCTGAGACGGAAATAAAAATGTAAATATATTAAAACGCAGATGAAACAGAGCAACAGAAATCTGCCCTATTATTTGTTAAAGGGGCTGTACTTTTTTCATGGAATAAAGTAAAATATTTCCCCAGTACATATATATTGTATAAGCAGCTCTTAAGGTAAAAATGAGACTGATGTGTGCCGTCTGAATCTAATTATAAAGCATTATTATCCAGAAGCGGGACCAAGTTGTTGTTTTGCAAGTCTCAAGTAAGTCTCAAGTCAAATACAGCCAAGTCCAAGTCGAGTCTCGAGTCACTGGCCCCTAAGTCCAAGTCAAGTCCAAGTCAAGTCCAAGTCAAGTCCAAGTCAAGTCCAAGTCAAGTCCAAGTCAAGTCCAAGTCAAGTCCAAGTCAAGTCCAAGTCAAGTCCAAGTCAAGTCCAAGTCGTCTGCTTAGAGCTTCAAGATAATTTAAATCTTTAAACCAAAGCACCAAATATAGCTTCGATTTTTGCTATTTATATGACTTTTAAGATAAATTGTACTTTAAAAAAATCATAGTATATTTATATATGAGTATTTATAGAGTATGTAAAAGTTGTAGAAATGCAATTTTTTCCTTTTAAAATGTCTTGACAAGATCTTAGTGTGAATCATTATGGTCAGAATAGAAGGAATTCAGATTTAAAAGTGCTTTTCAAGTCACAGGCCTCAAGTCCGAGTCAAGTCCCAAGTCAATGTCCTTCAAGTCCAAGTTGGGTCCCAAGTCTTAGTCCATTTTATCAAGTTATTATCACAGCTAATCATGAAATAACGTTGGTGAAAAAGCGCTTAGAAACTCATTACAGTAAATAGTTATGCTGCTCTGATGCATAAGCTAAATGAGGAATAACTTTGTACCGCTGCAAACCATTTAAAATTAACAAGTTTTTAACTAAATCAAGTGTTTATGTGGTTGTTTTCACTCACGGTCTAATACTGAGCATGTCCCTGAAGCCCTCTGGAGTGGAGCAGCCTGAGTGCGCTGCTCTGAAATGGGACGTCTTCTCTTTGGTCCAGGTCATCTGCACCCGTCTGTGGTGCTCAGCGCTGCCCCCTGCTGACGCTGAACGGTCACGATCATGTCCGTCTGGCTCTTCGTCGTCGTCTGATCCGATACTCGTCAAACGCAGCATCGAATTTCTGTCCTTCACCAGCTGAGCCTGAGGAGGTACAAACAGGAGTAGGGACAAGGTAAATGTTAAAGTGTTCTGCTAAAAAAGAGCTTTTAAACATGTTACAGCAGTGGATAAAAGGCTGAATTATGTTACTTAAAGGCCCTGTACCTGATTTTTTTTCATGTGTTTGAACAAAATATTTCTTGTCTCAGTACAGGTATATTGTATAGGCAGCTCATAAGTCAAAGCTGTGCTCTGGTCTCTGAAAGTTACAAAAAGCACTAAACTAATTGCAGTGAATAATCATAACCTTGGACCGCTGCAAGCCATTTAAAAATGAACAAATTCTGTTTTTCACATTTTTAAGATGGTAAAAATCAGGTGACAGTGCCTTTAAGTGAAAGTACAGACACAGGAGCAAAAAAATACTTTACTAGAGTAAAATATCATAGAAACAAAAGTAAAGGTATTTCACACAGACTTTGAAAACTATTCAAGAGTCAGATGAGGTGATCCAGATAAGAACTGCGGTTCAAGAATTTTGTTCATCAGAAGTGAAATACAGTAAATTTTCATGGTCATGTTTCTTTATTTGTTTCAAAACTTCAGTCAGGGTGACACCATAAACCTACTGAATTGGCTGAGGGGGTGTATTTTTAAGCACATCTCATCTTTTCACTTTAGTTTAAAAATTTTGTAGTTACAATGATAGGATTTCTGAAGCTGCTTTTGGTCTGGATCTTTTGCCCTTTTGGATATTTCAAAACTTTAGAGCCAAATCTGGATCATTTTTATTATAGTGATCCCACCTCAATGGTGGATTTAAGGCTGATCTAAGCTTTTCTTAGGTCACTCTTAATTTCTCTCTTTTCTCACAGAGATTTTTAAGACAGTTTTTAAAGATTTTAGACACAATCTGCATATAGCAGATATCTTTTATCATCACAAATCAAAATTATTCATTATTTCATTTATTTTGTAAATGTCATACATAAGTAAAATGTATTTGACTTTGTCGATAATAAGAATTGTAACTGAATGCACATTTGACCCGAGTGTTTTCTTGTCTGATGGAGCAGAATATCTCACTGTGATATCAGCAAATGTAAGTCATTATCAAAACAGCACGGTGGGATTCTTGTTTGGATTTGAAGATGTTATGTTATGATTCTGCAAACTAGGCACGACACTAAAAAACATGACAGATCTCAGTCGGATAAATTGTTCTCTGTATAAGAAACTTGTAAACTTACATTATCGTTCCTTTTTTCAAGCATTTATTGCACATTTCTTGGAATGTTACTTACTTGGAGATCACTTTCAAGAGGTTCAGAATCATTTTGATCAAATCCTGCAAAGTTCTGCAATACCATCATAGAAATCTGTGACCCATGGATCAGAATCCAGAGATTTGGAAATAATTTTGATCTAGATTCAAAGTTTCCTGGAGTTGTATGTTGTTTCATTCATGCTTGTTTCATTTCATTGATCTTGTTAATTGGTGGTCTTTCTCCGCACATCAGAAATCACTCTATTTAAATTTTTCTCAGGTAACTGCATTAACGAAAAATTAATGCAGAAGTCTCCTGCTGTTATTAAGTCCCTAAAACATCACCTAACTGAACATTTCAGTTCTCAAACTGCTTTACTATGAACGCACAGATATGTTGGCTTGACTATTCTGTTGGAGCAAAAACTGGTATCGATTTTCTTCTGAGAGAGCACAATGCAAATTTAAAGAAACAGTGTTCATTTGATTAGATTTTCCCCCCACAAAAAAATATTAAAAATATGATTCCAGATCATGCAAAAATAGTGCAGTTGAGGTAGTGGCTTCAAAATCGAGTACAAGTACCTTAAAAATACTGAAAGATTCCAAGTTGTGAATGATTCAAATCTAATCTAAAATATCACAAATATTACAGTAACTGATATTAACTCAAACTTCTGCTGAAGATTCTCTTTCTACACTAAATAAATGTTTGAAATAACTCTGTAATTTCTAATATGACTCAGGAACCGATCTCACAGATAAAACCTGTGTCTCTTGTACCTGTCTCATGCCTTTGTAGAGGTTTGGGTGCTTCCCCGTCCTGTACCTGGGGGGAACATACACCTGAACACAACACAAGTCATCCGAGCTAGAAAACCACAGCGGCTAGGCTAGGCACTAACTAATGAGGGAAAAAAGAGGTTTATGCTAGTGAGTTAAGAGTTGGATCACTGGTAAAATATTTAGGGATCTATTTCTATCAATTACAAATAAAACTTACATGTAAACTTACATCGTCAAAACTCCAACGAACTCGCTGAGAAAATGAAAAAATTATACCCAATTAAACTCAATTTAAATTAACAATATTTGCTCCACCTTAATTTAGAGAAGGGAAATTACAAAATTACAATTCAGATGTTAATGTAAATGGTACAATGCATAACTGGTTTAAAATAGGGCTATGATAAGTCCTAAATGTGGATTAAATGATGCCTAAATAAGTATCACTAGGTGCACTTCAAATGTGCACTGTGTACTTTCCTTGATGACCTGCTTGTCTCTATGGTGATGTTACTGCTTTGTTGAGATTGAATGTTCCACATATAGGTTTAATATTATTTTATTTATTAGTTTGTTTGTTTTTTTATCCAAAAAATAGACAAAAATAAAAGCTTGTTTCTTTTCAATTGGAAAACGTTTTTCCCTTGGCTATAATATTCAACATTATGGCATAAAACATATCTAGTCCATGATGTTTCAAAGTATGGTTTTAACTTTCCATTTCCATGCAAGAATACAGGTGATGTACCACGTCCAGAAAATTACATATTGTTGCTTTATTGTAATTTTTTAATGTAATTTGTAATTTTGCTTTTCAGTCCTTATATAGAGTTATGTTGTTGTAGTGTCTCACCTCTTTCTCTCGGTCTGATTTGGAGAGCCTCATTTGTCGGAGCATCTGAGACCTCTGCTCCATCATCAGAGTGCGCTCATACGTGTATGCGCTGATGTCGCTGTCGTGCTGAAGGGGAAACAAAGTAAAGTCTGAAGTCAGAAAATATCAAATAAAAATATTAGAAATATGTGTGTTTACTCTTACTGTAGTAAATAAAAATATATATTAAAAGTTGAGCTTCATACCATCTCCACAACCTCCACTTCGGCCTCGATTCGGAGGTGGTACAGAAACGTCGCCAGATCCTTCTTCATCTGGATTGAGTTATCCTCCATTTGAGCCACAGTAAAAATCCTCATGCCACATTTCCTCCATACCTGAAAAATATAGATTCAGAGTAGGAATGTATTCAATATATCATTAAACATAGATGTATAAAAATGTATTCTCTACAAATGTATTTAATTGATTTTTATGTTTTTATATATTGACATATATAAAAACATAAAAATCAAGATTATATATATATATATATGCATATATATATATATATATATATATATATATATATATGCATATATATATATATGCATATATATATATATATATGCATATATATATCATATATATATATATATATATATATATATATATATATATATCATATATATATATATATATATATATATATATATATATATATATATATATATATATATATATATATATATATATATATATATATATATACATATATATATATATATATATATATATATATATATATATATATACATATATACATATATACATATATATATATATATATATATATATATATATATATATATATATATATATATATATGCACTTATGTTGACCATTTTAAAACTGATTTGTTAGTGAAGTATTTCTGGAGCAGCGCACACAGTACATGTGAGCAGTATTGTAGCTCGCAGCCATGTGTCCAGAATAAAAGACCTGATGTAACATAATTCTCAGATTAAAGCTCCACCATGTGAAAAAAACGCAGACTCATAACTTCATAGAGTGATGAGATATGTATTCTGGATCCTACACAAATATTGTACCTTGTGTTGTCTGAGCAGAAAGGGCAGCAGCATCAGCATCCCTCCATCATGAACTATCCACCACACGTCAATGTATCCCTCTGCGCATGGCTCACTGTTACTGGGGAACAGAGAGATGTTTTTGGGCACGAGCAGAGCCAGGTGAGCTGCTGTGGTCACCCGCACTGTGTCTGCAACAACATAAGGAGCGCTGTTAGGGACCCTATATTTAGCAAGCTTAGAGGTACAGTTTTGACACTGAAATTCCCACTGCAAATGATAAAATCCTGACAGAATGGGGTCTCCTGCTGCAAACTGTAGAAATGCATGGGATTCTTGGGTTAGTTTAGCTAGTTTTAGTTAGTTTTTTTCTCCCTAAAATCCTGCAACCCAACATGAGGTTTTTGGCAGTAAATTCCCATTGGTTTCTGTGTTGTTGTTTTTTAATGATATGTGTTTCTAATACTCACTGATAAAAGTCTTCCATGCTTGTGGGTCCTCGCTCTGTCTCCATGCGTGTGGCCAGCCCATCACTACCGTGTTGGGCTTCATCCCTCCTAAACCGCTGGACTGGATCATGTGACTGATGCCCTCCCGCGATTTCTGTGCCACAATGCACTGCACAAAGCCCTTCACCCGCTCCTTCTCCATCAGGTGCTTTAGAGTCTGACAACAACAACAAAATTCAAATGTTAAGAAATAAATAAACGATTGTTGTCTTCGGGTTAAATCATAGATATTTCATAGTTTTGATAGCGTTAACCAACACCACGCCACGCTCGGTTTGAGTAGAGAATTTCTACTACTACAGCCCAAACAAAACTGAAGAGGTTCAACATTTATGGAATACTTTCAAATTTTTTTAAAAGTGAATCCCCAGTAGAAAAATATAGATAAATCTAAATTATGACATCAAATCCAAACGAGCCCCACCCACCTGTTCCGCTGCCAGGGCCTCTCCGTAGCTCTGCAGAAAGTTTCCAGAGACCACGGTTCCAACGATGGTGAGACCCTTCCCTGCTTTGAGCTGACTCGCAAATGTCAACAAACGTGGAGACTTCACATGAGCATCTTCATCTAACTTCAACAACACCAGGATCTGCGGCCTGTACACAAGCGGAACAAACATGTGCCCAAATACTATTTATTAACACTGCTTAAAATAGAATAGAAGTTTTCTCTTTTTGTCTTTTTTGTATGATTGAGCTGACAACAGAACCTTTAAAACACTGTGTCCTCTCAAGGTACAAAATTAAAACAGAGGCAAATGAAGGCAAGAGTAAACAAGACCAAATAGATTTTCTAATCTTTAGATCTTATTGTTAATGCTTTTAGGCATTTTTAAATAAGAAAATTAACTATAACAACGCCATGTGCATAATGGGAGTGGCGGCATTGACGAAGCACGCAGCAGCAGCAGCAGCAGCAGCACATGCATAAACGTACTGGCCGTGAGCTGCAGACTTGCAGGTGACTGTGCATCTTCTCTATGTGTTAAGTGTCCAATAGATGATACAAAGCCGACCACATATTCACAGCAGCAGATGCTTGTGTGTTCACACTGTGCATAAATTCACTGTATTGCTTTTACTAACATATTAATGATAATAGCTGTAAAGCACAAAGATCCCTCCTATACGAGAATCAACTGCAAACTCCATGCACAAAACCTTGTCGGTTGATGCGCAGCTGTCCAGTGAGTGTCACCGCATCAGTGAGAGTTACAGTGGCAGATACGCAAATGGACTGCAAAATATGAAAGCGATAAAGTTATCTCTGTGTGCTGTTCGCTGATTCTCTCACTTTTTCCCCAAAGAACAGAGGTCCAGTGCATGCAGAATTGCTCTAGGTGTTTAGCGCATATGAAGGGGCATGAAGACCAGTTGGAAAGTATTTTTAATCATTTTAAATTAATTAACTAATAAATAATTAAAAGATTCATTAAATTATCAATGAATTTAAAAGAGTCATCTTTCCAGTGAAGCAGAATGTTTAATGTGAAACACGTCTGTTGTACATCGAGCGCTTATTAGACCAAGACCTGCATCAACTGAGCATTGTCTGGACATAATGGGAAGACAGTGCTCATAGTCCTTCAGGTTAAGTTTATCCCTGGGTTTCAGAAAGATGAATAATGCGCACTACTGGCATAACTATTAAAAATTTAAAACACAACATTATAACATTTCAATGGAGAAAAAGTCCTCAAATGTCAAATAAACATAAAGTTGATAAACATTCATACACAATCTCAATGCATTGTACCTCCAGTTTTTAGTGTGTGGCGGTCCCTCTTCTAGCCTCAAGAGGGCGTAGCGAGCTGCACTCAGGGACAAGCCTCTGATGCCGTCTCCCCACTCCTTCTCCGCTCTGAGAAACACACAAACATTGTTAGCTTTTAGGCAAGTTAGTTGACACAAGACCTTTATACATTTATGCAATTTCTTTGTTACCATTCCATTAGACCGCAGAGTGATGTATGAAAACGTAAGGAGGTGTTTTTTCTATTTGAAGAGAACTATGCAAATCTGACCTGCGTTATGTAAAAATTTACATCAGGAAACATGAATTTGTTTACTATCATTTATTTGGTTGTGGTTATTTGGTTGTTTACATGGTTGTGGGAATTTCATTTAATGTTTAAGGCCTGAATTTTGACTTGCTTTCCCCGAGGAAACCCTGCTCCAAAATATTAATGACTATAATGCACCTTCTAACTAAAATAGTAGAAACACATACTTTGTATACTGGTAGTCACCATGTAAACTCACCCGTGATATTCAATGTACTTGTAGATCATGCCGGCAATCACCATGGCGACAATGGCGTAATACCAGGAAGAGATAAACATGAGCGCGAGGCAAATCGTCATCCCCAAAAATGACAGAGCCCTGAAGGAAGACAGAAAATACGTCAGGGAAAAATGCTTAGGGCGCTTAGCAATGAGGGGGAGATAGCTGTCAATCAAAGCTGTTGCTAAAGGAAGCAGGTGCAGCCCTTGGACAAAAAGAGAACTGACTGGTTTATTTTTAATGTTCAAATCTTTATTAATGGACAAATAGCATTTAAACTTAAATAGTTTTAAGCTGATGTGTTTGTGCATTACCAGTGGTAGTAGGAGAATCGCGGTCTCCAGTTTGGCGTCCGGAGCAAAGTTTGAAGAGCACAGGCCAAGTTCACAAACAGATAACACATCAGGAAAAACCTATAAAGACATTTAAATATAATTATAAAAATTAAATGAGTACACTTAAAATTATATAATAAAAAAGCAGAAGTATGAGGTTACATGGTGAGGATGGGGGCGACCAGGTCCAGTGACGCGATGAGGATCCCCAGTTCAGCAATCAGAGCAGTGAGTAACAGGGCCCAGGTCGGCTCCCCATTAGCTTTCCCATGACCGAAAACCTGCAAAACAATAAATAAAAAAAAACATTTTCCATGATCTGAAGTCTGTAGTACACATGTACTTGAGTAACCTGTTAATAAATTCATACTTTTACTCCTACCTGACTAATATATTGTACAGTGTAACAGTGTATCAATATATCATATCGTTTAATGTACAGTATCAATATAGTGGCTTTATTTTTTAAGTACATTTTACTAAATTATTTTTGTTACAGCGCTACAGTTTTGTTGCTTGTTTAGAGGAAGGAAACTCATGTATGCAACACATTTGACATTTTTACTGTTTTGAGAATTTAAATGTTTGTGTTTCATATGAACTTTGCACAAGAAGTGGTTTAACAAAGACTTTTAGTATCACAGCCATGATTTAACCTTTGCTTTTTATTGAGTTGTATCGAATTGATTGCTCAGTGTATCGTGATATGTATCGTATCATGGCCTGTGTATTGAGGTATGTATCGTATCGGCAACTTCTTAATGATACCCAGCCCTAATGTTGACAGTATAAGTACTAGTAGTTTCTGATCTGGCCTCTGAAAGTTGTGAAAAGAACTTAAAAACTCATTGAATAATTAGGATGGTAGGAAATGTGTGTGAAAAGTGAAGAATAACTTGATGAATTTAAGTGAAACGTGTGTTGGGGTGCTAGCTTAAGGAGTGCGTCCAGTTTGTCCTGACCCTGAGGAACGGGATGATGTTGTCTTTGGCGATGGCCTGGAGCAGTCGAGGGGCTCCGGTCAGAGACTGGAGCCCGGCGCCGCACGTCGAGAAGAACGAGCCAATCACAATCACCCACGGAGTTGGCCATGCCAGGGTCCCTACTACCAGGTTCCCCCGCACCGAGTCACCAAACCTGCAGAGGGCGCAAGGAAGAGGAGGCAGGTCAGTTTAAACACTGTTGAATTTTTGAATAAGTCCCTTCAGAGTACTATTACAACACAATGAGTGTGTATCCGGCTAATGAAGCCATCACACATCAGATCAGGTTTGTGAAGTTGTAGTCTATAATTTTATAACCTGTTTCACATACTTTTTGCTGTGCGGGAGCATGGGTGACGTAAGATTAACATACATGAATGGCATATAAAACCACTTCAGGCATGTTTATAATGAGGGAACATTATAACATGATAGAAAGCTCCAAAAAGTTAATTTTGCATAATACTGCCTCTTTAATAACAAACAAAATGCATCTTAATATGAAGTGTTTTATACTGACTTGTCTCTGAGGACCACTCCATCGATGCAGGCTCCAAACAGAACTACACTGCTCAGGTCTGAATGCTGCATTCAGGAAACACTCAGTTAATACTTCAGTCATATTAAAACACATTTGAATGGACTGCACCTGAACACATCAGCATACCATCATGTTCTTATGAATTATACAAAGTCAAGTCTATTTTTAGTATCATATTAAATGTGACTTCAACCTCACCATAGGAGTGTTTTGGCATATTGCCGTATGCTATATTTAAGTAATGCAGGTGGAGGGCAAAGGACCTACATAACTCCTTGAGCAATTAAAGGAGCACTATGTAACTTTCTGGGGAATAACTTACTGATTTTTTCTGTGGAAATATTTTTGCTTTGCCTGCAGTGTTCCATATTCCTCATTGATCTTGCCTTTATTTAAAAATGTTTAGTTATAAATTAAACTTTGGCCTCTATGGAGAAATGCAAGTCCAATGCTGTAGTATGGAACTTTCCCGGTAAAGTAAGAACATCACCATGGAAAAGTTACATAATGCTATAATTATAATCATTATAATGGTATTATGATCTCAATTCAAATAATTCATTGCCCAATGCAATTAAAACTTGTACAGCGCACATTTGCAGAAGTTAAGATTGTAGTTTGTTTGTAGTTGTGTAGTTTATATTATAGTTTGTGTTTAGATGGTGCACTAATTAAGATTGTAGCCTGCGTTTAATGCCATTTTTTATACTGAAGGATACAGACGATGGAGGTGGTGAGGATGGCCAGGATGGTTCCAATAGGAATGGACTTCTGAGCGTCTTTCAGATCTCCAGAGCGGTTTGAGCCAGCCATAATCCCTGAGAGAGACAAAAATGATTAGTAATAAATAAATATATTTAGTTATTGTACTTAGTGTTTTTAGGGTTTTAACTTTAGTCTAAAAGAGGGTGAATAAATCAATTTGTGACTCAGTACATTTAATAATATTTCTGTACAAATATAATCAAAACACAAACTATACTCTGTGATGAGGCAGAAAGCTTTAGCTACACATTTAAGGTATAATACGGCTATTAAAGGTGTTCTATGTAATTCTTTTCTTGCATTGGCTTTACCAGTTGCTTTCATCTACAGTGTGAAGACAATTTTCATAACATTTCTTTAGTTAAATCCAAGATGGGGCCCTCACCGGTGACTGAGGGGAAGAAGATGCCGACGAGCAGCGTGAAGGAAGTGGTGATGTCGGCAAAGACGTATGGCTGGGCGATCGAAGGGGCAGGGGAACTAGAGGACAGGAGGTGGGGCTTCTCAACTACATCACCTTTACTCAGGTACGAACTCCACAGGTTCTCTGATGAAATAATTATAATAGATGTTTAAAAGGTTTGTCACTGGAATGTTCATGTACAGACAAACAGATTTATGTACTGCATGAACATGACTGATTGGTGTCACCAGATACAAGGTAAATCAAGGACTGATTTTAATATTAACATGTAATAATTCATTCTTTCAATATGTGACTCTTTTTTGTGAGTTTTTTAAGGTACTACAATCACAACTGAACTCAGGTTGCCAGTACCTTAACCTGCATGTACAAGTTTTTTTCATTCTCAGTATATTCTCAGCCAGGCCACATGAACAGATTATGACTCATGTGAAGGTTCAGGGCCTCTAGAATTCCCTCACTGAGCTGCAGAGGCTGCACTAGCTGATTCATGATTGGCTGCAGGTGCTGGGTTTTAGGTAAATCAGAGAGAGTCCTCTAAACCAACTGAGACTCAAAAACATACACAACATATACCGGTATGTTTTTATAATCAACAACAAATCAACATTAAAAGGGTTTCAGTAAAACCAACATTTCATTTGTATCTGAGGACACAGATTGGTCAAATCAAAATTTTATATAGCCCACCTTTAAAATGTATCCACAATAAGTCATGAGGCCAATAGATAATATCTATAGATCACATGTTACCTGAGATGACTCCAGAGGCGAGTCCAGGGATACCATCGATCTCGGTGAAGTTGTTGTTGTTGAAGTATTCATCACATGAAGCGTTCAGCTCCGGACTGTGACAGAAGTGGCTCCATAGGTTTGTTGTTTCCACAGACACTTGAGGGCCGGACGTGGGGGTGAAGGTGATATTTTCTGTAAAAAGTATTATGTTAAAGTTAGTGTATAAAATGTTTTCTAGTGTAACACTAGACAGAATACTTTTAGGAACACTGTTAAAGAACTATGCACTATCTAACTTTTCTAGACACCCGCTTGTGTCCATGGAGAGGTAAATGCTTTGCCTGATTTGCTCCACAATATGGCATTAAACTCTCTGCATTTATTCAGTTTTATTAAAAAAAAAACAAAAAAAACACACATTTAAAACTATGTATTCTTCACACTGCATTCTTGCTGTGAGTGGGCTCTCCTCAACACAGACCTTGACCTGATGGAGTCAACATAGAGAAAGAGAAGCGTAATGCCCTATTATGGAGCATTCAACCAGGTTGTCTCTGTCACTCACTCACCTGAAAGGATAGTGAAGTTAGAGTCTTCTCTCTCTGGTGTTTGTTGAGCTTGAACCAAGATTGTTTTCATGCAGTTTCGATCTGCAAAGTCATGGGCATTGATGGTTCTATTCCCCAACATGCAAACCCTATAAGGAGATATTTATAAAACCATCAGGAAATCAAAAAAAAAAAAAAAACATGCAACAGATTTTTTTTTTATACATAATTTATGACTAATTCGTAATTAGTTTAGTTTGGTCTTTATTTGAAGGGACAATTAACATTAAGATGGGTGGACTGAGTGCCATGGATTTGCAGAGAAAATATTTGGCTTTGGTGATTTTTTATGTTTGTATCTTGTGCCTCTGTGTCTGTCACTCCATCTGAGTCACTCATGCACCACACACGAGGAGCACAGAAGCTTAAAAAACCCATACAAAAGGTCCAAAGTTGGGTCAGGCCAACCCAGAACCCAGGGAGAAGCAAATGAAGTCTTAAGATTGGCAAATTATTCTTGGAAGTGTGTGGCGGGTTTTAGATTTCTTGAGATGCTGTAGTGCTAAAAAGCAATGCTACAATGACAGCAAAAATATGTAGTAATTCACTACCTAAAGTAAAAATGTTGAGACCAAAAATGTAAACTGAACCACATGACCACATAATACATTTATTATAAATTGTGTAAAATCTTTTCTCTTCTTGAGGACCCGGTCTCGTTTTGTGGAATTTGTGTCTTGTCCCACCCCTAGTATCAAGAGTCAGATTCTACATTCTAAAAATGACAAAAACGGCTCCTTACTTGAAGTGCGGCGGGTGGAAGGCGGACACCAGGGCCCCGATGTAGATGGACAAGATGGAGATGATGACGCAGGCGAGGAAGATGGACGCCAGTTTGTTCACGTATTTGACTCCGACGAAGACAAGCAGCGACATGAGGAGCAGACAGATAGAGCCGTAAACCCGCATATTGTTCAACATGGCCACTCCTTCTCCATCGGGACCTTTAGCTGAGAAGATGGCTGCCTCCGGAGCGATGTACATCTGAAAGAAACAGGGGACACTGGTGGTTTTCAGATTCTAAAATGTAATGATGTCTTTGGGGCAAGAGTCAGTTTTGTATTGATTACATTGCACTTTTCTTTTCAATTTTTATTTCACAAACTTCCACCGGTGTAAAACTATGATGAAAATGTAGCACCAAATCAAATAATCAATAGAGAATCATGAAAACCTGTGTCTTTAACTAACAGAGCCACTCACCAGTAGGATTTCGATGGCTCCCAGGATGTACATAGCTCCGGCGAATGTGGTCCCCAAATAAAAACACAGTCCCACTGCGCCGCCAAACTCAGGGCCCAAAGAACGGCTGATCATGAAGTAGGACCCTCCCGCTGTGAGGAGAGGAAGAGGGAGGAGGAGCAGAGAGGAGAGATGAGGAGAAGAAGATGGAAAGGAGGAGACCAAAAGATGGAGATGAGGAAGGAAGGGGAGATGTGAGAAGGGTGGATGAAAAGATGAAAAGAGGAGAGGGGAAAGTTAAGAGTGGTTGAGAGGAATCAAGAAAACAAGGAAGGAGATAAGGCGATAAGGGAAAGATGGTGAGAAGATGCCAAGAAGAGAAGATAGGCGGATATTAGAAGTGGTGAAAAGAGGAGGGGAGGAGGAGATGGAGGAGATGGTAAGAGAAGAAGAGAGTATAAACGAAGAGGAGAAAAGAGTGGAAAAAGAGAGGGATGGATGGTTAGTAACATTATGGCGTTATGAGCAGGAGAAGACAGAAAAGTCAAACTATGCTTAAGAAACAAGCATAAATTTACAGAACTCTGGAAAAATTAAAGTACTATATTACTGCAAATGAAAACTTAACTCATTTGAAGTTTAATGCATCAAGATATTTGAAAAAGACAAAGTACTTGGCTTCAAATGCGAGTTAAAACTGAAACATTATAGACGTAGCAAAAAAAAAAAATGAGCAAGATTTGTATATTTCAGCTGGACTTCGCAACAATTTTTAAGTTTCTGGGTTGCTATAAAAATAAATACCACAGCAATTATATCTATATTTTATTTACTTAATTTGCAACTTTACATTTTGGATATCTGTTGGAATAAAAGTAATTTAAGAACTTTAGGAATTACTGCTTTGTTATAAATATAATCTAAGAAGCACCATGAGAACCACACCTGAGTGAAGAAAGCCAAACACTTTTCTTTTTAAATCTGACTAACATCTTCATGGGAGATTGTGCACTGCATAAAAGAAACACTGCACGAGTTAAAATGACTTGAATTCAGATTATATTTTCTAGTTAAGATTTACAGTATTTACTAAAACTCTGGTCTCCATGGAGAACGATGAATTTAATTCCAAAATGTAGAATATTCCAGACAAACCATTAACTTCTACATGGAGACAAACAGGTGGCGGACCCTTCATCTCTATAGTCTAGACCTCTAAATTACTTAATGACAAGCAACTAGGCGTAGTCCCACTTGGCGTTTCCCTTTTGGTTTGGGCACTTTCTCCAAACAGACCCAAATACCTGATTCCTCCTTTCAAGGTTTGAAAATCTGGTACCAGAACAAAATTAAGGTTGTGCAAAAATACTGAAATATACTGAAATACCAATATATCGTATAGTTTAATGTGATGATACAGTATCGATATCATGGGCTGCTGTATCGATATATAGCCAAGAGTATTTTTTGGTATATTTTATTAAATTATTTTGTTACAATGCAACAGTTTTGTTGTTTGTTTAGTTCAAGGAAAGTTGTTAATGCAACACATTTGACATATTAACTGTTTTGATGATTAAAATGGATGTTTCATATGAACTTTGGAGAAGAAGTGGCTTAACAAAGACTTTTAGTATCACAGCCATGAATTAGCCATTATTTTTTATCGAACCGTATTGAATCGATTTGCAATATATCGTATTGAATTGTATCGAACTGTAAGCTCACTGTATCGAGATATGTATCGTATCGTGGCTTATGTATCGAGATGTATCATATCGGCAACTCCTGAATGATACCCAGCCCTAAATAAAATTGGATAGAAAGCATAGAAAGTAATTAATATTTTGCCCTTTATAAGAAGTAATATATAAATAAACGTAATACTTACAAATAGGGCTGTACGATTTGGGAAAAATATCAAATTAAAAGGTTTCTGATGATCTTGTGATTAAAATAGCAGATAATGCCGAAATAAAATGATTAGGAGAATTGACAAAAAGACTGAAATATGAACTGACAAACTAAAGTCACATTTCAGAACATGTTCATACAGATCGACACTACAGGGTTAGCAGTTTTTATGTAGATATTGCAGTCTTTTCCAATTCGCGATTTGCATTCATTCAAATTGCGATTTTGATTCGATTGCAATTAATCTTGCGGTCCTAAACACAGAAAACATTTCTGAATTCAAGTCATTTTAACCTGTATATTTTTGGGGTGAGTCTGGTGGAAAGGTTAAAAAGATGGGCAAATGGCCTTTAGACTCCGGTTAATATCGACGTTATGAAGCAGAGTCTAAGTTTGTTCATGGAAATGAAGAACTGCTCTGACATTGGGTTTGGCCGAGTCAGAGGGTGGCGCAGATGGACAGTAAAGACCACTGAAGAGGTTTGGGAGAGGTGAGGACACAAGACACACAAATATAATTAGAACTATCACAAACATTATTGGGATAAGTTATAATATCAAACTTTAGTGTTTCTAGTGTGAGAAGAAACATCATAATTTTAAGATTATTCACAATTACTGGTGGTGATGATGTCATACTCCCAGATGAGAGACAAGGGGGCAGTCTTTCCTACTGATAACACTGTAATTTGCCTAGAAATATCAGGTTTGTGTAAATATGTTTATATTTTGGATGATTTCACTGTATTACAACAAAAATTGCATTTTAACAATGTATATTTTAGCTGCCCCACATCTCTTTCAAAATATTGGTCTATGTCATAATTTCAGATCCACAAACATGCCATATGAATCTCATGGCTTCAAATCCTTTCGATTGACTAAAATCACCTTTCTGCAGATACTGTGGGAAAAAAACAACAACTCTTGTTTGTTTATACTGACAAAGAAAATGTTGAACCAGTTTTTGTTTCATGTGCAAAGGCTCAGTAATTACAGAGGTATTAATCACAAAGTAGGTCAAAACATCTGTACTATTTGAAAAGTACTTGTATTTTAACAGCTCTGAAATGAATGGGCGTGAAGCGGTCATGTAGGAACAGCTCTTACCTGGTACAACTCCATTTGTGGCGATGGCGCTCATTGATATGGCTGTCAACAATGTCTGCAGAAGAGAAGAACAACCAGAGGACTCTGAACATATTTTAATATAGAGTATATAAACTCAACATATAAACTCAACCTCACATGTTCTGCAAAAGAATATCACAAACTACTAGCAGTAATTTTCATTTTGTAAAACGAGCTAAACAGAATTTCCGATTTTGATCAATAATACACTGATATATTCTATATCTAGAAACGTTACATCACCATCAGTCAAACCTTATTTAGTTAACTTTTTGAAATAAAAATCTCAATGGATACCAATTTAATTGACTAGCTGACTAATCTAACTAAACTAAAAATAAAATAATAATATAATTGTGTGAAAGTGACTCAACTTCTAAAATTATCTTTAATGACAGCCCTAAACATGTACAAACAGGTGTACAAATCTGAAATCAAATCAAGCTTGATATTCTGAAATGTGTTTTTAACACATGCACTAAGGCTAAATAATATTTTGTTATTTTTTTTTTTACAATTTTCTGACAAACATTGCAATTATATTTATGTTTAGATACTAGAATTTGGTTGAAAGTTCACATTTCACAGAGAATAAGACAGGATTTGTTTCTATTGTTTCATGTAAGTAATTGCAGTCTCTAAAATTTAGTAATTGCAACCAGGGCTGCATTTAATAATTACTGTAGTTATCAGTTACTAGTTACTAATTAACAATCAGTTTTTCAATTAGTCGACAAATCAAATGATTATTTCTATTGAACACTGATACTTTTTGAACACATGATCAAACAAATGAAGGTTGAATTATGGTAACTTAAGACTTCCAGATTTACAAATAGTGTAACACTAATGACACTCTGAAACTCTTTTATGAAATTTTGATTTAATAATTAATGTGACTGTTGATTAGTTGAGTCATTGTTGCAGCTCTAATTGAGACCATTCAAATAGCTTTTAATATGATATATTGTGCAGCTGTAACATGCACACATTCTGTTTTTGAGAGTGTAGATTGTGGAGTTCGTACACAGCAGCAGCAGACGAAGACGATGCAAAGCCCCTGGAGGATGCCCGCGGTGCCCACAACCCAGGTCAGACGCAGGAACAGAATCACCCCGAAGATGTTCTGGAGACAGGGCAGGTACACGCCCATAAACGTGCCCATCTGTGGAGACTGAAGGACGAAAGAGAGAGAGAGAGAGAGAGAGAGAGAGAGAGAGAGAGAGAGGGCTGTTATTTATAGTAATAGGTTGCTTTCATAATATTCAAACAACTGCCAATAATTTAAGCAATTTAGATTTGTTGTTTTGGATGCTAGGTAAAAGTTATAGAATTAGCTCTACATATGTCATATCTGCTGTGTGTGTCCAACCAGAAAGTGAAATTATAAACTTCACCAAAATTGTCAAACGAGAGAAAACTGAGTTTTTAAGATTTTCTTAAAAAACTCACCGTAGGGAATAATTAGGATGCTTGGAATGCATATGTTAAGTAAGGAACTTTGGAAACTTGCAAACTGTGAGGAATCACTGCAAACTAGCTCTCTCATGTTTTTTCAAGCATGAAATATTAATAAAATCTTTAGTTAAAAAAAAAAAAAAAATCTGGTACAGCACCTTTAAATACACTCATAGTGAAGAGTGAATAAACATAAATGCCTTGAAAGCTCCGTCTTATCAGCCTGAGTTGCTCTTATCTCCAGCTTCTGTCTAAGGATCACGTTCAACAGTTCAAACTCAGAGGTGTCACTGGAGAGTAAAGAGACCCGTGAAAAATCACCACAGAGCCTGAACTGCTCTGTTTTCTCACTTTTAAAAGGAGACATTGTGCAAAATTTTCTTTTCATTACTTTTAACCATGTTATAATTATTTATTTCTCATTGAAATATTTTCATTTAAGTTGTATGCATGTTTGCAAAAGGGATGGGACAATAAACAATAATATTGATTATTGTGATAAAAAGGGAAGACAATAATTGTTTGCTGGCGATTATCACGATTACATAAAATGTCCCACAAAGATAACCGCCCTTATATCATCAGAAGGAGCAAAAACCTACTTATATATGATGTTCTTTTTGAAATCACTGATGTTTTCACTAATAACAAACTAATAACAGTTCATTATAATCATGGCACCAAATTTAAATACTGTTGCATGCCTAATTTGCACGTGAATAAAGATTACTGAATCAATCACCCATTGCTCAGGAAATTCCCATTTTTCTCTTCCCCCATAAACACCCTCTATAATGTACTTTGTTCTCTTTTTTATCTTAAACTCTGATACACATTGGATTCAACAGCACTGCACAGACAAAAATCTGCTGCTCGCAAAGAGAAGTAGACAGTATGTTGCACTTTGTAGTGGCGGCGCTTGTGGTAAAAGACAGGGAGGAATTTCAACCTGAAATCAGTGGTTGTTTTAAATCAGTATTGCAATTTAAAGTATTTTGAAGAAACTTGGTGGCAGCAGTGACTCAGTGGTAGAGCATTTAACTAACAGGGTTGGCTGATTCCCATACATATTGTGATTGTTTACGTGAGCAAGACACTTAACATACCTTGTCTGCTATATGAATGTGAGATAACAGCTGGATATGCACAGAAGTTCAATGACTGCTCAAAACTATAAACTCTGCAGCCAACAGACTTTACAGTTTTACAGCAATGTTCAGATTGTTCTTATTGTTGGAACCTTCTGACCCGAAAATGTGCAACAAAGTCTAGAGTTTACATACTGGTTGTGCCCGCTGTGTTGCCAGGTCGACTTCACATTTATGGCGGGTCAAACTACTGATTTTACTGAACTTAGAGGGACAGTCTGTGCAGCCATTTACGCTCTGCTGTAATGCAGAGTCAGACTAAAATAAATAAATACTGACTGATCAAGAAAGTGACCAGCTGCAGGTCGATAAAAAGAAACAGAAAACGCACACCAAGATTCTTGCAGAAGTGCAAATGCAAGGAGCAGCCAGACCAGGGTGAAAAAATGCATAGCACACTCGGTTGGCTGATGTTCAAATACTTTTTTATTAACAAAATAACGTTTCGGCAAAAAAACATTTTGCCCAAACATTAGGCCAACACAAAAGAGCACCACGATCAGCTTCATATCAGCGATATCTCCTCCTATCTCTGTATCACTCAGAAAACTTTTTCTCCACTCTCACCCTCACGGTGCATTTAGCCACATGAAAAGAAAAGACCACAGTGTTCGTTTATAACACCAGGGAAGTGAGCGTGCATATTCACGGGGCTCTGTCCACTTGAAGTGCATTGTCATGGAAATAAGTTTAGTGATCAGCTGTTGGACTCTCACGTGGCTCATGGTGCATGTTTGGGGTGACAGATGCACGGTGCATGTGAATTTAACTGAACTAAACAGGTTTTGGTCTAGAGAGCAAAGCAATGACCTAAGTCCCAAATTTAGTCCTAGTTTTGATGTGGTGTGTGAAGGTCTAAGCACAGCATTGGTTTTAGGTTGAATCACATTTGTACCTTGCCAGATTTCTTCTTCTCCCCGATGCTCTCCGCCTCCTCGTGCTCTTTAGCGCCTTGGGTGAGGTTTGTGTAATTCGCCAAACGGTTGAGCAGAGAGGAGACTTTGGGACGTGTGTCCATCTCCTCCTGAAAAAACAAAACACAAACAGGAATGAGAAAAAAATATAAACAATTACTCTGCGCCATGGTACAGTTTACCATTTAACTGTCAAAATCTAGATATTTTGTCCTGGTTTATGGTTAAATGCACTATACTAGATTTTCAGACTTTTTTCATTTAAAATTGTACAAAACAGAATTACTTTATTTTACAGTGATCCAAAGTGATTCCTCACTTTCTTAAAATATTCCTAAGCAGCCTAATTATTCACCATGGTAAGTTTACAAGCACTTTTTAAAACTTTCAGTGGTCAGAGCAGAATTTGTCTTAACAGTAACACTATCCACATGAAACAAAATTTGGCACAGAGTTAACATATTCTCTGTCGACAGAAATAAGTCAAGGTAAAATCATTTGAATCACCTCGAATAAGGCCAGGTTTCTGTCGTAGAAGTCGTCATCATCCATGCCGTGAGTGTTGTTGATGTACACACTGGAGATTTTGGAGTTGCCATCACCTGGAAACACATTTAGTGAAATTAGTGACAGTGTTCTTAGTTTGACTGGAATGTTCCTCAGTAAATGTATGTATGTGCAGGTGATACTACAAGTTACAATTCAGATCTGTGGAGAGGCGACCTCTCTCACAGTAAGAATGTATGTTTTTCATTGTATTACATGACCATAAAAACACTCATAACTGAATAAATGCTATATTTAATACAATACTGTGGAACATTCAAGGCAAAGCAGGAGATCAATCCAGTGAAGGACTCCCCACAAGAAAGTTACATAGTGCAGCTTTAATTGATATCTAATGCTTATAGTTACATTGGCTCTTTGTTTGAGTTGTGTTATGTATGTAAAGTATCTATTCCGACTATGATTTCTCAATGCTACCACAAATTATACAAGAATATTCAAAAAAAATCAAAAACTAAATTAAAAAAGGGTATTAAAATTTTAATCAAAGCAAGATCCAATTATTTCTAATGGTCAATGGTCAGCTTGAGTCTTTTTTAATGGAAAGGTTTAGTGCAGATGGAAGTAAAAATATAAAATAAATTGTATTAAAGTATTCTTTTTGCCCAGAAAATTCATATTTAAAAGACCTTTTATTTGATTTAATAAGTCAAAATAAAATTTAAAATTGAGATGAGGAAAAAAAATTGTGATTCAACAGATAAATTTCCCATCCCAAGTTGTAATAATGGGCTACTATGGCAACATTTAAATTATGTTTTTTTTCCTGTAGCACACAGCCTACCAGAACCTTCAGGTGATAAATGTCAGTCTGTGTTGTACAAGTCTGTACACAGGAGTCTGCACACAGGCATGTTACAGGTCGAGCAGGTTTAGGCAGTAGACATGACGCAGTGTGAGAGACATGACACATGCAATTAACATATAAACACATTCATGACAAAGCATGCCCTTTGGAACCTATATTCATTCACTCCAGTTGATTTATTGAAATAGGTTTGCAACGTTAACATTAGACCGTGTTCATGTTACACTACAACTTTACAACTTTCGAAATTCCCTTTAGATTAACATTGAGCTGGAGGACAGGTCTGCGGTGGAATTTAACACAAAGTTCACCATCTTCTTTGTCAGCATAATTACACAAAAGTGAATAATAGCTTCAGAGACTGGGGCCAGTTGTCAGTTGAAAGGTCAATAAGCCGTAAGATTAATACGATTGTGGAGCCAATCCAAAACAAATAATGATACGGTTTGTGAACATGTTTAATTATTTCTTAAAAAAGCAACAAAAATAAACAATTAATCTCCCATAAAGTTATATAGGCCCCTTCTTCTGGCATCATCAAATCTACAATATGACTAAGGCCTATTCAATGTAAATTTAATGCAAAATAATAGTAGTTACTGTCATATTACCTTAAATTCAATCTGATATAGAATAAGACCATTATAAAGGTCTAACTTTGTCCTACTTTTGAGAATTTTATAATTTTTTATTTGGATATTGATACTTTTGATAACCAAATTTGAGCTCTGGGGAGTGAGCTCAATGTGCCCAAATACGCACATTATGACGTGGGCAACATAAAAATTTCCTCTTTTAGCTGCAGTTTGAAACTCACCGTGTCACTTTTGTCCATTTCTCAAACTCTGCAAAATCTCTCATGTCTGATTCTGCAATATCACTTCCTGCTCTGTCTGCAATCACCCTGGCAACGTCATCATAAACATTGTGGCTGTGAGTAAAACCTCCACTAAACAGCAGATAACTACATGCATTTTTGTTTTCATGTTTTTGCAATTTATTACTTGGGTTGGTGGTTTGGTTGGGTACGTGCCTGTAATAAATATTTATTATTGTCAAGTGGCTGTTTGTGAACAAAGTAAAAAAAAAAAAGGTTTAAAATTACAGGAAATAGTGAGTGAGTTGTGAAAAATCTCTGTTATCAATGCAAAAAAATTCTATCTAAAACGCATGGACAATTTATACAGCAGCAACATCTTTTTTCTTGCTGTTAGACATTAATCTAAGAAAATAAAAGTGCTGTAATTTATTTTATTTGTGAAATTATATTATTATTACAGTATTACAAATATAATTTACCAAAATGGCCAAACTAGGGAAAACTAGTATTCAAAAATAATTATGTTCACTACATTTTAGAGAAATTGTGTTACATTATATTAAGATTGAATTTTCAAGATCAATATCGAGACCCAGTCATTTCTAAAGGTCAATGATGAGCTTGAGTCTTTTTAATGGAGAAGTCTGCAGCCTCTGTCAGCAGCATGTGGTTTGGGGCAGAGGTCAAACTTTGGAGGAAGAAATTGGATGATGGCAATGATGAAAAGTCTCATTTATGTTCTGGAACTTAAAAATTAAAGCCAATTTATTTGTTTTTTCAGAGAAAAAAAAACTCGATCAAAACGGAGGAAAAAATATTGATAATTTGGGTTTGAAATGCATATTGATATATTTTTTCTCATATCATGCAGCACTACTAAATACATAGTGTTGAATGATTAATAACAAACAAATTGAAATTGCAAATTGAATACATGTTAAGATATTTTTCCCAAATCAGTCAGCCCTAGATACCAGACTCAGACGTTCCCATGAAAAGCAGCACAAACACTGGTGACCTATAGATTATATGAGCCACGGAGCAGTGCGTAAAATAAACAGCCACATTTGGTCAGTGGGCGGTGCCTTCCCACATGCATACAAACTCCTTAGATAGAACAGCTAAAGATGATTCATTCAGGACTTCATAACTAATCTAACTACACAAAGTGTCACTTTCAGTTGGGGGTGTGTGATGAGTAGTGTTGGGAGGTAACTGAATGTACCAAAAACACATATTCAAAACACACATTCTGAGTAACTGTACTCCAGTAAATTACTTAAAGTACAGTATTCAGAATACAGTTACTTTCCCAAAATCTAAGTGATTGTATTGTATTGGCCTTGATCTCACAATTTTGGGGTCAAGCTACACCAATCAGTGAAAAGCCATACATTCTATACTGGCAACGATTCCCGAGATCGAGGATTAAAAGCCGGAACAAAGAAAATGTTTGGTGAATTTCATCAAGGGGAAAGACGTTATTGCCCTTCTTCCTATAGGATTTGGGAAAAGCTTAATATACCAGTTAGCTCAGTTAGCGGTGCATTACATATGTCATGACCAAATATCAGCGATTGGTTAAATGAAAAAAAGTACCCGCCTACCGTCGAGCGAATGAATTCTAACACTGCGAGGTCAGACAGTTTCTATGAAGTGAAACCGGCTGATGAATCACGCTAGCACCATACACCGTATGATGAGTAAAATAGAAAACACCACTCTTGTAGTGAGTGCATGTGTGATTTTTCCTTTTCTAATTTGTGGTAGAAAATGCATAACAAAATGTCCTAAGATCGATATGTGTAGCCCTCTGAATTGAATTCTACACATTTATTACTCTGGGATGAGTCTCACTGAAAGTGGTCAGGAAATGGCAGAACATCATTACAAATATTTGAAGCTGATTGGTGGAAGCATCATAACAGCAAAACCAGGGATGTACCAATTTAATACTAGTATGAGATATCAGTGCAGCAAATAATGGTGCAGCTGATATCCTGGTTGGACATATAAATTTATGTAATAAGACCATTTACTGGCCATAGTTAGCCAAGAAAATCTCATAATGTTTGAATTTTCACAAAGTTGTTCTGTAGCTACTTAAGAGATCCACAGCTACATAATGTATTTGGATCAATTTTATCTTATGTTATGTATGATCTTCATCTTTGGCTCCATTGGTTAACCAGACAATTGCAAAAGCTGGGCCAGATGGATTTTCAGGAGATATGTGAACTCAAAAATACCATGTCTGTTCAAATGTTTGTGTTTTTAAGAGCAGACCAGTTTATCAGGTGTCAGGGCTGAAGATGTTGCCTTCAGGGACTGTAGGATACCTTTGCATCCTTGAGTTACCTGCTGTTTGTCTTTATGTGAGAGTTACTTCAACGTCAACACAAACAGCAGAGAAGACGCAACAACGCTGTGGTCACAAGAGATTACGAAAGCCAATTGTGAAAAGTTGGAAAGAGTTGGGTTTCACAAGGTCTTATCTGGAGAGATTGTGTTTCTATTGTGATACAGCGATAATGCATGGAACCGAAACTCCTATGTGCAAATTCTTATTAGTTCTAGTAAAAAATTCCAAGGCAGAAAACTGAACAATACATTTTCCTCTTTTAAAATCAGGATTCAGTTCACAGTGCACATTTTAAACCAATCCAGGAGTAGAGTCCGACCGATATATCGGTTGGCCGATATTATCGGCTGATATGGGCAACTTTAGGCATATCGGCTATCGGCCGATATGCTTGCTGATAGGGGCCGATATTTCACGTGGGCATGTTATACCTCGTTATAAAGCTTAGACTCTCTACATTCTGTTCATTTAATCCAATTTACAGACAGATAAATGTCCTAATATGTGGCTCCACATCAGTATTTATCTACGGAGTCATTCGTCTGTGTGTGTCCGTACTGTCCCTGAACACACCACAGAGTCGCGTCACTCACGTGTGTTTGTTTACACCTGCAGACACAGATCCAAACACTGAGATTATATTCTTTTTACGGACAATCGGTTTGAGTCTGGATTAAAAGGACATTTATTAGTGCAGATTTGTGATGTGAGGAGGAGCCTGTATGAGCGGTGAGTGTTGGAAATATGTCGACTCTGAAGCTAGTTTTTGTCATTTGTTATGGGTTAGCTGCTGTAGCTCCCGCACATAAACAGACTGTTTTCTATTGGTCTGTTCTAAAGTGACTATATTGGCCGTATATTTGCTCCTGGACCTGCACTGATATGTAAATGAGCTGTGAACAGACGTGTGAATTATGACATTTGCGCATATAATTAATTACTGCGGCGCGCACGTATTTACGGCTAAAGGCTAATAGCGCTACTTTCTTTACTAGTTATGGGTCCGTCGCGAACGAAATGACTCTTAGAACCGGCTCTTTGAAGGGAACGACGGGAGCCTGATCCTTATTGGGAGCCGTGTTTTCTCTTTTTCTCACTTTTTTTTTTCTTCACGCCGCGTGATTCGTGGTTTGACAGCGGCAGCGGCTCAAAACGAAACTCTGAGAAATTTGCGTGTACGTAGGATTTAAAAAAATAAAAATAAAAAAACGAGCATATTTGACTGTAGTTTAGCATAAAATAAATAAGTCCCGGTTTAGTCCTTTTTCAGTCCTGGTTTAGACCTGGTTCAGTCCTGATTCAGTCCTGCTTTAGACGTGCTTTAGTCCTGCTTGCAACAAAACAATCTGAAGAGCCACTTGGGAACCAAAAGAACCAGCAGCTTTTAGTGAGCCGAGCCAAAAGAGCCGGTTCTCTAAAAAGAACTGGAATACCCATCACTAGTGTCTAGAATGTGATGCAAAAATGCCATTAAGCCAACCTACTGTCTGTAAATATGATGTAAAGAGGCAGAATAACAATAAATGTTGCCTAAATAAACCCAAATTAAAATCCACCAGAGCCAAACCTTTTTAAACAATTCAACATTTACAGTGAATTTTTACATCACTAAATATATCGGCGATTATATCGGCAGCGCCAACCCCCATTATATCGGTTTCATATCGGCCACAGCAAAATCCATATCGGTCGGGCTCTATCCAGGAGTATGAGCATTTGAGGGAAGAATACAATACACTACAAGAATCCCATGCACTTCAGAACATATTTGTAAGGTCTAAAGCAAACCAGAGTTAGAATACTAATACACTTTTACTTTTGTTTATTTTGTCCTGACAGAAGGCATTGCACGTGCGGATAGGCTCAGTTATTACAGAGATATTAAACATACACAAAAACAAACCTGCATTTTAAAGTCATATTAGGACTCTGACCTGCCCTCTAACTTAATAAATAGATGGTGCACAGTGGACTTATTTATCTGCACTGGGGCAAGACAGGTTTTGCTCAGTTACATAAAAAATGTGACTACCCCTGTCCAACTGTTCAAGCTCTCAGACCGGTTAGGCTAAGTGATAGGGCTGGGTGATAAGACAAACAAAAACAGTTTTAAGAATGTCTTTCAATATTAATTCCCTGAACACTTAAGGACCTGTACTCAATACATTTTGAACAAAATTTGCCTTTCCCCAGTACAGATATATTGTGTAAGCAGATCTTGAAGTCAAAATACGTCAGCTGTGTACTGTCTGCATCTAAATATAAAGTGTCTGGAAGTGCATGTTGGAATGCAACTACAGGCTCTAGGCAGTTTTGAATGTTCTGATTTCACATGAACAACCTTTTTGGGGTGAAAAAACTGCACAACATCTCTTTGACATTCAGACTAAAATGCTTTGAGCAGGTCTGCCTAGATCACTGAGGCATATGGTTCTTTGTGCAATGTCACAGACAGAGAAGCTAGTTCACTGGTTTTGTGACTGTGTCTTTATGGGGACGTGAGTGACCCAGTGCAAATGTCAGATGTGGTTAGCTTCTCCCTGTAGACATGCTCACCTTCCTCTCAGGAAAGCTCAACTAAAATGTGCACCCTGGTGGAAACAGAACAGCTGAGCACAGATGTGAAATAGCTGTAACCAAAACATTTTTTATTGAAGCTTCATTTTAGCATTTTCCAATCACATAAGACATTGGACCTTAAGGACGTGTAATGACTCTAATCTTGAATGAACTGAATTTGTCAACAATCAGGTCTACAGGTAATCTGCAGTATGTGGTTTGGACTTTGGAGGAAGACATTTTTAGCAAAATGCGTCTTGCCTCAGCTTGAGATCAAAATACAGCATGTCCGCTGTGTACTAACGGCATCTAATAATAGTGTTTTATTGTCAAATAATTGTTCATTCATTATATAAGGAAATATTTTTGCTATATCACCAAGCCCTTTTGAACCGGTTAAATTAAAATACCCTCAAATTATACCTCAAAATTTGAGATCATATTTTTACACTTTCAAAGAGAAATCTTTAAAGGAACTATACAGATTCTGTTCTTTGATTTTTACCGATAACAACTATAAGGTTAATTTATTCTTAATTATAAAAATACTGGACATGGTGGCCAAGTTGTTTGATTCTCAGACAAATCAAAAAGCAGAATGAAGTTTGCCACCATCAATGCTGAAATTCAGTTGGTTAAAAACTAAAAGGACTTTATCTGATCTGAATCTTCACTACCTAAAATTAAAGAAAAACTTGTGTTATGCAGGTTAATGCACTGGTAACCCTGGTTCAGTTGTGATTGTAGTATCTTTTAAAACCTGTTTAGCACAGGCTAAATACTGTTCCCTTTGCAATTCAATGTATTACTCCAATTTTAAGAATTTCATATTTTTGTAAGAGCTAGTTTCTTGGTCACAGTTGTATTGTGTAGGATCAGGTGCATGCTCCTCACACTTGGACAGAGTAATCAGATTATCTCTGTGGTTCTATTTGTGGCGGCTTATTATCAAATGATGACCATAATGTACAGGCTTAGGCTGATACAGTTATGTCATTGTACCATGTGGACTAAAGCACTTCTGTCTCTAAACTGGAGTTTTCTTACTTATAGGCGCTGTATTTCTTCAGTTTAAAAGGTTTGCAATGGTATTCCACACATGAGGTCAAAATACGTGAGCTGTGTACAATCTGCATATACTGAGAATCAGGAATTACATGTTACATGCTAGTTGTTAGTTTTACCATGACAGCAAAACTCTGCTCTGAGTTGTAAAAAACTGTTATTAACCCATCACGGTGAATACTTAGAATGCTCAAAATGCTTAAGGTAAGTGAGGAATTGCAAAACATTGAGATTGCTGGACCACTAGTTTTTTTTTTCAAATTTTTTTAAGACTGTAAAAAACAGTTACAGTGTCTGCTGTAACAAAACAGAATCATTGCCATTTAACGCAAAAAATAAAACATTTTTTGACGTCTCTATACTTTTATAAACAACCTTTCCCCAGGTGTTATTTTTAGCTCCGCCTCAGCTCCTCTGCCTCTCCGTGTGGGCTATTAAGCCCGGGTTCTGCTTTTAGACAAAAATGAAACAATGGTGTAGCTTTCACTTCCCCTGTGGCGCAAACTACACTGCTGAGAGGACCCCGCACTTAATGCAGGCCAACAGCTGAGATTTTCTCATATAACTGTAAAAAACCTGCACTGGACGTACCATTGTGTGACATCATGCTGGGGAAGGACTGCATGTATGTCTATGAAGGAATGTACAGCAGCTACCCCACAATGCACACATTAGCCCAAGTTTTAGTATCAATCTAAATCTGCGCATAAACTGTTTTCACAACCCTAGTTTTTTATTCTCTTATCTGAAACCTTTTTTTTTTTTTTTTGTAACTTTTTGTTGCCTTGGTTATTGCAAAATTATCATTCAATTGTGAACTTAATTTTTTTCTGTCCAGTTGACAGACTTGAATGTTCCTTTTGTGATGGGTCCTACCTGGATGATTGAGGGATTGTACAGACATGTTGCCTTGGTATTCTAATATTGTAATTATACTTGAGATAATATAATTTTGTAATAGTGTAATATATAATAGTGTGTATGTATGTGTATGTATATTAGTGTTTTTGTGATAACGTGATAATGTATTTTTGTTGTCTCTTGTGCCGTACCGTGCTCTGTGTAGCTGTGGTCGGGTGTGTCTGTAGTGGCGCCCCCTGCAGCTGACACCTCACTCTGCGGCTCACTGCGGTTCACACTCTCCCTGGACCCAAACCGGACTTTCCCCCCGCTGGATCTGGAGCTGATGTCGGGAGAAGTATCTGAGATTCCGGGCAGGTCCTCGGCTTTAGTCGGTGTCACCGTGAACCGCACTGAAGACGCCATGTTTACCGCGGGAACGGCAGCTGAGGAGGGGGGTGGGGTGTCCGGGGGAGAGGGGCAGTCATCCGCTGTAGAATCCAGGGTGGAGGTTGGTTGTTTCTAAGGCTAGGCCCCTTCTAAAGTGCAGCTCAAAAAGGAGAAGAGAAAACGGAGGCCGAAAGTTTGTGTTTTACTGAAATGCCCCATGGAGTCCACCCGGGCAGCTGTGGGTCATAGAGGCTCTGTAGTTCTACACATTTTGAAGGCTCAAGGAGTGCAAACAGCATACAGCTTTAGGACAGGTACTGGTCCACAGGTCCAGGTTAGGTCCACTTTAGATCCACAGATGCTCAGGATCTCGAACTACTGGAAATAAAAAAGGAAAATTTGTTGGCATCATAAAACTAGATTTTTAAAAATGTAATCTAAATTCTGCATCTTTAATTAAATCTTCCTATAAAACTTTTCTGGTGGAGTGTTTGCCACTTGTTTGTCTACACCGAGATATTACTGCTTTGCCTAGAATGTTCCACAGTATTGCATTAAATTTCTCCATCTCCATAATGAAGACAAACATGATATTATCAGGCCAAATGCTGGTCAAACCTGTGGAGAGGCGACTCCGCTCACATTAGAAATGCACATTAATCAAGGGATCTTTCAGCAATAAAAAAAAAAATTATACTTTGTTCTCAGTAACTGTAGGCAATATTTCAACACTATATAAGGAATGCTAGAATGTGTATGTAAATGTCTTTGTTGAGGTTCAAATATCACATAAAACGTAAACAGACCATAAAAATCAACCACAAAAGGGCATGAATATCATGTCATATTATATATATATATATATATATAAATAAATATCTGCAGCCAATCAATTTTGATTGCACTAAATGTTTTTTTAATGAGAGGTATGTCTAATTTTATACACCTACAAAACAATATATAATATATAATAAAATAATACTCTCTCTGAAACATTCCAGCAAAGTAGTATCATCTCCATGGAGACAAGGGGGTGGCGGACCTTGGTCAACACACTGTCCCCCTGTAACTGTGTCTTGAGTCTCTTGTCGGCTCTGCTGGATCGCAGACGGAGGTTATGAAACACAAACTCTGCTGCAATCCACGAGGAGCTGGCAGCGACCGGCACAACCAGTTCGAACCGCTCTCTTTTAATTATTTAATTATGAACAGAGGTAAAACAAGTCTTCTGCTGTGTGCAAACAAAATGACAGCATGTGCTAACATGTGGATTTCAAGTCATTTTGTCAAATTTGGCTTGGGCATAAAAGGGTTGAGCAGAGGTTTGTTAGCCCTCTTGAGAAGCTGTAGTTCTAAAAGCAGTGATACACTGACTCCAAAAATATTAAATAAATGTCAAATTGTGAGGATTAACTGGATTCAGTTTTGTTTTTTCCACAAATTAAGCCAAAATCTTGCCTTGACTCATCTCGTGTGTCATCTTGTGCAAATTAAGTTTCTTCCCACCCTATTAAAGAGGATTATGAAAATTACCTTATATCAATAGGGTTTCTGTGCAAAACAATTCAGAATTCTATGAAGCTTCCTAAAATTAAAGTGGTTTTACTTGGTTCATGGTAACGTTGGACGACATATAAAGCATTCCAACTGTTGCTTAGATATATGCAAAATATTAATATTAAATAAAGTGATATTTCTGTCCTTTTGTGGGATGATGTATTCACATTTTGTGCAATACCCTCTAGTACATGGTCAATATGTTTATAATTGCTGGAATGCTAGAATGTCCCACAGTATGGCATTTAACATATCTCTCTCTGAGTAGGCAAGTTACAGGTCATAACTGTGGAGAGGGAACTCCAGTCACAGAGAGAATGCATGTTTTTCAAGGTATTTATGAGCACCAAAACAATATTAAATAAAATACATTATTTAATAAATGCTAAATATAAAAGTTTAAACCCATATTACAGCGGAACATCCCAGGAAAAGCAATAACAGCTCCTTGGAGACAATCAGGTCCACCAGAAAAGGCTGCATAGTGCACCTTTAAATTTTAGAAACGGGATTTTTCTTGAAATGAAAACAATTATAGGATTGTTGGGAACTCCAAAAAAATTTTTTCTTAGTTACAAAACTAATAAAACATGAACGCCATCCAGAATCTATCAGTTCCATCCACTGCGCTCCACGTTTACGCACCTGCTACAGTCATTACGCTACTGGCTGCCACTGACAACACTGATGCGATTATACAATTTTAATTAACGGTAACATTTGATAAACTCCCACACATTGTTCAATTAAGGCGACACCGCATGACAGCGATATCCAGGTAAAAGCCACTGTCGCTTCTAAACCAATTCAGCAGCTCGCCACAAACAATTCTGGCTTAAACCGGTCCGCGCACGCCTCTCGAATCTTATTCATTATAAAAATATTTTTTAAAAGAAACACTGCGTTGTGGTTGTTGCAAGATCATGAGCGTCTACTTTAATGCACTGCGGTAATCCGACAAAATAAAAAGGTACGTAGGATTATTCGGAAGTTTAACGCACGAGAAACCAGGCAATTTCCCCAAAAGGCGCGCATTCAAATGGGGATAGCGCACGACCACAGACTGATTAGCTTGTAATAGTAAAGTTGTATTAGGGGGAGATAACAATGCGATTTAACGCGTATCGAAACAAAGCAAAGCAACGCCATTTCAGTCCCAATAGCATAAAGGAGGTGTGTACGCACGGGTGGTCGCCTTAAGGCTAGCAATAGTTAGCATTAGCCAAGACAAGGATAGAAACTGTCAACTCCGCTGCGTTCTCCACTGACAGCCGCAGAGAGCATCACATACCGAGACAAAAACAGAGAAACACCAACCTGGTTTACGTTTCCTTTAAATAATACGACCAATAAATGCCCATCTTCAGTTGAAACTAACAAGAAAATGCACCAGGTCCTATGTTTTCACGGCACTTTTTGTCCAAATAAAGCGACCCAACAAAAAGCATGCGAGAAAGCGTCAGGCAGGTCCCGTCGCATCGATCTACCGCGCATGCGCACAGGCGAACACTCAGTAGGGAAATGTAGTCCGTAAACAAGAGGACAAATACTACCAAGAAATTATATCTATTTAGGAGACCAGACGTCCCTATTTACCCGGGACGGTCCCATTTCTGAGCCCTGTGTCCTCTTTCTATGCAGATTTATACAAAACCATTGATTTGTCCCAGTTTTATACAAAAAATAGACAATATATTTTACTGTGTCTTCTCATCTGTTTATCTGTCATAGTAATTTATTGTCTGTCCTATCAATTTATTGTGTCTTGTATGATTAACTAAGAACCACTGAGGAGCGGCTTTTATTTTCTGTAGTGCGGTTTATAGTTATAGTTATTTATTATATTTATGTGTAGATAAAGACATGATACAAGTTTTTCTCTTTCTCTGAAGGCTTTTAACAGCATATACAGTAGCAGCAGAGGGACACTGATTAATGCCAATCAAAGAGCAATTTGATATCTGGCAACAGCAGAGAGGTACAAACTCTCATTTGTTTCAATAAAATCCAGAAAAGCATGTTAAAAAATGACCAAAACACAAAGAAAATGTGACTATACTGACTCACGTGTTAGTCGTGAATGGGCATAATGCACAATTTTATTATTTCCAACCACCCCAAACTGAGGCTGTCTCAGTTTTTGACTTTGAAAATCTGGTCACCCTAATCTACCTACCTCAAAAAATGTCCCTCAAAGTTTCCTTTTTGTAGGGCATTATCGGGCAAATAAAAGTCATGTTTAAAGGTGCACTCCGTTACTTTGGTGAGAATCTGTTATCCTCATATTTTCATGGAATTGCTTTGTCTGGAATGTTAAAGTATGGCATTAAGCATATTTACTTTGCAAATAGCTGTACGTGGGATTGCCTTTTCACAGCTTTAACCTGGACTGTTGGGTTCCCCTGTATTCATTGAGGTAGGTAGTCTCTATTTAATGCCATACTGTGAGATATTCAAAGCAAATCAATCACACCAACCATTTACTGTAATTCAGATTCACACACTCCGATGTACAGGGACGCAAACTCAAGAGTTAGGCTACTTCATTTAATTTTTATTAATTAAAAATGAGGTGGGAAAAATTCTTATAGGTGACATGGAAAAGGTTTTAAATTTGCAGCATTATTGTAATCATGGACACCACCAGCATTTGGTTTTAAATTTATTTAAGACCAAAGAATAATTTCTTTGGTCATTTTTGACTCATGGACACTCCCACACTTGCATACAAATTCCCTGGCACCACTGACCCCTGCTTGGCCAGTCCAGAATGATCTATGTATTTTATAGACTGTATACATCGCCTAATATGTTATTTTGCATTCATAATAGTGTATTATTATTCCAAATTTATTTTTTCATTGTGCTGAATAACTTTGTATATTGTTTGTGAACTATTATTAGGCCTATATATACCCTATATTTTAAAACTAAATTAAAGACTTCACACCAGGATGTTCATTCATGCCCCGTCCGGATGCCCTCCCACGCGCCCCGGTATCAGTTTAGAGCTCCACGTCAGTGTGGTTTTCACAGAAACCCTCCTTCAACATTGGTCTACAGCCTAGTTTGGTTCAGTCTCACTCATTACATAACCGGACTTGGTTGTATCCATGGATTTTAGAATGATGAACAAAATATTATATTTTTGAATTGAGTCTAAAGTTACATGAAAAAGCCAGGTAACGCACATCAAGTATCTGAAGTTTTTCTGAATAGAATTGCATGAGCTGCAGTCTCCCTCTAGTTGCCAGTCTATGTTATGACAGTGAACGTGTGGCACTTCTGTGTGCAGCCAGGGGCACTTGTTTCTGGCTGCCTCTGCTCCTGTAGTTTGAATTGTGATTGTGTAAATGAAGATAAATAACAGAAACAACATTTTGCACGAGAGCATGTGTCTAACCAATAAAACAAGGCAGTTCTTATGAAAAATCAACACTAAAACAAAAGACACTAGTACCACAAATTACTGAAATAATTCCCCAATTTAAAAAAAGTAATTAAAGCAACTATGTATGTAGCGTGCGCTCTTAAGAGTTTTAAAAATGTTATTACAATCACAACCCAGCCTGGGTTGCCAGTGTTTTTTACAAACATACACTCTATTATAAACAGTGAATAAGCTGACTGAAGATCCCTTTCATCCACCTCAGTCACTGTTTATAAAGCTACCAAATAGGAGGCGCTATCGGACAATAAGAACCACACTTCAAGCCTGACAAACAGCTTTTATTCATATGCAATCAAATCATTGAACTCTGTATAACAGGCACTTAGGGTAGTTGCAATATATTTTACTGTATCTTCTCATCTGTTTATCTGTCACAGTAATTTATTGTCTGTCCTATCAATTTATTGTGTCTTGTATGTGATTAACTAAGAACAACTGAGGAGCGACTTTTATTTTCTGTAGTGCAGTTTATGTAATGACAGTAAAGACATTGTGATACTGATACAAGTTTTTCTCATTCTCAGTAGGCTTATAACAGCATATACAGTAGCAGCAGAGGGACACTGATTAATGACTGCAGGTACCAGGGTTTAGGTAGTAAGGATTCAGATCAGAGAGAGACCTTTTAGATTTTAACCAACTGGACTTCAGTGTTGAAATTGGCAGCCCAAATGAAAGACTCATGTGAGGCTCACTCAGCTTTCTAACTGGATAGTTGTGAGAACAAACTCACCAAATTATAACATAAACAATTTGGCCATTATGTCCAATGTTTTTTGTTTTTTGTTTTGTAATTAAGAACACAGCAGCAGTAAAACTAAAATCAGAAAAAAATACATTTGATTTGAATGTCTATAAGCAGTAAAAAAAAAATAAAAATACCAGAAGGTGCAAGCTGCAAAAGACAAGGAACTGTGTAATGTGGAAATAAATACTTTACATAGTTTGCTAGTAATGCCTTTATTTGGAATAGGATTTAAATGATATTCCACAGATCATCCTGGACTTAGCCTGAAAAGCAGTCACACGGCTGACTGAAGAATCACAATGACGGCGATGTTAAAGTCTTTGAATAAGAGCGCTCCAGTTATTTGAAAGGCGACTAAAATTGTCTTCATGAAGGCTTGAATGAATGGAAGGAATATTTTTAGAGCAAATAAGGTTTTGTCTTGTGGTCTGCAGGTATTGTGCTTCAATGAGTTCAAAGTTAATACAAAATTTATACACGATACATGGTATGAATTCAGGTCAAATGTTGATATTGTTTAATTTAGATTTGCTTTAACTGTAAAGGGTCCTCATTATGCTGTTTTCTGATCCATGTTATAATGTTGTTTCTTCGTCAAAAACATGCCAGGAGTTGTATTTTGTTTCATTCACACATGTTTATCACACAAAACTTGCATAATAGAAATGATTTCTGTGCTGTTCCACCTTGTGTCATGTGGTAATACAGGAAGTGCTCCATTGTGTTTTTAAACTCCATACACATTAACTGAAACTGGATAATTTCAGCCCTGGAATTGCCTATTTACTACTTTAAAAATGTCACTGTTAACATGAAAACTACCACGAAGTATGTATAACACAATTTCTGTTGATGTCTTTTGATGGAGGAACAAACCTAAACATGTTTTGTTGTTGTTGTTGTTGTATTATTGTGTGTGAATGTGTATATATATGTATGTTTATGTAGATGCTGTATATATGTATTATATATGTATATGTGTGTGTAATCTGTATATATTTATGTGTATGTATGTGTGTGTACATAGATTTTCTGTAGATGCTTATCAATAGGGAGTTTAAGGGTGGGAGGTGTGGGGTTTAAAGGGAGAAAAATGCAATGCCAACTGGAATATGTATAACTGCAAATAATAACACTTGAATAAAAATTTGATAAAAAAAAAAACAAAACATGAAAACTACCACTTCCTGGCATCCATCCATCCATCCAACTTTACTTTTTGTATAGCACATTTTATAAACAAGACAGTTTCCAAAGTGATTCACACAGAAACGCAAAAAATTTTACTTAAAAAAAAACTCAGCAGAACCATGTTTCAACCATGAGGAAACATGGTAAATAAAATAATAATAATAAAATCAATGAATAAAAATAACAAAATCAATACATAAAAGCAGTACTAAAAAAATAAAATAGATAAAAACAATAAAAAAAATTAATAAAAAAATTAATAAAATAAAATAAAATAATAATAAAAATAATAAAATTTAATAAAATTTAATTAAAGACACAGAGGACCACACAACTCACGCGGTATTAAAAGCCAGAGAATAAAAGTGGGTCTTAAGATGAAACTTAAAACACTACAGTGTGGGGGGCTGTTCAGATGTGGAGGGACAGATTGTTCCATCAGTAAGGTGGATGTGTGAAAGAAACAAAACACAACTTTAGTTTTTTGATGAGGTAACAATATTCTAACGTGGCTAAAAGCAAAGTCAGTTCTGCGTAATATAGGACTTTTACTAAATTATCCTGGCACTGTATTTTTTTGGATTCTTCTCAAATAGGTTCTAGTGTAGAGTAGTTCTTTAGGTTATGTAATGGGCAATATTTCTCTGTCTGCCAGTGTGGTTGGTAAGAGAAGACTGATGGACGTGAAAAAAGAATCAGAGCAGCAAATTGGGAGGAGAGATTGATGTGTTGTGGCCACTTCGTGTTGCTGCAGAAGCAATTAGATAATAGGTCTGGATCAGCAGCACACGGCCATGCTCAACACTATTAGAAATGAGATAGCCCACTTTATAAACCCATGCGGGCACCCTCCTGATTTGTCATATTATACCCTACAGTGTGCCGTGTGTCTGAGCAGATTCCATATTTTATTAATACTAAGGAGAGGCACATACTAATAAGCTTTTTTAGGTTTGGATGTGAATTTTGGATTTTAAATAAGAAATAACAGATGTGACGATGTGGTTTGAGGGATTTGGAGGAGTTTAGTTGTTAGAAATGCCAGTGATGTTAGCAATTAATTAATTAATTAATCATTGATGACATTCTACACCATGGGAACTAGCTGTATCATTAAAGGATATGTTATTTCTTTGCATGGGATGTTCCACAGTAGGGTATTAAACAGATTTGACCATTAGCAGGTGGTTACACAGTATAGTTTTAAATGAAATGACATAAAAACTGAAATATTTAATGAAGTGCATTGTCCCAATAAACCAGAAAAAACAAATATTTGTTAATTAAGGTTAATATGCAGATAAGTGAAGCTACAAGTCTATAAGTAGTTTTATTGTGACCTGTAACTGTGAGAAAAGTAGAGACAAAAGTGCAAAAGTAGAAAGGTTGTAGAAAGAATAATTTGCATTCTTACTTTTGTACATCTTGTGGTAACATTTGCTTTGCTGGCTGTAAATGTTAAACCAACAAGACTGAAATTTAGTGACGCATTGTCTCAGCACGGACAAAATGAAAGTGCAGTTTAGACATATTGATGTTTTGATAGCACGGTTCACAAAAGGAAAGAGGGACAAATCTGCAGATAGACCAAGATCCTGAACCCAAAATTCAGTGTATTCTTCACTCTACACTTACCCTATAGAACACCAGATTGTCCATTTAGCAGATGGGATTTATGGCAAGCAGCAGTGCAGATCACAGTGAACAGTGTCTGCACTTTTAGGCCACACCATATTGATTTTGTAATATACCGTCAGTGGTGCTGCTATTTACTAAGAGCTATTTGCCATTATGCTGAGACAGAATCTGGAGTGGAAGGCAAACAAGCTGGGCTCTTTGGGTTGTATGGAATCAATTTGTTTTTATATTTTGTTATTCTTTCTTTATATAAAATGTATTCTGTATATATGTATCCAGCAAATAAGTTTAAACAAATTGAATTCATTCACTTTCTACGCTTGATTCAGCCTCGTAGATCTCCCTTGGCACTTCAACTATTGGTTCAAAGCAGGTTTTGAAGATTCATTTTATCACGTTTAAGTCGTTCTTTAGAGGACAAATTGTAGGTTGTAATGATGTAAGACAGAATCCAGAAAAAACTGTGCGCTCTCTCTCTGTGTGTGTGAGTGCGTGTGCATTTTAATGGACCCAAAGGATGGAGGAGAGGTGGGACAGGTCAGATTCAAGGCACTTACACTGATTAAAGCTCCCTCTGCTGCAAGTCTCCCCCTCCGTTAATCTGCTCTCCTCTTTCCCCTTGTTCTCCTGCAGCGTCTCTGCAAAAGCAATAGATGAGTTAACTGCAGGGCTGCATACTCCGTCTCCAAATTACAACATCAGCGAGAGAAGCAGGTAGATTTGAAGAAATGTAATGCACCTCAGTATGATTTTTGATTTTATCTTTTGCAATATTTTGATCTTGGATTTAGCCTTAATTAAGTTCATTTCACTAGTAAATGATATACACAAAATCACATAATAGGACAAAATATCAATATAGTAGCATTATTTAGTTATAAAAATTATAATTTGTGTCATATTCTAAAGCCTTATCAGTATTTCATGGTTAAATACTAATGTTTATTTAATGGAACAGCTGCTATGGCTCCTAAGCCCACTAGACCCTCCTCTCTTCTGGCATGTGCAAATCATATTTTTCTTAAATTTTTGTACTGTACAGTTTAGACTGGGCCCATTACGATGCTGCATGAAGAGTTATGGAAATTAATACATAATTCGATCATATTCTTCAGCTCAGAGGATGACTAGCTGGACATCTGCAACGATTTACTCAAACATGGTAAAAAAGTGTCTCATTAATGCAGTTTTTACAGAGTCGTGTTACAGAAAAAGGGCAGCCAATTTTGTTTATTGATCGTAATAACAGACTGCATTGGGTTTGTAGTTCCAAAAATGTTTGCAGTTGGAATGAGTGTCCAGCTCCTCCACATACATATACAAATATAACATCTCGGAGCATATCTTGTATTAGCAGAGCAGCTGTTGTCTGCAGTGGCAATAAAAGCTTAGCAGTTGTCAGTTTCCAGACTGGAGTGGCAGAGACATGGTTATATGCATGTGTAGTTCAAGGACAACGGGACCCATTTCAGTTATTTTTGTTGCTGGTGATACCGACATTGGAATTGATTTTGCTATGTTTGTGTGACAGCTTAGATATTGAAACAGAGATGTACCCTACCTGTGCACAAGTGGCTCAAACAGATGGTAAAACAATCAGTACTTGGTAGGGATGTAACAATAACCGAAATATCGTGATATCGTATCATCAAAGTTCTCACAATAATATTTTGGACCATCACAATATATCAAATTACAAGTCTCTTTGCTTAAATCAAGAGTTATGGTGCAGAAATAGCTAAAAAAACAAAAAAAAAACAGAGGGAACTCCATAGACTACAATCCTTTGCTCCATTTCACTGTAGACTACAAGAAGAAATAATAATTCTAAGCACTTTTAAGTCTTAGCTCTTTGGATTGAGTCTTGTCAAGGCATTTTAAGAGGAAAAAGTAGCATATTAACAGAAAATATCGCAATAAATATTGTACCGTGAGATGTACATTGTGAAAACATCGTAGTGAGAGATTTGGATATTGTTACATCCCTAATCATGAGCCTCCCCAACATATCGTGAGCTTTCCCAAGATATCGCAATAAATATCGTACCATGAGGTTCATAACGTGACAATATCGTATCGTGAGACTTGGATATCATTGCATCCCATGTACCTGGTAGTTTGATCCTAGCTCTAACCATTAGATTCTGCTGTTGGGTCCCTGAGCAAGACACTTTGCCAGCTTACCTGTGTGTATGTAGTGTGTGTGATTGATGATGTTAAAGAGGCTGTTGGGACAGAATGACCTCGACAGCCTTACCACAAAGTGTAAGGAGAGAATGAATAATTACTGCCCATTATGTCTCTGGTGTGCAGGGCAGTGGCCAAGTCTCTCCATCTCTGTCCGTGTTTTGCCTTGTCCTGGATGAGGCCCCATGTGACGTTTTGTTTTTTCATTTCTGCTTCCACTGTCAGTGTCAGGTGTTCTTGGACATCCCCTCTTTTGCTTTCCCCCAGGAGTCCAAAAGGGCATTTTTTTTTTTTTTTTATGATGATATCACTGCAGCAACCAGGTCCATCGTCTTCTCAATATGACTGCTGGCATATTATCTTAAGAGAGAATGAATAATGGCTTTAAAACAAATCATTGTTAGGAGAGGCAATAAAACTCAGACAGTGTTATTATTAGCAGTAAAAGACAAAATCTCAACCTGTTTGCATGGGAAATAAGATTTAAGCAAAAAAATGTGCATCTGTCCATCTCTAATAACATAATATAAGATTATAAAATATTGTGTTGTTTCCCTTTCTTTTATCTGAATTTGATATCTTTCTTTTTTCCTTACTTAATTAGTCACACATTACATTTTTCTGCAGTAAATATGTTCCTAGTTCACTCAGGCTTTCCCTTCTTCATATCTCTTCCATTGGACGTCCTCACGTACAGTGTTGACAGCTCTGCCATGGAGTTCTCGCGAGAGAATGCTCCGCAATGTTTACTAGCAGTATTTATTAGAAGCAGTCTCCTCCTCCTGTCACTCCTTTGGGCTCCGGCTTTGTGAATATTTAGTCGGCGCACTGCTGGGAGGAGGCATCACCGACATTTCATCTGGAGCAGCTGATCGGAGACACATCTCGATCGGAAACGTGCGATCCACGGCCCGCGGCTCGTGGTTTGCGTGGTCAAGAGCCAGGCCAGAAAATACGAGCAAGTGCGAGCAAGTAGGCTCTGGGGGGCTTCGTGAGCAGCAGCCAGGTATGCCATGCATTCATTTTTATATATTTTATTTGACTTTGTAGCTTTTTAAACAGCACATTTAACATTGCAAATGTGTGCGCCTTGCGTCTCCCGCCTATGTCTGCTGCGTGTCTCATCTCACTGTCATGACTCTGATGGACTGCTTGTCCTTAAATCTGTGCGACATCAGCGGTAGCCATGGTTACTGCGGTTTTTTCCCGGTCACCCAATTAATCTATTAGTGGGACTTATGTTCATTTCACTGCATGTCACGTCTGAATATTTTGAGAGCGATCGTATCATTGTAATAAGAGGCAGCCTCTGTAACAGGCATCCCTTGGGCTGGCACGTGCATAAAGCATTATAAACTACATCACATCCTGCAAATATTATAGCCTTGTTTAAGTTTCATATGAATTAGGCTATTTGTTTTTATTTCATTCACCGGTTTTACTAGGCTCATGCAGGCATATATGAAATGGCATATGGTTGCTTATATACAAAATGCTCTCCTTTTTACTTAGTGTACTTTGTTTTTTGTTTCTTTCAATTGAAGCAAGAAAAAATATGCACCTTATTTGATTTAATTATAGGATGCTATAGGATGCTCTGTTCTTAAACATGCTGCAACACTTGTAAGCCTGTCTCACTCTCACTTATTCCCTCTTGTTACTTGGTCCCATATATTCATATAGCATGACGTTCTGCTGATTGCAAGTGAATTTTGGATCCATCTTGTAGAATTACACTTTTTCTTGATCTGCGTGACAGCCTTCTCCATTGTACTCTGCTCTCTGCATTCAGGGCTACAGTGTCCTGGCTTCAGTGTGTAGGCTGCTCACTGTAAATGCATGTGGACGAAGTGGCTGTTTGGATTTGAGTGTGCGTTTGAAAGGCTGAGCGCACTGAATCTCTGCTCCACCCTCCATGGCAAGCAATGGATTTATTGCTTCAGCGAGCCATAAACTAAATGCAATTTTGGCAGGTAGCAGTGGACCTTTTCACTTTTTCAGCAGAATTTGTGCCAAGGCCTAATGCAGCATAGCAATATTAATTATTGGTTATAAATGGTATCCAGAGCAGTGCTGCCAAACTTACTTTCAATTTTCAAAAGATACAAATATGAAGACTTTGCCTACCTGTAGATTGGGTAATAGAGCCAAATATAGTTGAACTGTCCTCAGATTTTGGTATGAATTAAATATGCTCTTATCAAGTAGTGTATGTAATTTTCAGTTATTCCTTACTTGTTGTGGACCATGTATTTGCTCTGTTTAATGGCATGTTTTGTTTTGAGTTGTATCAGAGATGTAAGATGGATTACCAGTCTGTAGATGGGATATCTTAGCCCTGTATTCATATCTGCAATAGTCAGTTTGTTATTACAGTCTGTCCTGGTGGATGTCTAAATGATTCAATAGCTTTGAGTTATTTCTCCATTTGTCAGCTAATCGAATGTGCAGCACAGGTGCCTTTTGGTGCACACAAAAGTAGCTTGCTCTTAACAGTAATTTACAAGGCATCACCACGGCGGAGTCTGAGCCAGCACCGCTGATTCTGAGGAGGCATTAAAGTCCACACACAGACCTAATGGAGCCACTACAGAACACAGCATGGACATATGTCTTTGCCCTCAGTACTGTAAATCTTTTTTTTATTACATCTCCCATTAACCTTTGCGTCAGGCATTCTGTCATTATACTGTGCAGCAGTGCCTATATTGTTGATGCACCATGTGACAGTGTTTAAACTCTAGATTGTAATTATCCTTTTACTTTAAACATTGGCATACATAAGCCTTACATGCATAATATATTGTAGTCAAGGCAGACATGACTGTACATTTGCTTGTACTCATCTCGTCCACCTTTCATTCATGCAGCGGATCAATACAACCTCAGGTGCTGCACATATGTACAGATGTGTGAGCAGCCCCTGTCTGCTATAGCACACCATTATATTACCATCCTATGTTATATTTGATCATAAAACCCCATATTTTTGACAATAAAGATAAAAATGTTGGGCCTGTATGTGTACAGTAAAAGGGTCTATCCTGGAGAGCACAGCCCCTCCCCCACAGAAACCAATCCTGCTGTGAACTTCATACACAAATTCTTCAGTCTAATTTGAGAAGTGACACACTTTCTCCCCACCCCCTGAGTGTCAGTGGACGGACTTCCTCACACGCCTCCTTTTCCATGCTCTCCTTCCCCTCTGACATGTGTTCTCTGCGTACCCCTTATACACTGCACTGATGCAGTTTTGATGGGGCCTCTACTCGGATGCACCTGCTGCTTTTCTACTCACTGGCCCAAAATTTTCCACGAGCCTCAAATACTCAGGCAGGTAGGGGAGGAGTGGGTGAGTGGAGACGATTACGGTAAAATAGATGGCAGATGTCCATCATAATTACTGTTGATGTTTGGCCAGTATAAAATGAATCATTCTGGGTATAACATTGTTTCAGTGCTGGCTGTAAGGCACATTATCTCCAGACAAGGCCAGAATAACAATTGGGTTGTAGGTGTGCAAAATGCAGTTTTATTCAAAGCACTTTATCCCTCAGTGCACTGCTGCATTGGAACATGGAAACACTACATACAAATGGAAAGTCAAGCATGAGCTCTATCGGCCGTTGCAGAGTATGATATTTTCTGACAGAGAAACTGACACATGTTGTGTTTACAAATCACTGATCTCAATTCTGACAATGCTGTCATCTGCACAAATCTGAAATAAAGACAATTGTTAAACTCATGGTACATCTCAAAGAAAGGATGTAGAAGTAAAAGTTGTAGCTGGATATAGTCATCCTGCTCCTGTCAGGTGGTTGTAAAGGAGGCCCTGTTTATGTTTTGTAATGTATGGTTGTCATAGTGACAGGATTAGTTTGCGCGGGGTAAGGGATATGCCTCAGCTGTGTGAGTGTTTGTATAGATACTATTTCTGAACACGGTCCCTCTCAGTTTGAGATCTATTTTGGCGATGTCACCTTTCCCTTGTCCTCACACTCTCCAACAAACAGGTTCTCCACCCAGCACTACCATTGTGAAAAAGGACAGTATGCACATTACACAATTAATTGAAAGAACTGCATTATTACAATATTCATTAAGTGAAAGGGTGGCCCACCCCATTTCAGCAAATAATATTTTGGTAACTTGTAATTCCTACATTTTTATAGTTTATTAAGAAGGATTCAGGCTTAGCTTAGTAACTATTTAATTAATACCCTGACCCAACCCATGAATCATTCTTACACATATTGTAAGAGATTATCATGCACAATCAACTTTTTGGAGCTTTCTACCATGCATGTTTCAGTAATCTAGTGATCTCTCTCAGGCCTTATAAGAACTCAAACCCTTCTTACGGTCAGCAGTACAATCCTATCCAAAGCTCAGCCCACAAACCCCAAATGTCACCAAAGCTCCCACACCGCAATATATCACAAAAGCATGATACAAAACAATCCACTACACCTTCACAAACCTGATGGGATGTACAGTCGTTTTAGCAGCGAATGCACGATGCTTGAAATGTGATAGTGCTCTGAACGGCAAGTGACAGAGAGCAAAAGGAGGAGGGAATCAGAGCATCAAAAAGGAAACTGAAACTTATTAAACAAGATAATGCATTGTTTTTAGCAAATATAGCATTTTCAAGGCAATAAAAAGTAACATGGTGATCTAAATATGTCTAAAGTATATTAAGTGTAAGTGTAATTAAACCCACTTTTATCATCAGGCCTTTTTATGAAATGTTTCTATTTTTATGTGTGTATCTTTTCTTTGTAGTTTCTGTATTTTGTTTTTTTTATCTTCTGGGTTGTTGTTGTTGTGAAGCACTTTGTAGACTTGGTATTTCTAAACAGTAACACATGCATCATATATTCATTGCATTTTATATTGTTACACTGAAAGAGTATTTTGCTTTTTTACTTAATAGTTAATAAAACTGCACCTTTGTTTCGGCTCAAATGTGAAAGAAACAGCATTTTCCTGCAGAGCTATTGTGTTTCTAATAGTGAAGGCGTGTTACAGTGAAAGGAGTGTAGCCCTGACATGATTATCTGTGTTGTGCAGCTACAGGAGTCTGCCTGGTCTGGGTCTGTCTTTAATATTTAATAGTGCCCTGCCTGGCCACCCACATTTACCCTCTCACGACTGTGCCACAAGTTCACATCTGACATAGGACATGAGCATTAACATTTCAAAAACAACGATTACACAATGCAATAGTGCTCACAAATATGATATTTGAGGACATTTTTGCTGTTATAATGACTTGCAAAATGTGTTGTGAGATATTTTAGATGCACTTGTTCGGTTTGTATACAGATGTTTGCTTTTTAACTCACAGATTGCTGGTTCGATCTTTTGATTCCCCACTACTGGGATGATGTTTTGGGGCAATACACTTCATAAGATATAAGACTGGAAGCAAAAGAAAAAATCTGTTTTAATTTTGCTATGGATCTGACCTGGACAACTGCAGGATTAGACATAAGGCAGCAAGATTAATCACAAATGACAGTCACAAGTTGAACAGTCACAACAGCCAAATGTCAAACTGTGCTGTTAAGGTAATATAATGGCCATTGATTGGTTAATGCTGTCTTAGTTAATCAGATGTTTTTATTAGTTGCCTGTAGGGATGAAACAATAACTGAAATACTGTGATATTGTATTGTCAAAGTTCTCACAATAATATCGTGGACTGTCACAATATCGAATTACAAGTCTCTTTGCTTAAATTAAGAGTTATGGTGCAGCAATAGCTAAAAAAGACAGAGGGAACTACATAGACCATGATCCTTTGCTCTATTACAGTGTAGACTACAAGAAGAAATAACAGTTCTAAGCACTTTTAAGTCTTAGTTCTTTGGATTAAGTCTTGTCAAGGCATTTTAAGAGGAAAAAGTAACATATATTGTAATAAATCTTGTACCGTGAAAGGTATATTGTGAAAATATTGTACCAAGAGATTTGGATATTGTTACAGCTCTAATCGTGAGCGCCCCCACCATAACGTGAGCTTTCCCACGATATCGCAATAAATATCGTACAGTGAGGTTCATATCTTGACAATATCATATCATGAGACATGGACATCGTTACACCCCTATCCATTCATCCATCCATTTTCGTCCGCTTATCGTCCGGGTCGCGGGGGCAGCAGCTTAAGCAGGGACTCCCAGACTTCCTTCACCCCAGACACGTCCTCCAGCTCCTCCGGGGGGACCCCGAGGCGTTCCCAGGCCAGCCGAGAGACATAGTCCCTCCAGCGTGTCCTGGGTCTTCCCCGGAGCCTCCTCCCGGTGGGACATGCCCGGAACACCTCCCGAGGGAGGCGCCCGGGAGGCATCCGGAACAGATGCCCGAGCCACCTCAACTGGCTCCTATCGACGTGGAGGAGCAGCGGCTCTACTCCGAGCTCCTCCCATGTGACTGAGCTCCTCACCCTATCTCTAAGGGAGCGCCAAGCCACCCTGCGGAGGAAACTCATTTCAAGCACTTGTATCCACAATCTCGTCCTTTCGGTCACTACCCAGAGCTCATGACCATAGGTGAGAGTAGGAACGAAGACTGACCGGTAAATCGAGAGCTTCGCCTTTCGGCTCAGGTCCCTCTTCACCACAACGGTCCGATACAGTGACCGCATCACTGCAGACGCTGCACCGATCCGCCTGTCAATCTCACATTCCGTCCTCCCCTCACTCGTGAACAAGACCCCGAGATACTTGAACTCCTCCACTTGTTGCCTGTTATTAACATTACAAGTTTTTATACACAGTTGCAGAAAAGAGAAAGTATGGATTATGTTTAGCTGGGATTTTGAGAGAGACTGCACAGTTTAAATGAGCTTTTTAACTGAAGATGAAACTTCTCTTCGACCTGTTCTGTCTATAGTCATCAATCGTATAACATTTGCATGCTATTAATTCATTATTTAAATATTTTCCCCCAGTATTATTCACTCACTGTGTCTGAGTTGAAGAGTTAAAATGGCACATTGCTGTTAAAAATGTGAAGTGTCTCCCATTGAGTGTTAAACCCATGTGCTGTCCTTTTTAAATGTCAGCACAGCAGACACCCAGCAGACATTGATATTGATATTTAATATGTCAGACTGCGAGTGATGACACCTTAGTCCTGTCTCATTTTCCATGTAATGAATCTGTCTGGGTGAGTGTGCTCAGTCTCCACGTGAATCCTCTTTATTTTCTGGCTCTTTGCAGGTCTAAGGGAAGCAGTCCTCACTCGGTCCCTTCTTGCGAGTCCTGCCCACATTTGATCACCATGAAGACTTCCACTTTGCTCCTCCTGTCCCCCCTCCTCCTCCTCCTCCTCTTTGTACTCCTGCCCAGTGTCTCCGCTCAGAGTGATCAGGACCTGGAGGTGCAGACCAATGCCGGGAGGGTGCGTGGGGTCCGGATGCCAGTGCCGGACCGGGGCTACGTCATGGCGTTCCTGGGTATCCCCTTTGCCGAGCCGCCACTGGGGAAGAGGCGGTTCCGTCCCTCCGAGCCCAAGCGCCCGTGGTCAGGGGTGTATGAAGCAGTGGCCTACCCCAACGCGTGCTACCAGTCTGTGGATATGACGTTCCCGGGCTTTCAAGGCAGTGAGATGTGGAATCCCAACAGAGAGATGAGTGAGGACTGTCTGTACCTGAACGTGTGGGTGCCCTCCTCGCCACGGCCTCAGAATCTGACTGTGATGGTGTGGATCTATGGAGGAGGTAAATGACTACACTGTTTAAATGCGCTGTGTAACTAATGGAGGGTCCGACCTTTTCTTTTCTCCGTGGAGATTTTATTGCTTTGCCTGGAATGTTCCACAGTATGACATTAAATCTATCTATCTCCATGGAGAAAAGCAAGTGGCTAGATCTCTGGAAAGCCAAAACCATTCACTCTAAAAATGAGTTTTTTGAGGTACCTTTGAACAATAAGTGCAAGATAAATAAGTTCAGTGCCAGACTTTGAACCTTTCAGGCAAAGTAATATGATCTCCATGAAGACAAGCAGGTCATGAACCACCAGAAAAGTTACATAATGTACAAAATTTTGAAAGAGCTGAATTCTTTCCACCTACATCTGAATTATTTCCATGAAAACATGACCAAGACCAGAACCTGAGCCACCACACTCTTGAAAATGTTGTCTATGAATTATATAGTAACAATTATCAGGACCCCAATATTAGAAGTCCTTCCAGAAATGTAAATTAAATGTGTGACGTGTCTTCTCAGGCTTCTACAGTGGGTCCTCTTCTCTGGATGTGTATGATGGCCGTTACCTAGCCCACAGCGAGACAGTGATTGTGGTGTCCATGAACTACCGAGTGGGTGCCTTTGGGTTCCTTGCTCTCCATGGTTCTTCTGAGGCTCCTGGAAATGTCGGCCTGCTGGATCAGAGACTGGCTCTCCAGTGGGTACAGGAAAACATTCACTTTTTTGGTGGAAACCCAAAACAGGTTTGTAGCATTGCACCTGGAGAACAGTGAGTAATACGAGTGAGTGTTCGGCACACCGACTGTTTTCTTGCCAACAGGTCACGATATTTGGCGAGAGCGCTGGCGGAGCATCAGTTGGATTCCACCTCTTGTCTCCAGGGAGCCGGCCCACCTTCACCCGGGCTATCCTCCAGAGTGGAGTTCCTAACTGCCCCTGGGCGTCTGTGAGCCCTGCGGAGGCCAGGAGACGAGCCACAATGTTGAGCAAACTGGTGGGCTGCAACGGGGGCAATGATACAGAGATGGTGGACTGTCTTCGCAGCAAAACTCCGCAGGAACTGATCGACCAGGAGTGGCTGGTAGGCAAAGCTTTTCTCCTATGGATGCTGTTTGGATCTGTGTTTATACTGTAGTCCTTTATAGAGTCCCCCCTGTATTTACCCTTTTTTCATATATGTTATTGTGGGGGCTCCTGCTGTTTACAGTTTTAAAAATGTGAAAAACAACTAGTTTGTCTTAAATGCCTTGCCTTCGTCCAAAATTATTCCTCATTTACATATTATATTTTAAGCATGCACATTTTTCATAATGAGTTTATAAGCGCTTTTCACAACTTTCAGAGGTCAGAGGTGAGTTTTGCTGTTGTGTTAATGACATCAACAACTATGATGCTAACAGCGTATTTTCTGATTCTCGGGCAATAAAAGCGTGTTGGAATTAATTTGATGCCAGCCATATATAGCAGACTTATCTAGACACATTTTGCTGAACTATGTACTGGGAAAAAATCCGGTACAACATTTAAACCTTCAATTCGAGAGCACCTAGATTTGTCATGATACGTGATTTTAATTTCTAAATGTATCTCTTCAGGTCCTGCCATGGTCTGCCATTTTCCGCTTCTCTTTTGTACCTGTTGTGGATGGTGACTTTCTACCGGACACTCCAGAGGCCATGCTCAACTCAGGAAACTTCAAAGACACTCAAATTCTGCTCGGAGTCAACCAAGATGAGGGCACCTACTTCCTGCTCTACGGTGCTCCAGGATTCACCAAGGACAGTGAGAGCCTTATTTCCAGAGATAACTTTCTCGAAGGTAAGTCTTATTGAATTGTGTATGTTTTGTGACAAACTCTCCCCATAAACCTTGTCTAATGTTGATGTCCAGGTGTTAAACTCAGTGTACCTCATGCTAACGACATTGGCCTGGAGGCTGTGGTGCTGCAGTACACAGACTGGATGGACGAGAACAGTGGAGAAAAGAACCGAGATGCGCTGGATGACATTGTTGGAGATCATAATGTCATCTGTCCGCTGGCCCACTTTGCCCGCACCTACGCCCAGCACAATGCCCTCAAATCTAACACTGGAGGGGGCAACAGCGGTGTGGTGAACAGCGGAGGAGGTGACACACTGCACACACCAGTGATAAAAATGCATTTAACATTTAACATGAGAAGTATTTTTATTGCTAAAAAAATTTTTTAAACATGTTTGCTTTCTACGAGCGAGATTGCCACTCCACAGATCTGACTAATTACTTGGCCTGGTGAATGGTTAATAGTATTATTAGAACTAATTGATACAAAAAAGAAAAAAGTAGTCTGTTTGTATAGTATACAGACAGAACAATTATTTCCAACTTATTAAAAATTATTGTACAATATGTGTGTAGGCGGGGTCTTCCTCTACCTGTTCGACCACAGAGCGTCCAACCTACCCTGGCCTGAGTGGATGGGTGTCATCCATGGTTATGAGATCGAGTTTGTATTTGGGCTGCCTCTGGAAAGGAGACTCAACTACACTCTGGATGAGGAGAGACTCAGCCGCCGTATGATGAGATACTGGGCCAACTTTGCACGGACTGGGTGAGAGCAACATCCTTTTGTGCACCAATATATTACAGATTATAATAAATAATATGAGATATGAGAGTTTAATGTGTTTTGTCCATAGAAATCCCAACATAAACCATGATGGGATGATGGAGAGCAGGAAGCGCTGGCCTGTGTTCACACTGACGGAGCAGAAACATGTGGGACTTAACACTGAGCAGCTGAAGATTCACCGGGGGCTGAGGAACCAAATGTGTGCCTTTTGGAACCGCTTTCTACCTCGGCTCCTCAACATCACCGGTAAAGCCCTCCATCTGCACTCTACACCATAAAGCCTAATCTGCAATAAAATTCAACTAAATATTAGTCTGCTATTGTTATGATTAATTGGATTCACTTGTGTTTTGTGTCATATAAAAATCATATACAAATCATGTTACTCTAAGCAGTCATCTTGTCTCCTTGTTTGTTGCAGACAACATTGACGAAGCTGAGCGTCAGTGGAAGGTGGAATTCCACCGCTGGTCCTCCTACATGATGCACTGGAAGAGCCAGTTTGACCACTACAGCAAACAGGAGCGCTGCACTGACCTCTGAGTGCCCCAAGAGAAAAAGAGTGCAGGGGAGAAGGGCACAGAGAAGAGCTATGGCCATTTTCCTCCGTAGTCCCTCAGTGAAGTGTAACTTCATTCAAAAGCTTTTCGGGTTCAGTAAACAGAGTCACAGGCACTGTGAATTTTCTATTTATTTATATATTTATTTTTATTTAAGTTTGTTTTTGTTTGTGACTCTATAGAAATGAGGGGTTATGGTGGGAACTTGTCATCAATGTAGAGAAATGTCAAAGCTGTGTCATTACCTCGTGTGTATGTGTGCGTGGGTGTGTGTGTGGGTGTGTGTGGGTGGGTGTGGCTTGAATCAAATCTCAAAGGTCCATGACGGTGCACCAGTGCTGGCTTCACTTGTTTCTGTCAGTGTTTCTACTAACTCTCCACATCAGGGATTTATTTGGACTCAAACATATGTGTCATTTGTGTCAGCCTCTGCTGCTATGATCTGTACATGCCAAACATATTATGAGTGAAGCTATGTGAAATGTAGATTATTGTTGTAGACACTACACATCCAGCATGTCATGAGCAGAAACAAACCTCCTGTCCTGTCTGTACCTGTGTTCTTCTGGCAGTGCTTTCAGAAGTAAGCTTTATCTCCCACATGCAATGTCCCATTGTCGGCCACTCAGATACTTAGTAAGGAGCCTCGTATAAGCTATGGTGGAAGACAGGTGATGGGCATCAGCATTGGGCAACAGAGGGAGAAAGCCAGCCATTGCTGCTTTGCAGCATATATTGTTGTTAATCTGAGACCTGTACTTTTCTTTGATATTATATATCATGATAGCATACAGTCCAACTGGCTGTCTAAGTGCTATACAGCAAACTCCTTATTTTGTTCCCCATATGGTTGGGCTGCAGTGGATGTATCTTTTTTCTTGTTGTTGTTGGTCCCTCCTTGTGTCTTGCGTCTGCCCTTGTGTCATGCGTCTGTCAGTCTTTGGTCGACCCTGTGTCCCGCCTCTCCATCTTCGTCCTCTTTAATCTTGCAGCTGTCCTCTCTGTCTCCTCCTCGCCCCTTTTCTGCTCTCCGTTTCATCCTTCACTCCTACCCTCCTCCTCTTCCTCACTCTGGTCCCTCTTCATCAGATCCAACTTTTCCCTCCCTTGTCATCTTGTGCCCACTCTTGTTCCGTATCTATCGCTGCTCCCCTCCCCCACTTGCCCCCTCCCTGCTCCTTCCTTGTGCTTTCTCGTTAGTCTAATGGAGGCAGAGTAATTCACTGAGCCACAGGATAATGTGACAGAGCGCTGGCTCAGCCTCTGGCCTGCCAGCTAACAGGAACACTGGATGGATAGATGGGCGGAGGGTTGGATGCGGAAAAGCTAGACGAGGGGCAGTAAGAGGGAGGAGAGCTGGAGGGCAGATGATTCGATTAAAGATGACAGCCAAAGAAATGCACTGTTGCATAACTCAACTACAAACTTTAAACTATACTGTTACCTATTATCAAGTCAAAACTGGGTGAGTGTTTTTGTGTTCTGTAGGTGTGCTCACCTCAGTAAGGAAAATAAGATAGAGGAAAGGGTAGGGACATTTTGTGGCATTTATGAGAATGTGAACTAAAGGCATGGGACTCTGATTGCTCACAACCAAATACTCTAAGGCTGACAAATGAACAGTATATTTGTGTTTTAGTAATCTCATTAGCATCTTAATTGCATTTTTGTAATTATTTCTGAAATATGTCTAAGAAACCAAATTGATTTGAGATTTAGAACAATCAAATGTGGCGTAAGTCTTCATCGAGTGTATAAGTGATATTATGTCTGCGGCCTGGCTCTGCTTGTGTGTGTCTCTGTGTGTTACATGGTACCTGTGTCTCCTCCCTTTAATAAATGTATGTGTGTTCCAATATAGCCACCGCACTATCAGTCCAGTTTGTTGCCATTTCCATGTAAACATTGGGAGAAAGTTGTTCCTGCGCTGTGATTGATGGATGATTGTCCCAATGAAGTGCACTGTGTTGGCATGTAAAGCTATTTATGGACTGGAATAGTATAGTCTAGCTTAAAAAAACAAAAACAATTGTACCAGACAATGAACATACCAGTAATGATGAATGCATGTATGATTGGCAGAGTGAGTGACAGCTCTTCCCATCGAATGGGAGACCACGCTTAAGCCCCAACCCGTCCCCTTGGCCTTCTCCTAAACAAACCCCTGTGCATGCCCTTGTGTCCTGCCAAACCCGGACTGTTATTTTATGTAAAGTTTGTACTTTTCAACAAAGCTATTTACCAGAGTAACTAATATATCTGTAATGTTTTATGTTTGATGTTAGCAATAACATAAATGCATAAGTTAAGGAATATATTTGATATTTAAATGCAATGGGAATATAACTATAATGATGGATAGAGGTTGTGTTTTGAAGCAATATTATCCTACGTATAAACTGAAATGAGTGCCATAAACCTTTTTATCGTGCTTTCAGTTGATTTGACTGTGTGTCAGTCCTCTGCCTCACTGTTGTTTGTTCCAATCACTAGTACTGTAAGTGTTCCCACTACGTCTCCGTGTATCATGAATGCTGACTTGGTTAAGCTATAGCAGAATAAAGACACACTGCTGCTTCTGTCCAACAAAAGTCTTTTATTTTATTTATTTATTTTTACTCTTACTACTTCACATGCCACAGTTTTGTAGGCTAATATAAGGTATATTAAATATCAATAGTAAGTTCTTATCGATCAGTATCTTAATTTGAACAATATATTTCTGTGAGATCAATAGTCATTAAATGCCTCCCCTGGGAAAAGTACAAAGGTCCTAAACATAAACATTAGGCTGGAAGGGTTAGCTCAGGGTCAATATGTAATGTCTCTATTAGGCCTAACTTCAACATAATGGGAGGTTGAAACTAAAAGGACTGAACTTATCATTGTTATTATCCATGGAAATAGTAAAAAATGCAGGCTAATGCACGTTTACTGGGTAATATATAGTACTGTTCTGAGGCTGTAGTCAAGAGAGAATAAGAAAATCCTATTCCCTCACTGTTAGTGTTTCACATAGTGTTTAAATTAGGTTGCTATGTCATGTTCATTTTGTCTTATACAGGCCTACTGCCATCACCTGGCCATTATTGGAATTGAAAATGCTTTGTAGTTAAAAAGATGATTTAAACAGTTAGTTATATATATGTTTCCTAAACTTTCCCATATGTTTCCTAAACTTGCAAGTTAAGGACTGCTACCACCAACCCATGTTTTCACACATCAGGTCTAAATCATTAGCTCCAGAAGGCACAGTCCTCCTCACCTCCTCCACTCAAAGACCCGTGTTCCCCTGTCAGAGCAGCAGTAAAGTTCACCTGACTCACGCCTTTTACACACAAGTGCTTACTTTTTCAAAATAAATGTGCTCAACTTTGGCTCTACTAGCATGTAAAAAGAAAATATTTAATATATGGATGACAATAATGGCGTGCTAAGTAAATAGTAAATAATTATTTTAATAGATCGATGATAGTAAACTAAAAGACTGGACCAAAATAAAATAGAAGGAGGAGGAACGTGGACCGGAAGTTCGCGTGCTGCTTCAGTATTGACCGATTGTTTCGGGTGCGTGAAATTCCTTAAGTTTGAGTCTTTTGTCCGACTTTCCAGTGCTTGAGATTCTTTCATTGTAACAGCCACAAAGGTGAAATCCTTTTCCACACCTCGAGCTTCGTTTGGCCGCAGACACTCGGGCTCCGGGCCGCTGTTTTGGGCGTTTTTCTGAAGACAACAGAGGAAAAGTGTAACTCGGATGGACAGTAAGAGCAGGAGAGTCTGAAGAAGGAGGTATGTGGCAACACTCCCAACAAGGCCACCGACGACAAGCTCCACAGGACTGCTAAGATTAGAAAAACGGTGAGGATCGTCTTCTGCGAGTAAACATACTTCAGAATGTTTTATTATATTTATCTCTAGGTTTAGACATAGAGATAAATATACTTTAAGTTTAAGATACAGAGTGGCAGAGCCTAAGGCATCCAACCAACTAAGAAAGACCAATCACGTTCAGTGTTTTTTTAAGTCATTTAGTTTATTAACATTTTGTTATGAGTTATTAACCCACCTGGTTGTTTATATCTACAAAAAAGATCGGCCCAATAGTTTCAGTGCAGCACTGGTTGTAATAGTAAACACTACAGGCCTGCAATATAAAGAAGTACAAAACTACAATAGATTCTAAGACATACTTTACCCATAATTGAATGTCCTGTTAAGTTGTTATGAGCTAAAGTGGTTTAAAGTAAGTTATTATTACCAGAATTACTGTCCCCAGCACCCACAGCTGATTCCACAGACTTTGAAGTCAGCAGGTTGTCACTAGTACACAGTAAAGTACATTATGTTACAGGTACTTCACATTGTTTTCATTTTGGTATAACACAATTAATACTTGAGTCTTAGTAATACTGTGTAGACATCACCAGGCTAGAAGTAAAAGATACCTAAATATTTGCCTTAACACTTAACACACCGGTAGTGCCTTGGGCCAGAGGTTCTTCATCTTTTTGCCCTTAAGCATCACTGCCTTAAGTGACACGTGTTTACATTCTATGTGTGTTTACATAGCTGCACATCTTTTCTAAACTTTTTGGTCACTTGTTGCCATGTAATTACATGGCAGTAAGGATTGGTTTACAAGTTCTTATGTTATTGCATTGTACTTAATGTGAGAGGTACATTGAATTAAGGGTAGTGTAAATAACATTTTAAAATCCAATTATAAAAATGTAACTAAGTAGTCAAAAGTTTAAATTTGTGGGGACTCCTTTAGTTGACTTTTAATTTGTATTTTCAGATGGAGGTGGAAGGGGAGAAGGAAAGATTGCAAAGGGATGAGAAGGAGTACAATGAGGCAGAGACGGACCGAACAAGTGATGAAGAGGAAGAGGAAGATTCGGAGGGAGCCACTTTGCTCTGGCAGGAGGGGTACAATGAGGACAACGAGGGACTTCCCATAATGCACTGGGAGGCCCTGAGTTTACGCATCGCCGAGCTGGAGAAGCAGGAGGAGGAGCGTAGAGAGAAGAACGCAAAGGTGGGTCACTTCAAAACATCTCCTCACATTTAAGTGCACTTACCATAACAATTAAAAAATCATCAAACTAAATAAATTCTCTTTTGACTTACATCTTGTCCTGTAAGTTCAAGCAAACTAAACCAAAGTTAGTTATAATTCTACAATTATACGGCATGTGAAGTGAAATCCTCTAGCTATGGTAGTCCTGACCCAGCGTAACTCAAAATCTGGAGATCTGTCCTTGGTGAAGTGCGTCACTGTGCTACACACTGCTCCTGACAGGTCGCCCCAGTGGCACTGAAAGTTGGTAAAATGCAGAAATCAAATTTCCCTACAGGGACAATTAATACTGATTTTAACGTATACTCATCTCATAAAATTCCATGTATATACCATCAGTATCTGTTCTTTTCATTATTTTTTGGTGTTTCCTATAAGGTTCTACTTGATGAGACTATGATACTGTATCTCCCCCATTTTATCATTTTGTTCACATGAAAGCATTGAAAACCTGACATTATTTTACGTATAATAACCTGTAGAAGTGGTATTCCTTTAGGCTGGAGGTTCACCAGATAATAGCTGGATGGAGGACAGAGGTACCAGAGCAGAGAATTGGGACTATGAAGATGATGCCTGCAACAGTCACGTAATGGCCCTCACCTCTCGGTACTATTTACACATATGATACTGCTCATGTAATGTTGTATGTAAACAGGTATGTAACAGTCACTTTGTGTGTTCAGACTTCAGACCCAGATGAACCTGCAGCTTTGCTTCATTAACAACAGTGAGAGTGAGGAGGAGGAGGAAAAGGAGGAAGGCAGTAGTAAAAAGGATGCAACCAACAACAAGGTAACTAGTAGGATTGTATTTTAAGTACTGAAAATCAGATACTAATCGATATTAACACTAGTATCAAAACTAGATACTCTTTTGAGGAAGTACGGGTAATAAAAAGTCACACTCACAGAACAGAAATGAACCTTTCCTGAATAGCTTTAGAATGATCTTGAGCTGTATCATAACAAGTATTCTTTTATGATACAAGTATCTAAATAGAGTTTGCAATTTCAGTATCATGACAACAATAACACCTTGTACCAAATACCAAGGTTAAGTTTCCTAGTAAAGGCAAGTGGTCAGGAGCCGAACTCTCTCATTGAACCTAAATTTAAACCTGTAAGGTAGTTTGTTTTGTTCCATTTTAGCTGGTGTTGTTTATTTAGTTTGTTTGTACCAATAATTGATCAAGAAACATAATAAATACGAATGGCCTATAAGAATGTTACGTTGTACCTAAAAACCAGCAGCAAATAAATGACAACTACATGTTTTTCAATGTTGTTCAGGAGTCTGCTCAGTCGCAAAAGAATCCCCCACAGCCCACAGCAAAGTCGGACAAGTCATCAAAATCAAAGTCAAAATCAGCCAAATCGGAGAAACCCAAATCATCTCGAGGTTTTAGGAACACACTGCGGAACCTGAGGGACCGACTGAGAACAGACCACAGAACATCGGTAAGACCACTGACTACTGCAAACTCATTATATACAAGATGATAAGAACTATATATTGGATTTATAACCCACAGCCAGCAGTTTATCAGTAAGATTAGTGGGATCACTGTCACAGCAGATTGTTCACACATTTTACATTAGAAACACTCAGTGAAAGGGGAACTTGTTCTGCTGTCAGTAACATTTGGTCTGTAAATCACACGAGCACAAGGGCACAGCATGAGGTAGAAACAGTGAATACAAGTCATTCTTTTAATTTGAATAAAATTAAGGGGTCACATGCCATTTCAACACATGGCATTTGTTTGTAAACTGTTAGTACTGTGTTTCTAATGTCGGTCATTTGTTTTTCAGTCCACTGCTGTTAAAGATGCCGTCATCGAGAGGAGGCATTTAGAGCGTACTGATCTCCAAAACTTCAGTATTAAGGAGTTAAACAAGGTTTCTACCTCTCTCAAACAAACCATACAAGGTAAACATGCTGTATTTTGTATTTCTAGTAGTTCATATAATTTTAAGAATAAACTTTTTTTTTTTATATATATATCTTTTCAGCTCTTTTTCACTAGATCTTGAGTCCATTTGTATCCAAAACATAAGGAACATACAATAACATACAGTACACTATTGACCTGGATAAGATCCTGTTTGCTTACACAGCAAAACAGTTTAAATATATAAAAAGAAAGAGGAAGCCATTGTAGTTAAATATTAGCAAAGCATTTGTAAGATGTGTAACAGGACAATGATGAATTTCACACTTTAGATCCCCTGGTAGCAAATCTAAAGGAAAGAGATGTTCTGTGTATTAATGAAACAAAAGAGCTTTTTGGTATCTAAGTTCATAAATGCTGAGTGACTGCTGTGTGTTCTCAGATCTGAGCTCGGAGCTGGTGGGGCTGCTGCAGATCCGGGACCAGCTGAGGACGGAGCAGGACGCCATGCTGCTGGAGGTGCAGGACCTGACTGCAGTATGAACCCTGTGAGCTCTTTATTCAGGACACTGTCCAAAACACTCACACAGGGGTCAAAACGGTGAACTGTCCCCACATCTGGACTGAACTAACACTTGAAAGAATGTGTCCTCCAACAGGACAGCGGACTGCACACTATTGTTTTGTGTCTTTTAAATGTTTTAGTGTATTTTAAGTCCACTACAGTGTATCAGCACATTTTAAATGTAGAACTCTGTGTGATCTGTGGCAGCTGTGGTAACGAACTAGAGAAACCTGCTCCAGACATTACTTTCAGTGTAGTCAACAATCATAAGGATGACACTGTCCTGTTATTTAAAGCAGCACAATTCAAGCCTGGCTGTTTGTTCAAAGTCTTAGTTGACAGCTATTGTTGTTAACCACTTGATGCAGTCTTGCATCTTTTGTTTGATTGAAACACCATCATTTTATAAGCACCTTTATAGACAGATCCTCTGTTTTGTATTTCAAATGCAGTATTTTACTGTGTAAAAGGGACTTAAGTAGATAAGCTGCTAGTTATTAGTTTTTGTTACGTATGTGTTAGGTTACTTATGCTGTCTTTAACAGGAGCGTATTTCAAAATGTCATAATCACGCATGCCTTGAAAAAGTGTTTATATTGTTATATAACATATGATAAGTGATTGTATTTTTAAAAAGCTTTAACTTTTTTATTCAACAAACATTCACCACTCTTCTTTTCCATTTGACTCATACATTTCCTGATGGAAGTACCAGCTAATCATGACTTTAATTTTACTCTGGTCTGGTGTTGGTATGGCGTCCTTTTTACTGATTGGATAAATGTCTGTCTCATTGCATTGAAAACACTAAAACTGTTACGTAGATGCCCGGTCGTTCCAATTGTATTTTGAGTAAACACAGTCATGTTTGACCTGAAAGAGAAAGTGTAATGTCTTATTACATACACAACACTGACACATGCGCGCAGACAAGAGGGAGTTGAGCTGGATGACACACAGAGGGAGGGACTGTGTCACCATAGAAACATGGGATTGCAGAAGGAGCTGAAAAGAGTGAAAAGTGAAGTGGTCCAAGTGGTCAAGGTCACTAATGGCCTGCTCCTCCACCAACAGAGAGTGACTAGTGTCGCATCAAAGGACTCCACTAAGAAGACTGGATATATTTTTAACACAACAGACAAACTGCTCACCTTTTATTTTGGATGATTTATGTATGGTCTTGTAATTATTTTAATGGGGCAGAGACGACATGAGCCATACGGAGAAACAGGCAGCAGCACAGGTAAGCACTCAGCCAGATGCACATCAGTGATGCAGGTATTTATGAGGTCAGGCCAACTTCATTTACACTGTCACGCTGCTCTTTATGCGTCTGTGAGGACATGCAGACTATTTTTAAGCTCAATCTAGTAAACAAGAACAACCCTTGCCGACTCACTATTGATAAAAAAATAAGAAAAAGTTATGATTCTCACACAAAAAAATCTACTTATAAATATCTGAATTGCTTCCAGTGATGAGTAAACATTATTATAGTATTATATATAGTATTATCATATTTCTACTTTTGATTCATGTCATGGTGACATATTTTACATTGTCTGATTTTTTTAATAATAAACCTTGCACATACCATTTTTCTTCAGCTAAGTTGTACACTCTTCTCAATACACAAGGTGGGAATTTAAATATAAATTATAAACCAATTAACCAATAGTTTAGATATAAATTATAAACCAAGCCTTTAAAACAACCAGTTGGCCTTTTTGGTTGTAAAAGCGCATGTAGACACCAATTTAGTTTGATCCATAATGAAGTTGTATGTCATTAGCAATGACAATTTATAATAATGAATAGCAAAGAATCATTTGAAGGACTAAAAAATTTGCCTTTTGTAGATACATTTATATTAGACAAGACGTTTCATGTTGTTCTAAAACATGTCATGTTACTGGTTGACACATTACCCATATTTACTCGAGCTCAATAGTGCTGGTATAAGCTGCCAATGGCTCACTGAGCATTAGCGGCCGAACACTCGGATGCACCTGTCTGTGTGCTGAGGCTAATATGGATGTCTACAGCTGCCAAAGATGCTCTGGACTCTACACCTGTCACAATAGCACATCATGTGCACTTCAGGTTACACTGACACCAAGAATATGACAGTAAACCAGTATTGAGAAATGATGGGCCAATGGCTGATGAATGGGGATGAATGAGGGAGTGGGGAAGTGTGGTTACTTATTGGTAAGTTAATGGGGTGAGAAGAGACTGAATCAGCAGCATACCCCTGTGCACAGGAAGGCAAACAAGTGCTACATCCACACAGCGGTACACAGGAGGTCAGATTGTGCAACGTCCCCTGTCCCCTCAACCTCCTTTCAGTGTTCTAGGAAATGAGTGGACAAAAAGTGTCCTAGTAATCATGACATTCAGGTGAACAAAGATCAAGAGGCAACAATAAAGAGGATGGTGGCGGATAGTTAGTGGTGTAGGAAGATGTAGGTATAAAATTCACATTACCATTTCTAATAATTGTTAATCTACTCTGTATTTCTATCTCACATTGAGTAACTGACCAAACCTGCTCTTATTTTCTCTTATAGGCCCAATGGACTTATCTGTCTGGAATCTATTCACAAAATAAATAAGTGAATGAGACCCAACACAAGGATGCAGAAGGAAAATACAGGACCACTTTTACATCTAAACACAACAACGCTGTCTCACTCGTCTATCGTCTGAGGACAACTTTTGAAAATGGCCCCCAAAGGAGAACTTCACTCCAACACAAGTGTCACCCCACTCCATGAGCTCCTGAACCTCAGCGGGGCGCCAGTCTCCCCCTCCCCCACACAGCTGGCTCCCTCCTGTAACATCGATGAATCTTACAAATACATCTTCCTGCCCATTTGTTACTCCTTCACCTTCCTCTTTAGCCTGTCCCTGAACTCTGTGGTGCTATTTCGTTCTTTCCGCCAAACCAAGCGCTGGAACGCCTCGTTGATTTACATGGTCAACCTGGCCTCTACGGACTTCATGTACGGTCTATCGCTGCCCTTCCTCGTGGCTAGTTACATCATGAGGGACCGCTGGGTTTTTGGGGATTTCATGTGTCGCTTGGTGCGTTTTCTCTTCTACTTTAACCTCTACTGCTCCATCTTCTTCCTCACCTGCATCTCTGTGCACAGGTACCTGGGCATCTGCCACCCCATGAAGACCATCACACTAGAAACAAAGAAGGCAGTCAAGTTCACATGTGTTATAGTTTGGACCGTTGTATTTGCATTGACTTGTCCGATCTTCCGTTTTGCCCAGACTGGTTCTGTAACAAGATGGACAAGTTTAACCAGCAACTCTAGCTTTCTTTATGGGCAAATCACTGAGGGTTCTTTAATGAATGGGACTAGTAGCCAAAATGGGCCTATAGGTTTCATTGAGGAGTATCAAAACTGTTGGGATGATGCTATAGACAAGGAGTTTTCACTTTATGTCCCTTATGGAATCACTCTGCACTTACTGGGCTTCTTCATACCTTTCACGATCATTGCTTGGTGTTACTCTCACGTGGTTTTGACAATATTCAGGACCTTGCATTCCCAACCTCCCTCCTGCAAATATCCAAAAGACAGAGAAGACACACATAAGTCAAACAGCGATGAGAGAAGAGGGAGCAATGGAGTTAGATGGACAAGAACCACCAGGCAAAATGATGGCATGTCTATTTTCCTTGGTGCCCACTCTCCATATGCCAGTCGCAGGCGCAAATCTATCAAAACCATCATCACCATCACGCTGCTCTTCGCCCTGTGTTTCTTCCCCTTCCATGTGACGAGAACCATCTTCTTCCTCCTCAAAGTGACCAAAGGGGTGCCGTGCAACACTATGACGATGGTGTCCATGTGCTACAAGATCACCAGGCCGCTGGCGTCGTTCAACGCGTGGCTCAATGCCCTCCTCTACTTCCTGACCAAAGACAAAGGAGGGGCTCAGTGCTGTGAAGCAGTCAACACCAACCTGCAGCAGCACGCGGGGGGCCTCCTGGTGCCGCTTAGGGTCAAGGCCGAACCTGAGGAGGACGCAGAGAAAGAAGAGCAATAAAAGACTTTGTGAATTCCTGTTAATAATTTATTAAGAATTCAAATGAATGAATGTTGAATTGAACTGAAAATAGTAACATTTTAATACACATAGTGAGATTGCTGGGAGGATTCTTAAAAGCCTGAGGTATAGGCTACTTGTACTGTGGGAGCAACCCTTTAAAAAATGAAATTACTTAAATCTAGCATTGAGTACAAATGGCTCCTTGTCATGCCAAAGAGTAATTAAAACAATCTATTAACTAATTTGAAAATAAAGATGATTAAACTCCTGCCTAAGCTCCTTTTTATTCCTTTTATGTATGGACAAATATATGAATGTGGTCTGTGATAACAGTGCAGATTCAGCCTTGTGTAAGTCTACTACAGAAACAGATTACAGTGTGAAGTGAATAAATAATGTGATAAAGTGCTTTGAATATCTCTGAAGGCCTTTTAAATCCAAGGCAATATTATGTGGTAGTGGTTTATACAAGTTAAAAGGAAGGCCTTTTTAGTCTGAATTAATACAAGTTTAATCCTGGTTAAGTACTCTACATTTTGTGATATCTATCTTTCTTTATTGAACAAGAATGACATGTTTAGATCATGATAAAAGTATACACTTGATTTGGTCCTGATTGGTTCATTTTATATTGTATAGGTTGGTCCTGTCCTATATTTCATTAAAGTAGATTTGCACTATGCCCCCTAGATCCATTATGGGTCTAATAAAAGTTATAATAACAAGAATAGTTTATTGGTTTAGTCTCATGTAGTACTTTTCCAGATGTTCTTGTTGCTTCAGACTTTGATGCATTTTTCCCTTCACTGTCCATAGGTTACTCCCCACTCACACACCACATATTGGGTGTTTGTGTGTCAAAGTGCCAAAGGACACAACAACAGTATGGACAACAACAACATGTGTCTGGACTAGGACTAAACCACAGCCCTTGGTGTTGTTAGTGGAGGGATGTACTAACCCAAGGGTGTCCAAACTTTTTTCATATATTGAGGGCCATATATTGAAACATATTTGAAATGGAGAGGCACAGACTGAGTCATTCACACTGGTGCATTTTACAGCTTTGATAGAGCCTCTGTACCTTTAGTAAGGGTTGGAAAGGGAATCTTAAATCTGTATCACAGTGCAATTTGATGCCATTGAGGTAACAGTGATAGAATTTCTTACATTTGCGGAAAAATGTCTGCATATAGTTTGAACGCCCCTGTTCTAACTACAGAGCCACGGCCTGTTGCAGCCTATGAGTTTTGTATTAGAGATATTATGCCCACTGATCATGCCACTGCTTGACACTTTTGAAGCGGAAGGTTTGGAGCGAAGCGCTGCTTCGGATCACGTGACCTCTGCAATTGAAGCCTCTTTTCAGTTCTGCCATTTCATGGATCTATTATAAGAACTAAGATTTTATTATACTTCCATGATGTATCTCACTCACATGCAGTTTTGGCAGACATCCAACAGATAATTATAGTTATAGATATTATAGTTAGTACTTCTAAACAGTGTTTGGACATTGCTTCATAAGGTTTAAAACATCAGTATTTTGTGTTTGTTTACTTTATTAATAAAACATCATGGTGACTATTCAACAATCAAAAAACTCAACGCCTTACCTCTGCTCTGTGCGCAGTGCACGCACTGTCCTGTAGAGGGAGACAGCGCGCATGTGTTCAGAGTTCAAAAATTCAAAACAAAACCACGACTCAATTTCCCGACCTGCACCGCGGCCCAGGAGAGCAGCGACGGTTATAATAATAAATGAAATAAAAAATAAGTAAAAATCAGTCGTGCGATATTTTCAAGATTGTGACACACAGTTTTGTAGCACTGGGGACGAGGGACATTTTGCTGTGGGTTATATTGGGGTGCGTGTCGGTTTGGCTCGGTGTGTGTCCGCTGTGTGTGCGTGTGTGTCACGGATGTGGAGCGGAGCAGCGCAGGACTTGGCGCCACTTTCAAATCCTCCTCAGCACAGAAACACTTCAAGACATCAAAACCTTTTTGAAGCATAATTTCCAGCCTAACTGTCATACGGGACATTTTTAAACATTTATTTATATTGGGTTTTTATTTTTCTTCCGAAGGTAAGTTTTAAATGTTTTCTTTGGTGTTTTTCGGATCATAACTTATATATCTGCGCTTATTGCCAGATTTGTTGCTAGGTGACGGTGCGTATGAAACAGCTGCTTCTAAATGAGCGCGCGGTTCCTTTGATGTGAGGGCGCGAGGCTACAGCGGATTTACTATGAGACAGTGGACGCACTTTCAGCTTTGCACGACTCTAACCAACCATTAGCTCCTCTTATCAGTCTGTTATTCGGTCTGTTTATCTTATAATCATACACTCTCCTCTGTGCATGAGAACCAACTTTAACAATCAAATATTTCTCTCATTTGTGCAGTTTTGAAAATGTTAGTCGACGTAAAGTTTAAAAGAGGGACACTCCCCCTGCCAAAGAAGCCCCCTCCCAAAGACCCCTGCCCACTTGAATGACAAAAAGTTCTCAAAACTTCTGTTATTTTGCGTGCAATAACCCAATGAAATGAAATACCCCTCATTTTAATTATGGAATAGTTTAATGATCTTCTTAAAAAAAAAATGCTATTGCATGTTTACTAAATCTGAACTGCTATCAGTGATATAAATGCATTTTCACTTTTCATGTGCTGTAATGAACCATTTTTAAAATTTTCTTATCAAATTAAGCCTACTGATCAATTTCTTGTCGAAAGCATTATGTTTCAGTGCCAATTCAATTCAATTGTATTCTCTTTCCTAGGAAGCTATATATAGTTCTCTAATTTTAACAGTAATGTATATAAAACAAGACCAGTATGTAAACGCAGTATCTATTATATATTGTGTAACAGTCAATGTTAGAGAGATGCTGAATTTGTCCGTTTCAGAACCAAGGGGGTGGGCTCAGTCGTCTTACAGAAGGATCTCGCCTCCAGGGCTCACTCTAGCAGCACGTCATGTTTTGCAGTTTGTGCTGAATCACTCCAAACCCTGATGTGCTGCCTCTGTGCGCCCTGGGCCACAGCTCAACCACACATCACGTCTGAACACTGCCCCCTTAAGTCGTGCTACATCTAGGTTCACTGATTACGCAATCACTCAATCACTAGGCCCAATATTTGGCTGAAATTAAATTTTAAAAAATCACTGTATTGAAATTCACTGTATCAGGCTTTAGCAGCACGTCATTACTGGTACATCCTCTGTGCGCTGCCAGTGTGTGGCATGCTGCTGCAGTCAGGTACATGCTGCCCACACAGTTACTCTCATCAGTGTTTTTTTTTTACTTTTTTTTTTTTATGTAGTCAAATACTAATAAGAAAGGTTTTTCCAACCAAATTATATTTGTAAGGTCTTATAGAAAAATATGAAAAACTTGTTTTTGTTCTTTAAAGAAACAGTTTACTAAAATGGACAATATCTCATCCATACAAACATAATACTGACAAAGATATTTTTATAAAATAATATTAGACCTTGCTTGAGTCATATTGTCCTATCAAAAAAAGAAGTCCTTGAAAAATGTGAGGTCAGCGGGAGAGCAATGGAATGTCACTGGGATTCATGATGAGACTGGAGTCCAGGTTTAAATTATCTGTGGAAACACGCAAAAAAACTATATAACTTTGTTACAAAATAATAAAAACATTTCCTAAAACTGTATTGATGTTCACCTTGATCAAATGTGTTTAGTTTCTTTGGGGTTGATCCGTCTCCGAGTCCCTCGATGTCCACTAGGTCACTGTTGACATCAGAGTCATTCAGGGCGCTGAGAGTCACATCTAAAAAGACCAAACAAACAAGCTCCTATGTGTGACTCAAGAGAGACATGTAAACATGGAATACACACACAAACAGAATAAAGACCTTTGTCTAAACAAAGCGCTTGAGTATGGACTTTCTTCTGAAGACATAATGGATTTTAGGACTCATGGCTCACCTGCAGTTTTCTGTTTCTTCAGAGGAAGTTGGGCTGAAGTTGGGCTCTGCATTCTTGTGGGAGTGCTCACAACCTGACCCCCAGGCACAGGGACCACAGTGGCCTGTCTTGCCATAGCGGCACTTGTCTTCTTGCTCGTCTTTTTAGGGCCATCAGATGACACCAGGGAGCTGTCTTCAAACATCTTCCTCTTGACTGTACTCTTGGTCTGAGTGCTGATCAAAAAAAAAAGTAATCAACCAAATTCACATTATGAATAATATTTGGTCATGTGAGGCATTTACCCTGCAGGGCTGGCATCAGCTACAGGATGAAGCTGCATGGTCAGCTCGCCCAGTTTGGTGAAGGCTGCTCCTGCTGCAGAGAAGATCTCTCCAACCTGAAGCCAAGGTCCGCACACACTACTTTTTAATACATTATTATGAATTATAAATAAAAACTAAATAAAGACAAGCTCATGAACAACAGGGATACAAGAATCATGTAGCCAAGTATTTGTACATGAAAAGATGTTGACATGTGTGCATGTTTACAAATAGACTGTAGACGTGCATGGCTCTGTTTGCATCAGTAACCAGACCCAGCACACCTAAAAGGTTAAGGGCTCATTTGTATATACGAATCGACCATATCTAAACCAAACCGAAAATTGAGAAATAACTTACTTTAGTCGAAGCTGAGGTCATTTCGCTACTTTAAACAGGGAATAAATGTTTTGGAGAGACGTCAACAATGCCTTGAATGTAGTTGCTAATCCAGTAGCTAGCTGCTACTCGGGGCCAGCACGCAGCAGGGAAACATCCATGAGCTGAGCTGGATTTACCCGCACAAAGAGACAGACAACTCCATAAACATAAAAACAAACAAATATCCGCACAAGTTTAGTAGCTCAATTACACATCACTCAATCTCACAAGCCATTTTAGATTCACAACCATTCATATTTACGGCCTATGTTCACAACACGAGGGGCGTGGCCAAGGGACAGTGAGGCGTTCACGAGTCTCATTTATTGTGGGATATTTGTAGTTTCAAGAGATCATACAGTACACACATACAGTTTTACAGTTATTTTAATAGATCCATGTACGTACAGTGTTGTGAAAAAAGTATTTCCTGATTTCTTACTTTTTTGCATATGTGTCACAATTAACTGTTTCAGATCATCAAACCAATTTAAATATTAAAAAAAGATAGCCAATCAACATAAAATGCAGTTTGTGTGATGATTTTATTTGTTAAGAGAAAAAATATTATCCAAACCTACATGATCCTGTATGAAAAGGTAATTGCCTCCCTTGACTTAGACTTTATTGATCCGCAAGGGAAATTATTTGGACACAGTAGCTCGCACATCACAATATAATATATTAAAGAGTAAAAAATATAAATGTAATAATAAATTCTAAATTTGTATCAATAAAAGTATCAATAAAGACAGCAAGAGGCAGGTGTCAAATAAGGCATAATTATATAAATGTATATGTATAAGTAAAAATAAAGTAGAAAAATAAGTAATAAAATATCAGTTATATACAAGAGATCACAGGAAGATAGTGCAACAAAGATATGATGATTGACAGGGCATAGGTAATGACTGAGAGGACATAACTGATGTGGTAACTGTGATTAATCATATTAATTATGCTGAGTTCAAGTTCATAGTCACATCCAGGCCTGACTACTACCAGACCTTTCAAATCCAGAGATCACGTAGTGATGGGTAGATGAGGCCTCAAGATCTAACACATTTCCAACACTGTGTTGATACTGTGTTGGTGCGCTCTATAGCGCCACCTGGTGGTCTAAAAGTGAACTGCTTCCTATGCAAAAGCATTGACAGCGCAGGGCTCGTTTATTCACACCCCATTTATCATAGATGCTCTGATATCCAGCAAATGAAAGAACTGACCAAGAAGGTAATGCAGTTTCGTTAAAGTCACAGGCCATTGTACAATTAAGTAGAAAGATACGTTATACATAAGGTGAATGGTTGTGAAAATGATATAGTAAAAGTACTAATAATAGTAAATTAATGTAGTTATTTCAGTAAACTGCTCGTGTTCGGCTGACAGGGCACCAACAAATTTCAAAAAGATTGGATTTTGTGTCGATTTTTGCCTATTTTAGATCATAAACTTTTTCTCAGCTCAAAATCCTTCAGTTGTCTTAAAAACAGCTTTTTAATAGTTAGCTCCGCTCTGTTCCTCTCGCTGATTGATGAAAGAGATCACGTGATACACGAGACCGCGCTCTTCTCGCGCGCGGTCGCGTGCATTCGCGTTTGCCCGCATGAGAAAAGAGCACTTCTGCGCTCGCGCTCGCCACAGGGTCGCCTGCTGAGCTTCCCCGTGTGTCGACGTTTACTCGTTTGACCCATCATGTCTGACAGGTGAAGTGGGTCATATTGAACTCAACACATCATACCCAGATCCAAAGAAATTCAAGAGCAGATAGGAAGAAATGTAACTGACTTGTCTCAGTCTGGAAAAGGTTACAAAGCCATTTCTAAATCTAAATCACAAAAAAAGTACAAAATCGGTAAATGGGCAAATACTTTTTCACAGCACTGTAGTCGGAAAACCGTAAATAAAATACTGTATGATAACATTTAAGTGTAGACTGCTGTTTAAGTTTAATTTGTTTAATTTGAACAGTTTTTATTCTTTATAGGAAGAAATACGTCAATTGTCAAATTATTATTAAGACAGTGTATGGCACTAGCGGTACGTCTATTGATTCATAAAGAGTTTCTGTAATTATTATAGTTATTTTATTTGATTAATGTTTGTTTATTGTAAAAAAAAAAAAACAGACCAAAATCTCAGAAGATGAAAGAAGGATGGCAGAGGCATCTCTGAATGCAGTGTATTTATTAGCGATCAGGTAACCCTTAGAAGCGTTACAAAAACTTTACAAAAAAAAAATCAAAAATAGTAAGACAAAAAGGTGACAGCAGTTCACAGTAATATAAAAGTAAATGGCACAAATGACAAAAAGAAAAATTTCATTATAAACAGTCATGGGTCTCAGCCTCACAATTGCCTAAACTAAATGCAGTTATTTTCTAATAACATAATTTAAAGAGCTTGTACTTACTACACCAGTCGTCTGTTTGTTATATCGTGATACTGTTTTCAACTTGACTGGGCAGGAGAACCAAATACTGCAGCTCTAGTCCATCATTCTCACTTAAGATCTGCTCCTCCATTTCTTTCAGCTCCTTCCTGAACGTTTTAATCAAATCCTGCGCCGCCTCCTCAGTGAAGTGGTCCTCTGTGTAGTGGCCCAGTGGTACCTGCTCATAAACCCCCCCCAAAAAACAGCTCATTTGGAAACAATCCATTATTACTGGATATAACAGTTGCAGAGTACAGACTAACACTTACAGCATCTGGCTGTGGTCGACCCAGGTGCCACGTGATGGCCATCTGCATACAAGACTGACTGATGTCTGGTAAGGTGGACATGACTGTATCCATGGTAACTGCATCCTTGTCTGTGGGAGGGGGTAGCCTCATGGTGCATGGTGTGTTTGGGACCCATGCACACCAATCAAACTGAAAAAAAGAATTTAAAAAATCAAATATATAATTGAAATCAAGTGTAACCATATTTTCTTTAAGTTACATACTTGTCCATTGTTGGTGGCTGCGTGCTGGGCTGTGCACGTGAAGATAATCACTGCAAGTAATTTAGTCAACTCCTCTCGACCTTTGAGGGAACTGGGCAAACCTGGAGATAAACAAACCATTATATCAATATGAAATCACTGACTTTGTAAGAAAAACCTCTAGATCAAAATATCAGACCGAAATTGGGCAGCTCTGCGAAGCCCTCCTCTGTCACTTCTCTGATCCACGCCTGCAGCTCGTGGTCCTTCTCAACATCACAGTCTGATTTGTAGTACAAATTAACTATTCCTGAAACAAAACTGGACAGATATGTTATTTAAATTGTTAGCGATAACTGAACAGTAGAAAGAGAAATAGTACAGATGAAATATTGAGAAAAAGAAGCCTTTGATACTTAGTAGTAGTGACTCTGTTACTCAAGTTAGCTGGGTTTTATTTTACCACAATCTGACCAGAAGGAGCCAACCTGTTTGGAACTACAACAGGTGAGATGATCTGTGCACTTCAGCACATAAAATTCCTGTCACAAGTTAGCTATCAGTTTTCCAGTTAGTCACTCTCAACTTTTTGTTGAAAATCAAACATATAAACATGATCATGAACACTCATATTGATCACAAGCACAATTCTATATATTCATTCTTGAAGTGGATTTGTTTTCGTGATATATTTTTTATTATAGTTTCCATGTTACCGTTTTTACAGAAACATCCTATATAGCAACACTGCCCTGTCACCCCTCACCTCCCAGGTAAAGGTAAATAAGCTGCTCTCCCACTCACCCATCCCAGGTGTCTCTATCCCCTCTTCTGTGTGACCTATTAAACCTATTAGATTTTGAAATATAGTCCATTTTAAAGTCCTTGTCCAGCTTGATCATTCACCTCCATGATTTTATCTTTTCTGCCAATTTCTGCCATGTAATAACAAAGTAATAACAATAATTTTGAATGACAACACAGACTGTATATATAAATGGAGAGAGTTAACGTGCCGCCATGTTCCAAGTAGGAAGTTCGTCTGTGGGCGCTTCCGGCTCCTTCTGACCCTGGCTCCCATTGACTTACTTTGGAATATTGTGGCTTCTCTGTCTCTGTAACTGCTGCTGTGAGGCTCGTCATTTTGATCTTAAAATGTTGTTCATATTATCAAGCTCATTATTTTGTTTGAAAAATATAAATATTCATAATATAGAACCTGGCTCCAATTTCACCCCTGTAACCGCAAGCATCATGAGCTTCATTTGACTGGAGCTGAATGGTGTGGGTGATGTCACAATCGCTTAATTCACTTCTTTATACACTCTATGAGTGACAGTATATATATGCATCAATAAAGAACCATAGTAGTGAACACTGTTTTGCCCATTAATGCATTTATCCCAGTATGAGGGCCAGAAACAAGCGTAGGATTCTCAATTAAAAAAAATACATTTTGTGCTAGGCCTATTTGTCTTACTTGTGTATGACGTCCCACAGCAGCAACGCATGATCCCTGTAGAAGTATTTGGGGATTCGAGTCACACCTCTGTCAGTGAAGTCATGGTGAGGCTGCAGCGAGCGGTAGGTCAGCACCTTGTACTCCCTTTGAGCCAGAATCAATAGAGCTTCTCCTCCTGTGGACACAACCTGTGCAAAATTACAATTAACACAGTTTTGTCAATAGTTTTGTACTATTTCATTGATAAAATGGTAATAGGAACACTTCTTTTCAATAAATAATCATTAAAAATCACAAAAAAAAAACAGACCCGTTTAAAGATGCCGTTGGAGGAGATCAGTTGTGTGCGCCCCCTACAGTTGATCTCCAGAGTGTAGCGCTGGTGAGGAGCCAGGAGCTTCAACAAACAATCAAAAAGCAGGGAAAAAAACGTAATAACAAAGGTGTGGAGTATCATACACATATACATTTTAATATTTTAATAAAGGCCTAACTGTGAATCTTAAAGACAACATGTATGTACAGTGTGTATTTTTTCAGACATTTAGCAAAAAACTGTAACTATAATAAACTGAATCTAAAAGCAGAGAATATGCAGGTACCTTGTAAATTGGGTGCACTGCAGGGAGCTGTCTCAGAGTGGCCACACAGAACACCTCACCTACCAAGTGTGTGCGGAGGAGGTGAGAGAGGACCTGGAAGATTTGGAACTCAGAGTGTCGCACCCATGCCTTGGCAAGTAGCCAGGCCAGGGGAGGGTCTTTGGGGAGGAAAATGGGCGTGTCGTCCCCTGGAGACTGTCCCAGCTGGAGACAGAACATGATCATACATGATCAGTAATGAAAATGAGTACCGGTAATATTATTTTTTTGAATTTTTACATGCTATAACAGAGGATTTACAAACACAACGTGGAAAGTTCAAATTCAAAAGTGTGAAATTTGTGTTTTGGATGAGAACATTTTTTTAACTATAATTATGCTCAATCAGGATGGCATCATTTTAATTGCATCAGGGTCAAATTCAGCAAACAATTCACAATCTAAATCATTGTTTCCCAAATACTGGGTCACAAGATTTTTTTTGAGTTGCCTTGTCACGATCTGCATGTAGGTCTGCAATATATAACATATACATATACTGTACATACATCTCTGTGCACCCCTCCCCGCTCCTCACTTCTTCCCCGTGCATTGAATCTCCGCACACTCCCCTTCCTGCCTCCCTTTTTATGGCAGCACCGCCTTGCCTAACCAATTTTCTGTGGGAAACCCTGATTACTGTTTTTCAATGTTTAAAACTTGAGTAATACTAATTGTTCAGAGAGACACGATCACTCAGTCAACAATAAAATATCCTAAACTTATATTCAATAATGCTGAGGTCACAAATTTATTTTGTGATTTACGAATAATGTCTATTGACTTGGGTCGTGAAGATTTGTGACTTTTAAAATATGGGTCCCCAGAAAAAAGTTTGGGAAACACCGATCTAAACAACTAATCATTTAATCAACAAAATAATCACAAGATGAATCAGTAAGTAAAATAATTGTTAGTAGCAGCCCTATAGTATTTCATAATAACAACATAACATAACAACATAATGCAGCAGAGTATAGTGCCATCTATAGAAAATACTGTGTACTGTTCCTTTAAGAATTTCCCAAGTGGAACGTTTGCCATTTGTACACTTCATATATTTATCTTAGGGGAAATGTCATGTAAACATGTTAGAATGAAAAAGACTGTGTAGAGCAGGATAGGCTCCATGGATAAACATAAGCCACATGTCTGACTCTGAAGCTTGCACTAAGTTACCTGGATGGCTATAGGAATGAGCCCATCATCTGGATGTTGGTACAGGAGACAGAGGGGCGCAGCTATGTACTGAGGTTTATTCTTGATAACATTGGCAGGAAGCCCCTCCATGATGCTGTAGTCTAAAAGAAAGATGTTTCCTGCCTAAACAGATGATGCCACAAACGTATAAGAACATGTCTGACATTTACAGTAGAATAAACATTGTTATTATTCTCAGCTGTACCTTTAACTCTTTGTCCAGGTTGGTTTTGTGGCACAGCGAGCTCTGCACCATGTCGGCTGTCACTGGGAACTTGTCTGGGAGCTTTGTGCATTGTTGGATCATCCTCGGGTTACAGCCATTTAGACACTGGTATCCAAAGAACCAGTCCTCCTTCCAGTGCTCCATACAATACTCTGACTCAAGTGGACACAATGAAACAGCTCCATTTAGATCAGGTTGCGTTTATTGTGTTGTCTTATCACACAAGAGAGAGATAGTGCCTGATAGTAACAAAACCCTTCCCTAAAAATAACTCACCAGCTATGGGGCTTTTCAACTTCCAGAAAATGCGTCTGAAATCTTCCAAGTCATCCCACGATTTTCCGAACCTGATGGCGAGTTTCTTCAAGGACAACTCCATCAGTCTGAGAGGAAAAGAAAAATAACTCCACAAAATCTTCTTAAAAAAGTATAGAGATAATTTGCACTCACGCATATTGTAGGGAATATTCAAAATCACTTCTCTTCTCATTGTCGAAGCGTGCATCTTGGGGTAGGTCTGCTTCAGTTGGGGCGTCAATACAGTGAGGAATACCCGGAGCCCATTTTAACCATCTAGATGAGGAGCCATGTTGTCAGCCAAAAGGTATTCTCAGCCAAAAGGTATTTATTTACGTACCTATAGTTTTTTTGTCTCTCTTCTAGCTCAGCCTTTCTGTGGGCCAACAGTTCAGGTACAAATTCATCATCTTTGAATGTTTTAGCTGTTGACAAAAAGTAAGAGTTAGAAAAATTTATATTGAATTGGGTTAATTGCAACAATGTTTTTGCAGTTTACAGAATAAAACTGCCCTCCAAATAATTTCTAAAAAGCCTGTAGGAAATATTCCCAAATAACCTTCTTCATTTTCATTTCATTTAATTTTAAGCATCTTTTTCTCAATACGTTTTATGTTAAATATCTAGATCAGAGGTCTATAACTTTTTTCCTCCCGTGAGCTATTTCCTGTAAAAAGAAAATACCAAAGAGCTACTAATTTTAGTGTTCACCAGAAATTTTGTTAATACAAGAATCATGGTAAGCTGAAGATGAGGTACAGTTAGATGTCTATAAAACAATAACCCATTATCCAGTTATCAGTGCACAAAATGAGTCATCAAAATGATATATTTACAAAAGAAATAGACATTTAATAAATCAAATTTGAGTCATTTAGTGCAATGTGTATTCAGAAATTCCTTGGCGAGCTACTTAGAAGGGAGTGGAGAGCTACAGGTCGGAGACTCCTGATCTAGATGATGACACATTAATAGATTTTTCCTGTTTTCCTTTCAGCAGATTTGATCCTGCACATTCATAGTAAGTGTCTCACCCACTCCTTCTCTGATCTCCACTTTTGTGTCTCCGATCAGCCAGCGTAAACAGGGGAACGTGGCTGTGTGTCCGTCAGGGTCCGTCACAATGACATAGCGACAGAACCAGTTGTCTTCCACCCAGTACTTCTGCTTTTCCAGTCGCACCAGCAGCAGGCGGCCTAACGGAGAGGGACTGCTCACTTTGTATTCATCTACCTGAAGTGAAAAAATGGGAAAAGTGATATGCATGTAATATTTAGACAATTCAAATATTGGATACTGGTAAGAGGAAGACAAAAACATTAGGCCCTATTTAAATCTGCTGCCTTGCACGTTAGTCAGCTTTGCATATGATGTCACTGTATGGCATTGCACATTATAAAACACTGAAAAAAACATTATTATACGACTGACAAATACATTAAAGGCACTCACAGCGCCTCTGCAGAAGTCCAGGCCTGGGTTGTCCAGCAGGGTGCGTTCACTCTCCCCCTGTTCCCCCACCAAAGTAACATAGATGTAATTGTTTGTGCCTGAATACTCCGATGTCCCAGTTGCCACAGTCACAGTGTAGGTTTCTGACTGGATAAAACAAATATATCCATGTCATATACAATGCAGCTTTAAATGTAGTGAGATTAGATAAAGTAACCAAATGCTGACTTCAAATGTAAAGTTGTAAGAAATCTTGCTTTCCCCTGTTAACACTAGAACAAAATCAAATTACCTTGAATATATTTTGATGTTAAAAACGCAAAAAGCTCAGTCCAGTTTTAAGGAAACATGTCTCTGTAGCAAACTGGTAAAACCCAGCACTATGGTAATTTTGTAATATGAAAATGTCTACATACCTCTGTCATCTTTACATCTAAGACCTCTAATCATCAGTTTGCGTTTGCTGTTACTCCTCTGTAACAAACAAGGGCTCACTTGAGTCTTTGCTTTTCTCTCTGTAGAGTGCTGTTCTCAAAAAGTTCACAAGCCCTTCCCTCAACCTGCAACACACACACGCACTTGTTTAACTGTGTGAATGAGGATACAGTAGCGGTGCGCTATGTAAAAGAGATGAGGACACATCCCGTACGGTTGCAGGGGAAGTTGAGTTGAGTCAGTGTTTGGGGTATACAGATACAATCAGATAAAAGAAACATGAGAAGGTTGAGCAGCAATGGACATATTTTAGGCAATGCTTCTTGTAAATGTAGACTTCATACTTTTACTTGAAAACATTTTTACTCAATAATTACTAGAATCAGCACATATGGTTTTAGTAGAAGAGGGGAGGGGGGAGTAGCTGAACTATAGTAGCTGTAAAAGAAAGAGGCTGGGAAGTATTAAGAGTGAAACTGATTGCAAGAAGAAGTGTCTTAATTTAAACAGACAGACTTTCACTACTTACTTGACCTTCCACAAAAATAACCTTCTCAAAATGATACTCCTTGCAGTCTTTTGCTTAAACAAGAGAAATGCCACATGTATCTGGATAGCTTTAAATCAATTTTTACATTACAACACTATCCTAAAATAAACATAATAAAAATATGGCCTTACGAGAAGCAGAGAAAGAAATTGTTACACTCCCATTTGTGCAGTGCTTGTGTGGAGGATTCTTGGTGGACACTGACTGCCTCCAAGATAAACATAGTGGAGCCTAAACAGAGGTCTCCAATGTTGACCCAGCTGGACTTAGTCAAAACAGAGGTATTTCTCTCATAAGTAACCAAGGCACAGAGACATGGCGTTCTAATATTTATGAATTAATAATTAACAGGAAAAGGGCTGAGTTTGTTGGACAGAACACCTGTAGGGCTATCCAGTTGTTACTATTCAAATAAAGGTTTTAAATGATAAAATGTCGCTTGTTTTTCTTGCAAACTGAGGAATGTGTTTCTTGAGAGGTAAATCAGAGAACAAACAATACAACAATTTCAGAAGTATTATTTATCATATGACAATGAAGACAAAACAGGGCATAAAAGATACATATAGAGCAGAAAGAAATGGTTTAAGTACACAAGGCTGTCCATAAAGAACAACTGTGACACTGTACTACTGCTTGGTGGGCTGGTCCAACTTCAAGAACCAGACTCCACTCTTCACTTATATAAGTATGGTGTAATGTCATCTGAGCTTCTACTTCCCCCAGAGTGAAGTAATAGTGTGGCTATTGGCAATAGATTTAAAACTTAACTTCAAATATCCCCAAGTACGGTTCTGTACACTACATGAACAAAAACATATAAAGAGTGAAGGAGCGATGAGGTAACCCAAACTGTAAAAATATAACAGAAGGAAAGTATATTCTAAGAGCTGCATTTCTGTCAGTTCTGGCTGGGCTGGCCTGATCCCGAGGGGCCTTCCTCTTCATCAGGGGGACAGGCCACAAAGTCTGCCAACATGGAAGCCATGCTGTCTTCATCACACTGGTGGAAAGAGGAAAAGTAAATGAGAGTTTATCCTTTGATTTTTCAAGTGTACTGTGGCTGATTGTTATGACAGACAAAATGCTGAGCAGTGTTTTCCCATTCAAAGAGACGACTATAGTGGACTCTAATTTTTGCCCCCACAGCATAAAGAAGTGCTCTCATAGATAGACTGTGGTGAAGTTGTCTAAGGGAGTGTAACTTTACCCACAGTGTTCAGCTCCAGTCAAATGAAGCTCATTGAGGCTGCAGTTATAGGGCGAATTTGGAGCCAAGTTCAATAACAGAAATCAGAATAGCAGTATTTACAAAAACAGGGGCAGCATTTTTTCAAAGTGAATTGGAACTGGAGTCAGTGGAGCCAGGAGTGCCTCCATGCTCACTTTCTATTTTTAGTGGCTAGAGGGTTTGCCATGTCCTTTCATACATATAGTTTATGTCTGATAATCTAAAAACAAGCTGAATAAATTAATTGTATTCCAAATGAGACTTTGCAGTATTCTTAAAAAGATCAAGAAGTAACTATATTTAGAAGTAACTATAACTATATTTATATTTATCTGTAGTCTGTGCCTTTTATATCAGTAGAGACAATAAGTGAAATTCAAAATGAAATGACTCAAATATGCATATCTCAGTCTCTGTCTAAACCTGTGAGAAACACACATTGATGTTTATACCTTTTTCTTCTCTGTACTTTGCGTTGTGTCCTCTTCCCTCTTCCTCTTCACTCCTTTCCCGTCCTTGTCCTCATCGTCTTGTTCTGCCTCTCCCTCCTGCTCCTGAACCTCCGCCTCTGTGTCCTCGGTCAGGCCCTCCTCCTGCTCTGTTGTGGTGGGCCCCGACCCACTGTCTGACTGTCCCGTCTGTGAAACCTCCAGCTCCTCCTCTTGGTGAGCACTGGTAACACTTTCACTGCCACCAGCCTCCTGCGACGTTTCAAACACCTGCTCCTCCTACAGTTATACAAGTCACAGTCACAAGATAAATTTTTAGTATTATAATTACAGTGAAAAGGATTCGTATTCGTATGATTGCTCACTGACACCACGGTCAAACCACCCACAGTGAAATTGTCAATGACTAATAGATTAATAATTCTTCTAGTAGGGAATCTACATTTCTGAAAGATAATGCAAGTCAACATGAAAAGCACTTTCTGTTTAGGTTTACTTTTGAACTGATATGACAAGGGATGGGGCAAGATCTCGTGCCACAAGATCTTGCGAATGAGGAAAATTATTTTATTATTAAATTATTAGAGACTTTTTTTCCCCCACCTGTTTACATTTGGAATGCACAATAAAGGGTCAAGGTCTGGCAAAATTTGTTGTGAAGCTGTAGTGATACTGTACCACAGTATCGCTAAGATATTTTTAAAAAGTAAATAAAAGATGAGGCCAAAAATACACCATTTAGTAGATGTCAAAGTCTTGTCTTGCACAAACTCATCTTGTCTCATCCCTTGCAATCACATTTTTTTTCTGTTCTCAGTTATAATTTTCTTGTCCTTTCCCTAAACATAAAACACTTGCCTGCTGATTCTCACTGGTGGCCTGCTCGTCTGATGAGTCTTCTATCTCCACTTTGTTGTCCTCTCCCTGCTCCCATGCGGCTGCCTCCTCCTGGGACGTCTCTCCGCCCTCCGTGGTCTCCTCCTCCTCCATGGCGCCACCCGTCACGCACAGGATCTGGGGCATGGTGGGGTCCATGGTAGACTCGCCCTCGCTCTCCCGGGCCTCCTCCAGCACGCCGATGCTCTCCACTTCCTGCACCTTGAGCTCTGGGTACCCTCGTGTTTGGACTTCCTCTATGCCGCCCTCTGTCTCCGCCTCCACGCTGAACGGCTCTTCTATGGGTCCCTCCTCGGCCAGAGCTTGGACTGCTTTCACCTCCTCTGTCCCACTCTCGTTGGCTTTGTCTTCTGAACCCTCGAGCGGTGGAATGTCCCCGTCCTCATCCTCTTCTTCCTCCTCCTCCTCCAGCTCCTCGGGCTCCTCTTCATCGTACTCCTCATAGTCTTCCCCGTCATAAAACTCCTCCCCTGCGTACTCGCTGCCCTCCTCCTCCTCCTCGTCCAAGCCTTCCTCATCCTCATCCTCCATGTCGTCCATATCTTCCTCATCTTCCTCCTCCTCCTCTTCGTCGGTGCTGTTGATATTTATCACAGCAGAGTCCTCGTTGTTGGCTGCAGGTGGGGGTGGTGGCGGGTGTTGGAGGGTCCTGGATGGTTGGCTAAGCTGGTTCTGGAGCTGGTGCAGAATTCCCATTGGCGCTGGCGTGTTGGGCTGCATTAGCATTTGTTGGAGCTGGGGTCGCCCTGACAGTGGCTCTGCTAAAGAACCAGGGCCCGGGAGCGTGTTGGGACCCATAGGAGGAACCAAGGACACAACAGAGACGTTGGATGGAGGGAATGAGTTCACAGAAGTTGTGTTAGATGTCAGATGAGGAGAGGATGTGGTTAAATCATTGGCGAGTGACATTCCATCTATAGTGGTGGGTGCTGATGTTGTGGCTGCCATGGAAACCGCATCCCCACCGGGTAACGGGACAGTAGTGGCACCGGGTGTGGGTAAACTTTCTTCTTGTTGGTTGTTCATGTCGAGCATACCTGGCGGGACAATCACTACGCTGTCATCGGAATCGCTCGCCAAGGAAATCTCTACATCCTCGGCTTCTTCTTTGTCGTAGCGCACAAAAACAGGCCGCTGTCCATCCAGGGGCCCCACTGGAGCTGAATCAGGGTGAGGAGGGTGCATTAGGTCACCCGCAGAGGGTGCTTGTCCTGGGAGTCCTGGGACCATGGACAGGTGGTTCTCCAGGGAGCTCAACAGGGAGCCATGGCCCAGGCCCAGAGAGTGGCGGGATGGGAAGGATGGGGCACCATTAGCGCCAACTAGAAGAGTAGGCAAAGTCAGTCCTGGATTGGGTCCTTGTGCAGACTGGATGCCCGCGGCAGACGGGGTGGGTTTGAGGGTGAGAGGGGGTAGTGGCAGGGCAATGGAGGGGGTGCGAGGGTGGAGGAGGAGGTTACAGATTGTCAGTGCCTCAGTGCAGAATGAAGATACCTGAAAATAACAAACAGTCAACACTTACTTTTAAAATAAATGTATTTTAATTATTTAAAACAGGATAAAATTATAGTTGATGGAATTAAAAATGAACATGCAAGAGGCTACATCAGTTACTCATTGCATAGTCAAATTATTGTGGTTACACAATTTTCATTAATTTCACATGCTAAAATAGTCCAATCACATGAGTCACTCCTGTTTCAGTCAAAAAAGCAGAAGCTGTAGCTGTGTTTTATTATCATTTATACTAATCTAAAGTTTGCATACACCAGAGGATGTAACAGAACACATTTCCTACAAGGCAAATGAGATGTACCAGATAAGGTTTAGTAAACAACACACCCATAACTAGCTGAAACAGGTGTAACTAACTCAAACAAATCAGCAAGAGATCTGCAAGCAAAGTGTGAAGAGTGTAAAAAAAAAAAAGTATTGTATTTTGAATCTTAACCTTGGTATTTCTGTCTGTACGCCCTCTGCTCAGGATGGACACAGCACAAGTCAAAGGAGAAGGCCAACACGGTGAAGGAACCAGGACCAGAGCCAACAAAAGCCTACAATTTTATAAGACAGGACGATCAATATTTTTTCAGATGTGAGTACATTAATGTTAAACAGTGTATGTATTGTACAGTCCAGACCTATAGAGTTCCTGTCTGCTCAAAGCGCTGTTGTACTGGCCACTGACGCCCCCTATTGATTCACACAAGCTGCTGCTATTCTGCTGCTGCTGAAGACGTACACACAATGGCAACACCGTATCATGGAGGCGCTAAAAAGACCAAATAATAAAGTTATACGGGCAAGGCAAAACTATAACTGTGGCGTCTTTGGCAGAAAAAGACGTACCTTGTGAATGTCATCTTTTAGTAGTGTGCCACTGCTGAGTATAATTTCTCTAAGAACTGTAAAGAAAATGTTAAATTAGAAAATAATTCAAATATCAATAGGTACAATGTAGTGGGAAAACTTGTGGGCATCTCACCTCTAAGGGCTGAAATACATGTGTCTACATTAGCGTGCTGGTCTCCCTTTCTCTGAAGCATGGGCGCCACAGAGTCTGACATGACCAAAGTCTTTGTTCTACGAGGACCAGGCTTTCCTCCAGGCACCACATCAGCGGACAGACCAGCTCGAAGCTGCAGATAGGAGGGAAACAATCACTGTAATTTTACTCTTACTTCTTGTGTAAATCTACTGTCCATAGTTTTCTAAAAAGAGTCAAAGTAAGGTAGAGGAGACCTTGATGGCTTCTGCTCCCGGTGTGATCTCTCCCAGCAGATGATTGAACAGATGCTCAGAGTGAATAGAGCTGCCCTGGAGGATGTTTGCAGAGGCTCCGACCACCTGCAGCCACAGCTCCAAAGCCTTGTACACTGCCACCCTCACAGAGCTGAAACCAACAAGAAAAAAATATTCACATCAACTTGAAGTAATATCACCATTACACTGTATAAAATTTTGTTTAATACAATTTGAAAGTAACAATATATTCACATTTGGGAGCTCTGCACTGGGGTTAACATTGCAGTATATAAAACTGTTGAGAAAACTGTGTCATCACTCAACATATATTTCATAATTACATACCTGTATGCCCTCTGCTGGCCCAGGCTGGCCTCAGGGAGCGGTGTCCAAGCTGACAGAGTCTGTGAGAACAACCTCTGCAGGACTACAGCGTACTGAACCATTCCCACACGGGTTCTGTGGGAGAAATATTGACTTATTGACAAATTCTTCACAAGATACATAACCTATAGTGCCACAACACTTACGCTGTAATAAGTGCAGACAGGACCTCCAGTGTGTTGGTGTGTATGATGGGCAAGACCAGTAACCGTACACTCCCATCACCAGTTAAATTCTGTGAAACAAATAAATATACATTCAGTTACTTGTGTTGCTTTGTAAGTTAATATATTTTCACATGCACGAACTGAACTAGATCATAATAATGTGTTCTTACGATGCTTTTAGAGCTGACAGCAAGAGCTCGACACACCAGGTTGAGTATTGGTCTGACAGGAAGCCGGACTGCTGATGCTGGATCCACCCTGAGGGACAAAATGTAATACGTTTAATTAAATACAATAAACAATATCAACCACAATATTTTAATATTATTAGGAAAACAATTTGATCCAAAAAAGTGTGACAGTGTTTTTGATACATCTGTTTATTACCTGAGAGTGTGTTTTAGCGCCAAACAAATGGCCGTGTATCTGTGCTGTAGCTGAAGCACTAAGAGAGGGTCTGATTGGTCGAGGAGAGGGAAAGCCAGCTCCACTCCTGGGCCTTCATATTGAACTGTTCCTTCTACAGAGCAGAGCAAAACAGAAGGTAGAGAACATGCATTAAAACATTATACACATTTTAATTAAAGCTGGATAACTGAATGGTTTCTCTGTAACGTGCCCATTTCTGATCCATGGTAGATCTGATCCAGCAAGACATTGGCTGAAGCAAGCAGGCAGTGAATCTGAGTGGTCCAGCCTTCTGCTCTGCCAGCTCCTACCCCCCGATCCAAAAGACCCCCGAGGCACGGCAGGCGACCATAACATTGACAAGCCATCTGAAGTAATAATACACAAAAATAAATTCAGGTACAAAAAAGTAGGAACCCACAATCTACTATATACACAAATGTGAATGACGACAAACCTCTTGAGTCTTCTTGTTAATACTATCCATTTTTGACATAAAATAGGCCCCAAGTTTATCCTAGAAAATAAAACAATACAAGTTTAAGACGCATAACTTACAATACATTGGTAATATTTCAAGATGCTGGTGGATTTACTTACCCTCATTGAACCGCAAGCCCGTGGGTAATAGTTCATACAAGCGGTCATCCCTTCCATAGCTGCCAAATCGCACTGGCAACACAAATAATACATAGGTTTCACACACACCAGTTCCCACATTAAACAAAGAATATTACAATTTTAAATACCTCTGCTTTAAGCCCAAGCAGGGAAGTAAGAATACCCAGGATCGAGTTGAGACCGACTTCTCTGGACAACTCTGCGATCTGTGATGAGTACTGCAACACATCTTTTAAAATATTCACCGCTAACTGAATGGTCTGGACTGGAGCTTGAGACTGGAGGCAGAACAATACAAAGTAGTAAGTGTGTGTGTGAGTCTTTGAAGATGGTCAAAGTAATATCTGTATGGGTTTAATGATGTTACCTGGATAACCTGTTGAAGGGAGCGCAGCCAGGAGAGGCAGTGCTGCTGGAACACTTCACTAGAGCTGTCTTTGACCAGCATTGACAGCAGGCACAGCCCCTCAAACCTGCAACACAAAACAACACAGGAATACAACACATTTAGAGCTAAGTAAATAATAAATCCCAAGAGATCCGTAAAGCTGGTCACGTGATCGGCTGTGAGCTGGAGACATTTGTCACAGTGAGGGACACGAGGACACTGGACAAACTGCTTTCCATTACGGAGAGCAGTTTGTCCTGATAATACTCCCTACAACTGTACAACAACTCACCCATGGCACCAGACTATAGAGGGACAGATAATACTCCCTACAACTGTACAACTCACCCATTTCACCAGACTATAGAGGGACAGATAATACTCCCTACAACTGTAGAACAACTCACCCACTACACCAGACTATAGAGGGACAGATGATACTCCCTACAACTGTACAACAAATCATCCACTGCATCAGACTATAGAGGGATAAATAATACTCAGTCTCCAAAAGGCTCCTACAGCTCCGCTCAGTGAGATACAGGACTACATAAATACATATATATATATAATACTCCCTACAACTGTACAACAACTCACCTTAATGTAACGGATAACCCTATGTCCTGACAATAATCATACCAGTGTTGCACTGTCTTTCTGTGACCTGTTGTATAAAGCTGTGATTTCATATTTTCTTACTTATCTTTCTATTTAATTTTGACTTGTACATTTACATTTATATAATTATGTCTTATTTGACATCTATCGCTTGCCATCTTTTTTGATAGTTATTTAGAATGTATGATTACTATTTATATTTTTTCTCTTTGTTATCATATTATATTGTGATGTGAGAGCTACTGTGTCCAATTAATTTCACTTGTGGATCCATAAAGTTTGTCCAAGTCTAAGAGTCAGTGTAGGCACATAACAGCTGGTAGTTAGAGTGAATGCTACACGGAATAAAATGGGGGAAAAAAAGGAAGTTTAACTATATTTATGATGATGAAATGGTTTATATTGACTACAATCATAGTTCTGACACTGATCCCATGCTGCTGTCTTTCTCACCTGGTTTTACTCGAGCCAAGTTTGGCATTGCTAAAACCAACGAGTCCTCCAACAGCACTCGCGCCCTGTGAACAGAAAACACGCGTTAATCTCAACGATAGAAACGTGTTAGACACAGATCAGCAGCTCTCGCTCCCCGGTTCCCAGATGTTCAGCAGCACAACAAAGCTGTGCATCCATCCAGGTGCTGCGCTGTAGCCTCCGCGGGCTAACGCAAACATCCTGGACTCACAGCCGCGGTCTGGAGGCTCTCACCTGCGCCGGAAGCACGCCATGCTCTCTGTAGCTGGACAACAGAGCCGGTAAATACTCCGGGCGCTGCTCTTTCAGAACGGACACCAAACCCTCCGTGAGACGCATAGCAGACGGGCCATGCAGCCAAGACGAAGCAGCCATCTTTACCTCTGCGTCGCGCACACGTCATCTCTGTGCGACCGGGGCTTTCAGACGCGCTCACGGATCTGTGAGAAGAAGCGCTCTGTTGTTTGTGTTTGGAGCTGGTGGACGCTTGTTTCCAGCATATATTTACCCTCGCTGATGTAAACCCACATCTAAAGGATTAACTCATCTTCTATTTCATAAATAGTGAATCTGGCACGGTTTTGTAATGGCTAACGAGCGGCTCAGAGGTCTGGAGGAGGTGGAGAAGGAGATCGCGATGATCCTACAGTGCGCAGGTGAAACACAGATTTATCAACTTTCACTACTCAGGATCTTCTGTCATGTGTATTTTTGTACAAATTAGACCCTATACTTAATTTAAAAAAAAAAAAATTTACCTTGATAAATTGCACTTTAAAAATATTTCATTCCGTAGTAAATCTGAATAACCCAAACCATTTAACCACTGACAAACCTATATTGTAATTATACTATTCCAGCCATTCTAATATTTTTCTACATCAGTAGGACTAGCAACTGGGGACGTTTGGCATCCCCAGTCCCAGATCTAAAAAAGATTATTTAGGTCTAAATAAGACCTAAACCATTATGATATTGGATTACAACCTTTTCATCAAATACAGCAAATATCTGAACTTCACAGGAATCAGCAAACCACCTACAGAACCTGCATATCAACAGTGATGTACCACAGTTTGGAAATCCCAGTTCTATTCCTGTGATTCTATTAAATTCAATGCAACATTAAACTGTATAAACCCTTGTGTTTGTGTTGTAGGTAACATTGTTTTGGAGCTTTCCAAAGACAAACACAATGCCAGCCTCTTGGACAGACAGCTGCTGCAGTTCCAGAGCTCTGTGAACCGAGTGGAGAGTGAGCTGAGTTCGCAGATCCGATATCTCACACAGGTTCAATACATGCACTACAACCTATATAATTATTGCCATATTTAACAAGTAAAGTTATATTGTGTTCAATATAAGCGTTTTTAAACTGAGACATTTTGTTTTACAGGTGGCTACTGGTCAACCTCATGAGGGCTCCACGTATTCGGCCCGAAAGGACTGTCAGATGGCCCTGAACAGAGCAGAGTATGCAAAGGTCAAACTGGGAGAACTGGGACGCACTTGTGAAGTCATGTTGGAGCAGCCTCAGTCATGAGAATACAGACTCTGGACACTTGAGTAGTGAATGTTGACAAGATGTTTTTTTCTACAGTTATTTAAAAAATTTTCTAAATTTTTACTAATAAGTAATACAGTGGCTCTCAAACCTGTCACACCAAGTATCACAAAGAAAAGTATTTGGCTTTCAAATTACAATTAAAAATCTAAATTTGTCAAAACCATATACTCCAGAGCTGCCCAAGTACCACCTGAAGGAGCTTGTGTACCACCAGGTCAAGAAACAATGAACTATCTTCAGCACATACTGCAATTAAACTTACAGCTTTGTCTATTCATGGATGTCAGCTTCCTGTAATATGGAACATTTAAGATATTTTGTTATAAACTGTTAATTGCATTGGCACGGGTACTGATTTTCATATTTCTGAAATTAATGTTTCTAACGTGTTATGTTAATTTTTCTGGTTGCAAATGAACAGAACCTGCAGTTGTTTGGGTATACAAAAGACTGTTGGACTACTGTCAAATTGGAAAAAAAAAACATTTATATAATACTCTACTGTACAGCAGTTTCGTAATTTGATTTGTTTAATTTGTTTTTGTTTAAGAGTTGAGTAATTAACCCTCATACATTCTTCAAAGCTTTCAGTAATACAAATAAAGTATGCTTTAAATTTAAAATAACGATCAACACATTTGTTTAAGTAATACTATCATAGCTTTTTAATATTTAGTAGTATCAATACATAGATGGCAGTGCAACAGAATTACCACTGTATGGAATGTATTCAGGCCAACTTGTGACAATTAAAAACTTGAGAACCAATATTTTTTGCACATATTAACAAAGACATGCTATTTAAAACATTTCAATCACAAAAGACACTATCAAACATATAGACAATCTCCACCAGTAATTATCCCACAGGTAGTTGTGTAAAGGCCACTATAAATGTTGATAATAAATGTTCATACAAGTTCAATATTACAGTGCACAGTGCTTGTGTGTAGAAGTGTTCCTCAGTAGTGGCTACAGTTGAAGCTAGCAGAATGGGTCTTCCTCCTTGTCATTCATATCAGTAAACTGCAGACGAGCAAAATCTTCAAACACCAAGTCATCCACCTGTGACGGTGCACTACAAAGAAGAAGAATTTATATTACAATTCATCATTACAGGCTTGTATTCATTATTGGAAGAACATGACTGAGGTATAACTACTGGAATAATAATTGTTAGCATTTGTTATACTAAAATTGCAAAAGGATAAAACAATCAAGGCTCAACACATTAAAAATTTATAAGAGCTTTTGATGAGAGACATAAGAAGGTTGATTTCATATTCAGAACGTTGGCTTAAATCCGTGTATCATTCGTTCATTCGTTTTTCAAAATAAAACCAAAAATAAGAAAACGAAAAAACTATTTTCTTATGAAAAAAATTGATAATGATTCATTTTTTCAGCTTTCGATTTTGTGTTAAAATGAATAATAAAATGTTTCCGTGACTTAAACTGCGATGCCGGACTTTTACATTGCATACGGACTAAACCAGGACTGAACCAGGACTAAAACAGGATTAAAACAGGACCATGTCTAAACCAGGTTTCAAGCAGAACTGAACCAGGACTAAACCAGGACTAAACCAGGACTAAACTGGTCTCAGTCCTGTTCTCAATCCCGTTCTTGTCCCAGTATGGTCCTGGTTTCAGCCCCGCTCTCAGTCCCGGTCTCAGTCCTAAACCAGGACTGAACCAGGAGTGTTGGGACGGGCCTGGAGGTGCGCCCTCGTAGACTGTTGGGTGATCAGAACTCAGACTGGGACTCAGACCAGGACCAGACCAGTACTGAGACTGGTTCAGTCCTGGTTCAGTACGTATGTGGTGCATAAGTTCGGCATTGCAGTTTAAGTAAAAGAAAAGTCAAGCAAATCGTTATCTGTTTTTTAATTTTGGTTTTGGAAACAAATAATGAAGAAAATAGTTGTTTTTTCGTTTTCTTATTTTTGGGTTTATTTTGAAAAATAAATGAATGAATGAATGATACATGGACTGGCTTGTCTTGCATGATCTGAATAGGTTTTCATCTTAAATCTTAAACATATCCTGCTCTTTTGCTTTTATTTTGGACTTAAATCCAAATAAGAACATGAAAATAAACTGTGAATTATCTTAATTTTTACACTGGATTCCCGATCTGTCAGAACCCCCCCATGACCTACCTTGGTTTAAGTAATTTTATCAGAGGTGGAAACAAATCGTCGTTTTGCAAGTCTCAAGAAAGTCTCAAGTCTCTGACCTCAAGTCCAAGTCAAGTCCCAAGTCAAATACAAGCAAGTCCAAGTCGAGTCCAAGTCGTCTGCTTTGAGCTTCAAGTCATTTCAAGTCTTTAAACCAAAGGTCCAAATATAGCTTAGATTTTTGCAATTTATATGAATTTTAAACTAAATTGTACTTATAAATTCATAGTCTATTTATATATGAGTATTTATAGAGTAAATAAGAGTTGTAGAAATATAATTTTTTCCTTTGTAAATGTCTTGACAAGATCTTAGAGTGATTCATTACAGTTAGAATAGAATAAATTCAGATTTAAAAGTGCTTCTCAAGTATTCTCAAGTCACAGGCCTCAAATCCAAGTGAAATCCCAAGTCACTGTCCTTCAAGTCCATGTTGAGTTCCAAGTCTTAGTCCATTTTAGTCCTAAAAATAGTGACTCAAGTCTGACTCGAGTCCAAGTCACGACTTGTAAGTCCCCACCTCTGAATCTTATGCATAATATTGTGTGTGCCAAAAATACCACAATGCCAAAAGTATAATACTATATAATTAGGGATGTAACAATAACAGAAATATCGTGATATCTTATCGTCAAAGTTCTCACAATAATATCGTGGACCATCACAATATATCGAATTACAAGTCTCTTTGCTTAAATTAATAGTTTTGGTGCAGCAATAGCTAAAATAAAAAAAAAACAGAGGGAACTCCTTTGCTGTTTTAGGGCAGACTACATGAAGAAATAACAATTCAAATCACTTTTAAGTCTTAGTTCTTTGGGTTAAGTCTTGTCAAGGCATTTTAAGAGGAAAAAGTAGCATATTCACAGTTTTGTCAGCCTCCACAAAACATCACAATAAATATCGTATCGTGAGATGTATATTGTGAAAATAGTATATTGTGAAAATATCATACTGAGAGATTCGGATATCGTTACATTCCTATATATAATACTAAGAAACATGCATTGGATGTGCTGGCCATGTAGACTTTAATCACCTGAGCTGTTTGCAAAAGCTTAGCTCCGATATTTGCAGACTTTTGAGCTTTCCTTGCTGATTTGCTGCACTCCAATCACAATAAGTGAATTGTTTAAAGCCTGCCTAAAGCCTTGTTGCAGTGCGGTGATAGATTCATATTGATCAGCTGCGCTAGAATTACATGGCCGCACTTACTTAGTCTCCAGCTCTATCAGGTTTGTGTCCACGAGAACACCAGTCTCTGCAGCAGGGATGAAATAACACAAAGAGTTAATTAGATGTTCCCTGATTATTTAGTATTATATAGATTTACGTGAAAGGGATTACCAGGTTGTGGAGGAGTGGGCGTCTCTTCTTTAGGCTTGGGATGCATCAGGACAAATGGAAGCTCCACCGCCACGTCCCTAAAGACCAAAGGTTACCATGCAATCAACAAAACACAAATAATGATCACATACTGTTTCACGTTGTTTGCAGCCATGGCAGGCGTGTCATTATGGCCATTATCTTTTGTTGCTCTCTCATTGCCCACCAAGGACAAATGAGCTTCAGAGGAAATCCAATTATGTTTTTTTTTTTGTTCAACCACCCACTATTTTGTGTCTTTCTTTGAGTCTTCATGTAATCAGGTTGTTGAGTCTAATTTCTAATGAATGCGTTTAGAGATGTGCATAGTTGGACAAACAAATAAGGGTGTCAAGGAAATTTCATATGTTTCAATATTAGAGAGCAAACAACACCTATGAAATAAATTTAGACAGTAAACCTACTTGAACAACAACTATAATGCTCACTAATAATTTGTTATTTATTACAACAAATTTGTTACATGAAAAAACAGTGAGTGTATTCAAATATCGATCCATAACTCCACTGTTTTACTGCAGATCAAACATACAATTTATACAATGTCAGATGGTTCACTTACGCTCCAAGAGATACCACAGCTTTGACCCGGACTTTGTAGGACACCAGGATTCCCATAGTCTCCTTATCTGATGCCTCTTTCATTCTGTAACAGATTTACACTATTGTATTAATGTCTGCTGGGTTTTATTTTATGAATTGTCAATGTACAGTACCTCTATTGCATATATCTATTGGCACAGTGACATGAATGTGCAAAAGAGGCATTCTAACTTCAGAATAACCAACACTAGTGAAAAAGCTGGAAAATATTTCATCAACAGTGCCAACAGAGGTCACTGTATTAGCTTTGTGCTTACATGGTGCTGGAGGCCAAGTTGGTGTCTTCATGTTTGAGTTTCCCGTCCAGAGCGAGGCCTCTCTTCTCTCTGTTGGGCCCTAACACTGGAGTCAGAGTGTAGATCTTACACAGGGTGGAGCTGGGACTCACCTGGTCCCTGTAGACAGAGGACATCAAATTATATTCACCACAGCATACAATAATAGAAGAGCTAGTCACATATCATTTTACAAGCTACAAAACCAATAAGACATTTTAATAATACATTTTTGTTGCATCTATTTATTGAAGGTGCACTAAATAACTTTGTTGGTGGAGGGTCTGTCATTTACTTCATCATCTTTATGGAGATGTTACTGTTTGGCCTACAGTGTTCCACAGTATGGCATTAAACTTATCTACCTCCATGAAGACAAGCACCCCGGTCCAGAGTCCTGCACGGGTCAATTTTTGGAGAACCGCACCCTCCCGCACCCATGCAGTACAGCAGCGCACCCGCCAATTAACCCATATAATATCAAAGTTAAACCCGCACCTGGCCAGACCCGTTAACATTCCACCCGTTACCAGCCTGTGCCCGTGAAAAATCACAAACAAATTAAATGCATTCTAACTGAAGCATCCATCAGAATATAAATTGAAAGGTTACGATGTCAAGAATTACAATCATAAAATGAATTTAAACGGTTACGCCTTCTTCAGTACGAATACGAATTCACGACTTTATTGTCAAAAATCCGTTATCACACAGGCATTATTTATTGAGCAGAAGAAACATTGATCAAGATGCAGGACTTTTGCACTGCACACGCCACAGACTGAACCAGGACTAAACCAGGACTACCCCAGGACAGATTCCGGGACTGAACCAGGACTGCCGGTCATGACGGGCTCGGAGGTGTGCCTGCGTAGACTGTCATGTGGCTGCAGGCGATAGGTCCAGCATAGAGCTCTGCTCTGCTCTTCTCTCTCTCTCTCAAATCCAAGATTAGTCCTGGTTTAGATCTGGTTTATACCTGGTTTAGACCTGGTGTAGTCCTGGTGTAGTCCTGATTTTGTCCTGACCAACCCGTGTGTAATTACTACCCACCCGCATACCTGCCCGTAAAATTCCAGAACGTTAAATCCTGCCCGTTTCAGCAACTATTTGCGGGTACAATCTGGTACCCGGCCCATTGCAGGACTCTGCCCCACTCTATGGAGAGGCCACCTGGTTCATATGACTTTAAACTCTAGCAGTGTGAAGTAGTGTACTCACTCTGCTTCAACCATTGCTACTGGACACATGTACTGTGCGGTGGAGAAGAGGCAGATGTCTGCATACTGACGAACTACAACATCACAATTGCAGTGGTATTAGCAGAATGTTAATACACACAGAGTACAGTATATTTATTTGAAAGAATTACCAGATACTTTGATCTTCTTGACATTCTTGGTGGAGTTGTTTGTGACATGGACATTGATGTTTATAGGCTCTCCATGGTAATACAACTGCCAAAGAAAGCAGAGACTTAGATTAGATAGATTTAGACAATCTTTATTGATCCACAAGGGAAATTATTTGGACACAGTAATTCACACATTACGATATAATAACATAGAGTAAAAAATATAAATGGTAATAATAAATTCTAAATAAGTAGCAAAAAGATAGCAAGAGACAGATGTCAAATAAGACATAATTATATAAATGTATAACTACAAGTCAAAATAAAAAATAAGCAATAAAGTACAAAATCTCAGCTTTATACAAGACGTCATAGGAAGACAGTGCAACAATGAAGATTGACAGGACATTGGGTTATCCATTACATAAGGGCGAGTTGTTGTACAGTTGTAGGGAGTATTATCTGTCCCTCTATAGTCTGCTCTCCATCATGGACACTCCTGCTCACCCACTGAACCAGTTTGTCCAGTGTCCTCGTGTCCCTCACTGTGACAAATGTCTCCAGCTCACAGCCGATCACGTGACCAGCTTTACAGATCAGTTTGTGAATATGCCCAGTGTCCCTTTTAGTAATTGTCATGGTCAATGATAAAAAGTAATAATGCTATTGCTAACTATATGCAGAATCTCGAAATTTCCATCACCCATTGACCGTACAGTACTTCTCACACACCATTCTGTGTTGGACCCTCCTGTTACTTTTATCTTTTAGCACAAACAGAGTAGGAGAAGTGTCTCACCCAAACACACAACTAGTTGTTTGTTAGTTGTCACTTGTTTAGGGTGACCAAACGTCCCTATTTACCAGTCCCAGTTTTGACCCCTGTGTCCCGTCCCAGTGGATTTATCTAAAACCAGTGATTTGTTCCAGCTTTATATAAGAAATGTCCCAGATCTCCCTATTTTTGACCAATCTGATACCTGCTATGAGTAAAGAGAAGCATTAATTGTCATTTGTTAAGGCAAAATACAAGAATTCTGCTTAAAAACCAAATCAAAACAAAGAAAATATGACTATACTGACTCACTTGTTAGTCATGAGTGATCTCTGCATAACAACTTTCCTCAATTACACTCTTGTTTCACAATTTTATTATTACCAACCACCAAAAAAATGGGGATGTAGTTTTTTATTTAGAAACTCTGGTCACACTACACTTTTAGACTTACTCACAGTGGGAAGAGCAACCACAACTTTTACTCAAGTTAGAGCAATGTTACTGCAAACTGAATATTACCTCAGTATGAGTAAAAATATGGTGTCTAAAAACTATAATTTCTTTAAACAGTTACTCGATTAAATGCAATTGAGTACTCCCCACCCATGCCCCAGTAAAAAAGTATACAACAATAAAATGGTGTACCTCTTTGTCCAGTGACGCTTCCAAATGCAGCGACCGGTCCGACATGAGGAAGTTGCGGCTCGTCTCCACCATGGGCTGTGGGCCGGGGTTCTCGGGGGCGTACTGGACTTTTCGGATGAGGAGGTGCACTGAGTTCCTTTGGTGGATCTTTTCGTCCTCAGCCTTGGCACAGAACACCTGGAGCTCGAAGTCCACTCCGCAGGCCTTCCCTGTGTCCTCTGGGCCGGGCTGCAGTGTCACGGAGCACGGCAGGTTGTGTGGGATCTGGAAAAAATAGAATCACTACTAACCATACTTTAAAAATACTTGGATTCAAAGTGGTACGTTAATCTTTGCCTGAAATGTTCCACAGTATGGCATTAAACATGTATTGTATTTAATCAGTTATTATTTATTTTATTGTGTGAAAAATCCCTCAGTCATCCAGATAGAATTCATGGCAAAGGAGAAATCCAATTTGTCAACTGGACAAAGTTTATTTGGTTGATTACATTTTGCAGCTGAACAGAGTGCCTTGGCCTCTTATCCAGGAACTCCACCCAAACACTCGTATCATTATGTGGACGAAAATTTTGAAGATGTCAAGGAGAACACATTGGCTTAGATTGTCCAGTAACGACAGGAGAAGACCGGCAACTCCAGGTGGAGGTCTTCAGGAATCTCACACACACACAACACACCACAACACCGTAACCCACTGCAACACAAACTTGGAGATATTCAGACACTACAACACAGGGCTCAAGTCATGCCTACAAGCACAGATAGAAAGGAGAAAGAAGAACAACATGTGCAGAAAGCCCTCTCAGTTTGCTGATATCCAAAATGGGCGTTCAATAAAATAAAGAGAGTTAAAAAACAGGACAACAGAGAATCAGAACCCAGGAAAAGGGCATAACTTTTCCTTATATGGTTGATGTTTCTGAAAAACTACAGAGGATTTTCAGACAACATGAGATTCCAGTATATTTCAAACCCACAAACACTTTAAGACAAAAACTGGTCGACCCAAAGGACAAAACACAGAGCTGCAAACAAAGCAATGTGGTCTACTCCATTCAGTGTAGTGAAGACTGCAGTGAGCACTACACTGGAGAAATGAAACAGCCACTTCACAAGAGGATGTATCAACACAGATGAGAGAGCAACACAGGACCTCAGTCTGCTGTGCATTTCCACTTAAAAGCCTCGGGCCACTCTTTTGAGGACAGTGAGGTACAGATCTTAGCCAGAGAAAAGAATTGGTTAGCTAGATAGACACCATCTATCTCCTATTTACAACTCCATCCTCAAACCTAAATCAAAACAAACAAGAGAGCAATAGCTGGAGCCAGGTCAGGTCCAGAGATGTGAAAGCTCCATTATGGCCCTGAAGGATTCTGCTAATATAACTCCATACTCAGTGCAGTTCAATAGGCCTAGCTAACAAACAGAAACTATAAACAAGTAGGTGTGTTAATTTCAGAGTAGTTTCATTGTAGTTAGCTCCTGCCTGTAGACAAATATAAGGAAGTGTCCACCAGCGTCTGACCAGAACTGAAGATGCAGCTTGGATGAGCTGCGAAATGTATTCAACCAAATAAACCTTGACAAATTGAATTTCTCCTTTGCTATTCAATTTATTTTTCACCTATACTTTGGCCTGGTGGTGCCCCCTGCCCATTTCCATGGAGATAAATAAGTTAAATAACATCTCCATGAAGACAGGTGATGATCAGGTGATGATTCTCCACAAGAAAAGTTACATAGTGCACAAAACAAAACAAGTGCATAAAACGCACAGAAGATGGATGTATTCTGTGCCAGCCCCTGCATTTACATGGTCAATATTTAGATCTGATTAATGGATTAATTTGATGGTCAGATTAGAATATTGTTTGCAGTTTGTCTGTAATCCTTCTTCTTGTCTTGTTTGCAGGTGCTGGACAGACACACCCATTAGAAAAAGTACATAGTAAAACTTTAAGGGTTATTGAAAGTGTACACAGGGCCTGTCAGCTGCAATGTTTACCGTCTTTGTTGAAACCAAATATTTAGTTTTAAGGAGAATCTTGAGGTAAAGGTGAAATCATCTTGGTTTGAATCATGCATGGAGCCTGTTAACATGTTGCTTTGGGTTGTAACATAAAAGTGTTGTTATTCATAAGAATGAGTCCAATAAACCCAGCGCTTCTAAAGGGAGGTCCCAGAGCGATGTGAGGTGATAGATGGGTTTAATACACAGACAACCTTCCCACGCACAATAAAATTACTACAGACACTTTGTTTAATATCTGTCTTATAAGAATGAACAAGGAACGTTACTGCAAAGCAACAATTTACCACCACATAAAAAATTATTATTACCTAATGTTTGTGATAAATGCTATGGGAATAATAATAGAAAAAGATAGCTGGCAATGAACAATGTTTCTATCACTGTTATATAACATTGTTTTTTACCAGACCAACCAGCCACATTGGTTCTAGAGGCTTTTGAAAAAATAAAAAATAAAATAAAAAATTACAAGGCACACATGCATTAACTACCCTAATCAGTATAATTCATATCAGTATTAAATCAATTTTTAGGTAATTTTGAGCTGTCCTGCTATACATTAGTAGGTAAAAACAATATATGAAAAGAGATTTGGATATTGTTGCATCTCTAATTGTGAGCCTCTCCACCATATCATGAGCTTTCCCATGATATCTCAATAAATATCGTACCGTGAGGTTCATACCGTGACGATATTGTATCTTGAGACTTGGATATCATTACACCCCTATTTAATAACATACATTTCTACTCAAGATTTCTACCATATCATGTTTGCAGTGTAGTTTGAATCTTACAATATGAGCCCAAATATAAAACATAGTTAGTTTTGGTGTGTGGGTACATTACCGAGAAGTTGAAGGGGTAGGCATATTGTCCTAATTTTTTGAAGAGTTTCTCCTGCAGTGGACTGAGAATCTGCTGAGATACAGGAGGGCAGGGGAACACTTGGACTGTGCTGCTGAAGAGAACTTTACGAAAAGACAGCCCCAGGACGTCCAGATCCTCACGGCCATACCGGAACGCACATGTGAGGGTCACGAATACTACAGAGAATAAGAGTAAATGAATAGGATTTGGGGTTTGGATTTGGCATTTGTTTAAACTATAAAGACACACTTACCTTTGCGGTCTTTGAGATACTCTGGATCTACAAGTACCATGCCATCTGAAAATATACATTCACTATTTAATTAATGTTTATCAACTGGAGTGTTTCTCCACTGATACGAAAGTTGACAGTCCTGCGCTTGACATAAACATCACTAGAGTAATCAGATCCACTGACCCACAGCTTGGCAGTGCGATTCCAACTCTGAGCTCCCACAGATAAATGCTGTCAATCATCTGCGTACACTGGTGTAAGAATGTGTGTAAATGGGAGAGTGGTTCCTTGATATAAAAAGTGAAAACTTTTGAAAACTTCACCATTCATCACAGATAGAGTATTTTGTACTAAATTGTTAATTGCAATGGCAACCAAGCTAAATTTTCATCATATATTTTTTAAAATTCTTGTGTATCTCTTATTACTTTATTGACTAAATTGGAACTCAAAACTAAACTAAATTTGTATTTATGCTGAGTAGAAAGAGGAAAGAGGCACTCTGATTTGCGGTGTATTAATTAATAATTAATTAATTAATAAATACACCGCAAATCAGAGTGCCTCAGCCATCCTCTTTCTACTCAGCAAGAATTCAAGCCCTCTGGTCTGATGAGCACTGGTATGCGTAAGATTTGACCCAGTGCACCACTCCAATATCATCATTTTGTTTTAATTTGTATTTATTTTTTCAATAGATACATGATACTAGACTGAGCCTCAGTTTGGTGATCAAATTAAATATTAAAACCAGTTGTTATTGAGGAAGTGAAGTGAAATTTTTCTCCTTGTGGCATAACAAACAAAATACGATGAAGACAGCTCCTTAACATCAGCTGTTTGAGCTGTTCGCATGTAGCATAACAATCAGGACACTTGATAATTACATGAATATGCAGCGTGTCCCTGTCAGATGGAGAGGTACATGATGGGCTGACTGGCATCATAAGTTACCCATTACACGAGTCACATCCGCCTGTTATTACCACGTATCCTTTGTTTACCACTGATTACATGATTTGCACTGTTGAATAAATCTGCTGCTTTATCATTTTAAGAGGATCAATCAATAGTTCATGGGTAAATTTTCGCTTACCACTCAGTTAGCCACAACACCTTCTGATCTCTGTAGTGATATGAACCTGGTAATTACTTTAGCTGTTTTATTGACTTTGTGTAGCTGGAATGATTGACGATCTTTTGCTGCTTTATCTCATTAAAGGTTCACTATGAAACATCTGTGTGAAGAGTGCACCACCATTATATATCATTTATCCAATAACAGGTGTTTTTATTGCTCAAAAGTAGCTTAAAAAACAGACTACTCTCCACAGATCTGACCTGCATCCTGGCCTTGTTTCCATTGAGATAGATAACTCTTGCGTCATACTGTGGAATATCCTACAAGATAATCAGGTGGTGCACAAGCAAAATAAAACATCGTCAGCTATAATACTCTTGGTGTGTCTTGGACTTACCTACTGGGTCCACATGGTCCAAGTGGTCAACAAAATCCCTCTTCCCAAGATACACTGTTAGCTGAAAACAAAATATAAACATTAACAACATTTGAAATAAACAAATTAAACCACACTAAAAATGAAACTACCCATACCTTACTGTTTGGACTGGATTTTTTAAAGACCCTGAAAAAGATATTTGGAAAAGGTTTTACAAAACAACAAATTAGAGACAATATGTGACTGTTAACTGTCCTGAATATTTCTTATTTATCAAATCTACAGTTATTAATGCATATAATGTAAAGTAAGCATTAGAGCCCGACCGATATATCGGTTGGCCGATATTATCAGCTGATATGGGCAACTTTAGGCATATCGGCTATCGGCCGATATGCTTGCTGATAGGGGCCGATATTTCACGTGGGCATGTTATACCTCATTATAAAGCTTAGACTCTCTACATTCTGTTCATTTAATCCAATTTACAGACAGATAAATGTCCTAATATGTGGCTCCACATCAGTATTTATCTACGGAGTCCGTACTGTCCCTGAACACACCACAGAGTCGCGTCACTCACGTGTGTTTGTTTACACCTGCAGACACAGATCCAAACACTGAGATTATATTCTTTTTTCGGACAATCGGTTTGAGTCTGGATTAAAAGGACATTTATTAGTGCAGATTTGTGATGTGAGGAGGAGCCTGTATGAGCGGTGAGTGTTGGAAATATGTCGACTCTGAAGCTAGTTTTTGTCATTTGTTATGGGTTAGCTGCTGTAGCTCCCGCACATAAACAGACTGTTTTCTATTGGTCTGTTCTAAAGTGACTATATTGGCCGTATATTTGCTCCTGGACCTGCACTGATATGTAAATGAGCTGTGAACAGACGTGTGAATTATGACATTTGCGCAAATAATTAATTACTGCAGCGCGCACGTATTTACGGCTAAAGGCTAATAGCGCTACTTTCTTTACTAGTTATGGGTCCGTCGCGAACGAAATAACTCTTAGAACCGGCTCTTTGAAGGGAACGACGGGAGCCTGATCCTTATTGGGAGCCGTGTTTTCTCTTTTTCTCACTTTTTTTCTCTTCACGCCGCGTGATTCGTGGTTTGACAGCGGCAGCGGCTCAAAACGAAACTCTGAGAAATTTGCGTGTACGTAGGATTAAAAAAAATAAAAATAAAAAAACGAGCATATTTGACTGTAGTTTAGCATAAAATAAATAAGTCCCGGTTTAGTCCTTTTTCAGTCCTGGTTTAGACCTGGTTCAGTCCTGATTCAGTCCTGCTTTAGACATGCTTTAGTCCTGCTTGCAACAAAACAATCTGAAGAGCCACTTGGGAACCAAAAGAACCAGCAGCTTTTAGTGAGCCGAGCCAAAAGAGCCGGTTCTCTAAAAAGAACTGGAATACCCATCACTAGTGTCTAGAATGTGATGCAAAAATGCCATTAAGCCAACCTACTGTCTGTAAATATGATGTAAAGAGGCAGAATAACAATAAATGTTGCCTAAATAAACCCAAATTAAAATCCACCAGAACCAAACCTAAGTTTTTTAAACAATTCAACATTTACAGTGAATTTTTACATCACTAAATATATCGGCGATTATATCGGCTATCGGCAGCGCCAACTCCCATTATATCGGTTTCATATCGGCCACAGCAAAATCCATATCGGTCGGGCTCTAGTAAGCATTAGGGAGCTCGATTAGAGATCACATAGAGCGCTGAATGGCACTGCAAAAATGAAACAGGAAATGACCTGATAGATTCCAGGAAAAGTGAACAATTAAAATGCACATTAGAAAGCCCTCATAGGAAAACCAAATGCATTTAGGCTGCAATTTTCTACAAAGACTGTGTTAAATGCCTCTTGTGTACATACAGAGAGACAAAACAAATGTCAAAGTGGTGGTTTAAGTTAAGTTTATGTGCATACAGACAGAGGCACCAGACAATGTACATGTGAAAAAACTAGGACGCTGTGATGATCATAATTTTATATTTGACATGGGAAAACTGGGCGGAATATGAAAACAGCTACAAGGTTTTGGATGACTACGGTACTTTATTATCGATAAAACAACATATTACAGGTTCTCTAACTAAGCTAAAACTGAAGAACAAAAATTCACATACATTGCAACTAAGTATCTAAAAACAACTATATACAACATATACATTTATATAATCATGCCTTATTTGACACTAGTCTCTTTCTATCTTTTTGCTACTTATTTAGAATTTATTATTACCATTTATATTTGTACTTTTTGTTATTATAATATATTTAGATGTGTGAGCTATTGTGTCTAAGTAATTTCCCTTGTGGATCGATAAAGCTTGTCTATTTCTAACAACAACTAGATGCAATGCACCAGGAATAAACCAGGTCTAAGCTACATCTAAACCAGGACTACAATATGTCTGTGGAGGTTAAAGCTCCACACTTATTGGAAGACCAAAGATGATTTATTATGTATCTGTGAACAGTAAGATTATGATTTGATAAAAAAAAAACAAAAAAAAAACAAACTGTATTACAATTTGAGCGGATGACCCTTGTACATCAGGTTATTGGACACACAGAAGAATGTGCTAGTTTTTACTTTCTCAGGGAAAACATCAGTGACACATCCGGGCGGAGAGCAAAAAAGACCCTCACTTCCTTAATCCAGGACACCAAAAACTCAACTTCAGCAAATCCCCTCTGAACCAGGGACAGTGAGGCAAAAACTGCAAGTAATGTGCAATCTTAAGTACTGATCATGTTTTTGTTTTCCTATGGTAATTTTTGGAGTGTGGGTTTGTAAGACATTCTCCCTACTCCACTATTTTGACACAGTATATATTAAGTGTAAGCTACATAACTTGACTTGCCTATAAAATAGACCTAATATTTAACACACATAAAACCTTATAACGCTGCATGCACAAAATACGCCTCAGTCAGACAGCTTCGACGTGGAAGCTGAGCTATAAATATTAAGACATTAAAGTAATGGGAAAATGTGCCAATCTCGTTTCCTGTTATGCAGTTGTATCCAAAAGGGAACTTTCGCTGTTTCTCAGTTATCTTCCATAAACATCCTGTTGCGTAAGACCATATGTTTTATTTGGCTTACATTTAGGACTGAATCCTGAATTCTTGTTAAATTCTGAACACATTTGTCAAAATATGACGACAAAATATGCGTTTTGTAATTCTTGGTCTTTCGTGTGCAGTAGATATCTGCGATCAGGAGCCTCACCTGGTGCCTGGTTTGTCGCCCATTTCCTCTGCGCGCCGTGCGTCTTCAGACCCACAAGCCTTCAGTGCAGTTTGGGCGACGCGCGTCGTACTAGGCTACTCTTTCGGCTGCTGTGCAGAGCCACGCCCACTTCAATCACATCAGCCACAGGAAAAAAAAAAAAAAAAACATGAGTGGAGAGCATGAAAATAAATGACAAAAGAAGAAATCTGTAATGTTTACTAGGGAGCAAAATACCATTAAAAGTAATGTCGCTGGCTCGAGTCATGATGCATGTGTTTGTCACCACAGAATGTCTGCTCTCATGTTGTTTTAATAGATCCATGTCATACCCTCACTCACAAAATTAACCTGAACTGGATCAAAAAAAGTCGTCCTAAAAGGTAGGAGCGCGTCTGCCACTTTTTATCACCATTTCTATGGAGACGTTTGCCTTGAATATTCCGCACTATGGCATTAAGCTTATCTTTCACATAGCGGCACCACCAGGCCAAATTACAGATCTGTGAAGAGGTGACCCAGCTCACAGTAAGTTATTTTAGACTTAGCTATAGTTTTTTTTTATGTTTTCTGCTTTTCTCAAATGAGATTAGAGTGTAGTAAACACTAACTCAAAAAAGCTCAAACTTTAGACATCCTGTATGACCCTACAAAATAAAAGTCACAACACAATTGCTTTTATTTTGACGCACCTCGCCGGAACTGGCACAGCGTGGGCGTGGCGGTCACAGTGAACGCCTTGACTGCGCTCTGCGGTGCAGACTAGACCGGCCGGCTGCCTCAAGACTCATAGCCCAGGGATTGCCCCGTTATTCCGCCGAGTGCAGTCAGCGTGTTGTGCGTGAAGTGTGCTTGGACGCCGCTAACATGTTCCCCCGCTCCGCTCTCTCTCTGTGCGCGGTCCTGGCTCTGCTTCTGCCGCTCCAAGGTAAGCCTTTGTCCCGCACACACCTCCGAACCGCTCGCCACATGTTCAGCCTTTGTGCCGCACTCACAGGGCCCCAGCGGCTCCAGCGACTCCCGCACCAAACATTAACCACACAAACCCTAATATCCCCTATCTTTAGCCTGATTTAGTCTGGCACAGTTTTCAGTACACACATGAACGCGCCGCAGATTTTGTCTTCATTGGGAAAAGGTCCATGTGCTTCGATTTTCTGTGACTGCAAAACCAGACAATCAGTTTAAATGAGAAAGACCGTGTCTGAGAAGTTATGCGTTATATCTTTGGCTAATATGTATGGGAAGGTTCTTTTTTTATTTTTATTGCTGTAAAATAGTCTAGTTTCTGCACAAGGAGAAGTGATGGGGGATCAAAGTGATGCTGGCACCGCCCACAGTGAGTCTGACTGGGGCACACACTGCCAGGAAACGCCTGATGTCACTCTCCCCTATAGCAGCCATGTGGAAGATGGTGATCAAAATGGTGGTTAGTATGAGACAGATGAGGTGTCTACCCAGGCAGGTGAACAAAAGGCCAGACTATAGCCAGAATATAGAGTAGGACAGCCTGTCCAGATCTCCACCCACTATATTTCACACTGCTTTGTGCTCAAGTGAATTATTTAAGCACTATCTGCATGACATCTTTAAATGTTTGTTGTACATAAAACCTGTGCCGTGCCATCTTAACTTGTTGGTATTAATTATGCATTGAAATCTCCTGAATGTATTTGTCTTAGCTAGCCAATGGGGATTAAGCGCTGAGAGAGGGTTCAGAGGTCAGCAGAACTTTAATCTGTATTCATGTGCATGTACTGTAAAACAATCCAATCCACTTTATTTTGATAGCACATTTTATAAACAAAGTGCTGCTAAAGTGCTGCACACATAACATATTAGAAATAAAAAATCTACAATTGAACACAGTAAAAACGGAGTGAAAACAAATAAATAACACCTTAAAATAGACCTATAAGAATAAGTAAATACAATGAATAAAAAACAAAACAGTAAAAACGTTAAAAACCAGATAGAAAAACAAGTGAATGTGGTAAGTTAAAAATGTGCTCATCTTTATTTTTGCGCATATAAATAATGTAAAATAACTTGTTTCTCATTGTAAAAAGTAAAAAATCTCAACATTTACAAACACACATTGCATATCTAGTCATCTTAAATGCCAATATTTGTAGGTATTTGGAAAAGTAATGTGAGTAACCTGATTTTGGTGATGTAGATTGTATAGTGTAGATTGGTAAAATGTGGTAAGAAATAAGTCTAGACAGGAAGCTACTAAGAACAGAGAACTTCATGCCACCTGCTGGTAAGTTTCACATCCCGTCCAATCATCGAACCACGGCAAAATGTTCTGACAGTGGGCTCTAAATCCAAAAAGCAGAGCGGTGCGGTGTGGTGTGAGCGAGGGCAGATGTGGCAGATCAGATCAAATCTGTGATCACTTAATACAGATCAGAAAATTATTTTGATCTACTTCCTTTTCCTTTCTCCCATAATGACGGAAAGAATTACACTTCTTAGATTCAGAACTCGTCTCTGCAAAACTCAAATAGCACTTAAGCTTGGGACTGGCACAGGAAGTACAGTGACTTAAATGAAATAATGAAAGACGTGTATTGATTTGTTCTGGTTTGTCTTAATGTAGTCGTGTCGTCGTCTCTTACATATGCATAGATGATCTTACATGATGTTCGTTACCATAACAGCAGTGGGGACATGTTGTGAGCGCGCTGTCATTAATTAGGGCTATAGTTTATCTATAATTTAAATGCTGTGAGTCATGCCAGTGTGTAGGTGATAAAGGATAGGGCCAGACACACCCAGAGCAGAGGCCGCTTCTGCACGGCTCCAGAGGTCACTAAGTGCGGAGGGTTTTTGATGCATATTAAGGGCTCGTAACTCTGAAAGCGGATGGCTGACCTTTCGGCGCATCAGTTCGTAAAAGAATGTGAAAATGATGTTCTTAGAATAGCCTGTATGAAAAAGTTTGCCTGTGGTTCTCCATTTGAAGCTGGCATAGTTAGTGTCTCATTATTTGCTTAATTGAAATGAAATAGTTTAACTCTTAAATTAAAGATGGGCAATATTTTTGAGTCACAGTCTTTAATTGTGATAATGTTGATTTTTTTTTTTTTGTATATTGTTGTGGATACATTTTTTTTTCTTGAAGTAACTGATCTTTTAACTTCTTTATTTCGGCTTATTCTTTATTTAAGATATGGGTAAAATGGTTTATTGTAACAGTCATGCCATATTGTTGCTGTATCAGTGGCATAAAGTGACTTCTGAACACAATTTCAATTTGTGTGTCAAACCATCTCCAAACTCATATAATCAAGTTGAAAGTATAAAGCTTAAAGAAGTTTAGTAGAAGTATATTTATTCTTTTTTTTTTAAATATAGAGATTGTAGAACAGCTGGATATTTAGTTTTTTTTGTTGATACATTTATGTTTTTCTATGCCTTATTTCATGTTCAACGTATATTTTATTCATTTTATGTTTTATACATCGCAAAACTGCTCTAAGGTTCATATTTGTAGCCTGAATTTATTGTCAGTTTGAAAGCTTTGCACAAATGATCAATAACAAATTGTTTGAATAATCTTTGACCAAAATAATCGTGATAATGATTTTTTTTTCCATAATCGAGCAGCTCTACCTACAATGGCTTCCTGCAACAATTTCTACCACAACTAGACTCATTTATCCAGTTTGCAGTTTTGTACAACTTTTATACTAAAAGAAAAACATACAAAAAATGTACAGAAGGACAAAAGTGAAAAGTAAATTGGAGTTTATTTTAATGTTTACAGAGGGCTTGAAAGCTTGTAAAAACATCGCCCCAGCCACTGCTCCCTCTCACTCTCCATATGTCAGAGTGGCATCCAGTGAAGCCCGGGCTCTTTGTTCCTCTCAGCTTTTGTCCTTTTCATGTCAATAATGTGCACTACAGTCCCGGGCCCAAACAAAAGGATGATTTTCTCATGAGCACAGTGTGGCGGGTGGGTGCGGGGGTCCACACACACAGCACACTGGTACAAGTGCCCCATGCCCGACCCACACAAAAACATCTGACCGCTCACTGTGGAGGAAAGAGCTTCAGTAACCAAACTTATTTTTTCTGTTTTCTGCAGTGATCTCGCAGGAGTTGGACCTGTCTGATGCTCTTGATCCAGGCAAGTATTAGTTTTTACAACCTATAAAAACTGAATAAAACTAGATGCATTTTATTTTTCTGGAATGTGTACAAAACCTGGACAATCAATTTAATTTTTTTAATTTATTTTGATTTTTTTCCAAGGTTAAAACTTTCCTGAAAATACAGTATTTGTTAGGATCATCATCATCCTTGGCTACATAACTAAAAGAACATAAGTGCAGTTGTTGATTGGACAAGGTCATCCGCTGCTCACTTTTAAGTTCTCTAAGCTTCATTCTTCTTTTTCCTCTTTGTTAGTAGTGACCCCTACAGCGAAGCCTGCAACACCAGCACTTCCAGCAGGTGGTGCCGGGAAAGAAGGTGTCGGTAAGAACAGTGCAGAACAGGTGTTTGTCATTAAAAATGTATAAACATGTTGTCAAAAGATCAAGACAGACTTCATAGCTCTTGTTTATGCAACTTAGAAGATGTTATGTCACTAAATCGGGTCACACTCAGAATTATCTTGAGTTTATTCTGAAAATCTTTATCTTTTTTAAATAAATGAGGGTATGTGAGACAAATAGATTAACACATTAGGTCATTGAGTTGAAAGTCTGGGTGGCACTGGTCCTTAACAAACGTGTGAACTTTTTGTCATTGTATCCATGGCAACACCACGAGCTAGACCCGTCGTTCAAACGTGTGTAGTGTTGCAAATAGGATCACTTAAGACTTTCAATGAAGTGGACATAAATAATACTTAGAAATCCAACTTTACATAAGCAATGCAATGTATATTAAGTGAGTGTTGACCCTTGTATGTGGCTGTAGTTTGTTTGAGAAAATTACATGATCATATTAATTACACAAGGCTGCAGGACTTGAACTAGTACATGTATTTTGATTTCTATTCAAACTAGGCACTGATGATTAGGCCTGGGTATCATTCAGAAGTTGCCAATATGATAAATACCTCGATACATATTCCACGATACGATACATATCTCGATACAGTGGGCTGAGATTCATAGATATATTTAAATTCGATTTGATATGATTCGATAAAAAAACAAGGGCTAAATGATGGCTGTGATATTAAAAGTCTTTATTAAACCACTTCTTGTGAAAAGTTAATATGAAACGCTGGCCTGATTCATCAGCCGGTTTCACTTTGTAGAAACCGTCTGACCTCACAGCATTAGAATTAGTTCGCTCCATGATAGGTGTTTTTTTATTTAACCAGTCGTTGCTATTTGGTCGTGACATATGTAATGCGCTGCAAACAGGGCTAACTGGTATATTAAGCTTTTCCCAAATCCTGTAGGAAGAAGGGCAATAACGTCTTTCCCCTTGATAAAATTCACCAAACATTCTCTTAGTTCCGGCCTTAAATCCTCGATCTCAAGAATCGTTGCCAACACTGAATGTATGGCTCTTCTCTGATTGGCTGGTGCCTGAACTCACACTTCCGGGGTTCTTGCAAGCTGTCTAGAGTATTCTGATTCCTGACTTAGTCGCTGGAGAGAAATTAAATTGAATGGAGTCACTAGGTGGCGCCAGCCTGGCAAATGAAACGCACTCATTTTAATCCACAAAACAGTGAATATGTCAAATGTGTCACATAAACAAATTTCCTTCCTTTAAACAAGCAACAAACCTGTAGCGCTGTAACAAAGTAATTTAGTAAAATATACCAAAAAATACTTTTGGTACTATATTGATATATCAGTACTGTATCATCACATTAAACGATACAATATATTGTAGTCATCATCCTACTGATGATGACTACTGTATATTATAATGAATGTCTAATGCACCTTTTTTTTTAAGACCTGTCCCTGGACGACGCAGTTGATGCCACCACAACCACCAAAGCCCCACCCAAAATGGCCCCCAAGGCGCCCGCCAGCACCAAGGCGCCAGTGAAGCCCAAACCAAATACAAGTAAGGCACATGCCTCCTCCTGGGACCCCCCAACCCCTCTCTCTCTCTGCATGTGCCTTACCTTTTCTGTTTATCCCTAATAATAATACTGACTTACTCTAGAGCATCCACACAAGCTATTGACTAAACTGCACTCATTTGTGCTGTTCTGTTATATTTACAACCTTTCAAAAGTAAGCATTCGTTGCATTACTCCTTCATATAAGAAAATTGTTGATAAATCACATTACATTAAGTGAATTATTTTTTTCTTCTCCCTACTAGTATGCATAAAATATCACCATATACTAGTTATATATATATATATAATAGTTACATACTTTTTTACTATTCAGTCTGGAGAAGTAGTTCAAAGCTACATTTAACACTAACAAATGTACGTCAGAAAAAAAAACTTTGCACTAAAGTTATTGTAGGAGCCATTCGTGGGTGTTCTATTGGTTTCCTCACGTGACTAATGTGCACTACACTGCGGTGTCTGGGGGTGGCACGGTGGGTGTGGTGTGGCCTATATATGAGCGCGCTCACCTGCTGAGTGTAAGGCCTTGGATCATGGTGGCGGGGTGAGCACGGGGAGCAACTTTCTGTTGACCGTATTTTAACAGGAAAGATTTGCATATAGAAGGTATCGGTGCATGGCTACGGACGGCAGCAGCTTTAAAGTAAGTGCTCTAACGCGTATGCCTACTATGACAAACAAGTACCGTGTATATGCATTTGTTCCGAGTTACGCGTCCACAGTGTTTTACCCCGTGGCTTAGCCCGCCGCGGCGTGTGGGATAAGCATTGGGCTACATACGCCGCAATAGTTATTGTAAAAACATCAGACATATCCTTTATTGTGACGTTTTATTCCCAATATTTTCTTTGTTCCTCTTTTGTTCTTCCCTTGATCTTACTAAGACCCAGCTGCTCCTGATGACTTTGACCTGGCTGATGCCCTGGACCCAAGCAACGACAATACTGGAAAGGATAAGAAAAGGGTGCAGGGAGGTGGGTGTCTCTGTCAGGAGTCGTACAGGCACAAGTGTTACAGGATTTTGCTACATATAAATATAAATGCAGAAATTAAGAAGGAAAGAATATTTCAAAAATATTCTTGACTAACACCATCTCTATTTTGTTTATTCAAAGTTGGTTGTTTTTTCTTTCAAGTTTTTATATTAGTAGCTGATCCCACTCCTCTGCATGTGCACTTGAATGCTGCCCAAGATGAATTAACTCATAAAGCTATTTTCCTCAGAATAACCTTATAGATCTGAGCTCCACATGTTTTTCTCTTATTTGTAACACTCACTGTTACACAAGTACAATGTTTGATTACTTGTTTAACACATTATTGAGTCACTATTATGCCAAGCCAAGGCATACAAAAGTGCAAAAATTGTCTGGAGACTCCTTTCATAACCTTGGTTCAGTGCAAAAATGATACAAACTTGAAGACATTGAGGCAAATGCTTTGACAGAACACAAGAACATGGAAGAGAGGCCCACACTGTTTGTCCTGTGCTTCATACTTCACACACAAATCACTAGTATATGGTCTTGGGTGATCCTTGAGATCCTCCAAACCAAAGACAAGTTTATTTGTGGTGTGAAAGTGAAATGTTTTGTGCAACTCAGGAACATATTTTCAGGTAGCTCATTCCCCTGATATATTTATTCTCAGGTGACTTCTCTGACGACGACCTGGCGGACGTGGGTAAAGACTCCTCATACAAACCAGACAAGGGCAAAGGTACACATTATAATGAAATCCCAGTAACTGTCACGAGTGGATCTACTGTTTGTCTAAAGGAGGGCATGTGTTGTTCTAGGCGCCAAGCCCAGTGACCCTGACCACATCGACCAGTATGACGACAACAGCGGTACATAGTGTATCTATACTGTATGTACAGTCAGTTTGCGTGCGTTTGACTGTAGTGTGTTTCAGACACCACAGCCGAGGTGGGCACTATTGCTGGGATAGTCTCTGCAGTTGCGATGGCGCTGGTGGGGGCCATCAGCAGCTACATCTCATTCCAGAAGAAGAAACTGTGCTTCAGTATACAGCGTAAGGATTTGTCATTTTAGTGAAAAAACACTTCTATTCTTACTCCTGCTTCTTTTTGTTTTTACACCAAAATTACATTTTGCTCCAAACTAGTTTATTTTATTATTTTAGAAAAATTTGGGGTGCTGATTTTGAACAACAAATTGCCTTTATGCAAAAATTCTGAACCTGTACCCAGACCGTTTGCCATTGGGACTTTTGGGGAATTCCTATAAAAGTTGTATAATGTGGATACTTCTTTAACACTGAAATGAAATCAGTCAATAGGTGAGTGCAGCAAGAGTGACATAATGAAAACTATGGCACATCAGATGTAAACCTTCTGGGACACTATTAGACAGAGTCACATTGTGCGCCTGGGGCAGAGCAGTGGTCTTTAACTGGCCACACAGGGACCTGCCCCATTTATCCAGACTTTAATAGAGATGGATGTCTGGTATGAGCTCGAAAATAAAATAACTTTCTGAAAAAAAAGCTGAGTTCACCAGACTAAGGTGATCAGGTTTTCCACTGAGTCTTTTCTCTTTTTTTGTGCATAAACAGGCTTGTTCTGATGCAGGCATGATCTTGTCCTGTGGTGGGTTTGTAACACTGGTCTGTGTCTGTTACAGAGAGTCTGAACGCAGAGATGGTGAAGTCTGAGAATCCAGATGCGGTGGTGGCCACAGAGCCACAAGGTGTGTGATTTACACTATTCTAATTTAAATGATTGCTTCATGAAGTTTAAGAAAGGCCATGTTCATGAAATCTTGTTTATCATGTTTATAATGAGAGACCGACCAGATATTAAAGATCCAAGTTCAATCTAATGTATGTTACATGATCTGCTCTGGTTTCCGGTATTGATCTTTGGTCTGTGGCTCTTTGTGTGTGCTGAAATATATGGATCTCAGTGAAAAACATTTTGATAACCCAGTTGAAAAGGCTTCTTGGTTTTACATTCCTGTTACTATTGTTTTACTATTATGTTATATTACTTGTATATGTTGTGTTCATATTACTCTTTTTTACTCTTTACAGTCCAGCAGACTCTCCTGGAGTCTGCCAACGCAGAACCTCCAGCTGAAGAGAATGCAGTGTAATCTCCTCCAGTCCACCCCTGACCTGTACACCACACTCTCACACACACACACCCACGACAACACACAGGTACACACAAGCACACACACTCCCCAGATGCTGCATACGCTGCTCTGAATGTGACTTTTTAACTTTATTTTACTGCTGTGACTCTTGGCTCATACCAAACTTTGCCAGTAGCTTTTGTACATAGTTATTTATTATTTCTCCAGACTTGTGTAGGTCTGCAGATCTGTTTGCCTTTTTGTTTTTACTAACCTGGAACCATGAAGGCAATGTTTTCATGTACAGCAGGAAGTGTTTTAATTTTGATTCAGTATTTTTGTGTGATCAGAACAGCTCATATAAGAGAGCGACCGGATTTCTGGGGGATTTGCAGCGTGTTATAGCACACAAGGAGCATGCAAAGGATAATAGATGTTTTATTTCAAGTCAGTTTACGATTCAATACTCAATACCGTTCTGGGAAAAAAAAAGTTTGTGAGGGCGGTTGCCATGTTTGTTTACTGTTGGCCCGTTATGGTACTTGTCCTGTTTAAACTGGAAAACTGCTCTCTTTTAATCTTATGGAAACCCATGACTAGTTTAAGGATATATTAAAAAATAACATGGAATTCATTTAAGATTGTATTGTACCTTATACCTAGTAAATAAGTCATAACTCTGAGCCACTTATTCTAACACATGAAGAAAAGTTGTAAAGAAGGTGTGGTATTTTGCCTTTTTTTCTCAATATTTCATATATGTAATAATAATAATGACAATAATAATAATAATAATAATAGTAATGTTAGTTGTGTATCTTATAATGCAGTTGCCTTGTTTCTACTGTAAGGCATCTGATAATTGTCTCTACTTACAGCCTGTATCTTTTTCTAGTTTTTTAGACCACTGTTTTTGATAATATTAAGGAAAGGAATGTTGCGTGGAGATTAGTTGTAAGATTGTTTTGGGAGAGATAAACAATTCCTATAGTCTCCAACTAATGGCTAAACAGTAACAATAATTAGAAATAATAGTCAATGAACTTAATGTAGCATTACAGATAAGCTAGCGAAATTATTCTGCTGCCTTTTATTTAAATTGAGCTTTTGAACAATGAAACTGTGGACACTTTTTAAAAACTGTGATACTGGAAATGATGATTTTTTTTGCCAAATATTATGTGGCTATAGTGATTCCACTGAAAATTAATCTCACCTGCAGCCTTTTTTAAGCACCCTAGAGCGACCTGAAGCTGAAAATGTTCTTGTAATTGCAATAATTGTACAAAAGCCACAAATAGACAATCCCAAAAACAATGTTAAGGACTGTGCCCCGTGCCACTGCTTCCCACAGTGTGCACTTCTAAACGTCTTACTAATATAAAGAGTGCGTGAATGGACATGGGATCGTTGACATGTGAGGATAGTTGACAGTGGTTGGGAGGTGCGGGATCGTGCAGAAAAACAAAGTTGTTAGCGACATTAGCAGTAGTTAGCTTCTGGACTTGGCTGTGTCTGTGTGCTGTAGAGAGTAGTGCGGCTTGTACATATTTAGTGAGCAGTTTTGTGTGGTCAGTGTGTTTGAGCTATACTCTTCCTCTCGTCTTTTTACACTTTGTACCCGAGTTTGGCCTGTAGCTTAGCCTGTAGCTGAGCAGACACTTTTTGTAAATTCAGCTTTCTGGTCGTACTGCAGCTTGCATGTAGGGGGTGGAGGAGCAGTAGATTTCTGCAGTAGCGTTGTAGACCCCAGTGGCCTGTGAGAATGTGGGGGAGAGGAGAGCCAGATGAAGATTACAGAGCAGCTTGGAACAGGTTCATGGATACAAGGTTTATGTTTTGGATAAAATCCTCAGCAAATATGTGTACAGTTTCATTACACAGGGCTGTTCAGTGGGCCATTCAAGCACCACAGTCTTTAGTTTTACTAAACCAAGCGTGACTGGATGGTAAAGTGGGTAGAGGGTCTATGCATATCTCTGGTTTTGGCTTTGTGCCTCTCTGAGGGGACACACTACTTAAGCCTTTTAATGTCTGTGTGCCAAATATCTTTTGTGTTTGGCTTCCCCTGGGACACTGCAGCAGGACTGTGCGGCTGCTGAAATGAATGTTTTATAGTGTTGATACTGAAGATGAAGGGAACAAAATGTTTAGCAAGTATCTTTAATCAGACAATTGTGATCTGACCAAGCACCTTCTCCAAAAGTCTTTCTAGATATAATGCAGGAATTTTTACCAGAAAGAAAAAAAACTGTTTATATCTAGCAATTTCTTTGCTGAAATGTGACATGAAGGATGGCAGAGGCCTATGTTATTTCTATGTGCCTCTGTATTGGCCTGTCTCACTGGACACAGCAGTCCCTCCTTCTGCTGAGAAAGTGTCCCGCAGAAGTGACTGCTTCTTTCTAAGGTCATCAAAACCCAAAAGAGCACAACTTTCAGTTTAATGAATGTATAGAACATGTGACGGAGAAAAAACGTAGCAACAGATCTTCACCAAAGATGAAGGATTCGAGTTTATCAAATAAAACGGTCAAAACTGCATTGCAAAAATTGCACCATTTGCTCTATATATAGCTATTCTTTGCACCTAAAATTCTTTGTCATATCCTCACAAAAGGCTCGGTGTGATAGGATTGACAGCATGAATGTCACTTTATAACTGTAAAATTTTTCTAACCACATCTTCACCACGTCGACCTGGCACTGCTGCCTGTGCCAAGTGTATAGGGACTCTTTAAGTCACAAAGTTGAACACAGTAACTGTATGTGACTCCTCACTGCCTTACCTCACATCAACACTGTGCACTGACACTGACCCCCGCTGACTTTACTCCACTGCTGTTCAGCCCAAATGTGCTCCTGAGAAAGGATACTTTCTCTTCCTTAACTAACCTGTTGCCATAGCAGTGACTTAACTCTTTTGTAAACACCTTGTCATTACCCTGTTTGCTGTGCATTGTGCCTTCAGTCACATGACCCGGGCCCTCCTGTAGCGCCCCCTGTTGCCCACCGCAGTGCCTGGTCCTGCACAGCCACAATACCCTTTCATTCTCAAAACCTGCAGCTCTGTCTTTCCCACAAACATTAGCTGAGGGCTCTACTAAACCTTACAAGCAAATCCCCACTACACCAGAATACTGCAATACTCTGTGTACATTCACTTTGATGCATGCTTTTCTCTACATTTAACATTTGCTATTGTAGCTAGACAGTGGTAGCCTGTGTCTTTTTGACAACTGAATGTTGGACAGTGGTTACGCTCTAAGTGTCATTGTGAACAATCTGCTTTTCTCTTATTACAATAGCTCTTTGGCAGTATGTTACAATTCATTGTTACTAATGAAGAAAATAATAATAAAAACAGAAACCTCAGTCTTTCAGTGTGTTTATTGTTTAAATGTGGGTGGAATGTCAGAAGTTTGTATGGCTTAACAGGTTTGTACATCAGTATTAAAGGTAATATTAAAAAAAGACACACATCTGAGAATATCCATATATTCACATTGGCTCATAACATAGGCTGTGTCCCACCTCACTAGTCTGTGTTGGTGTCTGTAGGAGCAGACCACTACAGTAAAGGACTACATCCAGTACAAGCATGCATTCTCTAACATTTCCATAAGCAAACCAGGCAATCATTAAAGGCCACAGTAAACATGGGACACTTCATGATTTTGTGTGAACGTGGCCATGGCGTAGCTGTGTAAACAAAATCTTAACAGTAATGGGTGCACCTGCTTCTTCATACAACTACAACATGAGCCGTAAGAATACAGTGCAGTTGTTTCCTCTTAAAACTTCACCAGTTATTACATAATTACCATGGATGATTAAAAAAACATACATAAGGCAGCAAAGTTTTTGTATGATTTAAGGTAACATGTACAGGTGTGATTATTATGTAAATTGCATTGAATATCTACAGTTCATCCCTCACACTCTGATGTATGTACCAGGTAGAGACTGGTTTAAAATGCTGTTGTATGTAAACAGTGTCAATATGAACATTTATGGCACACAAACTTTCAACTTTCTGCATTCTATGAGGTTTTTCCTAATTAAAATGCACAATGAGAGAACTAAATGCATTTTTAAAATAATAAATACAAATATACAGTATGTGAGCATTGCATTATCCACAACAATTTATTTTACCCAAAACGGTAAAATGTCCCTTAATATTTTGACCTAGTCTGGGCTGTGATAAAAGAAAATTTACGGCCTAAAACCTATTCGATGTTTGGGGACAGTAACAAGTTCAGAAACGCCACCTTAAAAAACAACATACCCATATAGAATATTTCTCATAGATTAGTGGCAGATCTAAGTCTGGTCAGCGTAACCAGTTTGTCTTTAATTAATTAAAGCATACACACATGAACAATGTGCCTAAAAATTGAATTTTAATGTAACTAAAATACATCAAGTGAATGTTAAAATAAATACTACAATATAAAACTACTTTAAAAAAATCATAATTTAAGTCAGTATTTTATTTAGGAGTAGCTAGAGATTCCCCAATCTAATCCTTTTTGTTCCAACACCCTGCATTTGGTGTTTGTTATACCATTTGGTGCATAGTCTGTTCCTGGGGTGTGAGAGAGAGTGCTGGGGGTGTCTGGGGGTGTCACGGGGTGTCACGGGGTGTGAGGGAGTGCGGGGTTGTCCTGAGGTGTCCTAGGATATCCTGGGGCATGAGGGATTGTCCCGGGGCGGGAACAAGGGTGTCCCGGGGCGGGAACAAGGGTGTCCCGGGGCGGGAACAAGGGTGTCCCGGGGCGTCAGACAGCAGAGTGCAGTGGTGTCCCCGGGTGTGAGGGGGAGTGCTCTGTGGAGGAGGGCAGGGAGTGAGAGGCCGCCTCCTTTTGCAGCTCCTCCAGGCGCCTCTGCAGCTCAGCCCGCACAAACAGCAGCTCCTTCAGGGTCTGGTGCACCGGGACCTGAGCACAGCACAACACTGTCAGGTAACATGAAACAGCACAAAGGCTCAGCTGCATGTCAAGTATTTACTGCACTGTGACCAAAAATACTGCAAATTTACAGTTAAGTTGAAAGATTTTAAGTTTTCAGTGTGATTCACCTCTTACTAAAATAATAAACCTACAAGTTAATAAGCACACTTTTCAATTCTCCATTTCCCTATTTGTGAATAAAGAACTATCAAAGAGCTTTGTATGTTATGTTCAACTACAGTTCTGTGAATCCCAGCTGACTACCAAAGGGTGGTGCTGAAAGTACTGAATGTTCCCTGTGCACATTTCAGCATCATCTTCCAGTGACCACTAGGGGATGATGTGAAATAATATCATTTCACTACGTGAAATAATAGTGAAATAAAACTGCCACCATAGGCTGTATATATAAATGGACATAACTAACGCGCTAGTCACCGTGTTCCAAACAGGAAGTTCCCATGCGGGCTCCTCTGGATCCTACGGACCCTGGCTCCCATTGACTTACATTAGAATATTGTCAAGCCTAATCATTTTGTTCACTCTCCTGGTGTTTTTCTTCACTATTTTGTCTGTCAAAAAAAATCCTACTGAGCCTGGCTCCAAATTCACTTCTATAACCTTTTGGCACTATGACACTACACTGGTCTGGTTTAACCCCGTGAAGGTGACTTCAACGTTTCCCAGTATGGCATTAAACTTATTGATCTTCCAGTTCATCTCTTACAGGTGTTTTAATTACTCATTGTATTTACCTTCCAGTGGCAGACCGTCTGACAGAAAAGTGTACCTTTAAACTAGTATGTACTAGATTAAAAAGTGTACCTTTAAACAAGATAGTGTACCTTTAAACAAGATAGTGTAATTTCACTGCAAAGCAATCAGCAATGTAAAGAAAAGCCTCGGATGCTGACCTGCGGTCTCATACGGGGATTCCAGCGGGCGTAGTATCCTGTCCACAGCTCCAGATGTCTGGATGACACCAGCGGATACAGGACATGGTGCTCATAGTCCACAAAGAAGGGATTTGTGAAGTCCTCTGGTTGGCTAAGGAGGAACAAATGCACTGATCAGACACAGTCACAACATGTTTTTAATTTAAAGTGTGTTTTACCTGTTAATGTAGGACCACAGAGAGATGGTCTTACTCTGGACCTCCTAAACACAAAAGTAGAAAGAAAATAAAAGCAGGCGTCATGAAAACTTATGTTATTGTAATGTTTAGCACAAACCTGGGCTGTCCTCTCCTGTTCACTGTTGTAGAGGAACGTTCCAAACAGGCAGCTGTACAGATGGTCCAGCACCGTGATCAGGAACAGCTCATTGAACTCAAAGGCTGCTGGGAACTATAGTCACATGAAACAGAAACATGGTAGTTTTAAACCAGACTAATTAAAATACACTTCCAAATGTAAACAACATCGTAAACAACATCTCTCACCTGTCGAGTCATTTGCCAAACACTGTCTATAAACTGGACGAAGAGAGGTGAGCGCTCAGAGCTGGAGTGGTTGTCTTCTCCATGACCGACACGCTGCAACGCAACAATGGAATTCAGTATTCTAGGATATAATTTTTGGTGATAGTTCATAAATAAACAAAGTTGATGCTTACAGAAGAAAACTTGTGTCCAAAACTGATCCACTCCTTTTCCACTAAAACCTAAACAAACAAACAAAAAAAACCCCATAAATTATTCATTAATTTTATCGCCAATTTTTTAAAAATACCAAATTTTTCGGTCTCATTCTACTGTCCAGATACTGCTGCATCATCCTTCACCAACCACAAATATTTTTAGATCTAAATAAACGCAAATAGGCAAAAACTGATACCAATCTCAGTGGTGAAAGCTCAAAATCACCACAGTTTATGGTAAAGAAGGGTAGTTGAGCAATTTATGCATATTTCCTTTGGCTGGGGGTGGCGTTTTTGTCACAATTGTTGCTTTATTTAAGTAAAATCCTTCTGTATGTGATGTAGCCTGACCTGGAAGCCGTGTATAGTGCGGTAGTAGCTGTCCAGCATGAGCATGGCCAGAGAGGTGAGCTGAGAGGTGCGGTCCCAGCCATCGCTGCAGTGCACCACCACAGAGGTTTTTCCCGACTCCAGTTTATCAGCCACCTTCACTGCTCCAGCCAGTAAAATCTAAGGACAAACAATTTATTACAATAAATAAGACAAATTAAAGCAGATGGATATGTTTAAGTTACTAAAATGATAAATTACAGGCTTTAACAGGTTTCTATTTGATTGTTAGATGGTCTTTGCTCCTTTATTAAAAATATTGTGTCTGTAATTTTGACTTTTACCAGCAGATGTCAGTACCTTGATGTACTCCAGCCAGTGTGTCTGGTCGATGGCCGAGTGCCAGTGGGCCTCGTCTATGGTGGGATACACAACATCCTTCACTTTCCTAAGAGACTCCCGCATCACATGGATATTTGGGATTTCAAGGAAGTTCAGATCCACATTTGTGTAGAAACTCTCACTCTCATAGCCGCCATCTTTAGCCTGCAGGGAGAGTAGTCATGAGAAGAAAGAATATGAATATGAATTCACATGACAGCACAATATTCTATAACTGTAGTTGGACTGTACAAATGAACGGATGAGTGAGAGATTACAGAGTTTAAGAGTTATAAAGGTCCCTCCTCTACATCTGAAAATGACATGATCAGATTCTTGAATGTGAACACAACCTATTGATTGAAATACTGCTAAATCTGATTATTAGCCACTTTGAACGACCTTGTTGGTGTCTGCCACACTGCTCTGGCGGGCGTCAAACACAGTGAGCTTGTGAGACTGAGCATTGGCATCCATGATGATCTGGAGGAAGCGCTCGTCGTCTTTGCAGCGGCGGTCTGAGGGGCCCACCAGCGGCTGGCTGCAGCGCACGATGGTGGCCTGGGTCTCTGGATGTATCCACGATAACACCTGAAAAGATACAGGCAGGTTAACTGGGAAACAATAACACACATGGACATTTTACATTTTACAGCCACAGTTTATTTATTGTTGAAAAACAATAAGATATTGAAGATTATTCAAAAAAGTTAATTTGACCAGTTTTGAATTTGGATATCTCTACATCATTAATCAATAATCAATAATACATTAATGGATTAGAGCAGGGGTCGCCAAATTTTTTTCTCTGGGGGCCACATTATTGCTCCTGACTGTGATGGGGGCTGGGGTCACGTTGGCCGCATAACAGAATTGTATGACCCTGATGATGCAGATTATATTCTTTGAAAACCGCCACAGTTTCTTTACGTATCAGACAAACTGCATGATCCTTACACTGAACAAAAAAAAATTGGAGGTCCACTGTTCTTTGAAAACTGTACACTCTGTCAACTTTTTGTACTTTAACATGAGCCATTTTGCTGTCCTTAACTGCACTACAGAACTCTGCGCGTGTATAGATCGCCACTGATCTCGAGCTTGGCGGCAAATGTACATACATCATATAATTAAATTTGAATATAAATATAAAAATCAAAACGCCATGACAATTTTTAAGGATTGCCTCATAGGACCAGTTCAAGTCACGGGGGGCAGAGGGGCTGGGGGACGGTCAAAGAGCTTGGTGTTTCCTTTGCATGAAATGTTTCGCACAATGACATTAATCTATCTCCAAGGAGACAAGTGGGTAGGCCAAGTTATAAGTCACATCTGTGGAGGAGCAATGAACCTGGTTCTGTGTTATATGAGTATTAAACCACTAGATGGTGCCACATGCTTTTATAATTTGAGTTTGGATGTCATTCGCTTTTAATAGCGGTTTAATTTGAATTAGAATAGGTATGAAGAGGCTACAGTAAAAGTACTGACAGGTATGCGGTGCTTGGCTCTGAACAGGGCCACCCGTCTGATGTCTTCGTCGGAGATGTTGGTGGGGATGACGAGGACGGAGGGGTAAGTGTCACACAGCTCATAGCTACTGTTGATCTTACTGATGGTCCAGCTCTCATTCGGCAAGCCCTGAAAAAAATATAAACTTAGATGTTGGCAGACGCTTGCAGTACCATACATGTTACACTACTTTATTCTCTGGGACATTGTTTACCTGTCGTCTGTACTCCGCTGTCGCATCATAGACCTTCCACCCGTCCACAGGAAACTGCTCCTTGTAGAGGAATGCGAACAAGGGCTGGAACAGAACAATCATTTCATATATTATCAGTGCGGACATCAGGTCAAAACATTTACAGAAACTTACCAGGCTGTTGGAGAGAGGGTAGGCGTATTGAGAGAGGACTTTGACAACATCAGGATGGCTCTCTTCTGTTTTATAGGTGAATCTGGGACTCCTCATGTCCTGTGAAAAATAGTATGTCAATAAATTTGGGTACATAGCAACTTAAGAAAATTTATTGTCATGAGATTAATCATTAAAGGGCCCATATTTTGCTCTTTTCTGATCTGTTATAATCTTCATCTAAACATACCTCTACTGAACAAAAGGTAAAAGGTAGCTTGTAAGTTGAAAACTACAGTTAAAGACATCGCATTTTGAGTTTTGGAGATGTAGACAGCCCAATAAACCAGGATTACTCAAACATGTGAATAAAATAAAACAAAACACAACTCAGGGTATGTTTTTGAGGAGGTAACAACATTATAACATGGCCTAAAGCTCACAAGAGTCAATTTTGTGCAATATAGGACCTTTAAATTAACCCACAGTGTTAAAAATACTCTGCATTCAGTTCTATGTGATACCTTGCAGACCAGTTCAAGGCCATTGGTGTTCTCTCCTTGGTTGGGGACACTAATGGTTTCTAGTCGACTAATGGCACTAAGATTCACGTCAAGAACAAAAGGAGTTTCCTAGGGTTGAAAAGGTTATTTGAATAAGCAATTTTAGTTATAATGTGAAACAAACTATTTAATTAACAATGTAGTTTAAGTAGCCTACCCTTTCCACACCACTGAAGTACAGCTTGTAGTCGGTGATAGTCAGAGTCCCATTCACCAAACCACTGAACGGACAAATGTACATCACATCCTTGACTGGAATTAAGAGAAATGCCATTAAGTTCACAATACATATAAATATTGCTTTACTTTTAAACACTCCTGGACGTGCACCTGTGAGGTGGATGTTCTCTCCCGGCAGCAGCGGGACCTGGTTCTGGGACATTTTAAGCTGTGCCCCGTACCTCAGCGTGGGAAGATTCTGCACAGAAATAGAACATACAATTTAGATTTTAGAGGCACCGGGAGAACGAAGCCTGTGAAAGTGATCAGAGGAGTTTTATGGGATATCAGTTATGCTGCAGACATGATACTTGCACACATTACATTACCTTTGCAATCCATGTACATGCAAGTCTATTAATAATATTTTTTATATCAGCTTAATGGGAACTCCACTGACCCTTCAATGCATGTATGAGATACAATTACACTATTTCTAGAAATGGGATAATGGATTTTTCATTTGAAAATATGACAAAATTCAATATTAACTAGGTAACCCTAACCCTAACTAAAAATAAAAAAAAGGTTGCAAAAAGTGCATATTAAGTGTTATATTATCTATCAGAGGTGGGGACTTGCAAGTTGTGACTTGGACTCGAGTCAGACTTGAGTCATTATTTTTAGGACTTGAGAGCTGACTTGATAAAATAGACTAAGACTTGGGACTCTACTTGGTGCTTGACTTGGACTTGAGGCCTGTGACTTGAAAAGTACTTTAAATCTGAATTCTTTTCATTTCTGACTGTAATGTTTCAGGCTAAGATCTTGTGAAGACATTTCACCGCAAAAAATTAAATCTAGCTGAGTTAAGATGACTTGAAATTAAGAAAGTTTTATGATGATTTGAGTAGGTATCACTTGAAAAGTAAAATGATCTGCCAGTAAAATAAGACTTTTAGTACGTAGAATATGAAAATACATCTTGCTACACATAAAATAAGAAAAAAAACTACTTTTCGCACTTAAAATAAGAAACAAAATCAAATGTTGCTTGAATTAAGAAAAACACTTATTCCATTGGTAGAATCGAATCAAATAAAGTCAAATATTCTTAATTTAAGTAATTTTAACTAACCTAGATATTACTTTTAGCAGTGTTAAAAAGGGAAAAATAGCATTTCTACAACTCTTACATACTCTATAAATACTCATATATAAAACATACCGTGACTTTATAAGTACAATTTATCTTAAAAATCATATAAATTACAAAAATCTAAGCTATATTTGGTACTTTGGTTTGAAGACTTGAAATGACTTGAAGCTCAAAGCAGACAACTTGGACTTGACTTGGACTTATGGGCCAGTGACTTGAGACTTGACTTGGGACATGACTCGGACTTGAGGTCAAAGACTTGAGACTTACTTGAAACTTGCAAAACAAAGACTTGATCCCACCTCTGTTATCTATATATAACATTCAAACTGACCATCCTTGATCATTGTTAAAAACCAATAGATTGTATCCTAAATTATTCAAAGGAGGTTTTACTTTCATGATTTCAGTCTAATCTACAAAAATAGATGAACATACAAAAACACATATACAAAAAGATCAAGCATTTTGAAAGACGATGCCATACTTCGCACAGACAATAATGTGACTATCTCTTTTAATCCACAGAGCACAGATGGAGGACAGTGTACAGGCCGGAGCAGCACACACATGCAGAACGGGGGCAGACACTGAGACTTGCCGAAGCGTCAGGGGGAAGCTCAGAGTCACTGTCGTCATGGTGACTGAGCCCCTCTTCCTCTAGAGAGTCCTGCTGCAAAAGGCCAGCGTGGAAAAGGAGGAACAAGACAGTGGGATAGGGCCACAAGAGTTCATATTCAGCGTTCAGTAATGACTATACACATGTTTTAGTTTAGACTACATCATAATAAAGGAAAGCGCGAAAGACTCCAATAGATGAAGCAGTGCAGTGGACTGGAGAGACTTGGTGCTTAAAACACTGTGCAAAACAATGCTCATCTGCCTATAAACAGTATTAAACCTCATGACAGCTCCTCCTTATGCTCTTACCCTGTGTGGGAGCCTCTTGGAAACCTGAGGGTCAAACAAGCCTGGATTATTACACACAGTTACACATTTCACACATTGCTGAAGCCACTGCAGACTGAGCCATTAGATAGGTGCAGTTATAAGGTTTACTTATGTTGCAAGCTGCATTGTATTATTCTAATTTGCCAATGCGTGACAAATACAAAGCATTCATCTGATCTTTGTTCAAGTTCTTCATGCTCAAAGACCAGTCTTTCAAGGTCTGGATGTTGTAAAGCAGGTGAACGCTCCCAGCAATTATAAAGTGCAGTGACCATCTTTTCTGATTAGGTTTTCGCACTTATTGTCATTAATTTCTGCTTCTTCTGTAGGACACACAGTCTTAGTTCCAAGTTCATTCTCCTTCTAGTCTGCATATTTCCTTAGTAACAGTCTCTCTAATCTCTGTCATTTACAGCACATTCCCTTGCCCTTTTCCAAAATGATAATTGAATAAAGTATTTCATGAGTTATGTCACTGTTTCAAAAAGAGACTGAAAATACAGTTCTCGCCACAATAAATGGGTGTCTGAACACATACATAACTGTGAAAATAGTGCGCCTGCGTAGACACATACAAAACGAGTTTAAAAGCCGTTGTAAGCACAGAAACCTCCAGCAGCTCTTTAAACTGCAGTAAAATCCAGCCACACACAAACATATAAAGCTGTGGCGACATATACCACACGTGGCACCCTTACCAACCAGTCGGGTCTTCTTCCTACCTAACAGTAAAGAACACAGTGCTGTGAGCAGGGCGAGTCCCACTGTGAGGGACAGAGAGTACTGTGGTGGAATGGATACATACTCTGTTCTCTCGGTTTGGATCTGCAGAGGCCACACTGGAGATCTGACTGGTGAGAGTGGCTGCGATGAGCTGCTTACACCACTCCACATGGGACCCTGTGGGACTGAACAGAGATAGAGACCACAGCTAAAACAACATACTCTGGCCCCAAACTCACAGTGCACTGTTGAGGATGACAACACTCAGCACATTATAAATCTGTAATTGAAATAAGTGTGACGTCTTTTTAATCTAGTACATACTAGTTTATACTGGAGGTCAGAGTATAAGTAGTTTCAGCAATTTCACATAATCCAAGGACAGTTTAGATGGGATTTTAAAGGAAATGTTGCAGTCTTCATAACAAATATGCATAAATAAAGCTCGGACATCCGAACAGATGTGCTGCCTGCCGAACTAAACCAGCGAGGTAGACCTAGCATGGACGAGCCTAATGCCATCTACAAACTAATACTTTGGTGGAGCGATGAAGAGTTCATCACTGCAGAAGCCCTTTAGATGGATTGTTGTTAGCTCATGCTAACTGTTAGCTCGCTATTGCTAATGTAGCGCCGCAGCTGTCATATTTTAATTTGCATACGCCGGAAGTAGTTTAGTTAACTTAACTGATCTCTGGTACAAATCTAACCAAAACTTTTAGAAATTTGTGCTCTAAACTGACCGGCATAAGGTTCAGATAGTAATGTTGTTAAAAAAAAAAAATACAATTTCTTGAATCAAACATTAGAAATAGGCGCACAGCAGCCATGTTAGCCGCTAACACTCACCTGTCCAGACTGTCCCCGTTGGTAGATCCGCCTGTCCCCGGAGCCCAGGGCTTTCTGTTGGGCCCCGCTCCGTCTGCCGGCCCGGCCCCAGCCCCAATCTGTTTCTCCATCTCCACGGCACGGTTCACTGCAGGTCACCGGGCGGATGCAGCCGAGTTCCGCTGATATAAAGGAGGATGTGCAGAAGGAGCCAAGCCCAAGTAGATTTCCGTTTTCAGAGTTGTTCTGCTAATGTCACTGAGGAGACATGTCAGTAGTTTACAGCAGCAGCAGAGGGCTGCGGGGCAGGCCTCTCGTGTTTCCTGTCATATTGAGACACGTTCATTTTGTGTTTTGCCCCAAAGCGGCTCTTCTTCACAAGCCCCGCCCCCTAGGCGCGTGCCACTACCCCGCGCGTGCATCAAACATCTGGCAGAGCTCGCGCTGTGGCGCTGCCATGGTAACTGCGCGTGCACACAGTAGTGCAGACCGTGGTGCACAGGGCACAGAGTCTACAGAGTCTACAAAGTACTAGAGGCGCAGACAGAGGAGAGGCTGCTACACGCATTAGGGCCCAGACATCAGCCTGGCCTAGTTTACTCTCAGCACACGCCTCAAGCTTATGGGCCAAATCCACTCTGTTTATCTAACCTAGAAACGCACTGAAACACATTTAGTCTCGTCTAAAAAGGCGCGTAGGAATCCTTCACGTCTCATTACTATTACATTAAAATGAATTAACACATGAACAGGCTACATAGAACATGTTTTCTTTAGGATTTAAACAAACATCATAAAGCCCATGCAAATCGATTTATACACAACAAAATCAAAATAACTGAAAGAAGGCAGTCAAACATTCTTAAATTAATTTAATCAGTATTATTTACAAACGGATTCCATCCATCAACAGTGGAGAATAAAACATGATTATAACAAACACATTTAAAATGCATTCTGACAGGACATTTTGTTCCCTTTGTAATGCCAAAAGCCCTGACACACATTTTAACTGTATTTGTTAAAGTAGGATGTTATAGAACTAGGATTCCCTACAATAATCAAAGTTGAAATGAAGGGAGTCATTCTCTAGTCAATTAGCTTTATGCCAAAGTGAATTTGGACAGCTTTTTACCAGAGAAATTAAAACACTTTTGAGACAGGCAAAGCAAAGAGCTCCTGTCTTGTCAATAGGGGTTAGTGAGTAAAAACCCAAAATGCCCTTCAAAAATATTAGACGACAAAACCAATAAAGCAAACAAAATCCACAATTAACCAACATCTTCTGAGCCAACATTATTTTCCTTTTATAAAACTGTAGAATTTTATACTACATAAAATAATTGTATTTTACAACATTAGACCTTTAGACAGTAAAATAGGTTTTGATTGAGGTAATTACAACAAACTGTTTGTACAAAGTAAAAAATAACAAAAATAGATTTATCTGTGTTTGCCCTATGCACTCACACTGCTTTATGCTGCTGTCTCTTCTTCCCTCAAACCTATATCAGATCAGACACTAAACACAGGTCAAAGGACTGGTTTGGTAGAATGACATTCTGCACTAAAAGGCAAACAAACAAGTCATGCTTCAGAGTAAACTGAGGAGATCGCCTTAGAGCAAGACTATTGCTTTACACAGGAGATATATGATCAATGCTCTGTAAATGTGCTGCAGCTCAAACCTTTGAGTAGCAGCACATGTTCATGTCTCTGAACACTGGTGGGTTATTTATGTGGAAGTTTAACTCAAAGTGATCGCCACAGTCTCTCTGTAAACATGACCTGGGACAGATGATACAGTCATCTCCAGAAGAGGAGCTGGTGATTCACAAAGAATCAAGGCACAAATCTAGACCGGACACACACGTATGTTTACAGCACACACACAACAGTGCCCATACAGTACATTACTGGTGCTCCAGGAGGCCGGAAACCCCAAAGTGAACAGGTGTCAATGGGAAACTTCATCTTCTGAAGAAGCCACATAATATTTCACCAAACAAAGACACTTCAATGTACAGAGTCAATCTCAAAATACCACAACCTTTCTTTTTTTTTTTTAACTATATCCAACTTTTATCATCAGATAGAAAAAGTAAAAGAAACCTTTTTTTTTTTATTGTACTAGTGTGTCCAATCTCAATGTTTTACAGATTACTCATGCTCTGAAGTAAAGTTTTGTTTAGGTGCTTCAAATACACAAAAGAAAAGTGAGTGCATTACGCTAAGTAGATAGTTGTGTGAAAATGTATTTGAAAAGATCAGATTAGGTGTTGTGTATAGCTGCCAATAAAAATCTATCTATGGCAATGAATATAAAATCTGTTTATCAATATCTGCATTTGCTTTTTCATTAGATTTAATTGACGTATAATAGACAAAGGCTAATACCTCTCATTCATTTGTTCTAGTCGCAGTGTTTCCTAAGTGTTTTGTTACATGACTTCTGTTTGCTCCTTTAAATTGAGATTGTGTTTCCACAAACTATTTCAAAATAATTGCCTTCTCTATAATACCAGATAAAATTTTTGAAAGGTTTAGACAAAGCTGCCAAATTTGGGAGAACACTATCTGATTGTAACCATGCATGTAAAAATCGTCAGCCTCCACACTGTTGTACTGAAACCGATAACATCTCTGTACTATTAGGTAATATTATAAATAAGTATGAGCTGTTTTCTTTTTACAATGTACAAAATATGAAAATATTTTGATTGTTATTGTGAATGAAAACTTGCATGCCAAATACTATCCTTTGTTAACAGTCAACTTCGGTGTTTGGTATTCTTGGCATGTTTAACATCATTGACATTTGCGAGTGAAAAAACAAAACAGAAACAAAAACCACACCAAATCAAGCAGGATCAGAGGCAAACACCACGTCATTTCCCTATACACTACCTCGAGCACCTAAAACGCACCAAAATGCCCAACAAGTTCATTGTTTAGGGACAGTTTTGGTGCTTAGCTTAGAAAGGTTAGAAAAATACTGCTTTTAGGTGAGCTGAGGTGACAGCAGAGAGTAAAACCAGTCAACTCCAAATCACCAATAAACCATTCTGTCCTAAAAAAAAAAAAAAATCTAACTGAAGTGCTATTTACATATAGTTGGGGACAAGCCTCCAACGCAGGGACAGTAGCAGTTTAATACTAGAGTCCTTAAATTCCTTTAGATTCAGTTTAAAAGTAAAGCAGCAGTAGGAGTAGTTTGTGTTGCAAGGTGCGTTGAACATTGGCCACACGAACTCCTGAAAGCACTAGTAATTTTAGTCAGTTAATTGCACAGGGTAAATACAAACTCCATTTCAGTTTATCAAAACACAACGGTGACGCCGCATTCATGTGTCCCTCTACATGTGTATTTCCTTTGGACCACTGGTGGCAGTTCTGCAGCAATGATTAAAAAGAACATACTCTGATTGGCTATGTGTACCCTGTTACAGTTAGAAGTGGCTCATCCAAGGTAGGTCCCTGCCCTTTTTCCTTTTATAAACACCCTGATCAACAGAGCATTTGGCAAGACATGTTTTTGTGTCAAGAAAAGCACTTGAACTGAACTATACTGTCAAAAGTAGCCCATTTAAACAAATTTTTTATCAAGGGAATAAAACTCTACTCTTGGTTTTGCCACAATCTGAGAGCCACATGAATGCGGCTGCACGTTTATGTTGCATGGTCTACCCTATCATCCAGCCGATCTGCCTGGTGTTGTATCTAATTCAAGAAAAAGCCCTGATTTTCACTGAGCGTCCCTGAAAGCAGTGGCGGCCCTGCTGTGACGAGTTGTTGGCTGACTCTTTGTAGACAGACAGACAGTTAAAGGGAGGAAAGTCGGGCGGATTATAGTAAACCTGTTTGTTCCTGTTGTGTACAGTACAGTGCTCTGTTCCGAGTTAAAGCCCTTTTCCGGAACATCACCAAACGTCTTTAAGGCTTCACTGTAGATGAGTGTAAAGGAACGTCAAGAGACAAGGCTATAGTGTGACGTATTGCATAATCACCACTAGCACCACTCGGGTGTTAGGCGTTAACCAAACTAACTATTAGCATTCCTACTTCCCCACAGCCGGGTACTTCCTGTGCGCGGGCGACAAAAGCCACAGTACGAGCTCTCAGAAGTGCGTTTGGAGGTGGGTGCAGTGCTGCGAGGGTGTAGAGGAGTTGGAGGAGGGCGTGTTGGGGGTGGTGCTGTTGGCCACTCGCGGTGCAGGGCTGGAGTCGGAAAGCTGAAGCTCCTCCAGTTTCTTCAAGTACTCGTCTCTGAGGGCCAGCAGCTCCCTGTAGCGCTGCTCCACCGGGCTCTGCTGTGAGGAAGGCAAAGAGCAAAATTATGCATCTACAACAAGACGTTTTAAAACTGTCACATATTTATTTAGAGTGCTTTTATTTTGGTTTACATGTTGGGAATTTAAAGTTGCTCAACACATACACATTCACACAAAAAAAATTACAAAAATGCTGCATGGGTTTAAGCTAGCGTTGTAGTCAAGACCATACTAATTGAGACCAAGGCCAGTCCAAGTCCACAGGGTCCCGAGACCGAGACAAGACCAAGACCTCTAAGGGTTGAGACCAAGACAAGCCTGAGACCACGGCCCCTCAAGACCAAACTGAGACAATGTTTGTAATTTTTGACATTTATTTGTATTTTACAGTAATTTTGGCACAAATATTTTAATGTTTTTATAAATTAATCTCCACTTTATCACTCGTCAAGTGTCAGACCTCGAGACTGAGACAAGACAGTGTCCAAGCGCCTTCAAGACCGAGACAAGACCGAGACAAGACCGAGACAAGACCGAGACAAGACCGAGACAAGACCGAGACAAGACCGAGACCATGACCCATCAGGACCAAATTGAGACCGTGTTTGTAATTTTAGAGATTTATTTGTATTTTACAGTTATTTTGGCAATATATATTTCAATGTTTTTATAAATCTATCTCCACTTTATCACTCGTCAAGTGTGAGTCCAAGCGCCTTCGAAACCAAGACAAAGACAGAGACTATGGCCCATCGAGACCGAAGCAAAACCAGCTTTGTTATTTTTGACATTTATTTGTATTTGACAGTTAGTTTGGCTCATATATTTCAACGTTTTTATAAATTTATCTCTACATTATCTTGTTGAGTGTCAGACCTCGAGACCGAGACAAGACTGAGTCCAAACGCGGTCGAGTCCTAGACAAGACCGAATCCAAACGTGGTCGAGTCCTAGACAAGACCGAGTCCAAACGTGGTTGAGTCCTGACAAGACCGAGTCCAAACGCGATAGAGTCCGAGACAAGACCGATTCCAAACGCGGTAGAGTCTGAGACAAGACCGAATCCAAACGTGGTCGAGTCCTAGACAAAACCGAGTCCAAACGCGGTCGAGTCCGAGACAAGACCGAGTCCGAAACAAGACCGAGTCCAAACACGGTTGAGTCCTAGATAAGACAGAGTCCAAACGCAGTCGAGTCCTAGGCAAGGCCGAGTCCAATTGTGGTCGAGTCCTAAACAAGACCAAGGCACGTAGACTGTAGTTTTTAAAGTCTTGGTACTACGAGTGCTACAACAGTATTTTAAGCTTCCATAACACGCAACATTTTGATATTTACCCTTTCAAAAAATATCTGATATTTGTTTAAAATGTTCATCATTATGACAAAGGTCCTAATTTTTCATCATTGCCCATTTGCCCCATAAGTAATACCTGTTGTCTTATGCGTGGATTCCATCGGATGTAGTAAGATACCCAAAGCTCTAGGTGGCGCATGCTGGCAACAGGACAGAGCACCATGTTGGGCTCTGGCGTGTAGAAAGGATTTAAATAAAAATCTGTTTTACTGTTGACAAGAGACCAAAGTGACACTGTTTTGATCCGGACTTCCTACAAGACACATTTAAATTTAGAGAGAGTTAGTGATATAATTTATAAATAGTACATATTATAAAGAGTGGAGAGTTTATTGTGTCTTACATTTTGATCCCGAGCATTCTCACAGTTATAGAGGAACGTCCCGAACCTGCAGCTGTACAGGTGATCCAGGATGGTCAGCAGGAGGCGCTCATTGAACTCAAAGGCTGTTGGAAACTGAGAAGGCAGAAGTTAAATCAGAAGTGAAGCTATATAAGGAACTAAAACTCATAACAGATTTGGGGAAAACATGTCTGTGTAATGTAGTGTGATTTCTTTTACTTTCCATTTTGTTTTACTAGCACATCTTTGGATTGGGTGTGCTTAAAAAAAGACTACTGTATCTTTTCTTTTCTAAATTGCAGTATTTATTTATTTATAACAGAAACTTCATGAATAGAAACTTGACTTATTTCTCATCGCTTCATAGTGGCAATTCACCATAGTAAGCAGCAGATTTTCATGGTTGAAAACTCTGTCAGTGTCATAGTTTCATGGTTTTATTGTTGAAAAATGTGACATTTTTAAAGCCTACATTTTTTTTTTTGGAGTAATTCCAAGTAAATACTGAGCTGTGAGCAATTTTCTGAGCACTATACCCCACAGATTACAAACATGTATCAAAATAAACTTAGAATAAGCTTTGGGTGAGGGGCTGAAAAGGTCATAAATGTCAATTTTACATTATACGTCCCCTCTAATAACAAATGAGACTCCATCAACCTTTATAGAAACTGCCTTGTTGTGCAACCTTGGCAGCAGCTACACTAGAAGGTCATCTACTTCCCATTTAGCTTCGACAGGTAATTAAGATGATGTGTGACCTCCACGAGCAGCATTCAGGCAGGAGGAGCTTTACCTGTTTGGTCATTTGCCAGACGCAATCGATGAACTGCACAAAGATGGGGGATCGGTCCTGGTCCGCGTGGTTCTTGTCTCCGTGACCTATCCTCTAAACACACAAACACACATCCGCACGTGTTAGTGAAGCGTCTACTGGATTGCAATGTACTAAAGTTATGTAATAGATCAATATGTGATATGTATGTGACTTTTACGTACCGAGGCAAACTTGTGTCCAAAGCTGATCCACTCTTTTTCAATTAGCACCTAAGCCGAGAAACAGAAAATATTGAATTTATAACATCTTTGCACTGTTTTTCCTTACGCTCTCATGTATATAAATGTGATATACTGTATTTATATTACTTTATCTCAATTTTTTACTTAATTAGTACATATACATTTCTATAATTATGCCTTATTTGACCCCAGTGATATTTTTGCTACTTATTTAGAATGTATTTTTAGTACAATTTATAGATTTTCTCTTTGTTATTAAATTATATTGTGATGTGTGAGCTACTGCGTCCAAATAATTTTCCTTGTGGATCAATAAAGTTTGTCTAAGTAAGTCTAAATTATATGACAAACGACAACAACTTCAAACTTTATATGAGATCATAAACTATTACACTGGACCACAAGGGTTAGAGACTTTCCAACCAGTTGGGGTGAAGCGATATCCAAGTCTCACGATATGATATTGTCACGGTATGAACCTCACGGTATGATATTTATTACGATATCATGAGAAAGCTCAAGATATGGTGGGGAGGCTCATGATGTGTGGTCGGGGGGAAATGGGGGGGGATAATTTGTGTATTTGTTGTGGATGTTGCTGTATGTTTTGTGCTTTGTTTTATGTTGATTATTGTAATTTGTTAAATGTTGATTATTGTATTTTGTTAAATGTTATATTCTGTGGTCCTTAATAAAAATAAATTTAAAAAATCTAAGACTTAAAAGTGCTTAGAACTGTTATTTCTTCTTGTAGTCTGCACTGAAATGGAGCAAAGCATTATGGTCTATGTAGTTCCCTCTTTCTCTTTTTTTTAGCAATTGCTGCACCATAACTCTTAATTTAAGCAATCACAATATTTCGGTTATTGTTACATCCCTACTACCAATATATGATACAAAATATTTTTTCCAAGAAACCCATGCAAATGCGCACTACACATCTGTATACATTTTCATTGAATTTAATTTGTTTGCAGCTTAACAACAAATAATATGCACACCACATTCCTCAGTTTGTTAACAGAGTAGTATGGTGTCCATTATTGGTAGTGACAATGAAATATATGATGTTGAACTTGATCATTTCTGTAGTGATTAGACCCAAGTACTCGCTGTATTACAACAAAAACTGCAGTGCCAGACTGAACCAGGACAGGTAGGAGCAGCTAAAATGAATATTCATAAAATGCTGAGTTAAGTCACGAACACGGGAAACGGCTGTTATCAGTTTTTTCCATTATTCATCAACAAAATCAAAAACTGAAAAAAAAAAAAAATCATTATCCGTTTTTTCATTTTGGTTTTGGAGACAAATAGTGAAGAAAATCATTTTTTCGTTTTCTTATTTTTGGTTTTATATGGAAAAATTAATGAAAGAATGATACAGACTTATCACACTTCCTAACTGTCCCTCATTTTTATTAAATACGATAAATGTTGTGATTTCACCTCAAACCCAGTGATTGTACATGGGGCGTACCTCAAACCCTCGGAGTGTGCGATAGTGGCTGTCCAGCATGAGCATGGCCAAAGAGGTGAGCTGTGCAGTCCGGTCCCAGCCGTCACTGCAGTGCACCAGCACAGAGTTCCCCGTGGACACTTTGTCTGCCACCTGGATGGCCCCTGACAATACCAGCTGCACCAAAAATATGAAATAAAATATGTGAATAAAAATATTGATAGTAAAAATGCATATTAAAGTATTTATATGATTAGTTCTAACCTTGATATGTTCAAGCCAGTGTGTGGACTCCAGACTCGAGAGCCAGTGAGACTCCTCCACATTCGGATAGACAATATCTTTAAGCTTCTTCAGCGATTCCCTCATGACGTGAATATTTTGGATGTCCAAGAATACGAGTTCTGCGTTTTGGTACTCGTCCCCCTCGTAACCTCCTCCAGTGGCCTTGAAACAGAAGAGTTTGCATAAATTAAGACAAAACCTTCTTTGTCAGTGGCTGTTTACACGCACACTGGATTTCTAGAGTTATCAGATGTATGAAGTATCATGTAAACAGTTAAATATGGCGTGAGTAATCTGACTTCTTCAAAATTGATTTCACAATTTCCTTGGAGCCAGATCATGATTTTAACACAGTACATGTAAACATAGTATTCTTAAAGTAAAGTCATCTGCTACTTCTGAACATTCACGCTTCACTGTAATTGGTTAAATCCACCTGTTAGTCACAGTATTGCTGAGGCTGACCAATATACAGCATTTTATTTTCATGGTTTCCCATATAAAAGTTACTATAAACATTCACTGATTACCTGATATATGTCACTAGGTGTTTTTAGTTATCAGATTTATTTTGTGGCTGTAAACACACACCATAAATCAGATCTAATTACTGGTTTGTCTGATGATTATACTGGCCATGTAAACATACCCAGTGAGTTTGATAGACCAGACAGACACAGACCTTGTTGGCCACAGCGTTCACACTGGGCCGAGCGTCGTATATTGTGAGTTTGGGTGTATCATTGGCCTCTCTGATCATCTCCAGGTATCTCTCGTCATCTTTGTTCCTCTTTCCTGACATCCCAACCAGGGGCTGACTGCAACGCACGATTACTGCCTGGTTCTCCCTGTGGATCCAGGACAAAACCTGCAAACACAAGGAGCATGCAATACATCCTTAATAACTGTTACATTCAAAGATTACCACAGCAAATCATCTTACTTGTTTATAAGTTATGGTTTACAACTTAATGATTGTTTATTTATCTGGGTTTGGGATCAGACAGGGAACACAATGACACAAAAAACTTATGTCTTTTGCTTTTTAAACTCCTGACAGTAAATAGATGTGTGAAAACTATCTTGCTGAATAGAAAAATAACAATGGTAAAGCATAACTTTTCTACTTCATGCTTGTATCCATTGTTTTGCCTGGAACATTGCACATTATGCAAACAAATCTATATAGCAATTATTCAGTTATGAGTGTTTCCATTGCAAAAAAACAATGCTTTCTCAGTGCAAACTTGCACCTAATTTCTCAGATCTGATCGTTAATTTGTTTCCATTTAATGCCATACCCTGGAACATTCTAGGCAAAGGATTAGCATCACCATGGAGACAACCAGGTGGCAAGACTCTCCACCAGAAAAGTTGCATGGTGCACCTCAAAGTAAAATCAGTTGCAGAGAAAATGTCTAGATTCTTTTTAACAAAGCTTGACATAACTAAAACATTTCTTCTTATTACTGTTTAAGCGTAGGTACTGCGTAATGTGTTCCTCACTCACCGGTATACGAGACCTCGACCTGAACGCTGCCACTTTCCTCAGATCCTCCTCTTTACTTTTGTATGGGACCGCCAACACGGTGGGGTAGGTGTCACATAGCTCGTAGTTCTTATTGATGAAGGTAATGCGCCACTTGTTATTAGGTAAACCCTACAAACCACACCTTATTTATTCTCTGCTTACTGTTAAAACAATATTTCACAAATATATATATGTCCATGTGTAGCTTTACCTGCCGCCTCAACTCATCCATGGCTTTATAAACATTCCAGCCATTCTCCTCATACTTCTCCTGTGTTACATAGGCAAACAGATGCTGCAAAGAGGAAACAGGAACTTGTCAAAATACAGTTGGAAAATATGCTGCAACACATCATAATGTTGAATTGTGTTCTCTCACACAGTTACGCCTGTTTGTTTCCTTTAAATGTGAGAGTGCCAACTTTCCAGGAAATACTTTTTATGAACCAAATACTCAATGATAAATCTGTCAACACAATCCACTTCCATAATCAAAGCACTAATCTGAGGATGCACTGAAACAATGTATTGTTCCATTGACCTTTCTCTACTGTTAGACTCCGTTTTGACCAAGCTATTTGATAAAAACACACAATAATGCAAGTGCATAGTGTATAGTGCATCTTCTATTTCAGTCTCTAATTCATGCACAAGCAGAGAGCTTTGATGTGGGCGGCTGCCTGTGTGTCACACTTTAAAAAGGACTGCCTCTGTGCATTACTGCATTTAGAGCAAAAGCACAATTTAAAACCATGTACAGTGTTATCCTTTTCAGTAAATCAGCTCCATTTTAAACCCAAACCATCATCCTGCTTTACCACAGTCATTCATCTCTTCTTTGGTCATCCTGGGGTTTGACAATGACACATTTTTGTGTTACAGTTATTTATAATGATTGACACCATGATGAAAAATCCCCATTTTCTTTTATTACCATTTTATAATACGTGACTATTCCTTAAGAAAAAAAAAAAACATCATCTTTATTCCAATGTATTCTTTAATCCTTCTCTGCACATGTCCAAGCCATCTCAACATGGCATCTCTGACACTGTTTCCAAAATAAAGTAATCCTATTAAAACTGTGTTGGCAACATAACTCCATGTTAGTTTTTTCCATAATTCCAATCTGGACATAGAGCAGAATAAAAGATTTGAAAGATTTATAAATCTACAGTTCCTGGATGTCCAAGAAAACATGAAAAATAATTGGTCACTTATTGCCCCAAAATGTTATCAAATGTAAACCTTTTAGACCACATTTTCCTTAATGGACCCAAACAGAATATTATATTTTAATATAGTATCATCAAATAATATTTTCATTTCTATACAGTCACTGTGAATCTTACCAGTCCATGTGAGAGAGGAAATGCAAGTCTGAAAAGGAAATCAAAGATGTCTCTCCTGCTGTGACCCTCCTGCTTCAACGCAAACCTGAGATTCCTCATGTCCTACAGACACAAGAACAGGAGATTTTAAACACCATGGCATTAAAATAAGATCATTAGTATCAAACATGTAGATATAGAGTCAGAGCAGCTTTTGTGTCGCTGGGTCTGACCTTGCAGGTGATGTCCAGGCCGTATGAGTTTTCTCCCCGACTCGAAGCTCCGCCCATCTTCTCCACTCGACTGATGGCACCCAGAGGAACATCTAGCGTTACAATCAAATCCTAAAAAGACATGAACAACTGTACTCAGAATCACAAAAACAAAAACATTTGGCTATTTAAAGAAATGTATATACTGTAAACGTACCAAGCTTTACATTTCCTTATCATTACTAAGACTAGATATTCATTTGAACGAGCACGAATATTGAAAAATCACATAAATATTTCCTGGACTTTTATTGAATATTTTTTCTAAAAGGGCTCAATCAGAATCTACACTCGTCTACATGGTAAAAATTAAAGAAAAAACATAATTATAGTGTATTTAAATCCAAAAAGTTTGTCAAACGTTTAATTTATAATGTAAATCCAGTTTGATATTTTAGAATCTTTGGTAACACTACCTTGTATCGTTCTATTTCTGTAGTGCTTACTCATCTTCTCGGGATTTGGCCTTTGCTGTTGCTATGGTGGGATGTGAGAGGACTGAGGAGTGGAGTTTCTTTTTAGCAAAATTGAAAGTGAAAATTGCCTTTATTTTGTAATTCTGGACAGCCCTGACCCATTGAGTGTGCAAAGTGAAACAGGTATAACTTTCTTTTCCTTTGTAACAGCTGAAGTGAGAGTGTGTGGAAGTGCTCACCGCGTCCGAGCTCCTGAAGTACAATCTGTAGTTGGTTATGAGTACTTTGCCTTTGACTGGGCCGTTGAAGGGACAGATGTAGATGACTTCTTTTTCTGCGCAAAGATAAACCGTATTATTATTATATTATTTAGAGTCATTCCACACAGTAGGGAAGAGAAAGCAGAAGAGAGCAGCCAGGTTAGTTATAAATAATGACTTGAGAGGTGAGCTCAGTAACAAGACTTTCCATTAGTACAGTAGAGCTTTGTGTGGTACTGTTTGGAACTGCTAAAAGAAATATCTATAATTACCTCCGCCAAGGAGGTTATGTTTTTGCTGGCGTTTGTTTGTTTGTTTGTTTGTTTGTTTGTCTGTTAGCAACATAACTCAAAAAGTTATGGACCAATTTTGATGAAATTTTCAGGATTTCTGGATCACTTTGAAATTTTAGTTAACATTGTGGTAAATGGGGCCAAAAAGTTTGTTTCTCAATATCTCGGTTAATTATTGACCAAACCCCATGAAATTTGACTCAGGGATGGACAATGGGATCCTCTTTCATATTCCAAAGGCTGATCCGGATCTGATCCAGAAGACTGATTTTATCGCAATTTATATAAAAAATGGGGGTAGTCCTTGGCGGAGGTCTGCGCTCTCTGAGTGCTTTTCTAGTTTTAAATATAAATTCACCTTATTTCAAGTTGTATTATTTTGCATAGGGCTGCTGTTCTTGATAGCAAATAAGTTCCATATGGACTATAAAGCTGTTTTAAAGCCTCCCAGAGAATCGGCGCAGAAGTTGGTCCATTTGAACACTGAAAATTTTACACAAATTGCTTTACTTTATGTCATATTTAAGTGGCAGAACTTTTGAATTAATTTTACTGGAAGTGCCACCACAAGAAAGAGATGTTTAGGAACATTTGGAGACAAAAAGGGCAGGACTGAATAAGGTGAATAGAAATGGTTAGATAAGAGAACATGTACTCTTAGTCCTACAGTGGGTGCATTTTGTGAATAACAGCAGCAGAATAAAAATATGCAGTCAAAAGTCAAGATAAATAACTAAAGAATAAATTTCAAACTTTTTAACTACTCTCTCAGAAATAAAAATTTTACTATTCATGTATTATGAGTAGCCTTTAATTTACTGTTAACAAGAGATAAAGTCCAAGGCAACTTGAATTGATAAAAGCTTAGGTTAATTTCCAAAGTCTATGCACTAATAGCTTTAGATAATAATACTAATACTTTTCACTTTTTAAATGTAATGTCTGTAGTGGTCAAATGAAGAGGACATCAGTAACACTGGCCTCGAGTTGAGGTGAAATCACATAAGGGTGGGTCTTTGATATAAATTGGTGTTGCGTGGGCTTTTCAGAGCTTGTGCATATGAGTAAGTGTTCTGTTCTGACCTATGACCCCGTCCTCCCCGGGCAACAGCGACACATCAGTGAGTGGCTCCATCTTTAGAGAGTCTCTGGACACCTGCAGGCAAGAGGAAATGCAACTGAGTCAAAGAATATTTATATTACATTCAAACAGATGACGTCAGCCTGAGAAGAGGATCTTAAAGTATAAGTGGTAAAGTATAAATGAGTATAAATGTATACCGGTAAATGATATTACTGAGTAATATACATTATGCTGGGATGTTAAGATTTTAGTGCTTTTCCATTTAAGTACAAAACAGTGCCACAGGACGTAAGATGAGACTTTGGAATTTGATTTGACAAATTTATCTCACAAAATGCATATTCAGTTAAACTTAAATGAAAATAAAATATAATTTATAATACTTTACCACCTCTTAAAAACTACACGTGTAAATTAAGCATGAAAACATGTTGTAAAATAAGTATTAGATTAGTATAGTATTAGTAGAATAGTAAGAAAGGTAGCAGGTGCCCTTACGCTAGAGATGTGTGTGTCCAAAGAGTTGGAGTTGCAGACAGACACGGGTGAGGCCATCACTCAGGAGGCACTTCCACAGGCTGCACACACACACAGACACACAAACAGACACACAAAGAGACAAAACATTAAGCGGTCACCTACAAGCATCAAAGAAGCTTTACACTGCTTTCATATTCCCAAGTTCTTTAAAAGAAAATATATATTTTTAGAAAATGGGGACAGTGCATATTAATGGACATAAACTTGTCAGATCAGACTCACCAGTACTGATTTACAGTACAACCTGAATGTTTTTCCATTTCATAAACTGTACTTTTCATTATTAAATGTTAAATATTATGAAATGAGTAATGAACGCCTCAGGCTAGTATCATATATTTAACAATGCATTTACACAGAGGCTTAAGTGAATGCACTTGCTGCTGTGTGTCTATTTGAAGCCTCTGATGAGCTGCATTTCTCTTATGCATCTTTTCTGAGAAGAGAGGAAATGATAAAATGTCTTCTTTAAAGTACATCTATTTAGCACTTTCTTTGTCACCCAGAGAGTCCAAAAACATGTGGGAATATTAAACAATAACAGAAGCAATGGTGCTTTAAAAGATGGTCTCTAAAGATTAAGCTTTAATATAATGTGTTAAGTGGGAGGCACATTTGTAATATCTTGTGATGCTTCTAAATGACTAAGTGTTGTGTTTTTATCAGTGAGTCTTCTGTAACTCCATCTTCCTCCCTGGCAGCAGGTGTGTGCACATGACCGCACACCGTCTCACACATTACCACTACACAGCGTCTCAGTTCTCACTTAAATTCACTCCTGTTTGTGCCTATTTTCACATATATCATAGATATACGTCATTTACATAATACCCGCTTTCCTTCACTTATTGGCATTGTTTAACAATCCCAGTATGCTCTGAATAAGAACTTTTCTGAAAGAAATCCATAACATACACACAAGTGTATAAAATCCATGAGCATCACATCTGATGCCAGCTTTAATTCCAAGAGTTTTGGCACCGTTTAGCAGCCATGGGTTGGTCTGTGCACCTGTGTTTAAAGCCTACCCCCCTTTAAGCACCACAAGCAGGTGTGGCTATTAGCAAGATGATGAAAAATTCAGGAGCTGGTCTGTTTGGACGATCCGATTACTGCGCCCAACATTGCACTATTATCTCTAAGTAACGAGAATGGCAAGTTTAGTGAGCCACTCCTCCAGCTGGCAGTGGTCAGGGACACGCCCCATTAAACTACATAACTGTGGATATCGTATAAAAGACCGGGACAAAGCCAGATCTGTAATGAATACAGCGGGGCACAATGGAGGAGTTCAAACGCTACAGTTGGACCATGGAAAGTGAAAGAAGCAAAGGAGTTCTTATTTCACAGACCACACCTCCGAACCTGTTGTTTTGGTGGAGCTGGACTTACAAGAAGCTCATTCAGGACAATTATTCCACGATTACAATAATGAGAACACGTCATAACGGTGTAAACTAGGTTGTAATCAATAGTAGGGTGTCATGCATATAGTCATAAAAACAAATACGGGTGAAAATGAGAAACTGTAAGAGAATGAAGAGAAGTAAACCAATTTTTGTCAACACTGTCCATTCCAACCATATAACATTAACAATAGAGTGAATATTAAACCCATCAAGGCGGGTTTTTAGTTTGAATCGAGCCATTTAAGCCAAAAGTTGCACTTCGTAAATTTAATGTCCACCACCAGCTTGTCTCCATGGAGAAGTTGTTGCTTTGGAATTTTACATTATGGAATTCAATTTATCTGTCTTAGATTTATTCAATTACAAAAACAAAAACTTAAAAATACATTCATAGTACTGCGAGCGGGGAACCACTACACAGTTCTGACGTGTAACTGAGCCTGGTGGCATTTCCTGGTGGCTTGTCTCCATGGAGACGAGAGTCTGCCACCTGCTTGTACGGAAACAAGCAGGTCGAAGACTCACCACAAGAAATGTTACAGAAAGGCAGGATTTTTAAGCAGAAAGATGGTAGAATCTTCCCTAAATATTTCAAAATGCAGATGTTTTAATATGGTTAATATTTTCTATTTTTGGTCTATCCATAAATAGAATAAAATGGTCAAAATGTTAACTAAAGTGAAACATTTTCATTACAGTATTAAAATGTGTAGGCAGTATTTTTTCAAACACACAAATGTTATCAGTTGAAAGGACTTTGCCACAGGAATAGCAGCTTTAAGGACCCAATCCCCAGAAGTCAACACGTGAATTTTCTGTTTTAAAAAAGTCTTATAGGCCATCGGGATTCAAACAGAAAGGGTCAAATCTGTCTTTAAATGTAAGTTGAGGTTCAAGTATCAGACAAAGAGAAATTATTGCTAAATAGTCATAGTATAGTCTTATTTGGAGGCTTAATATTTCATTTTAAATCAGCTCTTTTAATAAACATTGAAATTAGCATTTACAATGTAACCTACTCATAACCTGCCAACCTCCCCTCATCAAAAAGCAAATCAAATCAACACAGTAAATCTTTGTACTACACCATAAAAAACCTCTTCCTCTGTAATAAAAACGACACACATTTCAACTCATTTACATTTTACTTGATCCAAAATGAAAACATCAGCCGCCGAATCTGAAAAATAAAGGTGCAAAAACATCAAAACCAAGTGTGATTTTGGCCTAGACCACTTCCTAACACCTGGCTACATCCCTCCTCCTCCTGCTGCTCACACGCTGTCATCAGATACACAGCGGCTGGAAAAGATAGCACAAGTATAAGGCACTCAGGGGTCAGAGCTGGATCAAGCACATTATGGCCCTATTAACCACAACAGGAACAAGGAAATTGTATAGTGTTATCATTATTGATGAGATAACATATAAAAAGAATATGACATATAAAAGGAGGGAGATATAGTAGATATGTTTGTTAAAAGGCTATAAACCAATTTCAAGATTACTTAAACAATGCAGACTTTAATTCCTTAGCATTTAACACAAAAAACAAAAAGAAAAATACTGAATCTCTATAATTTGGTAATTACACAGCCATAGCACATTATCATTTTTGTGTAACACTTGAACCTCTGTCAAGACATTTACAAATAGAGTAGATTCATACATGCTACGTAACATTTTTAGGCCATAACCCACCCCTAGTTAAGGAGATCCAAATAATTCAAAATTAGTTTTCCCTGCAACATGGACTTGTTATAAGCTGTTAAAGTGCACAGACAACTCCACAACAGAACACATCCACAAATCACATCAGGCTAATAATAGACCAAGGTAAAATGCAGTTTGCAGGGACATGTGAATGCGACATTTAGCCCTGTTCAACAAATGATGTGCCTCAAACTGAATATGTTAGAACTTGTCTTCACACTTAACTCAAAAGCAATAGCAATACCCTCAAATTTGTTTTAATAGGAGCTTTTTTTCCAAGAGTGACGGAAAGAAGAGAACAAAAATAAAAGATGGCGTGACACTGTTTTTCTTGAAATAATACTATGTGAAACTATATTCAAAATAGACAATGTTTACATTTATTTTTAACTCTACACAAATCTGTCATAAAAGCCACGTGGTTAGAGATGTGACTCCTTCTGGACTTTGTGCCATCTTAAACACTGACAATTACGGAGGATCCGGAAGGGCATCTGATATTAAAACCTTCAGCTGAAAGTAAAATAACAAATGCATGACTTTCTCTCTCATAATATCCCTGTAGAAACAACATAGTCAGGAAAATCCAAAGCGTGAAATGAATGAATCTTAGGCCTATATGACTTTGAAACAAAACCCTGAATGTTTACACAGAAGATGATTTGTTACTCCTCCCAAAATATGTTACCTGCAGCTGCACACCTGGCCTCGTAACATTATGATGTGGGAACTGTATTGTGCCAATTGGTGCCAATTTTTGTTTTTTACCCAGGAGAAACCTAAAACATATCGCCTACAGACATTCAAAGTAGGTTAAAGTGGCAGGAGCATTACAATGGCACCAGATATTAGAACCAAGCAAGCACAACTTTCACTTAACCAGGGAGGGATTTTACATGTTAGGCAACAATATTAGAAAGGGACAAATGGCTAAAACGTGTAGTGAAACCAAAATTACGCGTGAGGACAGTGTAACTTTGGAATGGCACAGTGCGCTCGCGTCGGATTGGAAAGGTCTTTTTGGTGACTGGTGAAGTTGGCGGTCTAAGTTGTCAAAACAGATCAACACGAGTGCATTTAGCTACGCGATCGACAGCGATGCAAGATTAATCCGACACATTTGCCTCAGATTAACCATTAGAAACAAGGCACCAAAGAAAAGCGGCCCTCTTAAAGCCCCTTACTGAACTTTTCCAACTTGGCTATTCCAGTGGGCACAGCTGTGGAGTTGCACCAGGAAATAGCGGAGGCCTAGCACAGAACGACAGATTATTTTGGCAGAAATAAAAGCTAAAAATGCCCCGCAGTGCGCACAAATCCTGGTTAATGCTCCCCGAAAGGCGTTTAAGAACAGATCAGAGGGCTACACCAAGGCTGGGCGCGTTTACTTACCCGCAAAGTGCGTTTCTCCCGTGGCTGAATGTCGATCTGTTTCCCCCAAGCCACAGTCGGAACTCACTCTGTGTCACGTGTCACTCTGTCATGGCGCGGATTGGCTGCTTGTCAAATTGTATCCCGCAATGTGCGCTGGGAAGTGAAGTTTTACAGCCATAAAAGGAGAGTGTAGGCAGTGAAACATGCTGGATACGCCCATTCTGTTCAGACTGCTTTGGTTTAGGGCAGGGAGCTCCAACCTGTAGCGCATACGGCCCTTTGGCTGACTCTGACCGGTCCTTTTACGATAATTTGGAATGACAAAATAAACGTATTTTATAATTTTGTCCTATGCATGGACTAAAGCTGCATTGCTTTTATTTTAAAGGTGTTTTTAATGACATTTTTTGTAAGGCAACCTCACTTTTCCACTGCTTCGTCATAACATAAACCAGGGGTGTCGAACTCAAATTCACAAGGGGCCAAATTTAAAAACTGGGACCAAGTCGTGGGCTAAACTAAATATTTATTAAAAAGTTTCAACAACATCTGCATGTTTTCTCTTCTTTTGAGATATGTAATGTAAAACATTTTCTTATTAAAATAAATGTTTAATAATAGTTTTGCTTAAACATTGAATCCAGAACAAGCATAATATAAAATAATAACAAAATTATTAAATAAATAATGTCTCTATAGTCTATCTGTAGCCGGCTGGCAGCTCTAATACATATTTGATATGATCTCACGGGCCAAATATAATTATATCACAGGAAAAATTTGGCCCCCGGGCCTGAGTTTGACATGTCTGACATGAACTCTTACCAGTCTTACCAGCCGGTCAAAACAATGCTATTTGCTCCTATTTTTAAAAAAATAAAGAAATACAATTAATATTTTGCAGAACTGAGTTAAGTATTTTGGCATGGCCCTCTACAGTATTTTCTGTTTCTCATGTGGCCCCATGGAAAAAAATAATTGCCATCTAAATGTCCCCATATCAGGCTCGCCTTGGCTCTTATATTTACTCAATTTATTCCAATCTCTAAAATGAGTAGGTCTCTGGCATTTTTGTTTTGTAAACAGAGATCACCAGAGGAAAAAGGTTTAGGTTATGCATATGTATTCATTTATTTGTAATAATATAATAATAATTTCAATGTAATAATAATATTTCTACTGAGTTACTTACTTAGACAAACTTGATCCATAGGGGCACTGTGTGGTAAATGAATCCACACACACAAAAAATAATTCAGTGTCAAAGCATGCTTTTTTTTTTCCTTGCAGAACGTAATTTAGTATGTAAAGAAAAACAACAAGGGCAGAGAAACAATGATTTATAGGCTATAGTCTCTCTATAATACAGCGTTTTTAGGACTATAAGAAAATAATGAGTAGTCTAATTAAGTAGACTAAATTTAGTCTTATTCCGATTATAATAATCTCAAAGTGCGCATTTTTTCTGTACACATCAGACTAAGGTCGATTTTTATTCTCATTTTATTCTCATTATTTTCTTGACCAGCAGAGGGCAGTATTTCCCGTACACTGCTCTTTTTATAGTAATGAGTTGCTTTTGTTTTAAGTGTCAGATTTACGGGTTGATACAGATCTCCACATATAAAAATGAACCTGTGTCTGTGTGTGTGTAACAGGGGTAACAGTATCGTTCCTCTGCCATTTTAAATGGGTGTGTTTTTTCTCTTTGTGTGATTTTTTTCCTGTTTGATGTGGGACTCATTGTAAATGTTAAAGTTATGGTTATGTTTAATTTAGTTGTTTTAACTGAACGTCTTTTTTGGTGTGCCTCTCTCACACAACCTGTTGTCTTTCTGTCTAGACGAGGTCCCCGGGCAGACTTCAGACTTGTCGGCTGCTCCGTGGTTGAAACCAGGGCGCTCTGGGGCCATGGCGCCACGGCTGTCGACTGCCCACCACAGAGCCACGCCAGCCCGACCAACGCCCGGACCTCTGGACAAGCTCGACAAACTTTTTAAGCAACTCCCTCACCCCTGGACATATAAATGTAAATTAAACCCTTAAAACTAAACTCTGCTGTCTCTAGTTCTCTGGTGATGCACAATACCTGCTGTACGGGGTGTTACATTTGTGTGTATTTTCACTGTCAAATGATCAGATCACATTTTTATACAGCGTCTTTCCACTTTCAAGGCTCTCAAAGCGCTTTACAACAAGAAACCACTCACCCATTCACACACACACTCATACATCAGTGTGCACAGACACTGAACGAGGTGGATAAAGTGTCTTGCCCAACGACACAATGACAGCATTCGTCTGCACTGCCAACCTGTGGATCTGACCGTTCAACCAATGATGTTTTATGTCAAGAGCAGGATTCAAACCGTCAACCTTCAGATCAGTGGGCAAAAGCTCTTACCAACTGAGCTTCTGCCTCACCAAAAAAAGCCTAAAACTCCCTGGTCTACCATTTATGATGAAGGTTTTAAAAGCCACAGTTTTAGAAGTAGGAGAGGTGGGAAGCAATAATGAATTCAATAAAAGTTATTTTGATTCTGGTTCATTTATTCATAGATTACGTCAACTCTTCAATAACATAACACTGCAGGTTAGTGTGTTTTCAGTGTTGTTTTGTAAGCAGGACACCAAAAACAGCATCAAGAGGTATCTAAAAACAAAAAGGGGTTATGAAAAAGTAGCAAACTTCATATTGTTGACTGATGTTTTGTTTTGTACATAGAGAATTGTCTTCTTTTGACTTTTGCCTTGCCACAAAAATATACAGATTTAATCCCATACAAAAGGCTCCATTGTATTCCCTAACAGGTGATCACTGTCCTTGGTGCTGAATGACGACAACAATTCCAGTTCTGCACCAGGAAAATAAGCCTTGCTGTTGCTTTTATTATAACTTTTACATTTGGATTCTATTTGTGTCTTCAACACCATGGAGACCTACATTATAACGTACTGACTCACCCGATGTCCCTGTATATTGTTTAAGTCAATAACTCACACGTGGTACTGTTATTAAAAGCTTGTTATTTATTGCTATTCAATCTAACTCAAAATCCGCATGCACTGCTTTAATCCTCTTAGGCCAAAGGGATAGCTGGTTTACATCTCCCTTATTTTAAAGTTAATCCTGGCGAATATCTGAACGAACGAAATGCAAGAAAACTGAAGGCAAGGAAAGGAAAGGCAAGTTTATTTGTATAGCACAGTTTGTACACAAAGTAATTCAAAGTGCTTTACAGAATAAGAAATACATTAAAATCACAACAAAAACAAATCAAAACATAAATAATCATCATAAAATTCAAGATTAAAATTAAAAAATAAAAAGAGAGAGGGACATTAATTACATAAATTAGAGAGAAGAATGTGAAGTGAAAACCTTTCAGTCATATGCAGCTAAACAGAACCGTTTTGAGCCTGGATTTAAGCAGAGTCAAAGTAGAGGCCTGTCTCACATCTTCAAGAAGACTGTTCCAGGTTTTAGCTGCGCGAACCTGAAACTCTGACTCCCGGTGTTTAGTCCTGACTCTGGGCACCAACAGGAGGCCAGTCCCTGAGCTCCTCAGAGTGTGAGATGGTTCATAAGGCACTAATATGTCACAGATGTACTTTGGTGGTTGTCCATGGAAAGACTTGTGCACACACAGAGACACTTTAAAGTCTGTTCTCTGAGCCACAGGAGCCAGTGCAGAGACCTGAGCACAGGACTTATGTGCTCGTACTTCCTAGTTCAAGTAAGGACCCAAGCTCGTTTGGAGAGGCCAGTGAGCAGACCATTACTGTGGTCTAACCTTCTGTAAACAAATGCATGGGTAAGTCTCTCCAAGTCTGATTTAGACAGTGAACCTTTGATTTTTGCTATGGTTTTAGATGGTAAAAGGCTGCAGATGTTATTGATTTGATGTGGCTGTTAAAGTTCACGTCTGAGTCCATTATTACCCCTAGATTTCCTGCCTGATTTGAAGGTTTTATTGAATCTGAAACTGAATGTGATGCAGTCTCTTTAAAAATGTTCAGGTGCACGTGGGAGAAGAATAGCTGGCCTAATAGTGTGGTAAATATAGACGATTGTTTGATACACAGAAAGTAGAGACCTTAAAGAGACAAAGGAGCTCATTCTCAAACAGGCTCTGCTCAAACAGTAACAGATAGAGGACTACCTTCATACCAAACTCCATGCAACTCTACAACAACTCACCCTTATGCAATAGATAACCCAATATCATATCAATTACTATGTTCTGGAAAAAAAAAATACTATATCTCTTGATGATAAATAATTAATCCATTTGCAAAGCTTTATGAGTTTTTGAAAGACAAACAAAGGTTTATTCTTGTTACAGCAGATGTGGACAGAGCCTGACCACAGACCAACAGCCTCTCTCTGAATCTCTGTCTCATTTGAGCTCTGAGAATTTATACAGAAATACAAGTTACATAAATATTAAAGCAGAGTGACTATTTTCACAGGCTTGTACTGAATTAACATACATTTGAGGACAGCTAAGAGAACACACAGTTTCCAGAGGGTGAAGACAGCTGTGTCTGCTGAGCCTTTAGGCAAGGCAAGGAAAGTTTATTTGTGTAGCACAATTCGCACACAAAGTAATTCAAAGTGCTTTACAGAATAAAAAATACATTAAAATCACAATAAAAACATATCAAAACATAAATAATCATCATAAAATTTAAAAGAGAGAGAGACTTTAATTACATAAATTTACACATGTTTATGATTGGTCTGGGTTTCAGGTAAATCACATTCATTTACACAAAGGCAGACTGAGAGAAATCTTTCCACAATATAAATTTCCATCACACACTCATCATCTTTTCACTGTTTTTCTTTGTCTATCTCTCGTATATAGACCAGATATATTTGGTATTACCTAAGGGTGCAACAATTTCCAAGTCTCAAGATGCGATATCGTCATAGTATGAACCTCACTGTACGATATTTATTATGATATCGTGGGAGGCTGATGATTAGGGATGTAACAATATCCAAATCTCTCAGTATGATATTTTCACTAAATATACATCTCATGATATGATATTTATTCCGATATTTGGTAGAGGCTGCAAACAACACTGTTAATATGCTACTTTTTCATCTTAAAATTAACAAGCCTTAAC